TTAAAACTATGATGCAGGACATATCATACCACAATTTTGTATTATCATTATCACTATTACTATTCCAAGCTATGCTCTCCGCATGCAAGACTTAGGGCTGATCCGGTCGTACTAGGAACGTACTGCGTATGTATGTACGGAATCTTGATGACATTGCTTATTGAGCCTCAACAAGCAATTTTCCACAGTATGCGTCAGTTGTATGACTTCTGTGTCTAATCTCGGATTCTTTGTCCTACGACTCGTAGGACACACCTACAGATCATCTGACGTGAAAACAGAAAACGAACCGGTCGGGACAAACACTGGACCCTGCAGGAACGCACACCACTCTTCCCTACCATGGTCACGCGCCTACCTTGTATACTCCGTCAACAGGTTCCTACATAACAACTCAATTGAACATGAAACATCAACGCACGAAATACTTACTCAAAGTGAAACTCAAGTGACAAGCAACCGCTCGACATGAACATGTTTAATCATGCGTGTCAGATAGAAAACGAGCATCGTTCATGCCTGTCTATGTAAGTAGCTACGGCTACGTGCATTAACTTTTTTACAAGATCCTGGAGTTACTTCAACTTACATGACATTGCTGATCTCATCTAGCATGGAAGGCGCGGCTATGCCGAGTCACAGAGCACCTCCAGTCTTCCATGCTTTAGTCTTTAGCTGCTAGCAAAGTGGTTATTATCATGAATGGATAACTGTGCTTCCAATCCTTGAAATTTGTAGCCAATCCGATCATGGAACTGGCGAATCCAATATATTAATGTCACATGTACTATTGACGAATTAGTCCTGGTTCCCTATTTCGAACTTTCGTACTAAATTCGAAATGGTGCTTAGTACTCATAAACTAAGTTGCAAAGGCTCCTATTGCGGACCGAGCTCCCGTCTCTTCAATTTTGAGTCGATCGAATTGTCGCAAACGATACAAAGATACGAGCAGAAGGGCAGGGGGAGAGAATTGTCAAAAGAGGGGAAGGATGTAGTGGCGTGTCATGTTAAGGCTCGCTACTATTATTTCTTTTGATACGGAGGACATCAGGAATGTGTACGCTAGTTTTGATACGAATATTGAATTTCCGTATCTCTTTGACATAACTTAATACATGTATGAGTTAGCTAAAAGTTAGCAAATTTTGTGCCAGTCCAATGAGTGACGGGAACGTTTATATACTTTCAATCGGACGACCTTGCTTTTTCTACAGATGTAGACTCGACAGAGTTAGATTGTGTATAATCTTGCCGAGTCAAGTATTTCTTTCGCTATATCAGCCCGAACTAATCTAAGAGGGATGGGATGTACCAGTAACGCTAGATTAAAAGTACATCGTAACAATATTGACATGAACTGGACGAAATACATACTCAGTACGGACGGAGCTGTACAACCAACTACTTTAGTCGTCAACGCCACCTTCCAAACCCTAACGACCCCATACAACAAATCAAACAGCCAATCATTATTCGTTCAAGTCATATGAGATTTCTGAGTTTCTATACACAAACAGATCCTTTCATCCTTGTGCCCACTTACTTTGTCATGGCGGCTGCAAGGGCTTACGCACCGCTGCAAGTAGCCGGCCCGAGCTGCGGGCTGGCTGCGTGGTTTTTTCTTTGTTCAATTTTTGATGAATCCAATTAAGTAGATACGGTAAGAAACTGATTTCCACATATCGGACCATGAAAGTCCGGATTTTCCTCTCGCTGAATGAATAGACCAGTCATCGCGATTATGCACAAACTCTTAGCATATATCCATGGTTCAATCAGAGAGCATGCATGAACATTCCTGAGAGAATCTAAAAAGCCTGTACCTACCATGGGTTATTTTGGAAGCAGGCAGAATTAGATTAACCTCGCATTGCATTCCCGTGCTTACTTCCGCAGCGGTTCAGTTTAGTGTCATGCTTAGTATGTACTCTAGTCCCTGATTTCATTTCCTTGTATGTAACTACTAAAATACATAGCAGATGAATATGTACAACGACGTAGTACGAACTACGAATTGCCCGCTCGTGCACGGATTTAATCTACTGTACAGGTAGCTACATCTTACATACATCAGCGAGTCTATACCGAAGTAGATCTTAACATTCGTAAATTTTATTCTTACATGCCTAGGCCAGCGAATGCAAGGAATGAAGGTAAACTTCTGACAGCATTGTTTCTTTCCCCTCTCCCGACATATCCCGGTTATGACAGCTGGGTATGAATGTGCGTACTGTAATAGAAATACTCCGAGACTTGCTGTTCAGTGTTGGTGACCCGCCTTATTTTAGTACGTATTCTGATCGAGAGTGTAGTTCGGATTTGTCATTTCGTCTGTAAATGGCAAATCTGTGGACAAATTCACGCTCAATCAAGTAGGTGGTATTTCATTGCAAGATAGATTAGTTTGTTCCTATCCCTGCCCATGTCCGAGTAATACTCGTGACTACTCGTGATTTGCAATCGATTCGGCAAATAGACGACGCTCGAACCGAAGTTCATACGCGCATTTGTATGTTACTCTGTATCACTCTGTTCTGTACGTACTGTATCCGACAAGACACTAACCAGATCAAGACTAACAAAATGAGGTTCGGCAAGCTCCCGTCCCCGTTTCCGCCGACGGGAAGCCCCACTTTTTCCATCTGTATGTGACTTCTTTTCCTTTCTTGCTTTCCCTCTTTCGCGTTGCTCTCTTTCATTCGTTGGCAGCGGGGAAATATATTTCACCTGATGTACAGCGCATACTCTAGTGCCCCCTTTTGGTGCGTGATGTGCTGCTCTTATTGGAGTGTCGTTCGTTGGTGGACTCCACTTGGTACCCGCTGCGTTGCAGGATTGACTGGTGGATAGCACGACCACGTAGGCCATCACCCCTCTTTGCTAGTCCCTAGTATCTTCTACTAAAGTCTTCGGTACGGAGTACGTAAAGACTCAACTTTGGTCTCCGAAGGGCTTTGAAGGGCTTGAAGGCTTGTCAGTCGTGGTTCGATATCACCGTTTGTTCATATCTTTCAGCAGTGTGTGTCGTCTCCGCTGGGCGAATAATCAATAATTCCCTCCTGTGACTAAATACCAGTGCCAGCTGGCCCCCGCGCCTGACGGTATCAGGCCTAGTTTGTAGTCCTCCCTTTGCTTTTTCTTCTTTATTTCTCATCTGAATTCGCCGAGTCCACGAAGTTACGGAGGTACTTAGTGTGGAATCACTTTACTCATCACACCACATTTTTCCGGATGCTCATTCCTCTTGCTCATCAGATTGATAAGAGATTAATTTGCCTCAAGCCTTTGAAAATGGTGTTGAGGCGACATGATTCGTTGATCTAACATGACATACATACTAGATCAATAGCACCGAGATAGTATTACTTGTAATCGACTGACCGCTCCAGATCATGGCTAGCTAGTCAGTTATGTCTACCCCTCCCCATTCAACCTCTTCTTCAACGTTTCAGGCGTTCAGCTGTAGAAGGACAAGCACCTTCCAATCAGGTCTTCGAACCCCGACAAGGCCATCAAAACAATAGGGTGTAGCGTCAATCGCCGAATCGCTGACAACCTATCAATTCAACCCCCTTGCATTCGCGAGCGGCAAGTAATCATTTCGCCATTTCATAAAATACGTAGGCCAATAGATAACTATGAAGCGCAAAGTTTCATAATTACATAACTGGGTGACTACTCCAGACGGAATTTCGTAACAGAGTTGACTCCGCCCCCTCCTTCTCCCTCTCCTGGTTTTCCATTCGCCTCCGCGCATGTAGATTAATGTACAACAACGTCAAGAAAAGACCCTGAGCTGCAACAACCCGTCTTCGCATAATCAGCTAACCGAGAGAATCTTAAATTGTATGCGCGTGCAAAACTTAACTTGCTTATTAAGGCGGACTGATTATATTAACTTGACACTATGTTTTTACACCCATTATAAAGGTCACTAAGGGCTATACTCACGTAGCCTAGATACTAATAAGTTTGCTAGGTTACGAAATGTGGATTTAACTCTGGAATTAACTCGTAAATATTTCTTCTTGTCTGATGAAGACGACTCAATCACTGACTCGCCATTAGATCTGCTATTGTACTAGATATTTACTTCAAAATTATGTGACTATTGACCTGAAATCCATTGCATATGATTCAGATCTATCCATTGACCTATTTGGCAATATTAGCCGAACAATGAAGCCGATGCATGACCTCAAAGGGAAGAACCGAGATAATCTCCTAAAGCTTATGGGTGGAAACCACCACCGGAACGTAAAATTGGATGACAAAAGAGGTATTGAGTCTAGCCAGTCCTCTTGGCGATCTCGATGATATATCTGTGCGTACTAGATAGGTCACAACCCTAGAACGAGACTGGTAGATCGTCAAAATAAGATATACGAATGAAGGTTCCTAGACACCTTCACGTGTCTGAGTTCTATAGTATATACCAAGGGGTGAAGTAGAAATTCGCCAATTCTCTCACCTCTCATTGATAGTCACAGAGAGACCTTCCTGGATCCTTAATATTGATGGCTTATTATATGACATGTCTGATGCTTGACATATATATTCAGAAGCAAAGGATCATCGGACCAAAAGACCCATGGCAACGGATCTAGGATGATTAATCCTAACCCCTTCGTTCATGGTCCACGATAGCAAGGTCTTCACCCTTGTGATGATTCTCGGCTGGATCAGCTATTAAGGAGGTCTAGACATGCTGTCGTCAGGACAATGGCCAATACTAGATGAAAACAAGACAATAGTATTATCGACTCTATTTTTCCTTCACCAAAAAGCACAGATTGATCCAATCTATGAACAATCATCTATTCAAATCCGCCCCTTGAAGATATATCCAATACAACCACAAAACCCCAATCCATGTCCCTATTCATCCAAACCATGCCATTCGTTTCATTTATCCCACGCGTCCCAAGCCGTTTCCCACCGGACCCAGGGACATTCAAAGAAACACCTCCCGAGCAATGCAATGTACTGAACGAAATCTAGTTCTTTTCAAGTGCCTTTTCAGCCTTGGCAGAGAATATCTGCTGCCATACCTCCATCCATTCTCGTTGTTTATGTGAGAGCATCTTTTGCGGATTGCGCACTATCTCTGTCATAATCTCGCGAACTCGAATGCTGAATCTCTTGAATGCGAGCATCTGTTTCCAGTCTCGGACAGAGAACCGCAAGCGATTATTGTCAATCGAGATAACACCAGAATACATCTGATCATTTTTAATACTTATATCAAAGTAGGGAAGGCTGTACACATACCTTGAACTCTAGATCACCACATAACAGGGCAACAGCAAAGCTTTCCACTGCGCTAGTCTCGTGCGCGTTGTAAAATCGATTACGAGTCTGCATTATATGATAATACGACAGCCATTGCACAGATGAATCAACCCGTTTGTTGACGGATGTAGGATGAAGCGATATGTTCTGATTATTGGCCACGTTACGCCATCCTTTTCCTTCGCGTGTCACGAGCTTAGGATAGAAGCTCCATGCTATGACCGAGTTGACTATAATATCATTTGCGCTGTTGACATTTACTCGTTCCGGAACAACGAAAAATTGTCGGTTGCGGCCGGTTACTCGGGCTCTGCGTGTCGCATTAGCTTGCACTCTCCGTGTCTAGTATTTAGTTGCATACCTTCGAAGAGCAGTCTGCTCCTCCATTTCTAGCTTTAGCAGTCCCGCATCGACAATACTAACGAGCAATTGGGTCTTGACGTCTTCTATATTCAGCAAAGTCTGGGGACTAAGAAAGTTCTTCCGGCAGAACGAATACTCATTCACCCCGGGAGTTTCCCGAATCCGTTTCCAGGCGAGATAAGCATTGTAAATTGTCAATAGGTCCGAGTCACCTACATTCTGTTAGTGATATCGCTTAAGCGGCGTTAAATGATATTTACCTCTTTTGAATGACAGTCGAGCCGCGTCTCGCTGTGAATTCGAACCGAGTGTGTTCACAAACGGTGACTTCGATGATAGAATTGCCGCAATACTAACACAAGCATCCAGACACTTGAAAATAGCACCATATATTATAAGTTTGCCGAGCCATACGTCTAATGGAAGCTTTGCAAGTTGCTTTCCCAAGGAAGTCAAACCCTCAGCGCCTGTGAGCGCCTTGACCTCCTTCAAAGATTCAATAGCCCTGCGTATATTCTTCGAAGATGGTGGGTCCAGAGCTTCAAGAAGAGTGGCTTCAACCTCTCCCATATTACATATCTTGACACGAAGCACCAGGTCCTGAAGCGAAAGCCTGAGCATTTCGGGAGTTTGTTGCTCCGATAACTATACCAGACTGTCAGGATCGGATTATAATAAGACCACCTTGGTACGTACCTTGTTGTCATGACGGTATTTGGTGAAGAGGTGGAAGCATATTCCTTTCTGAACACGTCCAGCTCGTCCACGACGTTGTTTTGCATTGGCACGAGATATGAAAGACTCCACTAATCGTGATAGTTGGCGTTTCTCGTCAAATCTTGCAAGTTAATTAGATGTCAAAACGGAGCAAACGGATGGCGAAATACCTACCTCATGACCTTCTCTTTACCAGCGTCAATCACCGCCGTGATGTCTGGAATTGTGATACCGGTTTCAGCAATGTTGGTGGCAATCACAATCTTCCTAATTCCCTCAGGCGGTACGAGGAAAGCTTTCTCCTGGTCTTCGCTAGCAATAGACGAGTGGAGCGTGTGGATGATCCATCCTTGATTGAAGGTTGGATCAGAGCCAATCTCATCATGGAGCCTACGGATCTCTGCTAAACCTGGCAAGAAGACCAGAATTGCTTTGCTGTACTGAGTTAAGTCTTGTCTCGTTGCAATAGTCGTCAAAAGTTTGGTAATTAAGCGGTAGTTGAGCCGATACTCGTCAAACTTCAGCACTGTATCCCTCGCCTGGGCCGGATAATCTTCCAATGTTTCCCTCAAACCTCGGCTCATCTCATCAGACAGTCCTTCATCGGATAGATTTTCCTCCTCATCGTCGTCAATAATAGTAGAGGCCGGATACGAATCATCCAAACGATACTTTGTCATATTGATAGCGTCCTCAAGATATCTGACTTGCACGGGAAATGTCCTTCCAGGAATGTTGAGTACTGGCGCACCACCCAGGTAGTCTGAAAATTTTTTAGCATCCACAGTGGCAGACATGAGGACCACTTTGAGCTCCGGTCTCTGAGCTAATAATCGTCGAAGAACAATCAGTAGGAAGTCACTGTCAATACTCCTTTCGTGTACCTCGTCAAGTACGATATGCGTGACATCTTGCAATTCATTTGGCCGTTCCAACATGCGAACAACAACTCCAGTGGTTCTTAGATTGAATCAGTATCTCAATTTGCAGAGGAGTAGGGAGTAGACGCACGCGAATATAAGTCTTGTACTTTGGCTAATCTTACTTTCCAATCTAATGGCGAACCCTACCAAGGACCTATTCGTTCCTAGATCTTGATGTCTTTCACCGAGCTCTTCGCTCACACGCCGTGCTAGAGAAATAGCGGAAATTCGACGGGGCTCGGTAACAAATACTTTGCACTCACGGCCGTTTGCAAGCTCATTTTCCATAATGAATGATGGAATCTGGGTACTTTTACCACTTCCAGTTTCACTGCAAATGATGACAGCTTGATGATCTGCCAAAGTATCCAAGATCTCCTGCTTATAAGCCCACACTGGTAAGTTCTTGCGAGATTCCGCCATGTGCTGAAATGAGGGGTTGTTTGATTTTTCTTGCCACAAATTTTTCAGACCACCAGCATTGATCTTGGGAGTTGTCGATTCGGCTTTTCCTAAGGGCTGCTGTTTATTATTTCCGTTTCTTCTTCTGAAATTGTCAGACAGAACTACATCCTGCTCAAATTTGCCGTGATTCTCCTCAATCAGTTTTTTCAAGTGTCGTATCGTTTGCTTGTCAGATTCATCCTCTTGTTGCTTTTTCAGCTCGGAAAATTCTTTGTAGAGGTCTCTCCATACATTCGGGAGCCTCATATAAGCTTTGTTCTCCTTCGTACTCGAACCTGACCCAGAAACGAGCAAGAGCGCAAGGGTAGAGATATACCCTTTTGCTTGCTCTTTTTTAGCCGCGGCAATGGTGTCCATTGATACAAACACGGTGAATGCATTGGATTTGATAGTGGTTCCCTCGATTGATACTAAGAACGGTTCTTCCTGTGGTTTGGACCACTTTATTTCGACGGCATTCCGATTCGAGAAGGAAGTGACTGTCAAATCTTTCCAGACAATTTTCGAGCCCGGGTCTCTGAAACAAATCGTTAACCACTGTTCTGGCACCAAAGATGAGGAGATTTTATTTTAGAAAACTTACCTGGCCTTGCATACTTCTTGAAGAAGCTTGTCAGGCTCGACGCCGCCAACCGATACTCCAAAGTCGCGTATGCTTATGGCACTGTTGGTCGTTTCCTGGAATGGAGAAAGGTCGTCGTTCACATCTTCTGTGAAGATGCCACCTAGAAGACCTTCATCACCGGATTCAGCAGCTTCTACCATAACAAAGTCACCCGTAGCTTCAGATACAGTGGGTTGTGTTTCCTTCTGAGATATAGCCTTTGCCCCAGAAACTGCTCGTTCCTTCTCCCGAGAGAATGCTGACTCTCTCCACAAATCGCTTAATTTCTCTCTCCACCTCATTTCTGCCACGTCATGATCAAAGAGAATGTCGCTCTCAATTTTAGCAATTTTCAGCTGGAGTTTCCTGACCCTCGGGTCAGAAACATCTTTAGTGGCCTTTTGTCGCGCTTTTCTTCCACTCCCCGAATTTTGGTCAAACAGTTGAGAGTCTAGTTGATACATTCGAGTTTTTAAGGAGACATATTCATCAGCAAAGTCTTCCGGATCGAGAGAGCTATCGGAATCATCGTTGAAGTCCGGTTCGATTACATCAATTATTGGATGGTTGGGGGCAGGCTTGATCAGAGGATTTCGGCCTTGGGCTATGGGTAATGCTTTCGTAGGTGACTTCACCTTTGTACCTAATGGATGAATCAGTCGGAATATTCGGAACAAGGTAGTTAGGGTATAGGAAAATCACTGTTGAAGAATGAAAAGGCAGCTTCTTCCGGTGTCCACGACTGATCCTTCTTCTTGTCATATGGGTCCAGCTCAGAAGGTGCACATTGCAACGCCAACCAATCTAAGGACTCCTCAAGATTCCAATTTACACTTTTGGAGCTGTTTGAGAGACCAGAGTAGTAAGTTATGATATATTTCAGCAATGAGTCTATTCGATCGTCTGAAAACCCAAGTCCCTGGATAGCCTCTTTCAATGTCCAGAGCCTGGCAATCAGTTCTTCCTCTTTCCCAGCATCCAAGTCCCTTTCAGGGGGGATTTCAAGGTGGTCTTGCTCAACTTGAATAAGAGCCAGGACCTGGTCTTGGATCTCCTGCGGTATCCATTCGTTCAAACTCAAAACACTCGCCTGAGACCTTAGCACCCGACGCTCAGTCTCAAATCTGGATACTTGGCGAATAGCTTCGTTCTTAGACTTCGATGCATATTTGTCGACTAAAATTTGGAGTTCTGCTTCCTCAAAGTGCTTTTCAAGTTCCTCTGGAGAAAGATTCTGCAGACTCTGCTCCTTAGCACTGCCAGATTGAGATTGATGAGTCTCTGCTGGTTTCGATGTCTTTTCGTCTTCCGATGCAACTACTGAAGAATCTACCGTTGAAGAGACCGTAGTTGATTCGACTGCTTTCGGCTTTGAAGGCACCGAGACAGTAGCGAAACCTCTAGCTGGGTTCGATGCTGGTTTCTTTTTTCTCTTGTTGGGAGGCATTTTTCTGTGGGTGGGTCCTTTTATATGTAATGTTCCAGCGTCACAACGTACAAGACGCGTCCCAGCAAAATATCATACGAGAAGACACGATAAAGCCTAACCGTGAAGAGATATATCTGTTAGAGATAATTTGAGGAGAAAGGAAGAAAGATAAAGGTTGAGGAACATTGACGTCTTTGTACCTTGCGGGCAGGCAGGAGCGGTGCGGGCAGCGGAAGGCAGCTCCCCACAATAAACCTCAAAATCTTTTTATGACACAACTGCGGGACAACAACGCTGAGTCAATTCAGCTCGACATGGTATCACCATCCCAAAATGGATGAACTGAAATGGGATGCTATACGCAACGGGGATCTGGAGACCCTCAAGAGCGTTGTTTTGTCAAGCTCGACTGCTCGCCGCGCGCGTGCCCTCCACTCGATCCGCGAAAAGAACGGTAAGGCACTCACCTCTACAAATCTGCCACTGAGTGTAGCTTACTGAGAAATTTTTGGTAGGGGACGTCCTGTCAGAAGAGAACAGTAAACCTATCCTGGACCTCCTCATCCAAACATATCCACTATACATCGACCGAATCTCTCGATTAGCCGTTCAGCAATGCCTTCGCACGATCCTGAAATCCATAACCGAGCCGGACGCGAAGTACTTAGCCGCAAGACTACAGAAGGAATGTGCGAAACCTACTCTATCAGCCGCATCTGCCTTCGTGCTCGTTGAGTGGTGCTGCATCCTTCTCCAACACCTCAGCAGTATCGATGCTCCTATCGGTGCAGTTTTAGATGTTATATCTGCCAATGCGAACGTCTTAGAATTGTGTCTGGGAGAGACATCGAAACCAACCGTGCGACAATCCGCCCTGCGAATAACTCGTCGTGCGCTGAGGGCTATTTTTACGTCCCAAAGTTTGGGCGGGGAGGCGATACGCGAATCAGTTTCAAAGCTCACCACGGGCACTTTGGCCCAGAAAAACGCACCTTTTATTGGCGTAATTTCCGGAGTTTGTGCACGTCTTGTGGCACGAAAGGAGGTTTTAGCTGGGTTAAAGAAGCCGATATTGGCTTACTATACAAAGGAGATACTGGGTTCGCGAAGTCAAGTGCCACCGCATATAGCAAATGGGTTATCGGACTTTTTTGCATCATTCGTCACCTATGACGATGTAGTCGCCGATATTGTACCAACGCTAGAGAAATCTATTTTGAGGTCCCCGGAGATTATACTCAACGGCATAATCCCGCCTCTTTGCTCGTCACTTCCTGTGGAAATCGATCTTTCCGAGCCCGTCAATGCTCGTCTATCAAAGCCTCTTTTGTCCAGTCTTAAGTCCACGAATGCCATCATTAGACAAGGTGCTACACAGTCGTTCCAAGCTCTGATACTCAAATGCAAGACCGAAGACCCTCTGCTGAAGGTGGCCAACGAGATCATAGGGCCATTGAAGTCTGGGAAGATCTCGAATGCCGATCAACGTGCGTCGCATGCTGACGTGTTATCAGCAATTCCTTGCTATAAGACTATATCCTTAGAAGCAGTCACGCATTTGGTTACAGTGGGTGCTAAGGAGTCAAGCGAAATTGCCCTCGTATCAGAAGTCAAAGCCATATGCAAACATCTGGCCTATCTCATCAATTCCGAAATATCTGTCAAAGATGAAACGATCACGGCTATTGCAAAGGCATCCGCAGATAAACGTGTACCTTTTCGTAAATTGTGGCAGCTGCAGATTGCGGATTTATTTTGGAACACCGATCTAGGGAAGTTGACTAGCTCATCGAGCCAAAAATTGATTGATGCTGTCCTTACGAAATTGAAGGATTCGTTCACAGAGTCTGTCGCCAATCCTCTTCCATCTGCGCAGAGTGGTCTGGTTTCTGCCGCTTATGGTTACGTTTCACTGTGCGGTTTATTAAAAGACTCGCAGGCGACCGCAAAATCAGAATGGAAGACTATCGTTCAGCAATCAGTTTCACTGACACCTAAGCCGTCATTCTTATTGAACCCGAAGGTCTATAGCAAGTTGACCACAGACGAGGATTTTCGATGGAAAGTGAGGGCACTTACCACAGTTGCAAATAATTCTACACTACGTACTTATGATGCGGCAAGTCAAGGGGCTTGGGGTCAAGCGTTTATTTTCACAATCGCTAGTCCGAGCGTCCCTCGAAACATTAAAGACGAGGCATGCCAGGCTCTGACAAAGGTTTACCTGGAAGATGCTACGACAGCCGCAAATGTTATTGTCAATGCATTATGGTCTTGGGTGTTCGCTCTGTCTGTTGCTGACAAGGAATCTGGTGCAGTAGCTGCAGGTCAGGGAAGCCAGGATTTACTTCACTTCGTAGTGAAAGCCATATGTCCCAGCGCATCCGGTTCACAGCCATTCTCAGATGATGTTCAAATTGCGCTGAAAGATCAGATGATCAAACTCCTTATTCTTTGTCGCCAAGAACTGATACCCAAGGCATCCTGGATTGACCTTTGCTTAAAGATAGGCCTAGATCCTGGGAAACTTGTATCCGATCAACCTGAAGACTCTATTCAACAACTCATACAGGTATCGGAAGACCCTGTGCAGTCAAAGATCCCACAAGCAGCTGATGCTGTTGGAAGCGCAGCAGCAGATCTAGCTTTCGTTGCCCCGGACGCGATGATACCACGTATCGTCAAGGTAATTAGTGAGGACCTGGCAAGTGATCGTATCGCCAAATTTACCCCTACCGATGCTGCAATCACTCGCACACCAGAAGGGACTACTTTCGTGGATGTACTCAACACAAAGGCTGCTCAACCGCTGTCAAATAAGAATATCAAGGACTACGACACTTTGAAATGGGAAGAGGAGCTCCGAGCACAGATAGCACAAAAGACGGGACAAACAAAGAAAAAGCTAACGGCAGACGAACAACAAAAGGTCAAGGCACAGTTGGAGAAAGAAGCTAAAATCCGGAAAACTGTGCTCTCTGAAATCAAGAGGATTGAACGAGGCTGCGTAATCGTTCGCGGGCTGGCCACAGGACCACCAACTGACACCGACGGGTGGATAAACACCGCAGTTACAACTCTTCTTTCTCTAGCTCGTCTTAATGCCGGCCTATTTGTGGGTGATGCTGTTTCAAGAGCGTATATTGCTTGCGCGGAAAAGCTCTCTTCGAGACTTGGCCTACTACGACCGTTTATCGGAGTCGCGACCCTTCGAGCAATTGGCAATACTAATTTGTCCCCTGACTTAGAAGCCGAACCACTAGGAGATCTCGTCACAAGGATTCTATACAGACTACGCTTCACATCCGAACAATTACCCTTCGAGCCAACTTCACTCGCCTACCTTTTGCCATTGGCTGGKTTWGTATTGAGTCGAGATGGCATCGAAGAGCAAAAAGGAGAGGATGGCGGCGAACAAGTTCTATTGACACTAGAATTCCTGTCTTTTCACTCTTCTTCCTTTTCCGACACTAGGCTGCCCCGTCGTGAGGTCCTACAGCATCTCATTACGTCGCTGCACAAGTACTCGCAGCATTATAAATTAGTCAAGGATACGCTGCTCGATCTGTGCAGATGTATCTCCCAGAATATTTCAACGGAGGAACTCGAAGTTCTCTTTGAGGGTACGATTGCTCCGGATGTTTCAGTACGGACTGCGGTTCTTCAAGCAATTGAAGCTGAGATCGATTTAACAGACCTGGATTTCTCCGAGCATATCTGGCTGTGCTACCACGATCAGGTGGAGGAGAATGCAGAGATCGCGGAAGCTATCTGGGAGGACAATGCCCTTGATGTTGACGAAACGTCGTATCTGAAGATTCTCAAGTATCTGGATGTTAAGGACGGTCAGCTTCGAGGTGCCGCGGCTCGAGCTCTTGCACATTCTGTCGAGCTAAATCCCTCAACATTCGACGTTGTCCTTTCTGGCTTGCAGTCTAGATACTCGGACGAAGTCAAGCCAAAGGCTCCCGGCAAAGACAAATATGGAATGCCCTTGAAAGCCGACGTAACGGACGTTTGGGAAATCAGAAGTGGTATCGCTTTGACCTTCAAAGCGATGACAAAACTTTTTGAGAAAGATCAGATTGTGTCATTCATGAAATTCCTGATAGACAATGGTCCCTTGGTTGACAAAAACGCCCTGGTCAGAGAGCAAATGGCAGATAGTGGCAGATTGATCATTGAGCAGCGAGGACAAGATAAGGTCGAGGAACTAATGACCTTGTTCGAAAAGACACTCGAAACTTCCGACAAGGCCACTGAAAGCTCTGACTGGCTCAATGAGTCCGTCATCGTACTTTATGGATCCTTAGCAAGACATCTAAAATCCAAAGACTCGCGATTGGATACAGTTATCAAGAAATTACTTGCCGCTCTTCCCACGCCATCGGAGATGGTTCAATCGGCGGTGGCTGGGTGTCTTCCTCCCTTGATTAGATTGTCCGGCCCCGCTGAAACCGAGGGCTACGTCAGCCAGCTGCTAGACCAACTTGTTCAGTCCAAAAAGTATGCATCGCGACGTGGGGCAGCGTATGGACTCGCTGGTATCGTTCAGGGTAGAGGTGTTGCAGCCCTCCGAAAGTACCGTATCATGTCGTCTCTCACAGATGCACTCGACAATAAGAAAGACCCGAACCAACGTCAAGGAGCTCTTTTGGCTTATGAGCTCTTCTCTGCTGTGCTTGGAAGAGTCTTTGAACCCTATGTGATTCAAATCGTGCCCCATTTGCTGACAAGCTTTGGCGATCCTAGTATCGACGTGAGAGACGCCTGTCTCGACGCCTCTAAAACCTGCGTTGCAAGTTTGAGTTCCTATGGTGTGAAGCAGATTCTTCCGACACTTCTTGAAGGTCTTGATGACACACAATGGCGTAGTAAAAAGGGAGCTTGTGATCTTCTAGGTGCTATGGCATATCTTGATCCTCAGCAATTGGCCATCAGTTTGCCAGATATCATTCCTCCACTCACTGTTGTACTGAATGACAGCCACAAAGAGGTTCGCAACGCGGCCAATCGCAGTTTGCAGCGTTTCGGTGAGGTCATCAGCAACCCCGAAGTGAAAAGCCTGGTTGGAATCCTTCTCAAAGCTCTTAGCGATCCCACGAAATACACGGACGAAGCATTGGACTCGCTTATCAAAGTGTCATTCGTCCATTACCTTGATGCCCCTTCGCTTGCTCTTGTTGTTCGTATATTGGAGCGTGGACTCAGCGATCGATCAAACACAAAACGCAAAGCTGCTCAAATTATCGGCAGTCTTGCCCATTTGACCGAGAGAAAGGATCTTATTTCTCATTTGCCCATTTTGGTCGCTGGCTTGCGTCTGGCAATTGTGGATCCCGTTCCTACTACACGAGCCACCGCTTCCAAGGCTCTCGGATCTCTCATTGAGAAATTGGGAGAAGATGCCCTTCCAGACCTTATCCCGAGTCTCATGTCCACCCTCAAGTCGGACACTGGAGCCGGCGACCGACTGGGATCTGCTCAAGCTCTTTCGGAAGTTCTCGCTGGTCTCGGAACAACGCGTCTCGAGGAAACCTTGCCCACTATTTTACAAAATGTTTCCAGTTCCAAGCCATCTGTCAGAGAAGGTTTCATGTCATTGTTCATTTTCTTGCCGGCTTGCTTCGGCAACAGCTTCGCTGCTTATCTCAACAAGATCATTCCACCGATTTTGGCGGGTTTGGCTGACGATATTGAAGCAATCCGTGAGACGTCTTTGCGAGCAGGTCGTCTCTTGGTCAAGAACTTCTCTTCCAAAGCCATTGATCTCCTTTTGCCTGAATTAGAGCGCGGCTTGGCCGACGACAGTCACAGAATTAGATTGAGTTCAGTCGAACTTGTTGGAGACCTTCTTTTCAATCTTACTGGTATCACCAACAAGGTCGATGCTGAGGAACAAGAAGAAGGTGCAGCCCAGGCTGGCCAATCTTTGCTCGCAATTCTCGGGGAAGAGAAACGAAACAAAGTGTTATCTGCTCTCTATATTTGCCGCTGCGATACATCTGGCTTGGTAAGAAGTGCAGCTATCACAGTCTGGAAAGCTCTTGTGGCTACGCCTAGAACACTTAAGGAATTGGTGCCAACTCTCACACAACTCCTCATTCGCCGTCTTGGATCATCCAACATGGAACAGAAGGTTATTGCAGGCAACGCACTGGGAGACCTCATCAAGAAAGCTGGTGAAAGCGTCCTGGCTACTTTGTTGCCTTCACTTGAGGATGGACTCAGAACATCAACCGATGTGGATGCCAGACAAGGTATCTGTATTGCACTTCGGGAATTGATTACCTCGGCGTCGCCAGAGGCCTTGGAAGACTATGAGAAAGTCCTCATCTCCATTGTGCGGGTTGCCCTGGTTGACAGCGACGCGGAGGTTAGAGAGGCTGCAGCTGAAGCATTCGATGCCTTGCAACGCATTCTAGGCAAGAAGGCAGTCGATCAAGTACTGCCATATCTTCTGTCTCTTCTCAGGAATGAGGAAGATGCAGAGCAAGCTCTATCTGCTCTGTTGACTCTGCTTACCGAAACCACACGTTCGAGCATTATTCTTCCTAATCTAATCCCCACGCTGATTACATCTCCAATCACTGTCTTCAATGCAAGGGCACTCGCATCTCTGGCAGAAGTTGCTAGTTCCGCCATGAACCGTCGTCTACCCGCAATACTCAATGCCCTCATGGATGAAATGATATCAACTAAGGACGAGGAACTCCGATCAGAACTTAGCACCTCTTTCGATACCATCCTCGTCTCTGTTGATGAATACGATGGTTTGAACGTTGCTATGAACGCCATGATGACATTAATGAAACATGACGATCACCGCCGGCGAGCAAATGCTGCTGAACGCTTGGCTAAATTCTTCTCCGATGCTGAGATTGATTATTCAAGATATCACCAAGACCTGATTCGCGTGTTCCTCATTTCGTTTGATGACAGAGACAAGAATGTTGTCAAGGCTGCCTGGTCTGCACTTAGCCAATTGACATCACACATGCGCAAAGAAGAAATGGAACTATTGGTGGTTTCTACACGGCAGACCCTGCGGCAAGTTGGTGTCTCTGGAGCTCCTCTTCCAGGTTTCAGTTTGCCCAAGGGTATCATGGCAATTTTCCCTATCTTTCTCCAAGGTTTACTCAATGGAAATACCGAGCAGCGAACGCAAGCTGCATTGGCTTTTGCAGATATCATTGACAGAACTGCAGCGGATTCTCTCAAACCATTCGTCACTCAAATCACCGGTCCTCTTATTCGTGTTGTTTCTGAGAGATCTGTGGATATCAAAGCAGCAGTCTTCTATGCTCTCAACAAGCTTCTAGAGAAGATACCACTAGCTGTCAAACCTTTCTTGCCCCAGCTTCAACGCACTTTTGCCAGAGGTTTGGCAGACACCACCAGCGAAACTCTACGAAATCGGGCGGCCAAGGGTCTGGGTATATTGATTACTCTTACGCCTCGTGTGGATCCTCTTGTTGCGGGTATGTTTTGTTTGAAAATATTGTTATCGATTTTGTCACTAACCTCTCGCAGAATTGGTTACCGGCTCCAAGACAGATGATGACGGAGTCAAGAACGCCATGATGAAGGCACTTCTTGAGGTCGTGGACAAGGCAGGTGGTAGCATGAGCGAGGCATCAAGGAACGCAGTACTCGCTCTTATAGATGACGACAGTAGCGACCGTACAGGTATGATAGTAACTCATTTAGTCGAGTTGGAAGTTTCTAACAGTATACAGATGCAATGGCCATGACCAACGCCAAATTGCTCGGTGCACTGGTGAAGAGCCTACCCGCGGCCACAGCTATACCATTGATTAAGTATGTGCATTTTCTTTCACAAAATCGAGAAATCATACTGACTGTAACCTGTAGATCTCGGGTGTTGACTACAAACTTCTCTCATGCTTCTATTCTGGGCTTGAACGCTCTTCTTGTGGAGGCTCCAAAGATGCTGCTAGAGAATTTCGCGACCGAGACGCCGTCATTGATCTGCCAGGGAGTGTCAAACTCGGATGTATGTGACTTTAACCTTGATTTACTCAATACTAATGCTAACCCTCTATAGCCCTACGTATCCGATAACAGCGTCCTGGCAGCAGGAAAATACATTCTTGCTGAAAGCGAGAATAAAAACTTCGAGTCAACAAAAACTGTCTTCGATAGCCTTGCATCAGTGATACCCTCCGGCCATCCAGCAGATACTAGACGTCTCGCTCTTGTTGTCTTGCGCACCATAAGCCGTCTCCATCCCGAGTATACCAGGCCACACCTCGCACAACTCGTGCCGCCAATTTTCAGCAGCGTTCGTGACCCAGTTATCCCTGTGAAGTTGGCCGCTGAAGCTGCTTTCCTTGCGATCTTTGACGTGGTGGAGTCCGAGAGCGCTGTTTTCGACAAATATATGGCTGGACCGGGTGCGGAACTACCTGCGGGCCCGAAACGAAGCATCTCGGACTATTTCAAGCGTGTTGCACTTCGACTAGCTACTCAGGCTCGCGAAAGACGAGAAGCAGAGGGCGGCCAGGGTGGTTTAGGACTTTCTAACGATGAGGTCGAGGATGAACGGGAACTATGGAGTATAGGAAGGGTTGACTTGGGCCAGGACAGTTTTGGGGTTGAGTGATGTGACGACATGATGAGTGTATATTTTTCTTTACATAGTTATGAGGCAAAAGTTGGGTTCAATTCTTTAACATGCTCAAGAGTCGACTGTCTTTTGATATGTAGATAAGACATATGATTGGTGGTGGTATGGCGCTAAACTGTATCTGGACATGAAAAGGCATGATTGTGATCTTGATTGCCCACTGCAATTACTTCAACTCTTGCAAAGTGTAGTCTTCCAACATAGAAGACCGAAATATCGTATTCCTTCTATGATTAATATGAGTAAGCATCACTCACAATGACTGATCGTGAAGCAGTCGAGATGAACAGGAGTCGTCGGTCGTCCTAAAACAGTCTAGCGGGTGGGGTTGAAGCCCTAAGGTGGATGCTTCTGCGGTTCGCTTAGCAATTACCTAAGCAGCACCCGCTCCGTCCAAGGCTATCCTCAAACTCCCTCGCTGAAATCGCCCGCCGTCAATCGATCCGTCCGACGAACTTTTTAACGCCAAACGACCGTCGACACGCCGACATCAAGATGTGAGTATATACCAGGAAAACAATCTTTACGACGAAAACTGTTGCCCACGATTCTTCAGCCGATGCATTTCCGTCGATAAGTCGATGAATTCGATGGTTTCAACTTTTTCTCGATGCATTGAAAAGGCGAGCCGAGACTGATATTTTTCTTCTCTACAGGGTCAACCTCACCACCCAGAAGCGCCTTGCGGCGTCCGTGATCGGCTGCGGTAAGCGCAAGGTCTGGCTCGATCCTAATGAGATGAGCGAAATCTCCAACGCCAACTCTCGCCAAACTGTCCGCAAGTTGGTCAGCGATGGCTTGATCATCCGCAAGCCCGTCACCATGCACTCTCGCGCCCGTGCTCGTGAACTCAACGCCGCTCGCCGAATTGGTAGACACCGTGGTTTGGGTAAGCGCAAGGGTACCAAGGATGCTCGTATGCCCAGGTATGTTTGTTGCTAGGTCTACAATGAGGGATATTTTCAAGGGGATGGATATCTAATACTGTTTGTCTACAGCCAAGTTCTCTGGATGCGTCGCCAGCGTGTTCTCCGCCGTCTCCTCGTCAAGTACCGTGCCTCCGGCAAGATCGACAAGCACCTCTACCACGAGCTCTACCACTTGAGCAAGGGTAACACCTTCAAGCACAAGCGTGCTCTCGTTGAACACGTTAGTTTTGTCCCCTATCTTTCAATCGGATATACTATAGGGATCGCGAGCAGATTTATTGACATGCCGAAAACAGATCCATAAGGCCAAGGCCGAGAAGCAGCGTGAGCGTGTCCTCAAGGAGGAGATGGACGCTAAGCGTGCCAAGACCAAGGCTGCCCGTGAGCGACGACAGGAGCGTATCCTCGCCAAGCGAAATGCTTTGACTGGTGAGGAGGAAGCCCAGGAGTAAATTCTGTAGGGTTGGACCTGGTTGTGTGAGAGAAGAGTGGAAGTTCCGAGCGAGGCGGGAAACAAGATACACAAAGTGAATACCCCCATTAGTGTTTTAAAAGAAGCAAATTACACTATTGGCAAATTTACTTTTCGTCAAGAAAATACCCAAATGAAGAAGGTCGCGAAGAAAGCTAGAACTTTCTTGTCATTTGGGTAAAAGCCCTCTTATCTTTATTTTTTTTTAACGACGGCAGGATCGGAAATTCTTTGCATTTGGGGTTTTTGTTTTGTTTTAAAGCAAGTACGAAAAGAAGAAATGAAACAAAATGAAATCTTTCCAAGATGAATGGTCTATCTTTATCAGACATGCTGTATGACCTATTCCCTCTTCCTGTCTTTACGCCCTCGAACTCGACTTTGTGTTGAATATAAGATGACTGCAGATAATTGTCCTCACTACGTATAATAATCTCGATAATGAGTTGCGTCATGACTTTGTGCCACAATGTACCACGTACCGAGGTACTAAACGCAGAATAGACGGCGTACGTTCTCAACCGTCGTGCTCAGTCATCAGTCGAGGGTGTGTAAACTGTGAATATCGTATTATTCTCGAGAGAACGTAACAGATCATATAGATTACAGTAGTCGTAGTTGTTGTCATTTGCATTTACCAGACACAGCTGGTGTCTACATCTAGCTTGAACTTGGTACATTTGAAGCAGTGTTTCGATGGACGTAGCATGTTGGTATCAAATCTTTAGGGTACAGTAAAGGATCAAATCAAGATATGTAAAAATGGAATATAATCAAAACGCCACCTCCCCTGTCCCAAACACGGCATAGTGGCATTAAGTAAAACGATTGGTATGTACAAACAGTAAGTCCAAGGGCGTTAGAGCGTTTTCGTTTATATAATCAGATTTTCATCACGAAACATGTCGTGGGAAGTTGAAGTCCAAGTCTGCGAAGTATCCCCCCTTTTGAGACTTTTGTCGTTCAACCATAGGGGTCGGATGAGCCGAGGAGTGAATAGTGGGTGGTCTCTCTAGATCAAAGGGGTCGCTGTAGGTACTGCTTCGATCTTCGGTTTTCATTGATTTTCGATCAATTGACTTCCAGGTCGGCGGTCGAGAATAGAATTCATGCACTAGGGGTGAAGATGAACGAGTGTTCGGTATGTTGAGGGTCGATCCACTGAGTGTGCTTCGAGTACTATTACGGTCTCTGTTATTGACGCCGTTGTTTGTGGCATCCATATCGTCGTCGTCCACACCACCATTCCGTATCGTCAGCGGCATTGAGAATGCTATCTCGTCTTCGTAGTCTGTATGAGAGAATGGATCCGCCGAATCGGCAAATGGGTTCTCTGGTCGAGTGTTGTTTCGTTCTGTTTCTGTATTGGTCGAAGGAGGATCCGCGAACGGATTGGCAGACTCTGTAATTGTTCGTGGAGCAGAGGACATGCCTGCTCCCTGCATTGAGTTCTCTTGTGGGTCAGGACGACTAACAGACAACTTTCTTGCAGTAAAGTCAGGCTGCGATTGCTCAGGGGAGTCGTTATCTTTGTTTCGTGACATAAATTGAAAGTTTCGAAGATTTGCAAAGACCGGTCGAACTTTGTCGATGATAGCAGGTATAAATGCTGCCACAGGTCCCGGGTTGAATCTATCAAGCAGACTCGTAACCCCCGGGAACCGTCCAGCCATACCCGGGCCCTTCTCTCTGTCATGAAATTGGGTTGATGTACGTCGTTTACGTCGACGAAAGTATGCGCAAAGAATGACCAATGCGACAACGGCTACAGCACCTAGAGAAGCTCCAATAGCAGCCGCAATCACATTTTTCTTCGAAGTATTGCCCGCCGAATCTCCCGCAGTATCGTCTGGTGATGTTTGTGTTGATGAGGGGTCTGCGCTTGAGGATGTTATTGCTGGTAAAAGGGTCGCTGCTGCAGCGGTTATGGCTATATGACATTAGCCATGGTCATTCCTAGCGTCAACACAAAGATAAGAACATACTAGTGGATGTGGCCAAGATCGTTGTCGCAAGTGAGGTGATGCTGGATACGGGGTGTGAATCCGTGGATTGTGCAATTGTTGAGATAAGGCTGGTACTAGGTGTGTCTTGAATAGTTGATGTACTGAAAGAAGACAAGACGTCAGGAAGATCAGCAGTCTCTGTTGCAGCTGAAGTCGATGTCGCTGTAAAAAATTGCGTCCTTGGAATCACGGTGCATCTCCTTCCACTAAGCGTTGTGATCGAAGTTGCCATTTCTAGTCTTGATATCCGGCCGTGTGTCGTTCAAATCAGCGTGTTGTGTGATCGCACTTGAAGAGAATCCGATCACTGTTGAATCATATTGTGCGAATATACATTACAGGATACCTGCCATGCGTCGGGAATGAGAGTGTTGCCAAGTATCAAAAGTGATGAAGCGAGGAAGACGTGTTGCTACAGATACAATCCGACTGTCTCGTCGAGCTGTCGAGCCCGGCTCGGCTACGCGCATGACGCAGAGGCTTGTCCGGCTCAAGACTTGGAAGCGTGTAAGGGTATAATGTTTCAGAAGCGCGATAGTGAAGCACGGAGAGTATTGGGGGTTCTCAGGGGGTGTCAGTGGCCATGCGGCCGTCACATTGCGGACGTCCACCAGTAATACCTCCTCCACGAAGTACTATTCTTGGAGAGTAGCCATGACGATGACTGGCCAGTAGCCACCATGCATCTTGTGAATATACCGTAGCCCGGCGCATATAGCATGGAGACAGTCGCTGAGGACGATTGACTGGAGGTGGCATGTTGAAGCGTTCCTGGAGGAAGGCGGCTATGGGCTTGCTTCTGCCCAATCAGAAGCCACAACTTGAAACCCCAGACGTTTCGGGGCTCTCGTCACGTGCTTCTCCTGCAACATCGACAACTTGTCACTTTCTTAGTATTTGGTTAGACAGTTCCTGCAGTACTCATAGTAGAAGCACAGGTGCGGAAAAGTCAAGCATCCTGCCTTGGGATGCTGTAGTCGGTCCGAAGCGGTTCGGGCGGTTTCATGTAGTCGGTGAACATGTAGATGCAGAAGTGTAAAGCTATGGCATGGTGTCTACCCCATTACATTAGGTAGAATAGAACAGCGAGTATCATGAAAGAGATGACAACACTCAGAACAGCATACTGGAAGTACACGCAGGTTGATAGTTGTATCGCCCACGAATGAGAGAATCATGGTGGAGGAAGGGAAGGTGGATCGACCGGTGCGACCCGTTGGAGCTTCCCCACCAAACAATTCGTCCTCTCTCAACATCCAGGAACGACCAATGGTCATCAGAATAGCCATAGCTGAAGCAAATCTGTCCGAATCAATTGGCTTCCTGTCCTGTAGCATTAAGAATCAACTTGCTATGTGAGGAAGGTCGTTTTACATCACTCAGAATGTTCGCGTGGGCAGCTGCAGGCAAGTTTATATCTATTTCCTGCAAGGCATCTATGTCACGAACGCCACTCACAACAGACAGAATGCTTTTTAATTTCATACTAACAAGCTAAATCAGGAGCCCAGTCGATGGGAATTGACACCGACCAGGAACGAGATCCACCAGCTTCTCCAACGCCACTAGAATTCCCTCAATATGTCGGATTCAATGACATAGACGCTCAAAGTACAACAGACTTTCAAACCATCTACCGGAATCTCTTAACACTCAGGAAACCTCAGGACATTACAATTGATCATGTTAGGGCCTTGAATCTGAGAATCGAGACGGACGTAGAGGCTCTTCAGATCATTTCTGATGAGGATCTACAAGGTCTACCCCCATTGATCTGGGATAGAATGAACGATGATGACGAAAAAAATCCATCTGAAGCCCCTAAGATGGCAAATGGCGTCCCTTACCCACCCTACGAAAAATACGAAATTGTCATGAAGGAACTATTGATCGACAGTGATGATGCATTCAGAGAGGCTGCAAGAATGCCACCCAAGCCCGGACGCGATAGAGTGCGATTGACTCAGACACGGAAATTCTGGTCAGGACTTGAGCGGATGGCGCAGTATTGGGACACCAGCCAGGATGAATATTATGAAAGACCGGTTGCAGCTAAACCGGAGAGCAGTCAAATTGTCAATGATACCCAGCAGCAAGAACCTTCTTCGGAAACAAGCGTCAGTAGCCCGATGGACATGAGTGAATCACCGACTGAGGAAACCAAAACCTACGAACGTGTCTACAAGGGGAGGCGTGTTGGTACAGGAAGTGAAATGCCGTCTGATATCCGTGAAGATACGATGAGAGGACTTATCGAGATGGTTGCATGGCCTTTTCAATGTCAGGCATCTGTGCCTGCAACGCCGCCAAGGTTGAATGTCCAAGGTCTACTATTCCCCGTACGCCATACGTTGATATCTGGCAGAGTACCCCAGGATCGCCAGGCTGCACGAAGCGGGATACTAGAGGGACCCTTACTAGGCGTTCAATGTCGGGAGGAAACAAAATTCATCACAGAAGAAGTAGGATCTTGGAGCAAAGAGTATTGTGACTTGTTCCGTGAAGTCGGTGCTATGCTCCTATTAGCTCAAGAACGTGCTCGTGAAGGCGAGGTTGAGGTCAAACCGGGAGAGGGCAAATGGTGGACCACAGTTCCTCGATTTGGTGGTGCTGAACATGAAGGTGTCACGGGCGAAGCAGCAAATTCGGATAATGCAAAAGAGAAAGAAGAGCAAAAGGACAATGACAACAACCAACAAAGTGTGCATAAGCGTTCTCGCTATACAAATCCTCTCATTTCTTCACGGCGGGCAGTGCGAACACGAAGATTGACGCCTAGCGAGAAATGGAAGGTTATCGGACCTGGGGCTAGTTTGTGGGATAAAAGAATGAAGTATATGCAGATTGGAAAGCCAAATGGCAGTCCATATGACGACGTAAGTTGCGTCACAACAAACTGAGATTGCTTATGCTTAGCTAACTCGCTATCCAAGATCTACATGCTTTCGTGTATCAATCACCATGTCTCTATCTTGCATCTTAAAGTCCATCGACGATACATTGACTGTCTCACGACAGGTGAGAGTGCTTTGAGGGATCAGGGTACTCTGGAACAACCTTGGAACATTCTCAAACTACGTCGAACCAAGTGGTATGATTTGTTGGATTCAGAGCAACGACTTGAAGTATTTCACAGTCTTTGGAAGTTGTATCACTATATTATGAAATGATGTATTCGCTCCAAACCTAAAAAAGGACTATGGCGCTGTTCAAGGCCCCATCTGACAAAGGCAGAAGGTTTATGAAATGGCATTCACTGCCACTACCACTAGCTCATGGAACCGAAAAGTGTACATAGCCATTTGATGTCATCAACAGTCAGCTTCTTGTTGAACGACCTATACTCAGCACGCAATCAAGCCCCTGGAATATTAGATTTATTCGGGTTGATCCATTCCGTCAGCGTACAACTCAATACCTGACTTTCATTCATTCAATGTTAAAATAACATTTACAAATCCATAATTTGCAATATAGTTCAGTCTTACCGGAAAGATATGCTTATTCAAGCTCACACTCGCATTGCCTAAGAAGTAAATTTCTTATCCAGCTACGTGCCTATCCTTACTGCTTTAGACAATACTCGTCTCGAGTCGGTCTGAAAGCATGTAACTAGAAGCCTTTTGGACGCAATGGAACTACTACAGAGCACATCCTGCCCTACCAAGATACCCAAATAGGGGTAGAGGCATCGACGGAATACTAAACCGTTATCACATACAAACATGTTTTCAATGCGCATTGTCCATGATTGACCGATAGTTCCGGCCGTTTGTATCTTTCCGAATTCTGTTGTGGTGGTTACCATCATCTGTTTGTCGCAATCGGAGTCTTTCGGACGGAATGCTTCGTCGTATGCATAATACCGGAAGTATGGGAATGGTGACTATTCGTGGAGCTGGTTTCATTTGCCTCTATCTCGCTAATTTACGCAACAATTCAAAAGACTAGATAAACGATTGGAGGAAAATCAAAATTAAAATCAAGTAGAAGTGTTTGGCTGGACATAATGGTTCGGGACACTAACTAGACCAGACCGAATGACAATATTGCGTTTGAAGCTACGTTTGACAAACGCTTTTTGCTCACCAGTAGCTACATTACTTGCCAGATAGAGTATTGTTTTTTATTTGATTCCGGATTGTTTGCTGCTGGTGACTATCTAAGGGCTACACATCTAAATTCGGAGTACATCTTCCTCCTGAAGAGCGGCTCCTAATAGTCACCCCGCTAGCAATATTGCAAATATTTTCATGTTGAGGCGTAGCAAGCGACACCGATGATTACCACGTTTTCCATGTACAACCTGAAATGCACAGAGAGATGAAGATAGCATCTCTCACCGGCTGTGTTATGTGACCTACTTACGTGCTACAGGTATCTCTTTCGAGAAGGCCTGATATCTCATCACAAGCCCAATCATCCATGTGCGCACCATCACCCACCGCTCTTTTAGTTCTAATCTAAACCACAACTATTCCCTGAGAGACTAATGCTTGCCGCGAGAAACGAGTATATGGAAATATATTTTTTCTTATCCGAGCCTGAAATCATCCCCACCCCCGGCAGAGGAGAAATTGCAGACGTAGGACGAGATTTGTCGAAATAGAAACAAGATAAATTTTTTTCCTGATAATGGACAGACATTATTCACCTTCCTCTTGACTATTGTTTGCCCCTTCAAACAAGAAAAGATTGAATGAGCTGCATTAAGGCGCATGAGGCATCTCATGCATATCTACGTGTGTACCTTCTTACATGTATATGCAGTGCCAACATTTGAAATAGGAGCGAATCTCGTCTGTGGAATGTAAAGATGCGTGAGCTAGCTACTTGACTTACATATACGTGTACACAAAGTTGTGGAATTTCATGCAGGGCTCAGCCCTTGGCTTTCCCTCATGATTGCACATTTAAAGGGTTTATCCATGGTATATCCTTGCCCTGCTGTACGGTGTAGTTGCTAGCCCTAAGACACAACACACCAGTCCCTGCCTGAGTAGGTAAGGGTAAACGATTTCCAACGCTATGTAAGCCTGAGGGATTAAATGAACGGGTATCTGAGCGTACATATGTATATATTACATTCAGATGTATTTAGTATGTACGCCTGACGCTAAAATCCAGAGTTTTTCAAGGAAGCTTCATACGATGCGATTCGCAATCGTGGCACAATTGGCATGTCCGATTTGTAGCGGTCAACCAAGATCGATACGAAGCCATTGTTTAATAGCGAGATGTAGGCAGAGTATGACCATTTTACTCAGTCCAGATTGCAATAGTGGTTACATAAGACATAGTTGAACTATTTAGAGATCGTCCCGTCTTGTTATCACCCCTGTCAGTTGTGTTTCGGTGTGGAATATTTAGGGTTACCCCGCCGAATGCTCCCCTCATTCTGTACATCATTCTGGGCGAATCCTGGGCGACATTATGTATGTGATGGAACTATTCGATGGAAGAGAACTTCCTGGCGATTGCCAGAGTCCTGACATCTCATGATTGTCAAATTTCGCAATATCAAGTCGTGAGTCGTGACGTTGAGATAATGTCAAACCTTACATTCCACCTCCAAGCCAGCGACTCAATCTAAGCAACGCCTCGAGCACATCCCGAAACATCCATGATTAACCTCCAACGGCCCGAGCGACTCACATACATCAATCGTCTGGAAGTATCCTGATCTTCGTTCTTATTCCACCCTCAAAAAGTGGCTGGGCAGCCTGGAATGTGAGGGKCTGTTGGAAAAGCAAGATAACGGTGTAGGGTAGGTAGCACACATACTTTACGTGCTTACAAGGTATATCCCTGTCGGTGTCAGAGACAGCATTGACAACAACAGTGAGTTTTGAATGATCATTGGACGCACCGCGCGTTCTCAGTAAATGTAGTAAAGTGATTTTCGCATTTCTAGTACGTACGGAGTTGCTCGGCCTAGACCCAACAATATTCCAACTTAGGGTTTACGGTTACCTCCTTTGGCTCAGGCCGGGAAAACGGGAACATAATAGGGCAAGTGTATGATAAAATATCAACGCTATAATATAGGTTAAACGACTCACTGACCATCCCTGACTCAAATCCGTCAAATCATGAATGCCTGTCGATTGACTCGGTTCAAGTGACAGCAGCAAAAGAAACGAAGGAATAAAAGCCATGGCTGGATCAAATGAGCGAAACTGGGTTGCAAATCGGAGCCTGTGCACACTGAACCTTCCGCTGTCAAAGCTATCTTAACTAAAAGAGTTACGGAGTACGGGCCCGCTGGCGATCAGATCTTACTCTTTATTCGATACGATTTTCAGAGGCGACAGGGATCGCCAAGTTTAACATCTTGCATTATACAGTAGTACGTACATACATAGTAACTATATTGGTTATGTAACTCGGTAATCGGTAAATTATGATGCAGGTTAGAGGTCAGATCACATTTCATTAGCGAATATCACTTACGAAGGAATACATGTATACACGTAAATTTATACGGAGAAAATAGGTACCATCGCACATACCTCTTACTTCCCGATGTGATGATGTGACGGATGTGATCTATCGAGTTGAGGTGTAAGGAACTGTCTGTTACGACTTGCGAGATTACAGCTTACAGGAGATGTATTCCGTACTGTACGCAATTCTACATACTTATTACAATTGAATTGAAATTGAAATATCGAGTACAGAAATACGCTGTATTTTTAGATATTACCAGCTGACCTTGGGATATACTCAGTTCCGACAGAACGATCCGGGTCAAGCACCCAGTGCCGCCTTGCATGATCCATGTTAAATAAAGAACATACAAGATCCTAAACGAATCTTTAGTATTCCTTCAATGTGGGCACTGAAATCTACTATTGGTTAGTCTTCCTAAGTACAATCCTTTCGAGTCACAATCCAAGGTCACAACAAAGGAATTGAGGCCTAGTAGTAACATGGACTCCTCCCGCTTCGAAGGATCCGTCAAAGAACTAACCGTGTACAATGTAATATGAAATTTCGTTATGAGTGTCAAATACAAGTCTCGGATCGTTGAGCCATGTCTAGATAGGGCGTCACGCATGCAACGTGAATCAATGCGGTTACTGTCTTTGTCCTGAGTCGTTTCTTAACTTATGATTCCTTCCGCCTGATATGAGCCGCTTGAATGTGTCGGGGCTTTCCACTCACTTGGAGTCGAGGGGATTATACTTTCGACATTTGATACGTACATACGTACGTGATTGGAGAAGCCATCTTGGTGAGACACTGAGATGAACAAAAATTACCCGATCAAGTAATACATCGGAGAAACCCCATCCAAGCCTTGGAAGTTGGAAGTCAACCGCATTCTTAATGCATGATGCATATCAGATGGTATGACATACGTACAAAAAACCTTCACTGTGGCGAAATGCCCATCTTATCAAGTCATCCCTAGTTAGCACTCTCAACAGACAATGAATGGTCGAGTCAGTCGTTGACTGCCGCCTTGCTTGAATGAATGTTATGCAGTGCAGTGCATCGCAGTGCAGGTATGTATTTCGATCTGATCAAGTGATCCATGCTTATCGACGCAGGGCATGTCGCTATCAGACTATCGATTGGAATGTGAGGCAGCAACAGCACGTGATGATTCCACACCGAATGTTCGAAGAGTCAAGATCGAAAATACAAAAGTACGTAGTAATTAACCCGAGGGCTCGAAGGAATGATACAAAGTCACGGCACGGGAAACTATCTAACGGACCATCCCATCCAGTCATAATCTAGATCGTGAGCACACAGAATCCTTCAGAGAATGCAGGGGCGACTCTATGTAGTTACAGTCAGCATTCAGAAAACTCCGTACATGGCAAATCGCACTCATCATCTCGACTCCTGTCAGATGACCGTCCCATTAATTCCAAGCGAAAGGGACTAGTAGCGTACTATGTGGGTATTGCTGTTCCTTGGTAACTGCAGTTGTCCGTAATGGGTATTGTACATCGTAGTAGAGTTTAGCTCCTGACGAATCTCATGTCATTGGTGAAGGCTGGTGTATTTTCCGTGACGGGATGAGGCTGTTGTATGGTAAGTTGTGTTACAGTTCTATGTATGTATGAAAAGTGGTATCTTACCGGACTTGTATGATCGTATTGTATTTGATGTCTTATATGGATCAGAGCTGGCATTGCTCCAAAGCTGTTTATGATCTCAAAGATCCAGTGTGCTATTTACAATCACATTCAATGAAAGACATCTTATCAACTCTTGTGTGTATGTAGTACTAATTATGGACAGCAACGAATACATCACACGTACTACGTAGCCTACAAATCCCGAACTCCATATCTCGCTCCTGTAACTAAACTCCTAGGCAAATAAGTGTAAGATTCCTCCTGCACGCTAGGCGCGGGAACAGCACCAATGCCATGGTAAACCACCCATACTAACCCAAGCCTAACAAACCCTAACGCCAACCAACCCTTGTCCTCCCAGCCAATGATCTTCCCAAATCTCGACATCTTCGCAAGTTCGCTGTGGGACGGAATATTCCGTGGATMCCCCCTCGACGAGCCGGCAACACACCGAGTTTTTTGATTTGACCGGATCATGGATGACTCAATTTTTGGTCCTGCGCATTTGCCATTGAGGCGTCCCATGGCGGTGGGAAAAATTGGCTTTTGCGATTTGTGTGAAAGTTCATTACTTACAAATTTCCAGAGACTTCTTGTCGGTGTATAAACTTTATCTATCATTTCTGGTTTTTTTTTGGGCGACGTGAATGGGTCTTGATAGAATTTATTCTCCGTTTGGGTCGATTTCTATGTAAAACGTGCCATGGCTTGGAGACACGTATACACCCCTGGAATTATTACGTAGTATATTAGTATAACTTAATGGTACGTACGGAGTACGTCGTGTCTTGATTGCGGATCGGTTCGGCCCTTGAACCAGGATAACTGAACTAGCCAACCAACACTTTTGTACGTCGAAGATCTCCTATTTCCCGGTGGACGACTGATGGTCGGTAACCAATGACATCATGCCATCAATATCAAACTGTTTGTTAATGAGATTGTCGTTTATGACAACGGCAATGTTGAACGATCGTTTCCACCAAGTATGGAGAATCGAGGAGCAAAACAGAAAAATGACATACGTAGTAACGTACCTGAACACATGTCCGTATTAAATGACCAGGCGCTTGAACGCTTGTTGAATGAATAGTCCGTAACCTTTTCTCCGAGTAGATAGCTAGCACTGCGCCCTCTTCAAGCGGCTGGCCTAGTCAGTAGGCTCAGAGGCTGGCGTAACTCTTCAAGCTCCCAAAACTAGTGGCAAACCGCAGAATTATTTCTCGATAGAGCCAATCATCGTGGATCCTTCAAAATTATAAAAATAAATTCCAACACTGTCCCTTTCTGCTGGCATTAGTCCGTACCACGATCTCGGGTCAAACGCCCACATACGGATTACGTATTCTAGTACGCTCGTACGCGAGTAAGTAAGTTTCCAATACGTAACCACCGACTAAATTCGGCATATCTGTATTTTACCGTGTAATACCGAGAGTACTATCGGACGTACGTATCTGTACGAGAGTACCAATGGCTACCATGTCGCCTTACCCGCTCCTAACCGTGGGGCTGGAACCAATCAGGGACACAGAGATGCTTCAAGCGAGGTTGGTTGTGCTGTATATTTACCAATTTAGGTAAGGTGTATCTCACTTCGCCTTGTTCTGTCACCTTCGTGACTTTAGTATTTTTTGGGAATCGCGTAGTCGTAACTACTGTTTTACAAGATATGGGAAGTCGTAGAATTGTATGCCCTCTTCATTTTATGCTACACACTGTACACAGGCAAAGGCCATGCGACGGTTGTGTATCTTCAATTGTGCATGGTCTACCCTGAAGAAGCACGACCGATCCCCATCCCCCTGTCATTCTCAAATTGATACGTACCATAAAATAGGTTAGACTTATTAAACGCTTAATTAATCTACTCTAAGGACTCCACTGAGTCCACTCTTTGTCTTGCCGTAATTCCCGTCCCAAGAAATGTCAAGAGGGTGGACAAGGTTGCATTTCCTGGGTAGATTTGACTCGTCGACAATTGCTGAAATTCCCCTCAGATTGACAGTGACAGATCCGACGATCCAGTTTAATATGTACGACTGTATATGGATGTATGAGCTTGATGATGACTTCAGGGGCGGGATGTGTATCATACTACTACTACTATGGATACGTACCAAGGACTCGCTATTCTTCATACGAACACCGAGTACATACCACATTCATACAAAGATTGACGATATGATAGCGTTGACATCAACATGACAGTCATATTGTCAATACTGTCAATATACCAACATAATGATATTATGCCTCCTCCTTGATTTGGACTGTTGTTTGCTTTTTGTCAAACTGTCACACCCTCCCACGTGCTTTTCGTGACTTGTAGTGTCACAATCGGGCCGCAATGGGGAACTGTTAGGTGTAACCATACGATAGTAAGGATAGTTGATTAGCAAAAACTACTAACAATATAGAGCCTTTGGTCATTTGGCGACAGCAAGGTTCTTTGACTGACTCGACTACCTAAGCCATAAATATTGCGTTTAACGGCTACAATATAAAATACGAGCGCTGATTCGTATTGAGCAGTGTCACGAACTCGGGGCGCCTGCATTGAACTTATATTGAGCAGTTCAGAGGTCAAAACTAAGGTTTCTGCGAACCCGAGTGTCTGGTCTGGGGCCTGAGCTAAATTGATTCATGGCGTGCAAGAGAGACGGCACTTGGATCCTATTCCTGGGAGACACCGTCTTTGCTTGAGGATGTTTGACCGGGGTGTGGTGGGGGAGGGGAAGACTGCATACAGTGACTGTATGAGTATCATATCGTTCATGAATTGGCCTTCTCCTCCGGCCCATATACTAGTTACTCACGGAGGATGAGATTCAAACGAAAGCACCCCTACACTAAGCATAGTCGCATACAACTCTTTACGGAGTCTTGCATAACAAACAAACGCTATGCTGCGTGCAAGCCTTTTTCTTATTTCTTTTTCTAGTGGTCATTTGGCCATGATCTCAATCCGGTTTAAGGCTCGAGGCTAAGTCTCAAACTATCAGTCCGGATTTCCCGATTCTATCAGTTCCGTTTGCTTTCGCAATCACCAATACGAACCAAAGAGGACAACGAAGGGAACATCAAACTTCTGCCTTGGGCAGCTACTCAACCCTGTATAATTCGTTATAGTTGTTGGAAAATATAGACCCTCATGATCGTGAGGTTTTCAATCTGGCTACTATTGGTCTCGTTTACAATCAAGTGGTGTAGTCTTGTATCGCTGACAGAAGGAAGACGGACCACGGAACGTTGCTGATTGATCAGTTTCTCGTACGGAAAGCGTAATACACTGCCGTAACGTTCAGTGAAACGAATGATACAATCTAAACCAAGCTCTAGTCAACCCAGGCTAACCTGACTGATTAAGTTGAGTTGTTGTTCTCCACAGGCAATTTCCATAATCTGAGCTACTCATTTGCTAGAATTAGCAGCACGTCGTCAGTACACTTGCAATCTTGACAGTCCTTGCTCGACTTGGCCACTGCCCGCTGTATCAGTGGGTATCGCTACGGAACGGAGTGCGACATCTGGTAACCAGCAATACGCAGTACGTAGTAAGTAATGTATCCTTGCTGTTTTAACTAGTTAAACATCCTTTCCCTTTCCTCCCACTTGCTCAAACCCAATCGTGCCTGCCCTCCGCCTCATCACATCGATCATTTTTATTCCTTCCTTCATGTCCATACGCACCTAGAGATCATATCGTCTCTTTTGTCTTCTTATCCCTTGTGGAGTGCTCCATCTGCTTCTTGATTATTTACCCGGAGTTGGTGGTTATTTTACCCTTTTTCTTTTTTTCCTCCCTACGGAGTGCTCTCCACCCACTCGGTCTTCGTTTCTTTTTCCTCTATCGGGATCTTTTAGTCAACTTAGTCGCTCCAACTAAGTTATCGCGCGTTTGTCAGGAAGGAACCCTGCTCCTCCTACGAAGCTCCGCGATTTCCTTTCGCAGAACCCGACAAACACTTCGACTCACATCTGCTACAATTTGGCATACACAAAGAATATCCTCCGGAATTATTTCTTCTTGTCTTGATCCATATATACAGTAAGATATAATTTCTATTTATACAACACACTTCCAGTCCTACAGCTTGCTGGAATTCGGACGAGGCGCGGCGGGAAAGATTCCATTGGAAGATGAGAAAACATCAGACTAACCGAGCGATTCTTGTCGCTCTAGGGAAACAACCCTGACGAAATCGTTTGCTCGACCCCCAAGCATTTGTTACATACGCAGCTGTTTGGCTGCTCGATTGTTAGGTCGTTTGTCTCGGTCACTTACCGACGGATTCAGTTCTGCGTCGTTGCGTAACGCTCGGTATAAAGCGTTGTCGGGTCGTTGGCCGCTAGTTGCTGCAGTTCTAGACATGCCGTGGAAATAGACAATCACCAGTGCAAGACCTTGTGGAACTAAAGAAGGTTGCTATCGATACACTATATTTGTCTGAAGCTGGGATAATTGTGTGGAGGATTACTGGAAGCAGATGGCCGGATCGCCGTGACGCCTGATCCATTGCGACAATGGAGGCACCAATCCCGATGGACAACAAAGCAAAGAATATTCCTTATGGGACAATGATGCCACCCCTTCATCATCCTCAGACGCTTCACGGTCCTCCACCTGGTTTTCAGCCAACACCACCACCGCCGCACGATCAACCTCATGGGCTGCCCGCACCTATACCTCATACCAGTGCTTACGAATGGCGACAACAACCATACCCTCCATCGCACTATGAAGCTGCTGCTCAGCGTCGCCATTCAAATCCAATCGCCCACCCTCCGCCACAGTCGCAACCGCCTGGTCCAGGACCTCCCCCTTCGCATTCCCACGCCCCTTATCCTCCACCACCACCACCACAACACCCTCCCGCTCAGCCGCCAAGTCGAGAATTACCTCAACCTCCGCTAGGGGATCCATACCATCGTCCAAACAGCCTACCAGCTCCCGCGCCATCGCATTCAGTATCAGAGCCTCATTCTCCTCGACCTTATAGACCTATGAATGGCGCACAACCTGAGCCTACCCCGCATTCCGCGCCTCCTCCCAGTGATTATAGAACGTCGCGCATACCTTACGCCGGCCCTGGAGAGCCTCCAGCGCCGGGAATCACTAACGGCGAACATACTGGCCCGCCGCCGGGCTACTTGCAACATGCCCCGCCTCATCACGGTCAGGCTCCTCCAGGAGCTATGTATGATGGTGGTATTGTACCTTATCCACGTCAGCGAAAAGCTGCCAGAGCTCAACAGGTATGATCTTTTGTCTCGTTAGACTTTGAATGCATTTTAATATCGCGTAGGCTTGTGATCAATGCCGAGCACGCAAAGCCAAGTGCGATGAAGGTCGCCCGGCATGCAGCCATTGTAGGGAAAACAACATTGAGTGCAAATACAAAGACATTCCTCCACAGAAGTAAGTCATCTTGAACGAGATAGTGGTCTAACTAGGGTATCTACTGATAGCCCGCCTAGGCAAGAAAAGTCCACCCAGTTGGTCTTGGACCGCTGCCAGCACATTGAGGAAACCCTGACGGAAAGAATCGCGGGATTGGAAAAACTCATACGATATTTCATCGAGAAAAGCGATGTCCCTCTTCCAGTCGAAGCTTCGCCTGAAAGTTCACCTGAAGAACCACCTCAGAAACTTGCCAAGGACACTACTACAACGCCAAATGCTTTGGTAGAATCGAAACCGCCGACCCCTGCTGCGCTAGAGTTATCTGGGGTGGATTCGAAGAGAATTCCCGAAGCGAAATTGCTTAGCTATATAAATACCGTGCAGCATATGCAGTCTCAACCTCTTCCCAAAGTTCAAAACCAAGAACCAGAAGGAGAATTATCCGTCCCACAGAACCATACGACAGCTGCCCACAAGCTACTCAATTGGAAATCAATTCGGAATATATTGGACCGTGAAATTGACCCGGACTATGTCTTGAGGAACGAAAGAAAACGAGGCTTGATTCGCATTTATGGGTGCGGTGAAGGAGTTGGCCACGATACTGAGTACTACTTGCGGCATGGCCCTCAGTCCCCTCCGCCTCAGCCTCAAGGGTTAACCGGCTCTTCTGCTAGCCCTGCAACAAACACATCAACTCCACGTGTTGACGAAGAGTATTCCCAGGCTAATTCGCCCAATTGGGGCTATGGGCTACCAATGCCTCCCCAAGGTCGAGTGAAGGAACATGCTGGTGGTCTCGATCCATCAGGTCATCTCAACACCCATCCTGATGTCGTTAGGCGTCTCGTTCGCAGCTACTTGTCTAATATGCATATTCTTCATCCCTTTATGGATGCGACAAGGCTAAATCAGAAAGTGGAGATGTTTATCCAGCAATATGCGCCTCCTAGAAATAGCATGATAAACAGCGCGACCGAAGGTCGTGGTATGAAGCGAAAGCGCTCGGCTGAGCACATGCACATGGTGGCTCCCGAAATGTCTCCGTCACCAAGCTTGAGCTCGGAGAAATGGCCTTCTCACAGGATAGAGCACTCGATCGATAACGCGATAATATTAATGGTGCTTGCTGTAGGCGCGATCTGTGAGCATAAAACTGCACTGCCTGGCTTTGCACCAGATCCAAATGAAAGGCCCCGCGCCAAGCAGGAGTTTGCATCCTCACCAGAAGTCCAAGCTGTGCTCAACGAGATTCTTTCACCAACGCCTGGGCCAGCCTCGGGGCTAAATGCTCAGGCGTTTGATACTCCTAATTTCCCATCCCCGGATCCTGCATGGGAGTGGAAGACCCCAAGCCAAAGGCCTCACTCCAGATATGGCCTAGAGAACAACAATGAAGCGTCTTACCCCAAAAATGTAGACGTGATTCCAGGCTTAGCCTACTATGCGTATGCTGCGGGTATCCTCGGCGAGATGCAAGGTGGATGCGAATTGCCTTTCGTACAAGCCTCGATTCTTGCAAGCTTTTATGCCGGTCAACTAGCTCACCCGTTCCAGAGTCATGGATGGATTTGCCAGGCTGCTAGAGCCTGTTCATTCTTGATTCGAGCGTAAGTTCTCATACCTTGTTCTGCTGATCATGTCTTTTGTTTTGGTAAGCTTGTTTTCATTGTTACTGACACACGCGAACCAACAGAATTGATTATAATAACATTCCCGCAAGGACCACCTTTCCCCTGAAAGAGTTATGCGAATTCGCTTATTGGACTTGTCTACAGCACGAAAGGTCAGTTGTCATTTCTTGTCGTATACCCGAAGATCGCCAGAGAACTGATGCATGCCGACCAGTGACCTTTTGGCCGAATTAGATCTGACGGCCAGTGGCGTATCTCAATCCGAGACGGAGATCGAGCTCCCCAAAGGCTATCTCACTATGACTGAGCCTCTCGTGATGTTCTACTACTCGGCGCAAATTCATCTCCGTAAAGTCCTGAACCGAGTCCACCGAGATCTCTATGACATCAAGGTCGAGCATCTGCCTGATAAAATTCTGGGTGTTCTTGGTCTGAATCTCGATGGCTGGAAGCAGAACTTGCCAGAGGGGATGCAGTGGCAGGAGGGAGACGAACCTTCGAGCGACATAAACACTGCACGTCTACGTGCAAAGTATTATGGTGCTCGCTACATAATCTACCGACCCGTCCTTGAACGTGCCCTACATTCTAAGTCACCTAGAGCGGAAGGGAAAGGGAAGACAGAGAAGGATTCCAAGCCATTGGCTTCGTTCAAGGCACATGATTTTCAAGCGCCCAGTATGACAAGGTGGTCCAGTGAACCGGGACTGCGCCCAGATTGGGGAGAGAACGACCGCACAGAGACAATACACTATGACGAGCTAGATGACGAAACGCGACGCGCATGCGAGCAATGCATCACGGCTGCGATTCAAAGCACCAAAGCATTTCATAATATCAAGGGTCGACCCATCGTGACCAATATTTTTGGGACTGCTCATGCGTAAGTTCCTTCCTTTCGAAACGATCTGTTACACAATAGTTGATGAAGACTGACAAATATAACAGCCAATTCGGCAACATGCTTGTCCTTTCCGCAACTTACATGTCTAATCTTAGTCGACTGGTCGATGCTGATGAACTCGAGCGTCTCCTCCAGCGCACCATTAAGTTCCTCGCCATGTACAAGGATATCTCACCGACACTCATGGCCGATGCTCAAATCCTCTCCGGCATCTACTACAAGATTTTTAAAAAACCACTTCAGGCGAGCTTCACCACGGAATCTTTCGGCAGTACATGAATCTATTTCTCTCGGAGGTCAACAATCTTTCTCTTATCGGAGACATCGATCCATACAAGTTTTTGACATCGCTCTTGGCCTACTATCGCCATCTATACCTAAATTAAATGCTTTTGTCTTTTTTTGGCGGACGGGCATCTGTTTTGAATACTTCGTTTATCTCCTTCAACTTCCGGCCCGTGGAATACAAACGAAAACCAAGGCGATTTACTACACATGATACCATGACGCTTCGTTATCCCTCAGTCACACGCACATATACATATATTCTCTCAGGGTCGGCAAATCTGCAAATTTTTTTTGGAGCGGGGAGGTCAAGTTGTCTTTTTAGTATTCACTTTTTCAGCATCCGTTATTTTCTCGGTGGCAATTGTCATTTCAACAAGGGGTGGAAAAAAATTCTTTCGTATACCACCTACTAGCATCGAATGAGCGACGGCGATTATTTTTTCTGTTTTTGCAGCCTTTGGCTTTGGATTTACTGTACATTTTGGAAAAAACTTTTATATATCATCTTGTCATTCTCGTTTGGCTGCGTCGGTTGATGCATTGTTTGTTCTGGCTGTCTATCCTATATACCATTTTAGAGGGGAGAAGTCAATTAAGTCCATCATATCATCAGATTTACTATTTTTATTTTGAAAGCAGTTACGTGGCGTTGTATAAGCTCAATGTCCATCTTAAGAAGCACGACGTATCAAGACTTATCAATTTATTATACTTGAAATATAAGAAGCAAAGTAGACACCTATGAAACAGATCAGGCTTTGCAGTTTGATGTTTTCCTATTCTGTGCATTACTTACTACATATATGACCACAACCAGATAGTGTGTCACTCTTTCATGCAGATATCCTCACATAATGCAGGTGGAAAGCATTTCCTACTAGTACTTCAGCCTAAATGCAACCTGTCTGGAGTATATGCATTAGATTGTCATGTACATACCCCTCGTGAAACAAACTCGAGACAAACTTCTAACGAGCCCTGAGGGGTGTATGGACAACGACGTGGCCATAATAAGTAGGTACTCGAACTAACAAAGACAAGAAGTAAATGCGTCAACGAACAAGTCCCCCCCCCCGTAGTGCTGCGATCCAAAGACCCCAGCCCAGCCAGCCAGCCAAAATCATAATGACAGCTTCAATATGGGCCGTGCTCCACAAACCTCGGTTGACCCCATCTAGTGGCTTTTTAGCTCTACGCCTTTTTTGTCTTTGGGAATGAGGGGAAATCCGGGGGTTAGGTATCTTCTATCTAGCCCCTGCTGGTCCGGACCGAGCTGAGCTTGCTGTCGTTCTGTTGTGCGACACATGCCTTACTGAAAATCTCGGTTACCGCTTTTTGTTCAATTCATTCTTAAAGTCTTCAGGTCTGTTCAACAAAGACTGAGAGATAATCTACTTTGTGGCTCAACCCACGTCTATACTCAAGAGGAACAAAAATGCCGAACCGGATTCTACCACGAGAAGGTATTCAATCTCCAGCTAATTACTGGTTTTTGTCTCGAAAAAAAAAATCTGACCAGAATATCGCAGGATTTACGGCCGACTTTGTCGGGTCAGTTCTGGGAAGGACTGTCTTCTCCCCCGTCAAGACACTTCTGGCCGTTCTCTTATTCCAATATGCGCCGCCCAACGCCCCCTACCTACCCCAGAAGCGCGACGGAGTACTGAACTGGCTACGCATCGCCTTTGCATTGGGTTTGGTCAGCAGAGTAAATTCCTGGCTCGGCCGACGCGCCATCAATCGCGCCACTAGCGACAAGTATGACTGGCCTCACGAAATACAATTAACTCAAGCCTATACAACTAATTATAGGAATATTCATCCCAAAATAAAAGCTCGCCTACCAATGCAGACGTCTGTTCTCATATCTCGATATCTCGTCCCTTTCAATCTCTCGTCTCTTTTCGTATCTTGATGTCTTGTCCCTTTCTGTATCTCTTCAGTTTTTTCAGTCGTCCACCTTGAACAAAGCACCAGAAGATGAATGGGAACGTCCAATAACTATGACAATCCCGCAGGACGTCCATCAGATTGCCAGTCCTCCATTGGGCATGGGACTGGGTGGGAGGTTTTGTCATGGACTGGTCTCGATGGTATCTTCAGACCTTTTGAAGTCAGTCGCGATTTATCAAGGACGCAGCAGAAAAAGAAGGAAGGACTTTTGTCAAAAGGACCTCTGGACATGTTCTGCATAGTATCATCATGCTCTTGGTTCTTGTGGGTGTTCTTTCGGCGTCTATGGCTCCTTCCCTTTTTGTCACTCCTTCCCCTTCTATCGCTCCTTCCTTTTTCGTTACTCTTTCCATTTGGAATGGCATCGAGCTTCCCCCAATTTTGTTCTCTCCTCACCCTCCCATCATCTATCGTCTGCCATCTGTGATCTGTCGTCCGTCGTCTGTTGTCGCGTCGCTCTCGTCTCTGGTTGCTCGTTTCTTGTCGTCCGTCTCATTTCTGTCGTCTGTCGTCTGTCGTCGCATCGCTCTTGTCTCCTGTCGTCCATCTCTTGTCGTCTTGTGGCTCSTCTCTTTCTTCTTCATTCTCCATCCAGGAATGTCGACTCTCCCGCTTGATTCCAGTAGTGATATCGCGGAGTATATGCTGGACGTCAGTTGGCGTTGTCTCAATGCCCCATCTGCATCGGCCAATCTACGATTTCCAGCTGTGGCGCCTACAAGACTTGCCTTATCATGTCTTTTCCGTTCCCTTAGTCTTACTTTTTGTCATGGACTACTAGATGTCATACAAGCTAGTGAGCCTCCTCCTATTGAGTGGTTTGAGACACTCTCAAACCGGATACCTATGAAATCCTGGGGTATCTACATTCTCGTCCTTAGAAAAGATGGAAAGTGTCGTCCAGGTCTTTATGTCGGCTCAGGGACTTCGCAGAATGGAGTTAGAACGCGGATGCTTCAATATTCTCATCCTTTTCCAACGATGGCTTCTCATTTCGTCAGAAAGTCTATTCATAATGGTTACTCCATCGTCCATTATAGTCTACTCACCTGGTGTCCAATTCCCTCTCCAGGACAGATACCAAGACTCCGTGCTGCTATGATTATTCTAGAGACAGCTTTTACATCCATTTTCTGGGCTCTGCGTAGTCATAATAGTTCATATGGTGGTTTAGACACTACATGTCCATGGCCTCGAGACTCCTTTAGTTGGGACGGCTTATGCGGACATAGTCCTCTTGTTGAGGGAATCCGGTCCAATGAGCACGGCCTTGGCTTTTCCTCGGAGGAGCTTGAGCGACTCGCAGCTGCAAAGAAGTATAACTATAAGCATCGGCAGAGAGACCGTGTTCGAAACTACAGACTGAAATACAGACAAAAATACCTCCAGTCTTGCAGAAACTCCGAGTCTCGTAGAAACAAAGACAGACGCCGTCATACTGATAGACTCTATCGTCAAAAAAACAGAGACAGAATCAATCAGATTCGGAGAGACTACTATCACAAGACCAAAGACAGCCCTTATTCGAAGTTAAATCGACTACGTCTCATACGTCAGAAGCATATTATCAACAAGACTTACCACTGTGCAGCATGCAATATCTCTTTTGATAATAAGCATGATTTTATTCAGCACAAGAAGTCTCTTAAACACGTCAAGAATACCCCTAATCTTGGGACTGTGGAATCTCGGATCCAATATATTTTGAAGTGTGAACCCTGTGGAGTGTCATTTGTTGAACTCGCCAAGCTTGTTCAGCATCAAACAAGTAAGAGACACATCCAGAATACTCCTGAACTTGGGGCTATGGAATCTCGGATGGATCCTACTTTAAAGTGTGAACCCTGTGGAGGGTCATTTGCTCGACTCTATGACCTCGTTGAGCATAAGAAGACTAAAAAACACATCCGGAATACTCAAGATCCTGTGACATCTCTCACGTGTGAAATCTGCGGAGTGTCATTTACTCGTCCATCTGGTGCGAGGCTACACAGGAAAACACAGAAACACATCAAGGCACAGATGTCAAAGGGTGAGACTACTTGAGACAAGCTCAATCTTGTGTCTTCTTTCATCTTAACGTCTTCTCCTTTTAGTATCCTATCCCTTTTTATATCTCGTCCCTTCTTATATCTTGTTATTATATTTTGTCCCTTCTCATATCTCATCCCTTCTTATATCTTGTCCTTCTCATATCTTGTTCCTTCTTATATCTCGTCCCTTCTTAACTCTTGTCCCTTTCTATATCTTGTCCAATTTTATATGTCATGTGCCCACGCTTGTCACATGCTCGAGCTAGCCGCATACTAGATAGTTACAGCTAGCCGACCACTTAGTCATAAATATCATCATCTTTACACCCACGTACGCGTCCACTATAGAATGGTAGCATTGTCCTAAGGCGTCCAGCCAGGACAGAGCCAGAGCGATATCCGTATGGGTCGTCCTCTTTTCTTCAATTCGTCCAGAATTGATGGGGGAATGTATCTGTTCAATATCGTCCAATTCAAACCTCTAATCAACGCATCATCAGCAATAATAACAACAACTACTACATCCGATTTATAGACGAAATACCACACCAAATCTTGGACTGTATACTACAGCTACACAGCTTTCTATCACTCAAGACGCTCTAAAAATGAACTCATCCCGGATTCCTGCAAACGCTGGAGGACGTCCTCACGAACCACCAACTACATGACCAAGACTACCCACTTCATGATTGCAGGTATTATGGACCTCTAGAATAGGTAGTAGCCCAATACCTTACTATAGCAGAATCAAAGTGGATCGCTAAGCATATCGGATTCTGCCTACCATCGAGGAAGAGGAAGAATAGATTGGAGCCTTAGGCATGAGATCACAGGTATCCGGAAGTAATCTCATGGAAGGATTTCTACAGTCTGAACTAGCACTATGAGGTGGACGAGACCCCTCCAAAAAAGATCCGAAAATTGAATTGATTTTTCATCCCCTCCAGTGTGTATTTGTTTCCTTGCTCAATTGACGCCGTCCTGTTTTTCATGTTTCCTCCGAAATTGTCCGGATGGAGCACAAAAGTTCGTTTTTACAGATTTTCCCTGTTTTCCGTCCAATTTTGTGCATTGCGCCTTTCCAGATTGCTCCGAAATTGTTCGGATAGAGCACAAAAGTTATTTACCAGATTCACAATACCGACAGGATGATTGTGCTATCTTTCGGATTCTTAAACACGCTTTTATCTTCATGTTTCCTCCGAAATTGATACGGATGGAAGGGTTTGCACGGTGTTTATATGCCATTTTACGGCCAGCTGTCACGTGCTCGAGCTAGCCGCATACTAGATAGCTACCTAGCTAGCCGACCACATAGTCATAAATATCATCATCTTTCCACCCACGTACGAGTTTGCTCGGAAAACTGCGGACGTAATAATCAATGGCTCTCATGTGGGAAACAACCCCGATAGTTTCCAGGGATTCCTCGAACGTTTCAGAGCAGGTCTATGGCCGACGGCCCTACAAGATGCGGAACCCAAAAGTGATGATGATTCCGCTCAATAAAATAACACTGCAAGGAATATCGACAAAAGGAAGGATAAGCAGCTCACCAAACACTAGAAATAATTATATCCTCCATCCGAAGGCCCAGCGACTCTAGTGATCATTCTGGACACAGCAGAGATCCTAGCGACCCAGACAATTCAGACAGATCATCTTCCGACTCTGACTCCGACGACAACCATCACAGTCATCGCCACCATTACAGACGAACCGTCCACCATCACCGGAAGACATTTAAAGCCAAGGATGTGTCGCTATTTGACCCAAAAAAGTTCGTCACATCCTTCACCAAACGAATCAGGTAATTAGCACGGACGTACGGCAAGGAAGCCGTATTGGAGGTCGTACCTCTGTGTTTGAGAGGGGACGCAATAGACTGGAACACGCATCTTTCTCACGGATATGATGCATGAATCCCTTATGAAATGCATATAACAGCTAGAGTAACGCTTCAAGAAGAGTGCATACAAAGCATAATAGGAAGCGGATAAGCTCAAGTTCCGTTTTGAAAGGGAGAAGGACCTGTCACTGAGGAATACGTCGGATAAAAGGTCATACTCCTTCACAAAGCTGACATTAAGGACGAACAGGAAGGGATCATTCGAGTATGGGAAGAACTAGATCCCATCTTGATGAACACCATTCGTCTAGAAGGACTATCGTTGGACGAATTCTCGACAGCTCTCCTCCAACGGGATGTCCCCGCTAGACTCCAATGGAACCAACTGAACCGCGCTGCAGATGGACAAGTATCGTCGTCCAAAAATTACTCCAAGGCGGGAAGATACAAGGATAAGAGGACGGAGTACCAAAGACAAAGAAGTCGAAAAAGACCCCAAAAAGTCGACTTCATCAAGGAACGGGAACGCATTCGAGCAGAAGCGGTGGACGCAACACAGTATGCACAGAGCCGTATGGCATTCTACTTCGACTAGAAACATCAGCCGGTGGAGATGAAAATGAGGTCTACATCCGATTAAAGAGGAAGCCTGGCCACAATGAATACAAGGTGGACGGATCTTTAGTACTTCCACCTCTGAAAATGGGACTATTTCCTATCAAAAGACGAGTTGGTAACCTAGCAGCCTATGAGCTCAAACTGCTACCCGACCTGCGCATACATCCGGTGAGCTCTGTCATCCATTTGAAACAAGTCCCGGAGGACGAATGGGACCGTGACGATAATCCCAGAAGAAGTACACCAGATACGAGTTCCATTCGAGATAGACTAGGTCATAGACAAGAACAGAGACCGAACCAACCAGGCTTAAAACGGAAGATCTGGTATTACCTCGTCATATATAAGACTACAAACCAGACGACATAGCAACCGACAGCGATCGTCTCAACCCAATGCCCAGCGGAATTTGAAGACAAAACGTCTCCCCCCACATTATCCCCGACAACTCTTCGGACGACTTCCCAAAGACCCGACGATCAAAGCGACCAAGTGCGGCTCAACGAGACCGTACAAGATCAGCCCTGATCCTTCCCACAAAGAACACGACACTATCCTTACCACCAACATCCCTTACCCCGTTCCATACATTCTCGAAGGTTACCCTCACAGACAGTATCGCTACGACTCACAACAGATCTAAGAACAAGCGCACCTCACTTCTGTTCATTTCTCCAACCCATGCTGGTCACAATCTGAAGACAGTATCGCTACGACTCACAACAGATCTAAGAACAAGCACACCTCACTTCTGTTCATTTCTCCAACCCATGCTGGCCATAATCTGAGGTTAGATCGACAAGCAAGTGAGCAATCAAGTGAGAAATCAAGTGAGACCAAATACATACAAAAACCACCAGAAAACAGGCGGTTTCACGCAAATCTCACCTCATTTTCATCTCACTTACCTCCGCTCTTTTCCTCACTTGCGATCACTCTTTCCCTCACTTCTAGCGCCAGTTCTCTCACCATTCTCACCATCCTCAGTTCCTCCGTTACTCACCACTCTGATCAGTCTTTACTTGGATCGGAGACTATACTCCGACCGCTAGAATCTACTCAGTCCACTATCATCATCCTTTCATTCTACATCCCTTACGACCGTGACCTTGCAGCAACCTGTACCACATCCATCATCCAACATGGCTTCGTCTTCAACCCCGGACTACGACGGAATGACGAAAGACGAGCTAGCACAAGTGGATGTAGTCAAGGCGATGTTAGACAAGGATCGTCCATTTGACACATCCAATTCGGGACGAGATTTGCAGCGTTTCACAAAGCGTCTAGAAAAAAAGGTCTCTGAAGAAGAGAAAGGACGTCTACTAGACCTCATCAGCGACGTGACCTTTAAAGCACAGAACTTCCGCAACGTCCGTCCGGAACTCGAGGCGTTATATGCGTACTGTCGGAAATGCCACACCAAAAGATATGTCACATGGGCCCAGGACGCGAGAACCAAGTACGTGGTGAAGGCAATGAAGAAGAAGACTCCCATTGACGCCATACTCACTTACAAACGGTCGCACGAAAACGAAGACGACGAGGACGATGAAGACGATGAAGACGATGAAGATGATGAAGACGATGAAGACGATGAAGACGATGAAGACGATGAAGACTTCATCTTCGAGGAAGAGGAAGAGGAAGATTCGGATAACGGTGATGAGGACGATGAAGATTTCGAGAATGGTGTCCAAGACGTCGACATTCCTGAGAACTATGAGGTCGAAACTCCTGAGAATTATGAAATCTTTCCTGAGAACGGACGGAAGGACGACATTCACGAGGATGGACAGAAGAACAACATCTACACGATGCAAAAAGAAAGCATCGAGATGCCACCCGTGGAAGGTCTACCACCCATCGCACTGGACTGCTTCACAACTGGCATGGTCATCAAGTACGGAGCAGAAGGAACACACCAAAACTACAAAGTCATCCACACCGAAACATCTACTCGAATGGGACATTTTAAAGTGGTGGAACACAAATTGGTTGTGTCAAAACCGGTTGAAACAGTCTCATTTCCCCGGACGAGTCCAATCTGGAATATCATCCCTGCGAAGTGCCTATTAAAGGGATGTAAGCAAGGTACACTAGTCATATATGGAAACCGAGCCAATCCAGATGTGGACTTATACGACGATGACGAGACGATTCGAGGTTACTTCCGAGTCACACATGGCTTTCCAGAAGCTATAGGATGGAGAGACTTCTACAGCCTAAACTGGTGGGTGGAAGAAGAGGAAGTACATCCAACGAAGGTTAGACGAGACGAGCAATATGAAGGAAACAGGACGGAGTGGACGAAGATTTCGGACTATCTATCACTATTTACACCATATTTCGGGCTCTTACATCATGTTATTGCTTTCCTACATCATGTTTCTATTGCTAGTTGGAACCGAGGACAGTTCCATCTTCGAAGGGGTACACCTGTCACGTGGTCGAGCTAGCCATATACTAGATAGTTAGCTAGCCGACCACTTAGTCATGAAGAAGAATATCATTATCTTTTCCACACTCATACGCGTCCATTATAATACTAGTTGGAATAATTGAAGATCGTTCTCATGTTGCTCGGACTCTGTACCGTCGTATGATATCATCAATTTGACCACTCAAGGGCTGTTCGTCTTGTTTGAGACTCCCCTCCCAGCCACAGCAGAGACAATTGAAATGTTGCATGCATGGCTGATGGGTCGGACTCCATATATAGTGTAATGCTGGAGGCACTTGCTCGCAGCGCTCACAGCTGCCAAACACTAGACAGTAAGGGCCACTTCCATGAAACTTGCAGCACCAACAGATGGAGAAACGGAAGTCGTGAATATTTGTAGGGCTTGGTTTGCTGATGGCTATGAGGTGACCGGGTAGGTAGATATGCTTCTGGATACCACATCGGATACAGAAACGACGGCTATTTTCAGAGTAGCCTCGAGACCGTTTACCCTTGCTTTGTTTATCTGCAAAGGCGTGAATTGGGCGAAGCTTTAGGCATTGGTTGCATGCGAGGTAGTCAATGGCAGTGTATCTGCAGGTTTGGTCAGTCCGGTAAGTAACAATGATACTGGTATATTGACGGTGTAGACAAACATTGGCCAAGTCTCTACCTCACAGATAAAGTCTAGTTTCGCTCCCCTACTCGTTGGCGGCTGACGTACTACAATCTCATTGAAGTAGCGGTTGGTATATGCCAGAGCGATGCGAGCAGTATAACCCAGATAGTCGATTATGCTGAGCTGAATCTCGACAGGAAGTGAACTCAATGCTCCGTTTGGACTCTGGTTTGAGTGTGTCATTGCCGGTCGTTTCGTAATGCAAGGATCCTCATGGGTGTACAGCTAAACATGCCACGTTTTTCAATCAATACGCTGCGGTTTGAGTGTCCTTAAGAACATAAGTTGCTCCGACATGCCCTGCACTTTCAGCAACAATGATGATGCTCTCACCGGAGGAAACTGATTGGGATGATAGCACACTTTGTTGAAGAACAGAATTGTCAACTTGATGACGATCGAACTCCAGGGCTTCTAACAGCCCCATGAATATAATCCACCTTTTTTCCTCGTCTAATGTTTAGTGTAGCCAAGTAAAGACTTTGTTATATCGAGTTTTCAGTAATACAGCATAGTATCTGAGTGTAGGGGTAGCCTGGCATCTGTCAGTGTTAAAAGCCAAATACCTTGCCGTAGTAGATATATGTCGCTGATGACTATCAACTGATATTGTTTGTCTGGGGAAACCTTTAGCAAAGGTCTTTTTGGCACACCCCTCACTTCTCATACGCAGGTTTGTGGAATCCTTCAATATTAAATTGTCAATGCTTAATATATAGTCCCAGCACATTTGCTGAAAGAAACAGAAGCACAATCATAAAACAAATGAGCGCTCCGTTATTGGTATATCATTGCGTAGTTCGATATACCTTACCACATACATTCAGAGTGTGAAAACTTCAGCACCAATATACTATTTTTTTATGGTTGGTTATAATCTGTCGTTAACAAATTCCCATTTAGATGGTACTCTCCGATAAGCTCGCCGGATCGAGTCCGGCACTGGTCATGAATTTTTTTAAGTGTTCCCTTTACCATACCTACCCATCATAGACAAAGAAATACTGTCTTTCCATCTTGCTTCTTTGTCTTTTTTTCTTTTTTGGCCATAAACAACTATTTTCTAAATGAACACTTGATGGGTACTGGCGGAATGAATTCGCGTCGGGTCGATGCGACGCTCGAGAAGATGCACAGTTTCCCTGTTTTTGTCCCCATAGCTGACCACCAAGAAACTTGATTTACCTCCCATAACATAGTTTCCATCCATCTTCACCAAGTAAAAGCGACAATAATGTTCCGTGGAGGAAACAAGTAGAGCAGGACTCTTTTTCCGTGTGAGGTCATTACCCGAGGTATCTCTCTCTGTATTCGGACGGTTACGTATCACCCAACGGTGTCGAATTTGCAGTATCATGTATGTTTTAGCAGTGTGTGGGGACGTCACGCCGGTGTAAAAACAACATTGCATGTAATCTATATCTTCCAGAAGCCGGATTTGCTCCTCTCCTCTTTAGATTCGGATCCCGGAGTTTAGCAATTACCACCACACCATAGTGGCTTCTGTTTTTCTCTTCTGCCTAGGTTGCTTGTGCCACTGTAGCATACAGAGCAGTCATCGTGGCTTACCAGTAGTTAATAATTAATGTAAACAGGAGTACCCCAAATAGCCCTGACGTGGGAAGCTCTCATTGGCGTGGACTGAGTTCTGAACAGATCGAAATGGGCCAGGCCAGGCCCAACAAAACGGTGACGTTACGGTTGGCTGTTGGCGCCTGAGGAATCAACMCTTCCCTTCCTTCCTTCCTTCCTTCCTTCCTTCCTTCCTTTCTTTCCTTCCTCCACACTACACTTTATCACTTCTGCCTCTTCAGTCGACTTCTCCGCCTCTGATCGACCATCTCTGCACGAAATATCCCCAGTCAGAATCAGAACTGCTGCAAACGTCGAAAGCATCTACGCCGTGTTGGTGTCTTGCTGCCAGCACAGTGACTGCATTGCTTACGTGCCTAGCCCCCGATTTGATCGCACGACAATCCGCTAACTGCCGCCTCGCCGCATCTCGCCGATCCAGACACAACCCCCAGCCCTACACTCAGCCAACTGAAGTCAACCTCCCACGTCCACCCCCCGAATTTGTGGCCCTTCATCATTTGTTCCCTAAACTTGTATCCTGACACCTCCAACGACTACTCGCTCTGTCGGCTCAACGGACCCTTTGGGCGTCTACGCATAACAAGATCCGCCAATTACGGATTTTTCTCTTACCGAGCTGCAGGATTTCGACAACAGTTCATCATTATCCAACATCACCCGAGCACCCTTACCTGATACATTGCAGTTCCTATGCGTGCTCAATCACGGTGAGCATCCTCATTCGACTGGATGATCGCACTCACGTTGTCGTTCTGTATCCTTTCCTTCTCTTCGACCCATCATGCCATCCAATGAAGCCTCTACACCGGCCAATAGGCCTGCTCAAAGATCTTCATCCCGGGCAAGTCCATCATCCGGAACGGGTCGCAGGAGTCCTGCTCTCGACGGTGACACCAAATCTCAAAACCAACCTCCACGCCTGACCGGACCAGCGATATCCCTGGTACCGCGATTACCGACCCCAAGAAGTCTATCTGCGTCGGCGTCGGGAAACAACTCGACCAATTCGTCCCGCGAAACCTCTCCTGTCCGCCTCACTTCTCGCGTAGTCAGCAACAACCATCAACCCGCCCCAAATCGATCAGTCTCGCGAACCAAGAACAGTAACAGCCCCAGCCCCAGTCGCGGCGCCAGTGGCACAGGACCTGCTTCTACCCCTACAACGACGGTCTCCTCTACGCTGTCTCCTGCCGCTGTGCAAAAGGCATTCGCTCAACTCGGTAAACCCGAATTACAACACCCTGCTCCCGCTGACAAGAACCTCGATGTTTCCGACCCTGACCGTTCGAGTATGCCACCGCCGCGCACATCCAGACGGCGAAGTTCCATCACAAATGGTTCGCGGAGTCCTTCGCTGAATAGTACCACTCCCAAACACTCGGAGACGACGACAGAGTCTCTCGCAAACATATCAACAAAACGGTCTTCAGTAAGCCCGGAAGAAGGTCGGGTGTCGCCAGTGAAAGCTGTCTATGATGATTCTGAGATCAGCGCCCGTCGTCCCTCTGGAAGGGGAACCGGTCAGCCCGGAACTGTCCTAGAGACAGTACAAGAGTCCAGTGTTCCGTCCACGCCCGTTTCGATGCCAGCGAACTCCATCACCGAGGATGTACCCTTTAAAACCACCGATGCTATCCAACAAGCAGTGGAAAGTGGTAGTGAAAGCGGCGGAAATAAAAGTTCTGGATCGAAGGAAGAAAAACGCCGGTCTTCTATTACGACTCGGCCAACTGGTGCTATTCTGCCACAAAGATCCTTCACGTCACTCAACAGCGGCCGAGGTAAAACAAGCGATGGTTCGGTTCGGAATATGATCGTCGAGACTGAAACCGTTACATCCATACCCCAGGTGGCTGTAGGTGTCGGTGCCGGAGAACGAGGCAGTTCGGCTCGCAACGATCAAGGAGGGACCATCAGAATGAAACCTAGTGTTGAGACAATTCGCCCTAAGAAGGAAAAGAAAAGAACTACCCGCAAACCAGCAAACCCTCCAGGTACGGCTTCCTCGAAGGCGGACATATTTGAAGCCAAAGTCGCCAGTGCTATTGATGACGCAGATGTTTCTGATTCGGATGAAACTTTCGTCTACGAGTCTAACCCTCCGGAGCCACTGCCTAACCGACATCGCTATCATTCTCGAACTCCGAGTGCGACGTCCATGGCCAGCCAAGCCGAGCAATTTGCGAGCCGGACTCGTCTTGCCGGTGGGGGTGGAAGTGGTGTGTCGGTGAAGCGAAGTATGAAATTTACCAATAATCATAACAACAATCTCGATGGCGATTTGGTGGATATGGATCAACGGAGCGTCAGTGGAAGGGGCGAGACTAATGGACACTCTGGTCGACATCATCATATTGGCCGCCATGGTAGAGGAGGCGCATATCCTTCAATATTCGATAGCGACTCTCCGTTTCCTCAATCCCAACAACAGCCTCGCTCGCCTCGCCATTATATTAGTAATGGCTTCCGTCAAGGTCGACGAAACAACACGCCGCGCTCACATCCCAACTATCGCACAATTGGCGGCCCCAAAAGCATGAGCGATGAGTATGGAGACGATTTCGATGCTGATGGTGCCGATGACGAGCGCACGCCTTTGGTTAGCTCGAATCGTTTGTCACGCAACCGCAATGGTCGCAGACCGGGCAGTGCTAGTATGCGACAGATGGAGTATCTCGAGCATCGCCAACGAAATTGCTTCTCTCGATATGGAGGATGCGTGATTGCGTCGTTTCTGATCTTGATCCTCATAGGCGGTGCAGCGACTTTCCTAGCGGCCTTGTTGCGACCACTGTTAGATGTGCAGGTCACTAAGCTTTCGAATGTGCTCGCTTCAGAACAAGAGATTATACTTGATGTTCATGTCAGCGCGGTCAATCCGAACATATTTCCCATCTCTATTTCAAATATAGATGTCGATATATTTGCGAAGAGTCGGTACGTCGGCAGCGACAAGTTTTGGCGTGATCATGGGCCACATTCTCCGGACTTTCCCCGCGTTGAGCGTAGCAATCTCCGTGCTCGATTAGCTCAATTAGTTCGGCTGCCTTATTCAAGCGACTCTGAAGTGTCGACATCTGATCTTCATACTATGGATGGTATAGACCACGGCACAGACCCAATTCCATTCCCAGACGATCCAGCTAGCGATGCTCAGACAATGTTGCTCGGCCGAGTTTTCGTTTTTGATTCCCCCGTCATTCTGGATCCCTCCCCTTGGCGCCGATATCCCTCTGAATCTGTTGGAGAGATCCGTCTACCTAAACCCGGGAATAAGACAGAGGAAGGTGGAACCGAGCGTTGGGAACGAGTATTACAGCATCCTTTTGAACTGATCGTTCGTGGTGTTCTCAAATATTCACTGCCACTGACATCGGGTGAGCGATCTGCATCGATCAGTGCCAGAATCCAAGTCCTCCCGGATGAAGACGGTGACGATGATGGAGAAGGCGGCGGTGAAGACAACAATGGCGGCATTCCCAGTCTGCCAACCAACGAAACCGTCCGTATCAACTTGAAAGAGCATGTTCGTACTTCTGACGCAGACGAGGGATATATCCTAGTCAGTCGAGCATTTTCCTCATAAATCGCCGTCATGCGCTGGTCATTTTTACGAATTTTCTACCTTTTGTACAAAACAGCGACTTCCATACGTTCATTTTTGCTACTTGAATTTGCCTTACGATATGTTTTTGTCGAGTACTAATACCCCCTTCGCGTTTACATGGAGCGTGTACAGAAAGGAATCTTACGAATATTTCTTCCCCATTTCGCCGGGCGCGATGATATTACAAGGACCAAGAAAAGCGCTGGAGCAATCCAATTGTTTGTTCAACCAATGAATACCCCCTCGAACTGAAATCTCTACACACGGGACCAGTGGAGCAATCCATCTCTCTCTTTTCCTTTTCAATTTCCTTATCCCTATCAGAATGTTTATTACAATAATGATGACTAAATGATGACTATGTGACCACGAACCAAATCTGAGAAAAGATTCCTCTTGGAACTTCCCATCCTTCCCTTACCCCTAACTTACCCTACCTGCTCATGTTAGCGACAGAAATACGAACAGATCAAACAGACAGACAAATAATATGTAGATTGGAAGTCCACTTCTGATCTATCAAATTATATAGATATGAACTGTATCCATTAGATTATACTATCTTCAAAATCATAACAAAGTCGTGTACATTAAACCCAACTGAGATCGTCAGGGCCTCTCTATGAAAAACTCCATTATTCTATGCAACAAGAAGAACATGCAAAGATATACAAGAAATCCAATCGAAAGTCAAAAAACCAATGCTTTATTCAAGTAGAAAATGACGTATTAAACAATCCGATACACCCTCTTCGCAATTAGAAACGATGCAACACCAAAGAAAACGAGGCCGGCCGTTACTATTCGCTGTTAGCCAACTCGGCACAGATATATCATGGATGGGGAGAGCATACTTGACCAGAACCAGTATAGATTATCGATCTCTTGGCCTGGCACCTTGACATTCATCCCCCACATACCGCAGATGATGTTCATGGGTAGGACGATGGTACCCAGGACTGTCAATTTGCCTAGCACGTCTGCAGTTCGTTCCTGGCGCTCGTTCATGAGGATGTTGATTTGGGCTAGGTAATTGGAATGTGCTCGTGAGAGAAGGCTATACTCTCGTCAGAACTCATTGTATCTTTGCATTTGGTAAGAGGGAAGAAAACTCACGTTTCATAATGCGTAAGATTACTCGTCATAGTCATAATATGATCCTGGATATCGCCCAGATAAAGCCCGATCTCAGACTTGGGCGCGACTTCCCATTGCTCGTTACATCGTTTTGCGAACCCCTTTATAACGTCGGCCTTGTTGCTGAGCAGGCGGTACATACCCATTACCTTCTTGCGGCATTCGCCTACTCGTCGAAGCATTTCGCCAGGTGCGATTGAAACTGTGGACTGAGTGTCGTCGTTGGGGTCGCCTCTGCCGTTTTCCTTGTTGCTGCTGCCGTTGTTGTTGTTGGCGCTGGAGTAGTCATCGACGGCGTTGTGCATCGCCATGATCGTGTCGTCGACTTCATCGACTTCGTTCTCGATTGTTTGGATGAGGGGACCGAAGACGTCTGTAATGTCATCGATGAGGGCATACGATATCCAGTCGGAACTCAAGATCAGATAATCGCGTAATTGTCGAATTCGTCGACGGACGTTGGCTGGATGCGGTGTTTGGGAAAAGTGGAAACTGAGACAGCCCTCTCGAAAAACGACAACGTACATGTTAACAGGCTCGAGATAATTGTCGCTATTGGGATCTTGCTCAAAGGTACGATAGTTCAGGAAGTAGTAATTCCGGAAGAGCTCAACTTTTTCGCGTGCTTCTTGCATCATGATATCTTCTGCTGTTAGGGCATGGATTCCGAATGCCTTTGATATAACGCGCATTTCTGCGTCTGTTGGGCATAGAACGTCAAGCCACCAGGTTGGTCGTGGCCCGTAGCGTTTGGGCTTCGAGCCTCGGTTTTCCTCTTGCTGGTTTGATGTCTGTATCTGTGTCTCGGGGCGGCTGTTGTTATTATTACTGGATTGGAAGCCACTTTCTCGACGCGCGTCAGCGCCGCGGACTGGTGTGTTGGTCCCCCGACTGGTTGTGCTCTCATTGTTCGTACTGGAAGCCGGATAATTGCTACTGTTCAAATTGGTTTGGTCATTCTGATTGGCGTTAGAATTGGAGTTGGAGTTAGAAGGAGGGTCGTGCAGCGAAATCAAGTCTTCATCATCCTCTGAAGAGTCCTCCAGCTCCGGGGGATCAGGAATAAAAAGATCTCTAAAGCCTCCGCCAGGTTGGACAAGCTCAGAGATCGTCTGCGCGTGTATCGTGCTTTGAAATTCCTCGTTAAAATACGTAAATCGATACGGCGCATCTTCCTCCTCCCGCCGCCACCCGATGTATTGTGGTCGTAATCGTCCACCTACCAGAACAGGCTCACTGATTTTCTTCACCCGATACTCAAGGCTTCGCTCTTCCTTTTCTTCTCGACTCCACTCCTCAAGCACAGAAAGATCTGGCCACTCTCGCCTTCTCCGACGCCGCCGTTCACCAGTCTCTGAATCATGCGTTTGACGTTGAAAGTCTCCCGGAATTTCAGACGGGAAGCATACATCTTCCTCCGCAGGGACCGCAATGGTACGCCTTCGCCGTAGGCCCTCTGGAGAAGCTGCTGGAGGCGAATGCGGCCTCGAGTCCCCCTTTCTCGCGATATCAGCGCCCCCAGCCTCCATATTGATGACTGCCTCGCGAAGGAGATCCACAGATCCCCGACGTACATCTGGTGATCGACCGCCTGCAGGAAATTCTAGTCCGGTGACCATAGCATCATCATAGCCCATATCAGTGACTCCAATTTTAGGGCTCCCCGGGACGGATGGAGGATTATTGACATCATATTCTGGAGAAGCAGCAAGAGGAGACGATGCCGTCGACGGCCTTCCATGTCTCGCAGATGATGAATAGGGTGACCTCGAGTCCGTACCATAACCAAGCTTTGATGGGCTTGCGTTCCGCAATGGCGTTATCAATGGAGTCCGGTCAGTGGCATGTCTGCCTTCTTCATCTTCATCTATCCCGCCCTGATTGTATAGATTTTGTTGATATCGAAAATTCGAGCGCTGTTGACCAGGACTCGGTCCCTCAAAAGCCGGGAAGTATGATCCCGCTCGATTGAACGATTCGGGGCGGAAAGATTGGCTAAGGCGGCTGTCACGTCGAGGTCGCATCATAGGTTGATCACTAAATTCAATGTATCAGCATATCGCCGTATAGCTTAATATGGAAGCCAACAGCCAGTCTCTTACCGATGGTCCAGCAATGCCTCACTCTCCAAGCTAGTATTACTCAAATTCCGGCCTCTGTAGAACGGAGCTCGTCCTTGTATCTGATCGGGGTTCGTACGTGACAGTCCTCCCAAAAGCTCAGATACAATTGGCCCAGAGTCCTCAGAAGCAATAAACGACTGCCTGCGATTGCGGCGTTTGCGATTGCGGTTCTTCTTCTTCGGCTTTGCCGCAGGCTGCTGCTGCTGCTCCCTCGCAGGTTGATTTCGCGAGGTCGGATTTTGAGCTGTGTTGGCGGACATGGTTGGTGTAAGTTCTTGTGTAGTTCCTGCTGTAACATGTGAGACTGAAGCTGTCGGACGTGAGTGTCCTTGGTCAGAGCCGAAGCCCACTGGGCGCTGTCTGTTGGGGGTACCGGACGGCTGGGAGGATGGTTGCAAGCGTTCTGCTGGCGACTGCATAGACTCTATATACTGATGGTAGATATTTATAGGCGAGTTGTGGTTTGTGGCAGCTTAACGAGGAGACATTGGTCGCGCACGATGGCTGTGGACGCCAGTGGCGGATGACGTCGTCACAAGATACCGAGCTCGAGTAGCTAGGTAGGTCGCTCACCGAGACTGTTCATCGATTTCTATCTGTTTGATAGTTTCAAACGAAGTTATATAGAACTAAAATACAAAGAGATTGTGCAATAAGTAATACGAAAGACAATTGAGGTGGGCAGGAAGTCTCGTGCGTTCCAATGGTCTAGTCTTAGGGGATTTTCAAGTGGATGCATGCGGGCGGAGAACACCGACTCTGGCCGCGACTCAACATCTTGGCCAAGAGTCGCTTTTTGTGTAAGTGCTTACACTACTTGAATTGAGAAAAAAGAAGAATCATACGTCTCTGATTTGTACATATCTCTAGGTCATGAAGGTCATAAGTCATGTCCACATACAGTCAAGCACAATGGCTAGCATCGCCAAAACATATCGCGGCGACAGCAGGAGAACAAGCTTGTTCTCTCAAATCAATCAAATCAAGGCAAGACAAAATGAAATAACAGCAAATTTTTTTCACAAGACACAAAAAAATACAAGAAAATAAATGCAACGCCATACCAGTCCATTCCATATGTAATATACTCTCACGCCAAGTATTAAAAGCAGTAACTGCAAATTCCGAATGTAAGGCCACACTCCACATCGACCACTCCTTGTCAGTGACAGCCCAAGTGTGACGCCTTGGGCGTTTGATGGTCGTTTGATTGGACTGAATCCAATCCCGTGGGCGAACAGTGGTCGATCAGGAAGAATATTATAAGTAGCCACCGTTGCGCCAGATGAGAAAATCGACAGAGAATTAAAATAAGAATGAGTTAGATCATATTTCCCATATCAACGGATGGCACCACGCTGGACACAGATCGGTTTCCAAGGGCCGACATGCGATCACGAGGTTTTTCATTTTCAGGCCAGGCCACAAGAACCTGAGCCGGACAAACAACTATTTCTTCATCGCCATCTCCGAGGTCATTGCCCTTTTTGACGACGAGTGGGAACAGCACTAAGCGCACTGGAATGCCCTGTGCTTCAAGCGTTTCATTGGAGTTGTATATTCCACTGCGTTCATTCATTAAGGATGCATTGAAGCTTACTTGCCGAGCAAGATCGCCCTGTGAGTCGTATTCCGGTTGCAAAGGTGGCAGCATGACATATTCGGCGCGTTGTGTCCTCATTTCGATGGACAAGTTGGCTGCGCGCCGGAGCACCCCTCTCAACGACTCGAGAAGTTGACTTTGAGCCGATTGAGGAGGTGGTAGAAGTTGGGATAGAGTCTCCATGATTTCGAGGGCAACAGCCTCAGTGTCCTTGACCCGTTGATCTGCGAATGAAGGACGTTTTGCGAGTAGGGTTAGTGTAAGAGCGCGCCAATGAGCGACGGCTCGACGAGGTCCGATTTCTGAGAGCTGTTTCTCAAGAGCCTTGAGTTTTTGCCTTTGTTCCCGGTCCATGCCAAAGAGATATCTTGTAAAGACGTATTCCCAAATCATAGCCATCACAACCGCGACGAAAACATCGCGTCGGCGCACTCGGTCAGCGAGAATTGCATCGATATCCGTGCCGTCCAAAATAGCATTGTCAAATCGATCCGCAACATTTGTGTTTCGTACTTCGGATAATGGACGGCAACGGCGAAGATCGGAATGTTTGGAAAATCGTAGTACCCATTGTTGGACATGTTGACACAGACGTTGGCATGCATTGTCAAAGTAGTCTTCGTCGTGGATAGAGAGTACGTCGGCCGCTGTTGCCGCGACAATCTGTTGTTGTAGTTCTTGTACTGCTTGTCGGGCCGCAGCAAGCTCGTCACGTAGACGACGAAGCTCTGCATCTTTCTCTGCTAGAGCAGCGGATATCTGTTCGCGCACAATTCCTTCCATACCTGAAGCAAGTTCGAGCTGACGGGTACGAAGACCATCGACTTCACGTGCATGCGACGCAGTCAATTCAGCGTGCTTCGCATTCACCGCTTCATTCTCCGAAGTCAATCGTTGCACCTCACTTTGCATCCATTCCAATGACTTTGTCAATCGCGCAATTTCGGCTTCTTTGTCTCTCAAGTCGGCATTGCTGGTATTGAGAGCTTGATCGCTTTTGCGACGAGCAATCCCCACGCGCGATAGTCTTTGTTCAGCCTCGTCCTTTGCAGCGGCTAGTAGGCGATTCTCGGAGATTAATTGATCGAGTCGAGTCTCGAGTTCTTGAAGATGTTGCATGCTTTGACGGCGTCTGACGCTGGGCGGTCGGGTCGGCGACCGTGGTGAGTTTGGAGTCTCGCCCCATCCCTCCTGTACGCGCAGAGAGGTTAGTCGCGGAAGGTTGAGCATTTGTAAACGAAGCTGAATGTAACGAACGAACGAACGATAAACGCATCAAGAAGTATCAAGCGACAAACAAATCAGTGGCACTTACGTAGACATCAGACATGCCTCGGACGGGGCGCTTGCCCTTGTCGGTTACGGGATCGTACGATGAGGAAGAAGGGAGGTTTTCGAGATGTCGGCGGTCAAAGTCATCGCGGACATCGTCGTGGTTGTTGTCGTGGAGCAGGTCGTCGTCGTGGAAGGAGTCAGCCTGAGGAACGAGTGGCTGGGGATGATGCCCCACTTCTTGGCGCCCAGCCTTTCCCTTTTTGCGGGAATCGGCCTTAGGCCGATCCGAGTTAGACTGCTGTTCTTTGCCCTGAGAAGCTGCTGCCACTGCTCGAAGATCACCACTGATGCTGCGATTGGCCTTGCGCAGTGACCGTGAGCTTCGGACGCTGCTGCGGCTGTCTGGTCGCTCCAATTTGTACGGTCCTTCTCCCATGACAAGTCGCGGAGAAGGTGATGGAAGGTGAGAGCCGTCATGTTCTTTGATGGGATCAAGAGGTGTTCGTGGGGGAGAAAGGCCTTCAAGGTTCTCAGGGTATAAGAGGGGCTGTGGAGATTGGCTGCTTGCTCTTTTTGTTGGGGTCAGTTCATCTTCAAGCTGCCAGTTGCGTGCCGTGCCAGAGTGGTGGCCATGGATAGACTTTGTACGGTGAAGAGAGCCACTAGCATGCTCTGAGTGATGGCCATGGATGGATTGTGTGCGGTGTAAAGAGCCACCGGACGTTTGATGTTGTAACCGAATTGGCGATGAAGAGGTTCTGCGCGTAGTATCGGGAGTGGGTTCTAGCCTGGTTGATGGAGAAGAGTCGAACAGGAGTGAGGAAGACCGATCTTTGGACGTTGATTCCACAGTGACAGGCAACTCGCGACTCGAGAGTTGGTGTTTTGACTGGGTCTTCTTAAGACTCTTGACAGGTGTTTCTAGCGGTAGGCTTCGCTCTTCCACAGCAAGGGTATTGGTGGTTTGCTTTTCGTGTGACTTGGGAGAGGGCTTCCTGTACTTGACTCTTTCGAGGCCTGGAAAGATGTCGGCAAGCTTGTTTGACTTGCTTTCTTCTTTAGGAGCGTCAAAAGTTGTGATTGAAGATTTTGAATGCTCATCGCTGAATACATCACGATGCTCGTAAAAGTCAGATAATCCCCTTGAAGTTCCATTTGTAGAATGCATGTCCGTATTCGCATTGTCTTCTGCATGTGCTGTGACGGTAGAAGGAAAGAAACCTGCTGCAGCCATTGTTGCAGAAATGATCATATCCACATCTTCTTTTTGACTGGGGGAGTTGCTGCGATCTTCTTGTTGAGATGTTTTTTCTACATCGACCACCTGGTTGTCTGATATTGATCTTGTCGATTCCTCATGAAGCTCTTCTGCTCGGAAGTCGTTTATCATAGGTGACGTGTCTTGTGCCAAGAATCCGGTTGCACGTTCATGTTCGAGCTCAATATACCTGGGTGCGTTCTTATTTTCAGAGTACGTTCGAGATAAGCCATTGTCAAAATCGACAGAAGGCCAAGAACGCGAGTTTTCTTCCGCGGATTCAGACTGCTCCGTATCGTGATATTCCTCTTGTGCAATCTCTTCCTTTGGAATTGTCTCGATTTGAGAAGCAGGGGCAATGTCCTTCAAAGTTCCTTTCTCAAGTGGAGCATTCTTCTTGTCTTTCTTGCCCTTCTTGCCTTTTTGCTTCTTGGATGACTGACGTGAGACAAGTTCTTCAGGTTCTGGCTCGGCAGATTCTCCAAAAAGAGAAGCGGCAACAGCAAGATCAGCCTCTTGCTCTAACTGACGTGCACGAAACGCTGCATCAGCGTCTAGTTTGGGCTCAGAGTCTCGTTCTGCGACAACAGTGTCAATCGCCCAATCAGCAGAGGCCTCATTTGGACCCTCGTCTCCGGCGTCTGGCACATCAAATGGATCAAGTGATACATGAGGTTGTTCAGGTTCAACATTCGTATCTTCAACAGCGACATTATCGACGATATTCTCTTCTGATTCCTCAACAGCAATAGGCTCAACGACATCTGATTGAGGTGCAATATCTCTGCTGACCTCAAGTGGCTGCTCTTCCGGCCAGGTCTCTGTCATGCGCTTTTTGTTCTTTCTTTTTTCTTTTTTGGATAGCTTGTGCGTGACTGGCTCCTTCTGAACAGCCACAATATCAACTTCCTTCTCGACTACTTGCTCTTCGGTATTGATAGGAGCTTCCTCAGAAACGGGTTCTGCAGGCTTGGTATCGACAATTTGCTGTTCCTCAAAAGTAATTGGATCATCCTCTAAAATGTAATTAGCAGGCTTCACATCGGTAACCTGCTGGTCTTCGAGAGCAATAGGAGCCTCAAGAACGGACTCTACAGGTTTCACATCGGCAACCCGTTGTTTTTTGGGGGCAACAGGAGCCTCTTCAAAATCGGGCTCTGTAATGGCAGGTTTCAAATCGGCACCCTGTCGTTCTTTCAGAAAAGTAGAAGCCTTCTCGAGAATTGGTTCTGCGGCAGGCTTATCATCGATGGTTGGCGCACTATTGACATTCTCATTAGCAGCCTCCGGAATCTGCTCGTTGCCGACACTTTCTATTTCCTTCTCCACAGTCTCTGCAATCGGTTCTTCTTCCTCGAAATCTAATTTCTTCCCCTTCTTCCCCTTCTTCATCTTTCTCTCTTCCCTCTTTGAAAGCTTGCGACTTGGGGCCTCAGGAAGTGGCGCGGTGTCGCTTTCAGGAAGCTCCTCTTGGGGTACGCTTTTCTCTTCTGGTATTTCTTCAGGAATCACAGTGGCATCCGTGGTTTTCGTATCCCCTAGGACTTCCTCCTGCGCTGGTCCTGGGGCTAGAGGTACTCCTTCAGGCACTTCAGTCACGTCGTTGTCAACCGCAGCCATCTCCTCTTTGACTTCATCATCCGGTAGTTGGATGGGGGTTTGTTTGGTGTTCTGCTCCTCCACAGGCTCTTCGCCTAGCTCTTCGAATGACCATGCATCAGACTTCTTGTTGTTTTTCTTGCCCTTCTTCTTGCGGGAGTCGGCAGATTTGAACTCCTCTTCCGTTTGAGGAACTGGCTCTGAAACCAAGGGAGCCTCTTCGACTGGAGTAGGCTCTTCTTGAATGTCTCTCGGTTGCTCATTGTCGAAAAGTTGTATAGGCATTGATTTTGGAACCAGGAGTGAGTCTTCGATAACGGCAGACCCTTCTTTGATTTCTCGTGATTCATCGGTTTCGACAGCTTGTTGTTCGATGTCGGGCTTGTCTTCTTGCTCAACCGAAGTCCTTGGCGAGTTTACTTCTTCGACGATCATGGACTCATCTGGCGCAGTGGTGATTGACTTTTGCTTCTTCTTTTTCTTGTTCTTTTTTGAGCTTTTAGAAGCCGTCCAGTCTATATCCTCTKCCTCTTGGTCGACGGGTTGGAAATCAGCTGTAGAGAGTTCTGTTGGTCCTTCTTCTTGTGCAGCAGCTGGGATTTGATCATCTGCCACAGCTTCAGGAATTACAGCTTCGTCATCTACAGTAGTTGGAGTAGGGCGGCTCCGGTCGGAATCATCGCGTTCATCAGAAATCGGGGAACGAACCGGGAAGGGAGATTCTTCTGTCTGAGATTGTACCTGCGGAGACACCACGTTATCAGTCCAATCGAAATCTTTCTCTTTCTGGTCGGTGTGAGTCTCTTCGGAAGACTGAAAAGTTTCTTTACCCTCGACTTCAACAGGCGTCTCCTGCAGTTCATTCTCTGTTTGACTTGGTCCCAAATTGAGGTCTTCGCTAAGAGGCGGAAAATTCGAATCAGATTTTTCGGTAATTTGTCCAATCTCGTCGGGTTTCGGTTCCTCCTTGGCGACGGCTTGAATGACTTCCTCCTCCCAGCTTACCGATTGCCTCTTGTTCTTCTTACCCTTCTTTTTTCCAACCGGCGCAAAATCATCCGCAGCTACTTCGTTGTCGTTTTGCTGTTCGTCTGGCATAGGCGATTCTACGTGCGCAGTCACCTCAGGGGTGTCGTCTGCAATCGCAGGGCTTGGTTCGTCTGCCATATCAATCGTACGACGTTTCTGCTTCTTCTTCTCCTTTCGCTTCTCTTTTGCAGATAGCTGCTTGGTTGATTCTGTAACTGCAGTTGCCAACTCTCCATTTTCCGGTTCCACATTAGCTTCATCAGGGTCTAGATCCTTGAACTCTTCCATAACTGGTTCATGCTGTGACTGCAGTACCTCGAGAGGCGCCAGCTCGGGCTGCTTCTCTTCACTTTGCGAGTTGATCAAAGTCATCTCATCTCCAGCCTCGACTGCGATAGGAGCTGTCGAAGAGTCCTGCTGTTCTGCAGGTTCGTCGTCCCACGGCATCGAATCTCGCTTCTTCTTTTTCTTTGACTTTTTCCCAGGCTTGGCTTGCGATGATTCGTTGTCATTCCGTGTTTCTTCATAGATGTCGCCGGGAGAGGAAACGTCACGGCTCTGCTCCCCAGCGTCGGTAGTCTCTGTAAGGTCTGTAGCATTCAAGGACTCTTGATTTGCGGGTTCTTCAGGTTGGACTGACACGGATTCATCTGCAGGTAGTTGAGAACCTACTGATGGCGGAAGCTTTTCACCTTCTGGGCCCACTTCAGCAATCTGCTCGGACTCCTGTTTCTCTTGTTCCGTAGAATCAACAATTGCAGGTTCTTGTATTTCACGAGTAAACTCTTTTTTGAGAGCATCCTCACTTGCAGCCTCCTGCATCACATCTGGTGTCTTGACCGAAGACTCTTCATCCCAAGGCATCGGCTCATCCTTGGACTTGTTCTTGTTCTTTTTCTTCTTTGACTTGCTAGATTTTGACGTTGAGCCTTCGTCTTCGATGTTCTCAGCTTGGACTGGTGCAGAATCTTCTTGTGGAATCGCTTGCGTCGACATATCGGAAGTGTCGACCTCCTTCTGTTCGTCAACTGCTTCCGTAACATCCTCAGTAGCAGGAGCGGATTCGACAGCCAGAGCAAAATCTGAAATGTCCTTTGTCTCTTCAGCAGTAACGTCGGGCTTGCTTTCCTCCTGGGTGGCCTCTAATTGAAGTGACTTGCGTTTCTTCTTGTCCTTCTTCTTCTTCGATTTTGAGGTTTCTTGGCTCCAGCTATCGTCTTCGGGAATATCGACTTGCTGGGTCTCGTCTGGAGTTTGAGAAATAGGAATTTCTGTTTCGGAAACTTCTGTAGCGTCATCTGCTTTCTTTTCGTCCACAGGAGATTCTATTTGAGCCACGGAGGCAGAGGGCTCGCTTTCGACAGGTTGTTCATCGATAGGCCTGTCGGACGAAGTGGGTTCGTCATCCCATAGGAGAGCTTCTGCTGCCTTCTTCTTTTTCTTGTCTTTCTTCTTCTTTGATTTAGAAGAAGGCTCCTGAGCCCATTCGTCCTCTGCCGCAACAGGAACAGCATTGACATCTTCTGCGGAGGCTTCTGTAGCTTCAGGGACTACGTCCTTGTCATTGTGAGCATCGTCCACTTTTGCTTCCTCCGCAGCAGGGAGTTGTGACTCGGTTGGTACAACTTCAGCTGAAGATTCTGTAGCTACAGGTTCGACATCCTTGTATTCAGAAATCTCACCGGCTCTCTGTTCTTCCGCAGCAAATGATTCTTGTACCTCGGGTAATGCAGTCTCAACAAGCTCCGCTGCTTCTTCTTCGACAGGTGTTTGAGGTTCGTCGTTCCGTGGAAGAGCTTCTGCCGCCTTTTTCTTCTTCTTGTCTTTCTTTTTCTTCGACTTTGAAGAAGTCTCCTGAGCCCAGCTGTCGTCTTCAGTATTGTCAACAGTCTTCACGTCTTCGACGGGGTGCTCTGCATGTTGAGTTTCAGCAGTCTGCTCTTCCGTGATTTCCTTTGTTGTTTCGTCGAGGATAGGCATTTCTTGGGGTTCAGACGATTCAGCTTCAGTGGGCTTCGCTTCCGCCTCCTCAACAACTGGTTCAGATGGAGTTGGTTCCTCGTCCAAGGTGAGGGCTGCAGCAGCCTTTTTCTTTTTCTTGTCTTTTTTCTTCTTGGACTTGGAAGTTTCTTGAGGCCACTCATCATCTGCTGTGACATCAGGAGTCTTTTCTTCTTGTGCAGGAACCTCTACATGAGTTTCGGCAGGCTGAGGCTCTTCGATTTCAGCAGCAATGACTTCCTCCGTCTTTTCCTCCTCGGGAAGTTGCTCTTCTTGAGTGGCTGACTCCGTCTGTTCAGGGGCTTTAGCAGGTGTAGCTGGAGTAGAATCCGTAGTCTCCTCCTTGGGCGTTGGTTCCTCTTCCTGCAGGAGAGCATCGGTGGCCTTTTTCTTCTTCTTGTCCTTCTTCTTGGACTTTGAAGTCTCTTGAGTAGGCACATCGTCCGTGAGGTCCAAGGGCTTTGTCTCCTCCACTGGCTCCGGCGCAGGCTCTTGAACAGATTCCTCCACAGGCACCTCCGCAGGCTCTTGAACAGTCTCCTGAGCAGGCTCTGAGATGGGCTCTTGAACGGGCTCTTTAACAGGCTCCTCCACATTCTTCTCGATCAGTTCGTCCATGGTCTGCGGCTCTGCTACCGACTCCACAACATCAACCTCCTTTGTTTCATCCGGCTTGGACTCTTCGACAACGTCTTCTGTCTTTTCTGCACCGTCAGAAAAAAGAGTCTCAGCAGGCTCCTTTGCTTCTTCAGTGACTGGTGGCTCAGGAGAGTCTTGTCCCGAAGTGAGAGCCGCAGCCGCAACAGCAGCAGCGGCGGCCGCTTTCTTCTTCTTTTTATCCTTCTTCTTTTTGGACTTGGAGGAGGTTTCCTGAGTCTCCTCTTCTTCTTGTGCAATGTCCATAGATTTCGGCTCATCAGCAGTGGCATCGGAAGCTGACGGTTCTGGAATATCTTCAGAAATGGTAGTTGAGGCTTGTTCTTCGGCAATAGGCTTGTCTTCAGGAAGTGGCTCAGTAGGCTCCGAAACAGGAGCATCTCCCAGAAAATTATCTCTTGATGTATCCTCGGGGACTGGCTGCTCAGCGGAAGCCGTCTCAGTAGGTTCTGAGACTCCGGCGTTTTGAGACACTATAGTTTCTACTGGAACAACATCCATCATTTGTTCCTCTGTAGCGGGCTGCTCAGCGGGAGCTGTCTCAATAGGCTCGGAAATTGCAGGAGTAGTAACCTCAGCCACGTCCTTGACGGTATTATCAACAGGCGGATCAGATACTTGAGAAGGCTCATCGTCTGTGAGCGCAGAAGCTTCAGCTGCCTTTTTCTTCTTCTTATCCTTCTTCTTGTCCTTCTTCTTCTTGGTCTTTGAACTTGCACCCTCGGATTGATCGGCTTCGTCCTTGAGTGGTTCTTTGGCATCGATTAATTGAGAAGATTCGGTAGGCAAGAAGGCAGGCTGCTCGTCAAGGTTCTCAACGCCTTCGGCTTGTTGTTCGGATTGAGGATCGATAGAAGGCTCTTTCTCAGCAGTTTCAGTTGTTGAAGATGGCTCGAAAATTGAAGCAGACTCGACGTCAGCGCTTGAGGGGGTTAGAGATTCAACGGCCTCTGCTGGTGTTGGCACTTCTGTCTCTATTTCTCGTGGAGCCTCGACTTCAGAGACAGTCGAAGATTCAGGCTCGGCAGAGATAGGTACCACCGCTTCTTCTTCGGCGGCAGCTAATGGCTCTTCTAAAGTTACAGCAGGTGCAGTCTCTTCAAGCGCAGGGGTTTCAGGCTCTGCAGGAGTCGCAGGCTCAGACTCAACAGCAAATTCAGCTCCTTCAGCCCAAGACACTCGCTTTCCTTTTTTGCCCTTCTTCTTCTTTGATTTGCTAGAGGTAGAAGGCACTTCTTCAAATGCTTCTTGGCTTGGCGTCGCCTCTGCTGCTTCAATTTCTTTTGTTAATTGTTCAGTAGTTAACTGTTGAGTAGAGATTATGTCGGTTTCTGGCTGTGACATCTCAGATGAAGCAGGTTCGTTAGGAGTATCGAATGTCTGTGGTTCAGAGGTCTCTTCGATCTGCTTGGGAGCTGCTTCGCTTTCCGTCAGCGCTTCGGCAACCACTTCAGAAACTTCAGGTTTTGCTACAGTTTCTGGAACAACGGGGATAGAAGCATCATCTGACTTCGATGCGGATTCTTCAGCTTCAGCAGGCAGGGCTTCAGATGTCTCTGGTACCACTTCTTCAACATCTCTGGACTGACTCTCAGAATCACCCGCTTGTACGACTTCACTTTCAATGGAAGGAACAAAAGATTCTTGTTCTGTATCTTGAGAAGCAGTATCATCGATAGACGAAGACTGGCCTTTCTTCTTCTTTTTCTTGTTCTTCTTTTTGCTCGATGAAGTTGTGACTAGCTCTTCCTCTGTCTGTTTTATCTCCACTGATTCAGGGGTAGCGGTGATATCTTGGAGAACATCTGGTGTCTGCATTTCCTTGTCTGCAGTAGCAGAGTCTTGCGCAATTTCTACCGGCTCGGTAGGCCGTACTTCTGCGGTTTCTGCTGAGTCGAACCATTCATCGACAGGACTATCGACGGGCTTGTCTTGTTCATTATCCTGCGATACCTCGGCATCTGGCGCGACGATGACAAAGTCACCCTCATTGGCTGCAGATCTGTCAACAGACTCTGCCACTTCCAGCTCGAGCTTGTCCTGCTGCTTTTCCCCAGAAGTAGCCACATCCCCAATAGAAGTCTCCGGAGTCATAGACGGCATGCCAGCAGAACTCTCTTCAAGCACAGGCTTTTCTTCAACTACCTCTTCAATTGACTTTGGCTTCTCAGTAACAGTAACACCAGACTCGATCTGTGGTTCATCGACCGAAGCAGCTTCAGGTGATTCACCATAAACTGATTCCGACAGACTCAGCGATTTCTTCTTATTCTTCTTTTTCTTTTTCGAAGATTTAGAAGTTGTAACTGTCACAGACGAAGATCGTTCGTCTTCAGGCTCCGCTGCCACATGTGGTGGTTGATCATTGGTGCCTGTAGTAGTCTGTTCGTTCTCCGCAGATGCGGTGACCGCCTCGGGGGACAACTCAGTCTCCACAATTGAGGTGGGTGCTTCCAAATCATGAGTGCCGTCTTCAGCGACTTGTTGAGACTCACCAGCGAGTGGTATGTGATTCGTAATTTCCAAATCATTGTCTTTGAATTCAACATCGTCCGAGACAGGTTGTTGCTCTGCGACCGCTGGCTCATCAACAAAGTCCGTGACAGGTACGGCCCGTGCCGCTTCCGCCTTTGGCACTGGCTCGGGTTGTGCAGAAGAATCTAATTCACCCACAGGAACAGGAGCAGTGGTCGCCTCTCCTTCATCACTGTCGTCAGCAGGAGCGTCAAGATCTTTGCTCTTTTTCTTCTTTTTCTTGTCCTTTCGTTTCTGCTTCTTGGAAGTACCCGAGCTAGCTTCTTCGGCGACAGCTTTGGACTCTTCTTCAATGAGAGGAATCTCTGCTGCATTTTGTTCTCGCACAGTACCTTCTTGTTGGCTGACATCTCTAGCTAGGTCTGGCTGAGCAACTTCAGCAGGGATTTCGCCGGCAGCCGCTGCAACAGCAGCATCAACAACACCTGCGAACAGACCAGCGTTGGAAGAAGGAGTGTGCTTTGCGGCGACGTCCTCGTCTGCCTTCATGGAGTGATCGCGTTCAGTATCAATCACGTCATGAGAAGTATTTTCAGAGACCGCTTTCGAAACCGCTGCATCTACAATGTTGCCGAAGCCGCCGAAACTTTCGGGCTTAAATGAAGTTGGCGCTTGCTCCTGATGACCAGCATCCTCAGTGAGTTCCTTTGAGGTTGCTGCATGCTCATCGACATCCTTTGTAGCTGGCTCGGCGTCACTAACAGCAGCAGACACAGCCGCATCAACAATAGAAGCAAAMCCTGCACCCGCCAGGAACGAGGATATACCACTTTTGTGTTCCTTGCGCCGATCCTCATCCCTGACATCAATGTCTCTTGCTGACTCCACCACATGTGCTTCCTCTGTTTTGATCTCAGGTTCCTTTCCACCCAACTCTGATCCCGCAACAGAAGGCAAACGATCCAACGACTCCGGAAGCTCCGGAACCATAGATTGATACGTAGTTGGATCCTGCAGCAACTCCGATGGCGAATGGAACTCATACTTTGGCTTCTCTTTCTTGATCGGTGGCGGACCAAATTGTTCGTTGTTATTGTTGTATGTTTCAGCTGTGGGAGTCGCTTGCTGCGAGTTCAAGAAATCGTCTTCTTCAGCAGGTAATTGGTCCGTGGATATGCGGAGATCAACTGGTTTGCGACCCCAGCTAAAGGCGGAGTCACCACTGCCCATGAAAAAGCCGGTAACAGCGTCTTCGCCGTCGTCAAAGCCTTCGCGGAGATTTTCGACGGAGGGGCTCCGGGATGATGTCTTGCTCGATGGAAGAGATGGGAGAGGTCCCTCAGGCTCGACGTCAAGTTTGCTGGTACTATGTCTTTCAACGAGCCAGAGCGGGCGGATTTCGCGCACATTCTTGAATTCGACGGAGTTGGGACGTCGATGACCTGGTCTCGGTGAACTAGGGGATTGCGCTGGGGAAGTCATCGAGACTCGTCGAGAGCTATTCGGAGATGTAGGCGGTTTCCTGAAATGCAACGGAACAGCCGTAGGCGAGTCACTCGTTCGCAAAAGTGACAGACGTCTCGCTCGTAATTCCTTCTCATCTTGATTACTACCTCCGGGGGAAGAAGGTCGACTCAGAGATCTGGGTGCCAACTCGAACGTCTTTTCAGCCATCGAAGGGGATACCGAACGGCTTCTCAGACGCTGGTTCACATCCTGCAGCTGATCTTCGATACTCATACTGCCAGGTCCAAACGCTCTTGTAGTGATAGCTAGCCCCGAAGCACCACCCACGAGGTCTCTAGTCGAATCTTCTTCATAACTATTTACCGGTGGCATTTCGGGGCGCATCCCTAAAAAAGACTTTTTGTCGTTATCATTATCGTCGACGGTGGCATATCGATCCTATATGGGAAGAAGAAAAATAAAAACTTTAGCAAATGATCATTACGAAGAAAACATCGCACCATAATGTCTTTGGGTAACACATGTAATAGATTGTACAGTCATATTCCACATAAGAAATGTCAACGCTGCATAAAAGCTGCATAAGAAAAAAAAAAGGGACTAGAGATCTACCTTATCTGGTGCATCACGAGCCGAATCAACAATCTCCTCATACTTGTTTCGCCGCTTTTGCTCTTTTCTCTTTCTGCGGGCCGATTGGCTGTCGTTGTCTCCATCTTCGCCGTCCAGTGCTTTACCCAGCTGAGAGAGATCCATTGTTGACTGAGCGGCTTCGCTTGCCACATCCCAACCATCAGGCCCATCACCGCTCAAGCTACTACGTGACGAAGACTTCTTCTTGCGTCTACGCTCAGACGTACTGTCATCGACACCAATTTCTGACTGTGTTTCACGTTTTCCGGAAGTCGACCAAGAGCGTTCTGTATTTGTCTTTGAGCCGAAAAGACTGCCGAAAAGCCCACCGCTTTTCTTTTCGGGCTCTCTGGACCGCTGAGTAGAGGCTACCGACGACTCACGTGAGCGACGCTTCTCGCGAGTCTCATCTATCTTTGCTGGCGAGGAGACTACCGAGGCAGCATCGTCAAAGTTTCCGCTGTGACGTTTGTGTTTGCGCCGTCTACGCTTTTCTCCATCATCGTCCATATCGGGGAGAGAGCGGCTGTCGTCCTCGAGGTCTCCATCTTCATCTTTGGACCTACGAGAAGACCTGCGGGACCTATACTCCTCAGTCTCATCAGCCCCTGGAGCCGATGCGGCAACAGAACGGGCGCCATCCAGTGATTCAGTGCGGTCTGAACTACTGCCTTTTGATCTGCGATGACGCCTTTCCTTGTCTTCTTCGATCCAGTCGTCCGTCACAGGTGCTGATTCTACCCGTTTCAATGTCGGCTCAAAGTCTACATTGTCGAACTTTTCTTGTTGTTTACTGTCAGAATGATCTCTCGAAGCAGATCGTCTTGATGAGCGCTCTTCTGACTCAATTTCAAGATCGTCAAGCGTTTTCGATCGTCTCTTCTTCTTCTTTGACTTTTTGCTCTCATCTCTGACAGGTGAGGATGGAACACTGTCGCTAGCGTCATCGCGCAACTCCTTGGTTGACTTGCGGTCGAGGATCTCGGACATAGTGACATCTACCGGCTCTGTGACGGCAATGGACCGAGTTGAGGTTTGACCGTCTTTGCTTACTTTGATCTCATCGGTATGAACATCCTCTAAATCAAAAGACTCTGGTGCACGGAACCCCTTGCTTGCTGACCCTGATGGCACCGACACTGCTTCACCGAGATCGGTAACACTTTCGACAGCAGGAGGTCGATAAGTGTCTTTTAATTTCGACAGGTGATCTTTTCCGTAGTAACTGGCATCATCAGTCACAACAGTAGGATCAAAGCCGGCTATTTCAGCACCAGCAGCGAGTGTGGCTGCGAACTCAACATCGTCATCGAAACTACCCGGCATTGAGTGCTTTGAAGTGGACTCAGTCTCATCTAGTTCACGAGTGACGGGCTTTTCTTCAACTAAGGCCTCATAACTCCTTTCGTTGTCATGATAATCGGCTGACGCAGCAGCTTCGTGGTGATCGGACTCCTCGAAATGCTCTTCCTTGTCGGAGAGAGGCGTCTCAACTTCGTACTTGTAAACTTGGTGATCACCCCACGAAACACGAGAGCCAGTGGTTGGACGGACGGGTGTCGTTTCAACATCTTCCTCTTTTGGCTCCTCCTTCTCGATTGGCTCCGGTGTCGTGGGTACGGGGGAGTGGGCGTCTCTCACAGAACCGTCATAGCTGCCCGGAGGAGTTGGCTTGATGATGTTAATGACCAAAGGAGGCCACGATGGATCTGGCTTGTCAAGATCGCTACCAAGATATGGTTCAACGCGGCGCTCAGAACGTGGAATAATCTCGACGATATTAGGCGAGGAATCCTCATGAGTGTCCTGATGCCGCAATTCCTCTGGCGTGAAGAAATCCTCGTAACTTTCGTGAGCGGCAGGACTCTGATTCTGGACTGTCCAAGAAGTTCTAGCAATGTGCTCTTCTTTCTCCATGTGCTCGTCATCATCTTCCACGACTGCTTGAGTAGGTGCTTCACGAGGGATCTCTGTTACTTCTGATTGGCTTTCAGAGGCGTTACGTCGTTCAGATCGCCGCTTTTTGCTACGCTCTCCGTATCGACTAGTAGATGCACTAGACCGATCATCTTCTAATGCTTTTTCGGCTAGAGCTCCTGCGACAACAGCAATTGCCGGTGGAACCCATGAAGATGAAGATGGCCCCTTTCCGTTATCACTCGTTTGTGTCATGTCCTCCGCGACATGCCTTCTCTCTCCATTAGAAAGGACTGATGGGCGATCATCAAGCTTGGTTTCCTTGAGACGTTTCTCTTGTCGGACCTTGCGAGCAACTTCCTCGGCCTCTGCTTCTTCACGGCGACGGCGCTCTTCCCTTCTCCTTTCTAGCTCAGCGAGTGCATCCACTTTCTCACTCCAGGCTGCAGATTCTTCTTTCCGCTGACGATCCCGCTTTTTGTTCCCGCGGGTAAGCTTTTCTTCTCGGTCTGCCTGTTCCTCAGTGAGGTCAAATGAGACTGTTCCTGGGTCTTTCGCTGTCGATCTCCGCTTGAGAATTCCTGGTGAGGGCCCATCAAGAGGCGCCGTGGGTAGAACAGGAGAGGAATTACTGCGACGTTGCCGTTGTATATCTCGGCTTGAATTGTCCTCTAGGCCAATGCGTTGCACAAGAGGTTCGACGGGTGCGGTGACGGTGGGATAGTAAACCGACTGAGAGACTGGAGTAAAAGGCTGGGGCTGCTGAAGGGGTATTGGGCCAGGTCGTACCAACGGAGGCTGTACATTCGGATACGAAGATGTCGACATCCGCACGACATCAAACCGTGTCGGATCGCTTGTTGGAACCGGAACGACTTGCTGAAGACTACCTCTACCGCTAGAGCCATCTTGACTGGCGTAGTCATTAGAGTAGTAGGGGTAGTCGTTGGTTGGAGGAGGTTGCGAGTACTGCCTCTGGGCTTTCTTCTGCTTGCGCGAGCTCGAGCTCCACGGCCAAAAGGACGATCCAGAAGTAACAGATTCTGAACTTCCAAAAATAGCACTTCCACCATAAGCCAAATTCGTAGAGACGGCAGAATCTGAGGATTCAGCGTCCTCCCATTCTTCATCCTCGACTTTCGAGGGCCGCCCGTAACTCGGAGGTCGAGCGAGATCGCGAGGTGTCAACTCTTTGCGAGATGATGAATGCGCAAGCTGTCTAGCTGCAAGTCCTAGACCCAAGATCTCGGCGTCGACGTTTTGTTTTCTGCTCGACTTGCTCGACTTGTTAGATCGACCACTTACCGTCGAACCGAAGACCTCAGAGCCGCCAAAGGCAAGATCAAAGTCACCGGAGGAAGAAGACGAGTTGCCGAATGAGAAGAATCCTCGTTCTTTCCTAGAAGACTTCTTCCGGCGATTGGCCGATGGAGCGGTAAAGAATGATCTGAAGCTTCTGGGACTAGATCTGCCGCGTCTTCGGGAGCTTTCAAAGTTGACACTTCCCGAAGAATCAGATTGGCGTCTTCTGTGGCGTTGTGCAGACCTATCTTGACTCCTTTTCCTCTCAGAAGACCGCGTCGCGGCCGCAGTCAATGCAGTTCCGACGGCTGCACCAATTGCTGCTTCCTTGAGACCACTGCTGGTTCGGCGGTCTCTAGAGGTCGATCGCGAACGCGAGCGAGAAGAGCGACGCGAATAACGATAAGTCCTAGAGTCTTTCAACACCGAACTCTTATCATCACTCGATCGTTTCTTCGAGACCACGCCACGGGACGTGGAACTAGCCTTGCTCGAAGATACCATACTCTCATCGTCGTAGGTATGACGGCGCGATGACTCGACACGAGCACCGGATCGCACACTATATGTATCTTCAAAATCCTTACTGCTGAACAAGGACTTTGCCACATAGCCGGCGAGTCCACCTGCTAAGCCACCTGCCAACCACGAACTGCCTTTTGACTTCTTGCGCCGGCTTTCATCCTCAGACGAATTGTAGCGAGTCAACTTGTCAACTCGACTGCTACTGCCGTATCTATCAACGACAGGAGAGCGCCTTCGTCGGTCATAGTGATGCTTTCGTGGTGCGTTCAAGGACGTTGTGCCGGGCTCGAAACAGTATTTACACACTCCGATAGCCTCGGTGTAGTCTTCAAACTTGCCGACACCTTCCGGGTCTCTCCAAAAGTCGACAAATGCGGAAAGCGGCCCATGATGTTTTTGATGGTAAGCCAGCGATCCGGGCTGCATACCTCCAGAAGAATACGAAGGTCCTAATGGCGGGCGATTGGCGTATCCAGGCGGTGCGTATGGGCTAGGAGTTCCTTGGAAAGAAGACTGCTGAAAGTTTCCGTTTGTAGGAATGCCTATCCCATACGACTCATTATGTTGGTTGGTATGTTGCGCATTCGGGTTTGATTGCTCGCTATGATGATTGAGCATATAAGCTGCTGCAGCTCCTGCAGCCGCGCCACCTAAAGCCAAACCTACACCATTATGGGATGATGAAGAACCTCCAGTCGCTTGCATCGGAGGTCTTGACTGACCACTAGAAGTCGTAGGGTAGTTGGTGCTAGCTTGGTTCATCAATTCTGAGCCGATACCAAAGGTTGCGGCCTCTCCAGCCACTGAGGACGCAGAGGTTGGCTTGGGAGGTCTTGAAGAAGATGATGGCTTTGAGGGTTTGCTTGGTTTCGGTGGTTTGGAAGAGGCGGGAGTCGATGAAGTTGCAAATGAGTCGCCGGCAGCATAGTACTCAGCTGCCGCGCCAACTTGACCAAGACTGCTTGGTTCGGGTGGGGGATTGGCCATGGGAGATGCCGCCTGCAGATGGGGTTCGGCACCCATGATAATTTCTGGAGCCTGAGGGCGCACTCCCGGTTGGTGAGCGACTGACTGGCCTTGATCATTATAGTAGTCGGCAGCAAACCCTGCAGGATTTGGTGGGATGTAGGGTTGCGCTATGGTGTCTGGTAATTGTCCTGGAAATTGTTGTGTAATATGCGAATCTAGCGGAGGATGGTAGGGAGCTGAGGTGCCAGGTATATTAGAGGAATCATATTGCATAGGGAATTGATTGAACCCGGGATTCGCAATCTCAGCAGCAAAGTGCGCAGCAGTATCTCCAGATTGTGCACGAGTCCGCGTACGATCTCGGCCATTCGTACCATCTCTGCTCGACCGCTCTTCCGAGTATCGTTTTTCTGAATTCCGCTTCGAATCACGATCACTACTATCGCGACTTGATCTCTGCCGGTCATCGCGATCTGATCGAGGAGTACGTTCAATTATTAAAGGTTCATCATCATATGAGGCTGGCTCGGCGGTAACATAGGTCGTCGTCGAGTCTCCCGTTACACTTCGACTGCCGCTTATATCTCCCAGCCCACGGTCACGGTCGTCACCCCGTGTTGGCCTACGGCTGGAAGATACACTGGAAGCTGAAGATATTTTTGAATGACGGCGGGACGACGGTGTGCGACCAGAGTCGTCACCACCGGTCGTAGAAGACGACTTGCGACGGACGGATCCCCGCGAGCTCAGGTCCTCGCGACTGCCGCCGCCCATTAGAGCTTTGAACACCATTGCGGCGATGGCGATGGCGATTGAGCGATCGATAAGCTCTTTATCGCACAATCAAAGCGTATTAATTCATGGAATGTGCTGAGTATTGCGGGGGGGGAGGGGGGAATGGAATGTCGTAAATCGTTAAGATCGAATGTTGTAGTATGTACGTAGTAGGAGGTATCAAGGGAGAGAAAAATGAGGACCACGAGGCTGGGGAAGGTGGCGGGAGATGCCGTGGCAGTTACCAGTAGTTCGCCAGTGAGAGACTAGTCTTGGCCTCGCACCTCAACGTACTTGTATCCTCGCAGCGCTATAGACTCGAGCTTGTCCTCCCACAGCAACAACACAGCGGCGTTACTAGGGACAGACCTAGCGGTGTGGTTCGTTATGTTGCTGTTGTTATTGTGTTATTGTTTTGGTTTGGTCAGGCCGAGGGAAAGTAAACAAGCTGAACCGTGGGCTGACTCTAAGCGCTACTCGGCTTAGTCAGTGGGTCTACCAGACAAACACGATTAATCTTTTAGAGTACGGAGTATTGATAAAAGCAATATATATTATAGTTAATATATCGATCAGAGACCTGGGGATAATGTTAATGCAGCAAGCACTTGAATCAGCAGACATGTGCATATAATCAGTTTTAGACCTGCGAGATGGTGCCAGCTGTCTGTCGCTCAGAGGCATCACGACGATCGGAAGCCAGTGGCTAGCTGGATCTGATCTCCCACACTCAGCCGGAGTCTGCCCGACTGTGCGCCATTCGCCTCGACGCTAGTCCTCTTTGAGCATCCGTCAGTCATTGCATGCACAGCATTGACTGTATTATATCATATCGGACTTTACAATAGTACTTGCATACATCCAAGGATACTTATGTACTGTGCTGCAATCGGAACATTGTCATCGCCAATCTGGGTATAACCCCCATGAGCGATTGAAGCCAATCGGATACGGAGATAAATTCTCTGCAGAAAAATGAGATATGGAAATAAAATTTGAATCAGTCGTAGTTCATCTATGAAAAAAGAGCAAGTAGAATTAAAAAGCATAAACACAGCATCAATTATCATAACATACATCATTGCGGATTCGTAAATCATCATAAGCTCCGTAACGCATACATCATTAGTGCGGCCGTAAATCAATCAAAAAAGATATTGGAATAGCAATATAGAGAATTGCAGCTCAGGGGAAATCAGATCACAAAACATCGGAAGATAAATCACCACACCCTGTTCGCTGAGTGCTGTTGGCGTCCAGCTGAAAAGATGTTCTGCAACAGATGGTCGACCGAGTCTGCAAGAGGATCATCTCCCTCTTCTGGCAGCTTGCGGCCTTGAGCATCGAATCGATCAGGCAGGTCAATTGTCGCTTCAGAATCAGAAGAGTCTCTTGTTGCAGATTGAGTAGGAACAGGATTGGGCTTTGTAGTTTGATGGTGTTGATGATGGTGATGACTATCAGTATTAGGCGTAGGTTCGTATAAGTTAGACGAGTGGTCTCGAAAGGGAGGAGGAGGGTGACGATGGTGACGATGATGATGGTGGCTTCGATCATTTCCATCAATTGTAGAATCACTATCATCCGTTTCATACCCTTCTCCATAGGCGGCGGTGTCATGTGTACGTGACTTCTCCTTATCGGGTTTGGCGTTGCCATCTAGGTCAAAAGAAACAGACTTTGAGTGCGATGGCGGTTCTGGTTGACTAACGGATCGCCGTCTTGAGTTTCCTTCAGGGCCGCCACGAGACAAGTCTGTTCGAGAAGGTTGCGCAGACGATCCTCTTACACCTGTAACAACGTATCAGCTACTATCAATCATGCTCGAACATGCAGATTTGACTTATTGCAACCCACCATCTGCTTTGTGATGAGAGTCAAGAAAAGGGGCACTCACATTCTCATCAGCTCTACGTGGTTGTGGGGCGTAAGGTTCATTGCCGGGAGGCGCCCCAGGTGGAGGTGGATATCCGTGCATTGGTGGAGGAACAGCTCCAGGAGCCGGGGGAGGAGGATATTCTCTCGGATGATACGACGCAGGTGGGGGATTGGGTGTAGATCCTGGGGGTGGAGGGAAGCTATTTGTGTATGGATAATAGCTTTCCGTTGGCGGCACCGGAGCTCCAGGCGGGGGTGTCGGCATGTAAGGAGCTGGGTCGTACGGTTCTTCGTAAGAGTCATTTTCATGATCATGGCCTGCAGACGTTAGCCCTTCACTTTCTAGGACATTAAATCCCATTCAACTTACGTCGGCTTTCCCGTTCACGGCTGTGACGGCTCTTGTCCTTTTTGTTGCCTGAAATCTTGGAGGCTGCATAACCCAACCCTGCTGCTGCAAGACCGGCTTCCGCTAAGTCACGGATCCGACTGCTGCTTCGTTCTTTCTTCTCGCGTCGACGATGTCGGCGACGATGACTACGGTCAGATCCTGAGCTAGAGGTGCTGTATCCACGGTCGCGGCCGTCTCTGTTACCAACGGCAGGAACAACTGCATCATTGTAGTAACCTTGCTGGCTGTTTGGGCGGCCGTAGTAATCTGCCGCGGGAATATTGCCATATACTGGATCGTGGCCGTACTCAATGAGGCCGGCCGATTCTCTTGCGGGATCTGGTAGAATGGGACCTCGACTTCGACTCGTAGAACGCGTACGGGAGCTGCGTCTTTCGCCCTTTGCGCTCTGATCACGCTTTGCTTTGAAGTTTTCATAAAGGCCGGCAGCTGCTGCACTACCCAGTCCAGCAGCAACGATAGGAAGACCTTGCCTTATACGACTCTTGGATCTCGAACGTGACTTACTGCGAGCCCTCTCAATCAGMCCCGCAGCAGCGGCACCTGCAAGACCTGCCGCTGCCATATGTCTGTTTCGACTCTTTGATCTACTCGCGGCATTGCCGCCACGAGATTGCGATCTCTGGCGGTGGCGCGAACGACTTCGTCTGTCATCTTGGGACTTGTTTCGAGCTAGAGCGACAGCACCTGCCAGAGCAGCAGCACCAAGACCAATGCCTGCGAGAGTCTTGGCCCTCGAATGAGATGAAGAGCGGCTGCGGCTGTGACGGTGATGGCGACGATGGCGGCGATCGTCATCATCCACAGACGATGAGCGTCTGCGGCTTTTGCTCCGGTAATGATCGACAGCATTGGCAGCAATCGCACCCAAAGCAGCGGCGCCGACATCCCTGCCAACGCGGCCTACCCCTCCTGTGACTTCGCGGCCCTGACTCTTGCTGCGGTGTCGTAGAAGCTCTGCAGCTCCCACTGCGAGAAGCGCACCTTCAGCCAGGTGGCGCTTATGATGATGAGGTTCGTCATCATATTCGCGGGTCTCTTTGCGAATGTAGACCATGCTATCGTCGCTACTATAGTCACGATCACGGTCTCGGTCACGGCGTCGTCGAGTGCTGACCTGAGAAACTGAGTCGTGAGGGCTGATCTCCCGTCTTATGCGATCCCTGTCGTCGTCGTATTCGCGAACACGTCTTTGATAATAGTACTCAACATCCCTAGGGTCTCGCTCGACTTCGGAACGATGAACAACCTGATAATCAGGCTCATATATCGAACGTGCTATTCACGATGTTAGCCAACAGTTCATCATGATCTCACAATATGTAGGTCGTATGTTCAACGTATGATGGCAGTGTTGCAGGGGTTAGGCATGACATATCACTCACGTTCATGCTCGCGATACTCGCGGCGAACTTCATAATCGGTCTCATGAGGCTCTGTTCTACGTCGAATCACCAACTCCCGGTCAGCCGTGCCGGAATCCTCGCGACGGAAAAAATCTCGTTCACGATCACGACCATCGTCAGAGGGAATGACGTAACGCTTGACCGTGTACGAGCCACGATGCTCAGACGGCCGCGAGTATTCATCCCATTCGCGATCTCGTTCTCTGTATGCGTATGACATCTTTATCTGACACCGGGTGTTCACCTAAAAGATGTTCAGACGGGCAACTGAAGCAACGTTGGAGAGCTGCGGAAATCTCTCCCGAAGCTGAACAATCAGCACAGGCGCGGGACGAGCGCTATCGGCTGGTGTTTGTTGGGATTTTGCTATTGCGAAACTTGTTGATCTTTCTCACTTCCAAATGACAGCGAGGTTTGAAGATTTTTATTTCTAATTCCAACCAGAGACAGAAAAGGAATCAGGCAGAAAATTAAGGTATGATGGATGTTCACGTAAGACAAGGCGAGGGGCAAGGTACAGAGAAGAAAAAAGCAAGGTCGACCGTCAGTGGTCACAGAGGCACACACTAGAGCAGAATGTCCCGCGTTGCAGGAAAGGAGTGGGCCAGACGATGGTGGGGTCAACGGCAAGCCGGATGATGATGGCGATGGCTGAGCAGTGAGTCAGAATGATCAATAAGCTGGGAGCCTGTTGGATGGAAGGGTTGCTTGCATATGACGAAACGAGGGACGCGACAAGTTTGCAGTCCCGGGTCTGATGATGGCGATGGCGGAAGAGTGTGGACGGAGGGAAGGAGAGGTTGGAAGAAAGCGATTAGTGAAACTGAATAAGGCAGGCACGTGAGGTCACAGGATCACCACTGTGGTCGCTCTTCCTGACGATGACGTCGGGCAAGTATACAGAGGGTCAGCCGCACTGGAAGACTTTCCTTTGTCTTCGGCCACTTGGTCTACTACGTTTGAACAACAGCGGGGCAACACCTTGCTTAAATGTTAAATTCGGTTAACCTCTCTTTGCTGAGTCTCGAAACTTTTCTAGAAGCAATTGAAACGTAGCCTTATCGTTTGATGCGAGGAGTATGCCTTACTAGTCTGAGGCTCAGCCACGCAATCGACATATCTAGTGACCCGGCAAGCAACGAGAAATGCCGTGATTCGTGAGACTCTTCTTCTTCTCCATTATTTGCCATCGTGTGTTCGCTCATGGATCGGTGACTGGTCAGTCTTTCTCTCTGGGACTCGGTTCACACACCGACTTGATAGGCATGGAAACCTAGCGTTACTGCAGATATCGGGCACAAAGGACGGTGACGGCCAGGTCTCTACACGACAATGTTGCCCCAAACCGGTGGATCCTAGCCTTACAGCCACTCTAATTGCATTAGCGAGACTCTATCATGAGGCATATGAGCCTCAGCTACAGCGACATCCTCCTTTTTCCACCTTCTTCTCTTCGTATTAAAGGTCCGGTTCGGGTCTGATAGAAATTCCATCTCTGAGCCATGGGTCGTGCACGTGCTTCCCGCCCGCATTCCAGGGAACGCTCAAGTATTCCCCACGTATGTTTCTATTCTCTGGTACTTTACTTGCTGAGTAATCTTCGGGGCTGTGGTGATTCTGTGCAAATATCTCGCTCCATTCGAATATGGCAAGTCAGGTTTTGGCAACACGTCTGTTAAGGCTGTATTTTCGCACAAAGGAGGATTCGACAGAGCGTTGTTCGAAAAATGCAGTACATCGTGCATACTATGAATTAAGCCTTAGAGCATGAGAGAATTTGAGGGGCTCATTGGCAGTAGTTAGTCTCTACGCAAACTAGCTGATTCATATAGTACGCAGTTTCGATATGCCTACGGTACGGATGTTGATCAAGTTCTGGAATTTTATTGTTGCCTATAAGACAATTCCCTGCTTCCTCTTCCCTCCTGCCTTGATCTTTGCAAGGCCAGCGAACAAAGAAGAAATTACAATCGTTTTTGATTCATTCGTTGCCATAACGTTGATTGCATGACGAGGACAACATATGTGTAATCATAGCCCCTTATTCTTCATTTTGATTCTTCTTCCGAGCGGAAAGGTGTGACAATGGAAAAAGAATAAATAAGATTGACTTTGAATCGGAAAAAGACCCAAACACCAAGTAAAACCCACTCCGTGCTTCGTGCATTGTCGTTTTGAATTCCGCGCTTAGAAAACGAGAGCGGCACCCTTGGTCTTCTTGTCACCACTGTAGAAGGACGGTTAGCACGGTTCTCCTAATGTGGCCCATCATGAACTTTGAAATTCTTGAATGATATGAACGTACCCCAACTCGAAGTGCTTGCATCGCTTCAAAGCCAACTGAGCCTTGGTCTTGCACTGAGTGCACTCCAAACGGAGAACGACCTTCTTGGTGGTTTTGGCCTTCTTGTGGAAGACAGGCTTGGTCTGACCACCGTAACCGCTCTGCTTCCGGTCGTAACGACGCTTACCCTGGGCGAAAAGGGAAGCCTATACAAAAGTCAGTGGTTTGTTCGGCTCTGACGACAATGATCTTTCGCGGATTTCTAACCTTTCCGGCCTTGTACTGGGTGACCTTGTGCTGAGTGTGCTTTCGGCAATCACGACCCTGAAAAATCAAATGTTATAAACATAAAGAAATTATTAAATTAATGATTGAGGTAATCAACCCACCTTGCAATAAGTCCTTCTGGTTTTCGGAATGTTGACCTGAGGAGAGACCGATCAGCATATGTTCAGTATGGGTGGTGTGCAACCAATGCCCTTCCGAAGTTCATCCCCGATCAAACGGGCCACAAGAGATGATGAGATGTTCCACGGGCTGTCTTGATGTGCGATACTTGTTCGTTATGAGCTTGATTGCGTAGGCGTAGCGAAATCCTTCTGATTTGTGCGAACGGCCTTGTTGACCGATTTTGCGAGATGCATACACCTTCAATGTGCCGCTATTTCACCGTAGTGAAATCTCCAAATCCAAAGACTCAACAAATAATCAATCGTAGGAGGTTCGATTGCTTCGCAGTATTCGGAAGAGAGGCAGAATTCCAGGTTGCTGTCGTTCGTTCATTTCCTTCCTCGTTCTCCGGTTGCCGTATCGCAGGGTTATCGTGTGTTCATCTCATCCAAATCATGTGGCCCGTTTCCATTTCTTTCCCAAAAACAAGACATCCAAGAACATTGAGAGAAAACAGCATGAAGTCTTACCATTTTGGCGGTATTGACCAGAGCGCAGCTTCGTGATGGTCGGGGTTGATGTTGTCGAGGTGGTGTCGTTCAAACGCAGGATAGCAGAAATTGGCTGAATTGTGTGTCCTTCCGGGGGCTAATGCCCTACCCGAACGGAAGCTAGCCCTAATCAGACGAGAGGGCCAAGACCTTTCACGTGATAATTTTTATGCCTTATACGGTTAGATTATGTCTACATAAGCTAAGCCCATTTCAGAGACAGGTCTTGGCACCCATTGCCCGTTCAACTTCAAACTTTCATTCTGTTCTGCATCTATTTCACTATTGGCTTCTTAGGCGGTTCTCGTCCTCCTTTCCAAAATTGCAAAGAATGAATGAAGCGTATAGTCACCGTAATGTTTGATACATCACCCACATTTAGCAGTGCAATAACCGTACACTCCAGCTTCCTTCTTCAATGGAGTTGAATACGCTCTCGGAGGCTTGTCGCACCACCCACATTCTCTGCCACAGCAACCCCCTCTCCGAGCTCAACCTAAGCTTTCAGCCAGGAATATGGTTTGTCATGTCCTGGAAATGGATGAACACTGGTAGTTGAGCTCCATCAGGAGTCCTTGGACCAAGGCGTTGTCATTTCTATGGTATAATCTTCGTGAATGGGTAATGCTTTGCTAGATATTGGAAAGCTCTTTCACCTTTGCTTTTGTGCCGCTCTCCGTCACTTCCTCGGCTTCCACATCGTGTTTCTCTTCATACTCTGATTTCCTGCCTTCTATCGATGAAGCGTTTCTCCCGTCGTACGATTACAACGCCTTTGTGTTCTTCGGCTTCGAGTTCCCTTGCATAGTACTATGATAAAGGCATTTTAAAAACGTAATTCGCTTAACGTAAAGATTGGTGAGGTTAAAGAAGCAGGTACCAAGCTGTAATTCCAGATCTAATTTTATCTAGTTGATGTAATGATAACTTGAGCTCGCAGGAAAAATAGAAGATCGATATAGAGTTCGAAGGTTGATTATGATATATGTATTGCGGATAGCAATTTAGTTGCCTTTTGATGTGTCGATTTATACACCGAGTTGCGTGGTTGTAGTACTTAATAAAAATCCCCTATAAGCATTCAACATTGAAGGTAAGAAAGACTATATATCTTATTGCTTGTACTTACTACGAAAATTCAGTCCCTTTCCGGCTGGGATCCAATCCTCAGTCCTGCCGATGAGCAGTGACAGCGCCTAGCGCAATACAGCCATATTTACGTTGTTTAACGCCACTCAACAGAATGAATTTCAAAAACATCAGTTTTCAGAGCTTCTTTAAGACTCAACGATAATGTGATTTCTGCCTATTGTCGAAGGAACTCACTATTTATTCCAGTGAGTCATTTAAGTTGATTGTCAGAAGGCATGGCTTCAATGATAAATCAATTGACTATTAGTTCCAATCAAGATAAAGAGAGAAATTGAGAGTTAAAGCTTTCATGGCGGAAACGTATCAGCAATTCAGTTAGTACAAAAAGCTCATGAAAAACTATTTAAACTCAACAAACATCTGACTATTACCTAGTCTACTCAGTTTGAGAAGGATACCCGAAGCCATTGCCTTGATGAAAATTTGGCCATCATTCCAGTCAAATCGAGAATAAATCGGATGCCATAGCTTCGATATAAAACTGACTTTTAGTCCACTTATAAAGGAGAAAAGGGAAGTCTTATCTCTGAAGAAAAACTGACATCCATAGGTTTATCTAGTGAGCTTGAAAAGAGACATTGGGAGCCACGACTCCGATGATGATCTGAAATTAATCTAACTGGTGTGAGAAGAGGTATGTTGATTCAATCTCGTTAGGTCAAAATGATTGCAGAAAGCCATAGATTCTATGATAAAGTAACTCTCATGTCCAGTCAATTTGGAAAAGAATACAGTCTGGTTTTAGAGTAACGTGCCTTGCCATTTCGACACCGCGATTCTTACTACTACTGTGCTCTCATCATTAACCCTTGGTTGTTGCATTTTCCTCCGCATCTTCCACAGGCTTGAAATAATCTTCGATTAAACCTTGAACTTTGCCGTCCCCTATGCGCATTTTCTTTAGCGTCTCCAACCAATCTGGAGCCCGCTCAGATGGTGGCTTGAGCAACTCCTTCAAAGCATGTGATGATAATACTAGTTGACCGGTATCCACCGATGCCCGGTGGTTTTTGCCGCTGACAGGATGTCTATACTCAAACATTGCCGGGAACACGTATTCCAATTTGAGAGGAACCCGGCCTATCGTCGCTTTCTGTATCCCGCGAATGTTGATGTTGTGATTGAAAATGTGATAGGGGAGTGCGATGAATCGTCAACAACACGCTTGGAAAAGTTCGTGGGCCCCTATTGAAGCACTGGTATTAAGCAGCCGAATTTAACTTTTAACATGAGAAGATCTTCATTTGGCTTGGGGCCGATCTGTTTCCTCAATAATGTCATCCATCCGACCAGACAGCTGAAGATAGAAACACAAAACTTCCACATATAACCACAAGCATTATCCATAGTCGACAATACGAGAGGTGGCTGAAACTTAATATAGAACATAAATTTTTATCACAGATAATTGAGTGAGTTTTCTCACACTCTGAATGTCCTGAAATTTTGCTAGTGGAGAAATCTACTTTAATCCTCCTTGCCCTAAGCTTACAGACCAAGTTTCAAGATGAATTGTCACTGATCTTGATCTCCATTGGTGTCGGAATGACCATCGCCATCTTAATAGCCTTCACAAAATGCCCAAGACATCGCCAGGTTTGCTTCTTGTGGAAATTCCTTGGACCTTCTTTGGTGCAGTGGTGCTTATAGTGGGCTCAAATATAGGTTTAAACCGCGGACCTGAAGAGGTAAAGCGGCGGCGACGGGAAGACGTCCAAAGTGCTTGTCTTCACTCAGCTGCAACTTGTGCTTGATGTCATCTAAATTCACTAACTCGGACATCCTTTCACGTCTGGAAAATATTACGGATCGAATATTTGAAATGTGGTGATTCGAGATCAATGTTGTATTACGCATCGGCTCTAATTTGAATATCAACGGGGTGAATACGGACCCAAGCCCTTGACAACGTTGAATACTAGTAGAAATGCCCAATACCGGTCGACCGAGTCGTGACTGTAACGCATGTCGGAAAAGACGTATCAAGGTGCGAAAATTTGTAACCTAATTTCCCAAAATATGTACTTGTATGCTAATTTACCTAGTGTGATCTTAAATATCCAGAGTGCAGTCAATGCTTACGAAAAGGATGGTCATGTCCAGGCTATCGGAAGGACAGTGATGTGCTCTTCCGAACAGAAACCTTGATCTCATTTCCAGACAATCAAACCAAAGATCGCCGAAAGACGCAGAGACAGCAAGACGATGAAGAATCCTTCCAAAAGCAAGAACGTTCTGAGTCATTCTCCAAAGGGCTGTTGTATCTTCGAAAAAAGACTACTATAAACAACCCGTTATCAGAGGATTGGAATAATCATTTCATACCACTGGCTTTGGCTGGATTGAGAATGTCCGCCGATATGCCGTTGACCATGCTTCACGCTATCTCGAATATAGTTTCACAGAACGAACATGAATCTCCCCTTTACAAGGCCTTTGATGCCGTGGGATGTACCTTTCTAGCAAGAACAAATCCGTCAAAGAACGCTTTAGCTCATCGCATAAAAGCATATCGAGATGCCCTCACAGCGGTTAATTCTACTCTTCGCGACTCTCAGAAATGCAGAACCAATACTACTCTGCTCACTGTCTGGTTACTTGGTCTGTATGAGGTGAGAATATTCCACACGAAGTGTAAAGTCACATGAGCAAATTATTACTGACACAACCCAGTTTCTCGTTGACCCAATGAATGCGGGTTGGCATGTTCACAGCCAAGGTCTGATCAACTTATTTCGGCTGCGTGGTTCTGAGAACTATGCCACTGAGGATGGAAGATATCTATATTTACTCTTCTTCAACAGTTTTGTTAGTCTCGTGCCTCCTATGTTTACTTGCATGTGCGATTTACTGACTTATAATTTCAGCAAATACAATCCATTAGAACCGGCGAGGAACGCTATATAACCGAGTCGATTACACTGCTTCACGAAATTGCTGATCATTGCAATTCGTCCGAACATATACCCCTTCGGACATGTATATTCACATACCACTGTGCGCTCCTATGCAGTCGCATTCGAAAATTACTTAATGAGGGCACTGATGCCGAGCTGCTGTCCAACTCAGAATCGATCTTGCAAGACATGGATAACGTCGAGAAAGCAACTTATCCTCTTAGCCATAAGAGCTTTATTATTGAGAATGAAGTTGAATCTCCAGCACCTGCTAAACAGGGCGAAGGGAGCCTTGAAGAAGAATCAACTCCGCCGATGATGGTCGATTCTTTGTTTCGCGGCTCGATCATGTACAGAGTCAACTGGAGGATACGAGTATCGTTCTATGTCCTGGAATTCCTGCAAAGAGCATCTACTTCGCCAACTTGCACGTTACAACAACGAACACTGTTCCTAGAGTATAAGTTTCGTTGTATGGAGGAAATTAGAGTACTGGCCGAAAGAGAGTCATTTTATCTCGGAATACCATACGATAAATCGCAATCTTTCTCAGAGCTTGTCTTTTTTATCCGGAGTGTTTTGCTGCACAGAACAGGACCAATTGATGATCTTCAGGATTTCGGTATCGAAGATCCGTCAGAAACTTAGTTTTCGTCGTCTTCTTAATGAAAAATGGCTTCAGTGTACTCTGGCCATTTATTATCGCAAAGTTGCTGCTCAACAAGAAGTGACCAGATCAGCGTGAGAGAAAAGCCACAATTCAACGAAGATCAAGCTGTATGAATACATTCTCTTTCGGAAATTTCCTGTTCTACAAGTATGTAGAAACTTATGTCACGACCGATTGGACATCGAATTAGGGCATTCCTCGCACGGGCCCTGACTTACCGGTACCCGGGGCCCTTCAAATGCTTGACCAAGATGGCCACCATCTTCAAAGTCTCGAGTCAGACGACTGGAAGTTGATCTCTCAATGACTAGACCCACTTGACTTCTTGCAGGCAAGGTAGGGACAATCTGCGAAATGTATGGCCATATCATTGATCTGAGCATTGTACCTCTCTCTGACGTGTGGACAAAGAGTGTCCGTAGGTACTCGTTAGAGGCTTTTCCGCGTATTGATGTTGTTTTGAGTCAGGTTTGACAAGCACTTTGAATGACAGTCTCGGATATCCTGAAACAATTGGTTTGTCTGGAAGTTGGCTCGAGCGACAAGCAAAGTAGAACGCATTTTTCTACTATCAGAACATCATCCGGGCAAGGTTTACAACATGCCACGACTATGGACAAATATTTTGTATTGAGCGTGGCTTTCCGGGAAAAGATAGAAGCAGTGTTCTTGTCAATGTACTATATAATGACCACTGGCTTCCTCTTCCTCGTTGTTGAAAGTACCACCTTCGGCATCACTCAACCCAGCACAAGGCTTACACAGTCGAACGGACACGACTCATATCAACGATCACAGATCACACAGAAACTATCTTGATCATCAACACAATGGTTCTTACCATCTATCCGGTATGTTATTTCCTTATTTGCTATTTCGTATCATGATACTAATGTCTGTTATTTGAAAAGCTTCCAGAGGATGGTCTCTCTAGCAGCGATGCACCCTCTGACAGCACGTCAGTCATCGAATGGAAAGATCCATTCATGCCGTTTGACCTTTCCGAGAATAATTGCAATGGGGAGAAGGGTGTTGAAGCCCAGATCGAGGAGCACGCCAAGGCCATCCAGCATCTGAAGGAGAAGTCTGAATTTCTCAAGGATCAACAGAACTACTTCGCTGAACAGATTGAAGAGACCTTCAAACTCCTTCGGGCCCGGGTGACTGACGTTTATACCGAAATCAAGCGTGAGACCAAGGCCGCCGAAGAGACGGCAGTTCGTCGCCATCGTAGCGTCAACACAGACATTCAGACATTGTATGACCGCCAGGACCAGGATCACGATTCTTTGGTGGGTGTTGAAGAAGCACTGAGCTGGGTGTCACTGAACGACACAACCGACAAGTTCACGTCCTTGATCGAGAATCTTGATTTGCACATCAAGTCGGCGATCGAATTGCTTCGAGAGAAAGAAATTACTTCAGAGGAGACTACCAAGGTCTATGAAACCCTCCTTCAGATGCTTACCCAAAATGGTAATGAATTCAAAGGGCTACATAACCAAGAATTGGGAAAGCAGGTTGACCGCCTTGCCGCGAAGACCAAGAAGTGCATTTGGGAGCAGGCGTCATGCAAAGCCAGTGTTGAAGATGTCCATGCTCGCCTCGAGACGTACGCAAAGGAAAACCAGTCATTGAAAGACAAGCTAGACGAGCAGGAGTCCACGATTACGGCTCTGAAGGAAGAGAACTGGAACTTTAAAATGCAGATTAGTAGTCTCTTGTTCTCGATTCGTATGATGGCGGCCAAGATGGATCGCCTTAGTGCCGAAGTCCGAAACCTCGACAAGTTTACTGAGTGAACGATTCATACAACGCTGCTAGAAGCACACCGGTTGACGAGCTGAGTTACGATACGAACGGTTGATACTTTTCAAATTGATGATTGCGGATTCTCATGGGTTTAACCAAATTGCTTTCACACCCTACTCATGTCCGAATAAGGCATACACTTTGAGTCCAGTCTTTACAGATCACTATTTAACACAATAAATCAGATTGCCAATCTCACGTTCACTCTTGTTATACCTTAGTAGATGGTCGTTGGAAAGGAACTAGGCTGCTATTGAAGAGAAGTATAATACCATGGAATCACAAATGCGTATAAGTGTCTGTAAGTGTAAATTCTATTTGTAAAAGCAGATCTTGATGAATCTATACCATATATTTTTTTTTTTCTCTCGAATCAACAAGCGGCGCCGAATCAGTGCCCCTTTCCAAGCACAATAGTCTCTCCACCACCATACCACAATGTCCCCTTTCGAAAATCAAGCCCCTTTTCTTGACCAATCGTCCATTCACCTCCCTCCGGCACACCTGCTTCCGTCGGCCAATACTTAGTTTGCAATAGTTCATTGATCTTCTCAATCTTATCGATCACTTCCTTCGCCTTCTCACGATCGAATGAGCCGTCTGAGACGAAACCATTCTGATTTATGAACCGTGCTATAGTCAGATGCGCCGAGGGAACCGCATATCTGGACGCAGGCTTCACGCCCGCTGCGAGGACTTTGTCATATACATGTCTGCGCAAATGATGGTATGTGAATTTATCATCATCCACAGTCTTGCCTTCGCCTTCCCCGGCGGCAGGCACAAAACTAAGCGCCATGGCAGCGGCATCATAACTGATCATGGGCTTGACGAGACGAGGCCGGAATTGCAGGGTCGTGTTTGCGATTTTCTCTGCTGCGCCGTCTTGAAGCAAAGTCGAGACTATTTTGTTGACTTCTGACTCGGTGAGGGAGAAGACTACTTCTAGCACAGTGATATGCAGATTTTGAAGAGGCATGAACCATAGATCTATACCGAGTCAGACAGGTAAATATTAGGATCTACTGAGTTAGCCATACCAGGCGCTACGCTACGCAGCTCCTCTTGAATCTCCCCAATCATATCACGGATATGTTGCGGCGGCCGACCCCAGAACACGATACAGTTCCTCTCATCCTCGAACGCCGGGTCCTTGTTCGGACCATCCAGCTTTGCGAGAATGGGATCAATCATCCATTCGGAGAATGATGGATCTAGGATTTTGGACTTTTGGAGCCCATTTCTGGTTGAGCGGTGGGTTGTGTAGCGAGCTTGTATTTCTGCCTTGTAGAATTTGTCAACCATGMCCCCGCCATAAATTCAAAATTAAATGTCTGGAAGAGGCTCACGCACTGGATCATCGTTCGCAGAGTCTATCAATGGTTGATAGGGATTGTCACTTTCAGAGACAGGGGTCGCTGTCCCTGAGAGATCTTCGAATACGACCGCTGCCATGCTGAGCTATCTTTGTAATTGTTTATGTACAAATATTTACAAGAAGAGAACAACAAATGTTGTGGATATTAGAGAACTGAGACAAAGAGTCAGAGTCATCCGGAGATAAATCGGATCTACCAATCGGCGGACCCCACTCTAAGATTGGTCCCTCACTCTTTCTCTTGCGCATCAACATCAACACCACCACACGCCAGACTCACGCTACCTCTGTCGTTACATTCTTCCTGTCTTAGCACACATCCTAGCAATCGTTAAAATGTTGATCAAGTAAGCTTTTCCTCTTCTTCCTCCTCGCCCGCGCGTTTCTTCCCACGACCTCACTGCGGGGAATCCATCCCGCGTCATCGATGCCGTGCAGCTAAAATACTTCTCAAAACAGAGTCCGAACCCTCACCGGCAAAGAGATCGAGCTCGACATCGAGTCAGACTACAAAGTACGCCGTCGCCACAACCACCACCACCGAAGCACAACAAGGCTAACCGTTCACAGGTGTCGAGGATAAAAGAGCGCGTCGAAGAGAAAGAGGGTATTCCGCCTGTGCAGCAGCGTTTGATTTTTGGCGGAAAGCAGATGTACGTTCTTGAGCACTGGTTACAGTGACAGTGGGAAGAGGGCGAAGGTATCAAGGCTAACGATTTGATGGGTGCAGGGCCGACGACAAGACTGCCGCCGAATACAACCTCGAGGGAGGTGCGACGCTGCATTTGGTGTTGGCTTTGCGTGGGGGACAATAGATGATTAGTTACATCGAGATTACTTGTGCACGCATGGGCGCTCGCTCATCTCTCTGTTCTGAACACAGCATACGCCGATCGATCGATGATGGGATGTTCTTTCCATACTCTCGGGTGATAAAAGGCGATGTGTGACTGGTGGTCCTTTTCTTCTCGCTTCCTGCATTTGATTCATCTTACTCATGATGTGGACCAAGCTTGTAATAGACTCTTATGATATATTATGACCGATGCATTTTTTCGAAATTAAAGCCAATTCAAGCTTCTATATATCTCAGCAGCTCACAAAGTGTTTGTGTAGTTCCAAGTAAATACAAATCAAAGCAGATCAGTATCGCATATATGCAACTCCGTGGTATCCAAGACTCCAGTCTATGATTTATACTTGTATTGAAAACGCCGAATGCTATGCAAGTAATGAAAATGATAGTACACAAAACACGACCAAATCTTGCTCAACGCTCAAACATCACGTGAAAATGTTTCACAAAAATCAGGACCTCCGCTTCTTTGGCATGAATATATTTGGCTGACTTGCCGCAGGACGCTTTCTAACGAGAGGTTTCGCGGCAGGTGACATTGGCGACTGACGAACTGATGGCGAGCCAGCCGAATCGGCACGACCTGACTGTATCCGAGGCGGAGATCCGTCATGATCGCGTTTCCTAGGTACGATTGGCCGGCTGCCTTGAGCTATGTCGGGTTTTGCGCCGCCATTCGCCGGTACAGATGAAGTCGGTCGCTTTATTATCGGTCGTCGAGGAGCCACTAGTTTTTGAGCTGGTCCGCCGGCACCAGCAGAAGATTTCGGCACTGGCCTCGACGCAGCCGTCGCAGGGGTAGATGCCGGTGCTTGTTTATGCTCATCCACTAACCACTGCGGCACACGATTGATCCTCGATGCACCACTATGCAACTGATGCGTCGGCACAGCTAGCACCTTGTTCCTCTTGCTACTGAAGATACTATTTTTCTTCGGTTCCGATCTTGTGCCACTACTGCCCGTATAAATCCTCCGCTTAGGCTTGGGTAGACGACTCGTATCCTTGACCAAAACAGCCGCGTTGCTGGCTTTATCCGAATAGAATTTATCGACTGCTTGTTTGAGCTGTAGGGCGCCTTCTTCAACTTCGCGTTGCACTTGGTCGAGTAAGTCGCAGTAGATGTCGTACCAGCTGTCGGATTCCGAAGGGATGTCGTATTGTTCCCATTGAGGGATGTCGCGTTTGATAAAGTCTAGCCATAGTTCGCGATCGTCCGCCATTATGTGTGGGGAATTTTTTTCGAGCTCTCTCTACCGTCGAGTTAGCTCATGTCCTGATCATACTTAGAAGAACCGACATCAAACTTACCAATTGCTTCGGACTCTCGACTTTGATCAAAAAAGGCCTCGCCAGCGAGTACGGGATATTCCCGATGTCCGTCAAACCTAACAAATCAGCTTTTCGTACCCATTACTACATATGGCGAGAACGTACTTCTAACATTCTGCACAGCGACCCGCGTGCTTATCGCAAGCAGTGACCGCGCCGGCATACTGACAACACAAAGCGATCAACTAAGCATGGAACTGGAACACTCGGCTTCTTCGATAAGGATCAATCGATCAACAAGACGGGTCTAGATTGTATCAAGGCGGTATAATGTGTAAGAACAGACGGAGCGATGGTGATTGTCGAAACATGAAAACAATGTCTGTATATATATCCTTGAGTAGGCTAGAGTCTTACCATAAACAAAGTGTAGGCAGATATTGTCGAGTCGCAACGGCGAGGCTTCGTCATTTGAATAGTTCAGGCTGGGGCGGTGGACAGTGGCAGGTTGATAAGATCACGTGATGATAGCGCTGTATTATCTCCAGGCAATGTTTGCATTGTTTGAAGGATACAACGATATGTTATTCTTCCCTCTCTACCATTCTGATTCAGCTACGTAGTACTTAGCAGTGATTCGAATCCCCGCAGTAGGTCATCCTTCAAGTCATCTATATTCTCCACACCGACACTAAGTCGGAGCAGAGATGGCTTTGACGAGAATATTCAGTTTTAGTGTATTTATTGACGTTTTATTGTCGCGCACCTACATCGCGGGGGCCGTGTGGGTGCGCCGGACGGCACGGTTAGATAACTACATACTAACTTGACACACGTTGTTGTTGCATAAGCGCACGGAGTATCTGCAATATGGTCTAGGAGCCTCCTCCGACCCATCGCCTCGTTTCCCACTGATAAGACCAAGCTTGTGGTCAGGAGACCTATTCCTACATAGGCAAGACTTGGCGTAGTCCACTGCTACTAGGGCTTGATAAGCTATCGCTGAAAGCCTAATTCAATGGTCTTTATCACCCAGTCACGTCGTGGCATTGTCTACTTAGCTACTTACCTGACAGTGTTATTAATAAGAGTCAAGTCCTGCCCTTAAGTTACCCAGAAAATGTTCAGCTTTCGCCCGCAGCATTATTATATCCATTACGACAATGCCGGAAGCAAAGACGGCGGTTGATATTCGCGATGAGAGCCGTTTGGCTCAGCTTGGATACAAGCAGGAACTAAAGCGTGACTGGAAGCTGATGCACAATTTTGGTGTGTCATTTTCCATCATTGTGAGATAAAAGTTCCCACCAACTTGTGGAAAGAAGGAAAATGGTTATACTAATACTTTCAAATCCAGAGTGTCATCACCGGTATCACCACGCTTTTCAGGTGAAAACCCACTCGCCTACTGTCCAGACGTTTGCTAACTAAATCGAACAGTTATGGACTCAACACCGGAGGTCCGAGCGTCATGGCGTTCGGTTGGATCATCGTTTCATTTATGACCTTTTTTGTCGGATTAAGTATGGCAGAGATTGTATCTGCGATTCCGACTAGTGGGGGACCATATTTCTGGGCTGCGATACTCGCTCCCCAAAAGTATAGCGCCTTTTTCTCTTGGTTGACTGGATGGTTCAATTTCGTCGGACAAGTAAGTCTAAAACTGACTGCTTTTGAATGGTCAGATTTATTAATTTGGTTAATCTTCTAGTTTGCAGTTACGACCGGAATCAGTTTCGGATGCGCAGGCCTCATTGCGACGGCGGCGACAATCAAAACGGACTTTGTGCCAACAGCAGGGAATACAATCGGCATATACGCAGCCATTCTAGTCAGTCATGCGCTTGTTAATACTTTTGGGGTCCATGTGCTACGATATCTCAATGTCACATCAATCATACTCCATAGCTTAGGCGTGGCTAGTTTGGCGATTGCAGTTGTCGCAAAGGCTCCCACACATCAAACTGGGGCCGAGGTTTTCCAACACTTCTATGATGTAAGTGTTATCTTTCAACTAATATAAGGAGCAGGGCTTTTTTTGACTGTTTATCAGGGAACCGGGAACCCGGGCTGGTCGGTAAGAGCATCGCCGGCGTACGTTGCCATCTGCGGCATTCTCCTCAGTCAATATACAATCACGGGCATGATTTCCTCTACCTATATACCTATCAGTAACAACACAAAGACTGACTTGTTTGCTTAATTTACTTCAGGATTTGACGCTTCTGCTCATCTGTCCGAAGAAACACACCGCGCTGATTGGAACGCCCCCATTGGCGTTCTCATGTCTATCGGCGTCTCCGCTATCTTTGGATTCTTCCTCCTACTTTGCCTTCTTTTCTCAATTCAGGATTTTGCTGCTACGGTAGATCCAACTCAGAACTATGGTCAACCTGTCTTCAAGATATTCGTTGACGTTTTCGGCGAGTCCGGCGCCCTCGGTCTGATAAGCATCATCATTCTCTGTGTCTGGCACTGTGGCCTCTTTAGCCTTACAAGCAACAGCCGCATGATGTTTGCATTTTCTCGTGATGGAGCCTTGCCGCGATTCTTTGACCATGTTGATAAACGATTTAGAAGCCCTATTAGGACTGTGTGGCTGGCCGCGTTTCTAGCCTTTTGCCTTGCCTTGCCGTCGCTAGGTAGCTCGGTTGCTTTTTCGGCAGCAACCAGTATCGCTACAATTGGATTGTATCTAAGTTATGCAATGCCTATTCTGATTGCTGTTATCTGGCCGTCCAACTTTGCAAAGGGTCCTTTTAGCCTGGGAAAGTTTTCCTGGTTTATTGGTCTAATTGCCTGTCTTTGGGTGGGTCTACCAAGATCTTTTTCTAATGGTAGTTTACGTTTGTTAACGTGTTTCAGGTTCTTTTCATCACTGTTGTGTTTTGCCTCCCTACTGCAAATCCGGTCACTGAACAAACGCTCAACTACACCCCGGTGGCGGTAGGGATAGTACTGGTTGCTACACTGGGATCGTGGGTCCTTTGGGCTCATCGCTGGTTCAAGGGACCAATGCGTCAGGTAGACCTGTATGCCCCAAGCGAGTCGATTCCAACAGAAGATCAAGTGGTAGTAGAAGAGAAGAAGGCATAAGAGTAGGCGCGTTGTGATTGTCAAATAGGGGTCGTCCACTGCAAATTGGTGTATAACGGGTGAATCGGAGTCAGTTTATGTATGCGTTGACGAGGTGTGACGTACAAATTGGTAAGAAGTGGTGTGGAGTTGGTGCGCAAGTTGAAGCGCAATATTGGTGTAAGAATTGGTGCAGGACTAGTGCAGGTTTGGCCATGAATCAATACGTGAGAATGTGGGAATCGTTGAGATCGCACTAGTGGACTATTTTTTTTGTTTTGTATACTTTTTTGTAATCATCTCCCTGTTATATAATTGGCCGTTGTGGGATTCTCCATAAACGGTGATACGGCATCTGGAGGGATCGGCCAGATAAGGAACGTGAACAGTCTATACAGCCCACGCCAGCAAAAATATGACTCACATCCTTTGACACATGTCTGTCAGTGAAATCCAACTAGATAGCTATGATCACCACCCTAAGTTATCGATAATGAAGTTCACCGGTTAATTTAACCATCTCATTGAGTACTCCAATTGACAGGCGATCATTCATCGATCTTCTCATCGTACTTTGCAAAAACCTCGCTTTCAGCGCGTGCAAACTCACGCATGATGGTCTCACGTCTAGCCTCAGAGCGGAGTATAACCTTCAACTTGAATGGATTGGCAAACATGACAAGCCCGTCACTGTTGTAGCCCGTTACAATATCCAAGTCAGGCTCAGCCACATTTCCAGTAACGGGATCAATGAACTTCTCAAAGTTAAATGCCCAAAGCAACTTGGCCATGGCTACAAACATGTTTCGATCTGCGAGATGAAGTCCTGGACAAACGCGACGACCAACTCCGTATCCGTAGTGGTCACGATTCGCGTAGTCAGACGAATTGACGTAGTGGGCGGCGAGTAGGGTCTTGTCTAGGTAGCGCTCGGGGTTGAAGGTATCTGGACTGGGAAAGTATTCCTCGTCATGGTGAAGGCCCCAGACGTTGAGAATAAGAGTCGTGCCTTTTGGTAAGAGTTTGCCATCGATCCAGTAATCTGTTCAATCAGCAGGGATAAAATGGAATCTGGAACAGGGATTGGATACCTTCGTCAAGATAGTGTGGAATTCCCAGAGGAGTAGCAGGTCGCCATCGCATACATTCCTTGACAATAGCCATCACATACGGAAGATCTTTGTAATCTGCCCAAGTTGGTGTCCGATCCTCGCCTACAATTGCATCAATCTGCTTCTGAGCTCTACGCGCAAACTCGGGCCATTTGACCATCGCCTGCATAAAGCACACAACCATGGTAGCAGTCGTATCCGAACCAGCTAGCAAGAGTCCCCCAGCAAGAAAGGCAAGTCGATGATCAGTGAAAACCAGCTTCTCATCATCTAGTAGCCGATCAATGAACGAGTTACGGACACTAAGCCTCTTTCGACGATTTTTGACATGATCAAACCCAGCCATGAATGTGGCAAGGAAGATACGTTTGACTTCCTTGGCGCGAGAGATCCAGTTACCAAGCAGACTCTGAGGAACGTATTTCAACCATGGGAAGATGTCGACTGGAGGTGTAGCACCGATCCGGAGGATCTCGTCAATGTGCTCAATGGTGTCGAAAACGCGATGCAGATGGGGTGTGTCAACTGAAGCAGCCCGTATCCCAAATACTGTTCTTGATGTCAACGAAAAGTACAATGTATAATAGTCGAATGTCTGGCTTACTGATACACATCATGATGCTGTTCCCAAAGCGCCGTGGGTGATCCATATAATGTTCGGAATCAAGCACAAAGTCTCGGAGCATCTGGGAAGCCTCGGCGTGCGCAATCTTCATGTAGTCATTCTCAACAATGCTTTCCATGAAATTCTGGTGAAAAACCTTTCGATTTACGCGCCATCTCGGTCCATATGGCATGAAAAGAGGTTGATCGTGGTCTCCTATAATTTCATTACCCACATACGCGGGAGGGCGGTTGCTGGAGATGGAGCTTTTTTGATCAAAGACTTCACGTGCGATTTTCCTGTCAGTGATGATGGCAATAGTGCTTGGTCCAGCTTTTATAGTGAATAGACCACCGTATATTTTAGCAAGTTCAGTGAATCTGAGTTTTCTGTCAGTTCTTACTTCCACATATTGAACAATCAAGTTGGTGGCTCACTTGAGAAACGGCTGTTTCTTAGGGAGCTGGGGAATATTTCCAAGGATGGGCACTGTTGCAGGTCCTTATCACCTAGTCAGTTGTCACATCAAATGCAAGCTTCTAGAGAGGGCCACTGACCAGGAGGCAAGCGTGAGTCTCTGCTGCCAATTGACAGCAGGAGATACAATAGCCCAGCAAGGATGCTCACAAGGGTCACCATGACGATAGTGCTGAGATCAGCCATTGTGGTAATATCTCAGGGAAGTGTAACTATCGTCAAAGTAAGAGGAAAAGAATTAAGGTGAAGATGAGATGACTCTTAGCGACAAGATAAGATGAGACAGATGTAATAGTTAGTTCAAGTATTTTTCTGGTATCAAGCGAAGGTGAAGGATAAGATGAAATTTCTATACACCTTCCCCGGGGTAGTCATAGAGATAAGCTGCGTCAGCAACCTCAGTCCAGGGTCAACTGGTGTGACAGCCGCCAGCACCTTTGAAGTCTGTCCTGCAGTCGTCTTGCCAGAAGAGACGCATCTTTGTTGACGGTGTTTTCCTTTGTTTGTAAAGTTGTACAGAAATGGCACTTGTCACACAAAGTTCAGGTGAGACCAAGACCTCATGCTTTTTATACCTATATAGTCAACAATGTACTGCCCCAAGAACTAGAAGTAAGAGAAGATAGTATGGGGTGACAATTTATGTGACTGAGCCAGGTTTGAGTCAGTTAGCTAATAAGGATATAACAAGAATGGGCTAAAGAAATACAGTTCTACACAGGAGCAAGCCCACATTTAAGCCTGCGCAGGACTTGCAGAGTACACGTGCCTTCAAATCTGTACGAGGTGTTACACAAACTATACAAAGAACCTAGTAACAAAGCCCTAAGTAAAGCTGTTCTCAAGAAATGAAACCATAGAACAGAGATGTCTGGGTTCTTTCGTGTTGCGTTGATCTTATCAGCACTGCATGCTCTGCCCAGCAAAGGCTCTAGGATTGAAAGCATGATATCTGAATCTCATTGATACTCGATTCTGGTCATTCGAGGTTATGTCATAGGCTGCATCCACAGGGGTGAAGATGCGAGGGTGGAGATGTAAGGCCTCATGGCATTTTAGGCCTTAGGCACAATCCGCCCACTCGGTCAAATTTAAAATAGGCCTGTTACGATCTAGAACATTATCAGATCATCATGGTCTTTCTTCAGGAAATTTATTCTCAAAAATACCCAAGTAAATCGCTTATCAACCAGGGAAAAAAGAATCCAAATAAGGAAGCAATACATACACAATCCAACAAGAAACGCCACGAACCGAAAAATATTCCCCCTATTTTGTCATATATGAAGTATGGACAGATTGAAAATTAGTTAAAAAGAAAATAACAGTAAAAACGCCCGGTCAAGTCCAGTCCAGACTAACCTGACACACCCCTGAATATCCATTCCGTTGCTATCGCTTTTCCCTGATATTTCGTTATTCGTTAGCTTTGAGGTTCCGTAAGGTATATAGTGAGTATCGTGAAGGAACCGTCTTTTTTGTCGACTATGTATTGAGAGATTTGTGGGGTCTTATATGAGCATTTGATGGATTATGTGTTCGGAGGAGGAATAGAAACATCCAGACCACCTCCCCATGGAGGTATCTCGCGACCGTGCGAAGCTGCGCTCGCTTGATAATCAGTCTCTCCGAATCCAGCAGCCGCAACAGCATCAGCTGTCGTGTTAGCAGCTACTCCATCCATCGATAAACGGCCATTAGTAGCAACTGAAGGCTGAGCAGCACCCGAAGTACCAGAAGGGGCCATGCCATGCGTTCCTGCTGGTGGAAGATAGTTACTACCCGTGACGTTGCCCTGGTTCGGGAAGAAGCTCTGATTTAAAGCACCACATGATGTGCATGTAAATTCGATTTTGAAGTTTGTAAGTACTAATTGAGCGGCGACCGGATGGCCTGTGTGGGCTGGTTGTTGATGATGCGGAGGAGGAGGTTGCGGTCGAGTTTGTGCATGAGACTGAGAATGAGGGTGGCGAAGCGAAGGCAAGTTCTGCGTTTTGGGAGGGCTAGGAGGAACAGGTAATTGAATTGGCTGGACATAGGGACCCTGTGCACTTGCTTGAAGAGGCGCAATTTGCGAGGCGTGATGAGACATGGTCGAGACTGAAAGAGATCGAGTATTAGACGGTCCGGGTTGAGCATGGTGTGAGATCGCAGCCAGAGACGGATTGTTTTGCTGCACGCGAACCATCGCAGCTGCAGTCGTCTCTGTGGGAGAATCATCTTGATCAATGCTATCGTCTTCCATCAGTGTCGTAGAAAGACCATTCTCGGGCCAGCCGCGGTCATCACCTAAAGGATCAAACGAAGTATCATTGTTGACTCGGACTGACGATGACGGCTCATGCGTGATATCATGGTCTTCATGATCAGCTAATTGTGCGTGTCCTCCTCTTGACTGCCGAGGTTGCAGCTTAGTCAAAGCGCGTTGTGCTTGTCGCATCGAAATATCATAACCATGATACCGTTTAACAGCATCCACCACATCCTGCCCCTTAATTTTGCTCTTCATATCAAACAATTTGGGAATCTCGTTCAACAAAAACCGTACATGCGATGCCTCTGACCGAGCCGGCGTCGAGCCAGGTGAAGCCAGATTCCGTCGACAGCTATGTGTATCCTGTAAACTCGTAATATACGTTGCATTCTTATTCGCGCGACACACAACGCGAAAGTAGCAATTGGCTGACGATCGACACCCCAAAACGACGCTCTTCTTGTTGCTACGCACGACTCGAAGATCCCAATGTTGACGGACGGAGATATTGCGTATCGCTGATTTGAATTCTTCGAGTGAACTGAACCGTTGGCCCACTAGGAGCCCCGAGACTACCTCCGCCATTATTATGGTTGCTGGATCGATTTGGTTCAATCATAGAGTTGGAATTGAGACGGATAGTTGTAAAGGCATAGCAGCCTGCAGCCATTGAATGACAGCGACAAATGCTGGACAACAATCCGATGTGATTCACTGTTTATCTCCTCTTCGGCGATAAGGCTGGGAAGCTTCAATCAGCGAAATGGACGAAGCACGCGATCGGCAACGAGCGGTGATGGTCGAAGACAAATCAATGTCGCGACAGGAAGAATCAATCGAATCAAAACAGCAAACAATGGGGAGTAGCCCCCGGGAAACTCCAGTTGGCGTCGCGGAGCATACAAGAAGAAAGGAAGAATAAAGAAGGACAACGCTTGGTGGGGCGCGAGCTTCAACAAAGCAACAAACTAAGGCAGATCCGCGGACGCTAACAACTTCATCTTCACAACTGCCACCATTTGATCGTGGAGCATCAGACAATATGGCGTCCTATAATTTACTAAACCAAGAGGAAGAAGGTGAGTTATCAAGTTGTGCAGGTTTCTTGATTACTAAACAAGAACAGACGCCCTCCACAAGTCGCGCCTCCTCAACGTCGAAGAAAAACCATTCAAACGCATCACAAAACGACTTCTATCCAGCGACTCCCTGATCACAAGTCCTCTCTCCCTCCCTCCTACACCCCCTCCAGAGACCGGCGACGCAGAAGATGAAGCGACTGCCGCAGAAACCCATCAACAGAAGAAGATCGAAGAATGGCGACAATTCAAAGAAGCCGTGACCCTTGACTTTGCCGCCTTCGAAAGCAGCATAGCACGGATCCAATTCTTGTTGAAAAACAATGAAAAGGAACGAGAGCGATATGCGGCTGAAAAAATACGTATTCAGTCTACTGCGCAGGATGTGCGCGACAACACCGTTGAACTCCGCGTACAACTCGAAGCCGCGCAAAACACTCTGAATCTGCGCAAGACATACGATAACCTTACGGAAAAGATTACGAGTAACCGTCTACTCCGCCCGCGTGAAGATCAAAGATCGAACCTGGAGAAACTGCAAGTCGAGATTCTGGAACTAGAGAAAGAGAGTAAAGAGTACGCCAAGACCTGGTCGGAGCGAAGGGAACAATTCGGTCGTATCGTGGATGAAGGCATGCAACTACGTCGCCTCATTCGTGACGAGAAGGAGGAAGTTGAGCGCAGGGAAGGAATGCAGGAAGGTGATGGCGAGGGAGGAGATGAGGATGAGTCGTCGACAAAGGGGCGGGTTAGTGGAGTCAATTCTCCGCGTCCAGAGTCGGAGGATTCTGCTCCTCCTCCTAGCCTGAAACTACAAGCGGATAGATTACAGGCGGAGACGGCGGGTGCAGCATCGCCGTTGAGACAGTCGATGTCGATGACTGAGGAGAAGGGCGAGGATGTGGACATGGCGGATGAGGGAGAGGTTGATGAATTGGAAGAGGGGGAAGCCGATGAACGAGATGAAAAGATGGACACAACATGATCATCGTTTGCCATCGTATTTTGATTTTATTATATTAGCCGGATTCTTTAAAGATGGGGTATGGTAATGGCGTTGGTTGGACAACAAATCTGAACGTGAACATTTCATGCATTATTTCATGAATTAGCATATTTAAGCAATCTCTCTGATAGCAGTTTTGGCTTTCGAAATGGCTTCTTTAGCAGCAGTTAGTTGCTCAACGTTGCTATTATCTCCCTTGTTTCCTTCTTCAACCTGTGGAAAATGATCAGTACTTTCCGGCCTCGAGCCTTGTAGATGGAAAGATACTAACAATCAAGTGCTCAAGTTTGGCAACAGCATCCGAAATCTTCTCTTTCAGCATGGGAAACACTGCCTTGGTCTCGTCGACAGCTTGGCGCTGTACATATATTAGGATCAGCAAATACAAGATCTCGACAGTAAAAGACAAACCTCCTGCTTCACCAAAAAAGCATGATTTCCTTCATCATCGGCACCTGGGCCCTCGGATTCGAGCTTCTGGAGGCGTTTGGTCTGTTGCTCGAGCTCGCGGTGATAGGATGCTTCTTCTTTGATAAGTCTTTGCACCGAGGAGGTGGCAATTGCCAATGGAGATGCGGGTGGCATGATGATGTTTCAGTTTAGGTATCTGTTTGGGGTTAGTGTTTGCAGTTCCGACACCAATGTGGTGTATCAAGATGTGTATGGTATGGAGGGGTTGAGGATGAAGCATAAAGACATGATGTCATATTGTTCGTACTGTTGACAACAGTAGAGACACGAATGAAGCAAAGAGGAGAAACAGTATCCAGGCTCAAATAGAAGGATACAATAGATAAATGTCATAGAATTATCTTCATCCATAGACTCATACATGCAGCCCCTCGATCTTTGCGGCTATCACATGCATTGTCCCGCACTCGAGACAGATGTCTTGCAGGGAGCTCAGGGGAACACTTACTGAGTCAAGATGCTGCAAGAACAGGTAGATCTAGGTTTGACCAGATATCAAAGCGAACAGATCAGAGCGTCAGAATAGTTGTTGGAGTATTGATTTGAGATCCAAGGACAAAAGTGGAATAGTTCGTCGTCTTGCGTCTTTTGTGGTGGAGATGATGTTTGCACTGTTTGTTTCGTTCTTCTGTTGTTCTTTTCATCTCTCTTCAATTAGCTTACTTCCACGACATCAACCCCAGCAAATCTTCAAAGGATGTCATTTTCATAGTCCAGTTCTACTACTAACCATCAAGGTATAAGTGTACGTCTAATCAAGCTCCCACCTCGACAGACAGGCAAATTCCATACCCCTTCTGCGTGTCATACAGCCCAACTGCATTCTCAACCCGAAGACAGATCTCCTTCCACTCGACAAGTACGCGCACCGTGCCTCTACTCAATGGCTTGTCGCTGGGGGTGTTGCTGGGAAGGCCCTCATGCGTAGCCCGCCAGCCCAATTTTTGATCGACTATAGTCGCTTCACTGGGAGCCGTAGTCTCCCACAGCGACTTTGATTTCTCTGCTTTCTTCGGCTTGGATCTAAACCATCCGCCTGACTTCTTCTCTTTTACGGCAGTGGATGGCTCCTGCGTTGTGGTGGGAGGCGGCGGTGGCGGTGAGTCAACCGTTTCCTCCTCCACACGGTGCCCGCTCATCTTCAGTCGCATGCGCAGATTAGTCGCCAGCTCTTCCATGACGGCACGCTGTCTCCAGAACTCGACTGTATTTTCTTCCCCCTTGAGACGGATAAGTTTGACGACATCTGTGGTCGAGAATCCTACCACTTCTGGCTCTTTGGGTGGTGGCGAGTATGACGACGAGTAATCAGGTGCATACTGCTGTTGCAGCGAGTCCACGTTTGATGGAACCAAAAGGAAGATGGTCTTGTAGATACCAGAAGCACCCTGCACAGCAAGAAGGGGGTCGACGTAGGTTGATATGATGTTGCGGACTCGAGTTAGTCGGGTATCGTCCAGTTGTTGATGCAACGTAGCTGGGGTCCACGCAGTGGCAGTAGAGGATCCTGTGCTCTCTTCATACGATGGTACAGGATCCTCTGGTTGTGGATTAAATGATGATTTCGACATGGTCAGGAATCATCAACACCTTAATCGAGCAGAAGTTGGGAGCAGTTTTCTACACTTTAGTATGAGGCTTATTGGCAGAAAGAAGTATATGCGTTACTTGCGTGTGGTTAGTTGATAGTGGTGCATGTACCACAATAAAAGTGACATTATCAAATCGGCACTAGTCCAGCAATCAGCATATGTTTGACCGGCGATCTCAGTCAAATTCTTGTAGAAGGAGGCATTTCTGCCGGAATGCCGAACAGATCAGCCTTGCGTTATTTTATGGCCATACGAAATTAGCCAGGCTTAGGACTAAGGCCGCCGCCCCCGAAGCTTGCGCCCGGCTCTCATTAGCTTTTAGTGTTCGGTCATGTGTTCCCATCCCAACTTTAATACCACACATAGCCACACACCAAGCTGCACGAAACAGGACTAAACAGCTCTATCGATCGGAGGATAAGTGGAGTCGAATAGGAGCCGCAGCGAAACTCGATGGAAAATAATGGATAACGTGGACCCCAACCAATAAGCCGCCTCCATTGCCGAATATCGCCAGCTCACTTCCCTTATACCTCCCGGCAAGCGGCACAGCCTTGCCGATTGACGAATGATCGTCAGACAACCGATTTCTGGCATACGAGCGGGGAACGTTGTGTAACTCCCCAGACCAGAAAGATCATGGAATCAATAGCGTGAGGCGGTGACAGAGGGTAGCTCCATACGAGCAAAGATCCCAAGGTTTGTGATTGCACGGGGCGTCCCGATCGCGGTGATTCGATCATTGCTGACCATGGTGAGGAAATTTCAGCCTCTTTTTGGTCATGGTTGGGAGTGCCCGGTAGACTGCCTTGTCTTGGTTCAGGGTTGGCGATAATCCAAGGGAAAAGTCCCTCAAGGCTGTGCTGTCCTCGGATTCGCGCGTTATGTGCCTATAAATTGACTTTGATGTCGCTTGCACTGATACTCTTTTTTTTTCAACCAGGCTTTCATCAGTATACTATTGGTGGACGCAAAGCGACAGCACTTCAACATCAACCTCTTGTCTTCTATACCCCTACTCTTTAGTCTTATAGACATAATCAGTCAAAATGCGGTACTATATTGCCAGCGCAAATGAGTATCTCGTCATTACCGGTGCCGGTATTGACGATTTACGCATCTGCAAGAAGGCACTGGTCTACCCATGGCAAAAGGTGCGTACAGCCACTTACATCTCAGCATCAACCTGCCACTGACGATTACACAGATCTCCCGAATCTCGGTCATGCCCTTTGACTTTTCCCTGAACCTTCAGGCCATGACAGTCGAGAAATTGCAATTCGCTCTCCCGGCTGTGTTCACTATTGGTCCCGACAACGAACTCGATGCTTTGAAAAAGTACGCTCTATTGCTCTCTGGAAACGCGGATGGAACCGGCCAGCAGAAGAATGAAGTCAATCAACCGGCTCGACGCAATCATGTTCAGGATATTGTTAAGGGTATCATCGAGGGTGAGACTCGTGTCATTGTGTCTAGTATGACCATGGAGGAGATTTTCAAGGAGCGTCAGATTTTCAAGGCAAAGGGTAAGCATCCTCCCAGTACTTGGCTAGGAAATACAACTAAGTTTCAATCTAGTCATCGAGAACGTCCAGAATGAATTGCAGCAATTTGGTTTACGAATGTATGCTCCCAGTTCTCCCTCTTATAATCCAGGCTAACGAATGCAGCTACAATGCCAACGTCAAAGAATTACAAGACACCCCCGGAAGCGAATACTTCGCCTTCCTCAGCCGCAAGGCCCACGAAGGTGCCCTCAACCAAGCTAAAATCGATGTCGCTGAAGCTCGCATGCGCGGTGAAATCGGTGAAGCCGAAAAGAAAGGTCGCACCAAGCAGGAAATCTCCAAAATCGATGCCGAGACCGCCGTGCTCGAGACCAAACGTAAAGCCGAAAAGGCCAAAGCCGACTCAGAGTTGACGAGCCGCCAGATCGAGTTGGAGCGGGACATTCGTATGGCCAAGATTGGGGCTCAGCGTCAGACTGAGATGCGAGATGCGGAGTTGCAGAAGAATGTAGAGTCGAAGCGTGCAGAGACGGAACTCGAGCGTTTGCGTGCTACGGATGTTACCAAGAGCAAGATTGCGCGTGAGGCGGCGCAGCAGAAGGCTGATGCTGCGTTCTATACCGAGCAGAAGGCTGCTGATGCCGCGTTCTACAAGCAGAAGATGGAATCCGATGCATACTGTACGTCTCCTAATCCCTTGACCAAGGACTGGAACTAACGATCATAGACTACCGCCAAAAGCGTGAAGCAGAGGGTATCCAAGAGACTGCTAAAGCCTACAGGGCCATGGTCGAAACCCTTGGCGGCCCTCAAGGCTTCCTGCAATTCAAGATGATCGAAACCGGCATGTACGAGCGTCTGGCCAAGGCCAACGCCGTCGCCGTCAACGGCATGCAGCCCAAGATCACTACCTGGAACACCGGCTCCGCGGCGGGCGAAGCAGACTCTACTGCATCTATTCGCAACATTATGCAGTCCCTGCCTCCATTATTGAGTACTATCCACGATCAGACTGGCATTGCACCTCCTGCCTGGTTTGCGCAGATGCCGCAGGCTAGCACTAACGGTGCCGCTGTCGTTCCTAAGAAGGTTAATGGTGACTAAGCCAACTTGCGTCCTTGATTTTCTTGATTTCCTTGACTAGACTGTATTATCTGTGATATCCTCTGTCCACTCGTTTTCTCTTTCCATTTCGTGCATGATACATTTTGCTTTTAGCCTTGCTCAATACCATTGCTTTTCAAGATTTGTTTAATGGATCTCCATGCGTAAGTTCGCTCGGAATATGATTAGTGGAAGAGTTATTGCCATGGAGCTGTTATATTGGCTCTAAAATTACTGGTATCATCTTATTCGATGAAAGCATCAAAGTTTTTCGTAGATCTGGATGAAATCTATGCAAGGGAGCACCGCCTACAATATCTACAGCCATTTATTTCTTGCTTTCCTCTCGATTGTTGTTCGTACCTCACCTTCGGAGTTGACGGGGTCTGAAACGACGTCCACCTGTGTCTTGACGAGTATGGCATTGTCCTCCAACTCTATATCCGCGACTCCAGGCCGTACACTTTGGTTGGCATCACTGAAACGTTTGAAATTACGAGGTGTAGATTCCCAGCTTGCAATATTCTTTGCTCGGCCTCGGCTGACAGAGCCACCATGATGATAGTTCAAGGCAAATCCATCACCATCCCTGCCGCTTCAGCCATAGTAATATCGTCTTGTGCTTGCATTCCTACCAAGAAAGCGTTCGAGGACTGGAGCAAGTAGGGGTAGGTTTCCGGATATTACAGCAACCCCCATTTCAAGGTCTGTTCATGTTGAAGAGTAGACTGAGACAGAAGTGTTAGCTCGAACCTCAGCACTTTGTGAAGATCCCATATCCTGCGAGTAGGTAGCTTCCGTAGGTACGAAGCGTGTAAGCTCGACGATGCGGATGGTGCTAGCGATACAAGTACTTTTCATCTTAGTCGCGTGGCACAATTAACGTCTGTATAGGGTAAGAAGAATACTTACAAGCACCCAAGCATAAAGATACCACAGATCCCAATCTTCCTTCTCGTATTCATCTTGAGGTGCCACATCATTGGCACCGGGAGGAGAAGAATGGAAACATCTCCGAGAAGTGACAATCCACCGTTAACAGACCCGGAAATAGCCTGGTTTTTGCATGAACCACCTTTGATGGTGCGATCGTATTAAAATGCGATAGGGATGCATACGGTCAGATTGACGATCCAGGTTGAGATGGCCCAACCAATCGTGTACGCCATGTTGATGTAGGCAGCCCGGCGAAATATATTGTTCTGCCCAAAGATGCGCAGATAAAACAGTAGAATAGATATCTTGATACAGGCCAATGCGGGTTGGTTTGCTCGCTGCAGGGCAAAACTGATCTAAAAGTCATCAATAAACCCACCGAGCTGAGCTCGAGATGATACCTACTGACCACCGCAAAACGCCGCTGTTGCTCTTCCGGAACATGGCAATTGTGATGTCCTAGTCCATTTTGTAGCACTGGAAACCCGTCAGAATTAAATTTCTGACAGGTAGGCTGCAACTCGCGATGCCTACACAAATATTCACAGATCGCCGGCTCAAACGATATCAAAAGCCTGCACCCCATCAGGCTATCATCCCACCCGAATCTTTGCCCTGTCTTCTTTCTGCAATACAATCGAAGAGCATACGTGAGAATCGAAAGGATGAGGATGATAGTCGTGGGGATGAGAGCGAACATTCGCCGGGAATGGACTTCGGCCGGATCATCAGGCGGGCAATTTGCGCGTTTCAATTGAGCAAATAACTCATCCATTGTCTGAATACTGACTGATTATCAGTGGTCTCAAGAACCGCGATAGCAAGCAGTCAGAAAAGTACTCCTGAGGGAAAAACAACACAAATATGAACGAGGGCCTTGCCCTCTCATGAACATAAACCTAGGCAGTAGTCCCTTTTGGATGCTTGAGCTCTACAAATTGATTTCAACATGGTGACATGGGCCTGATCCAGAAACCCATCAATGAGTTTTAGATTAAGTCAAAGCCTGATGGTCTACTTGATTGAGACAGAAGGTGAAATGTCTTCATCCTTACAATTACAAATTCTTCCAACGCCAGACATTCCCCTACTTTCTCCAAAACCTATGCCAGCGACGAATATGAATTGTACAAAGATTGGTAGCTCACTGGGAGTTATTAAAGACATGGTAGGTGAACAAAAGAAAATTGGTATAACACCATTCCATGTCATTTATGCCGTCTCATAGCTGGTTATTATGTCTAACTATAGAGACGTATGTAGATACGATTTGTTAATGATACGAGAGACCATGCAGCTAGTGATTAGCTGCACTAGGTGCTGTAACAGCGGCTGAAGTCGGATGAACGGAGCGAATTTCCGAATCGCTGTTGTCTTAATTGTGAGTTGCAAGTCTCAAGAAGTCGGGGTCCAGTGATCACTAAACCATCTAGAGCGAAGTTATACTCTGTACTTGGATATCTCGATAGTCTCATGTTTAAACTGTACATCGGACCTCTACACTTGGTGTTGATTAAGAAATGAAAATGGGATATTTAAGGTTCTGAGCCATGCATATTACTTTGGGCTGGGGCTGATAAATTTGATTCCGAATTGGATTGGGGTGGCCAGTCGGTGAAATGGCGGGATACCTTGCTAAAATCGCCATAGACAAGGGCTGCGTTGATATACTGAGTCAAGAGATAATTGGACATGGACCCATGTCAGTATTTAGGCAGTCGCGCTCCTTCATATAGTTATGCAGAGCAGACTTGCATTTAGCACTAGTAGTGCCAACGAACAAACTCTACAATACATTTCAAGCAGGGACCCTGCTGTCAGTGGACCATCGTACACTAATACGCCTTAAATATCTAATTAATTTAATAAGCGATATTACCCTAAGACATGGGAGAATACTACATCAGTCGGCTTCTTTTTTAAATGGTCTATGTATAGGTATGTAGTGTATATCTGTAATTCTATACTCCATAATTACTCGTGCCAATTGCTGGCCAACTACTACCGCCCTGGTTTACAGTACATACCCATACCAGTGATTAACACGGGATGGTGTCAAGTGGTCTGGCCGCATATATAGCACCCAAACCATGCATATTCAAGATTGGTCGAAATTCGAATTGTTGTTTCTAATGTCCGTTGAGTCGTGGACTAAGTTTAGCCGATATCAGCCAAAACTAGAAAGCATACCTTAAAAGAATTGCGCAGTGCTCAAATTCTCGTAAAACAAAAATCCTCTTTCTACGATAATTTATTACATAGAAGGATCTTATACTAGAAATGCCCCTGTCATTTGCTTTGACCTGTTCCTTTTTAGGTTGTCCTCATTTCTTACTTAGGACTGCCGGGTAGGGGTTGTATGCTTTTCATTTGGGTTCTGACGAAAAAAGAAGAATTAAAATACAGTCAGAATGTCTACGTCTCACTCCACCAGTGGAGATCAAAAAGTTCTCACACATGAGGACAGAATGTCGTCTGAGATGAGTTTGAAAACCAATGCCAATGGCATGATTCTCATTCCCCAACCGTCTGATGATCCCAAAGACCCTTTGGTGAGTCTCGTTCTGCTATATCTCTGTCTCGGAAAAAAAAAAAGAACCTGGCTTCTGACAAACCAACTGATTTAGAACTGGCCCATATCGAAGAAAATCATTGTCGTATCGGTGCTCTTCCTGAGTATGTTTGTTGGATTCGCAGCACCATTTGTTGGGCAGCTCAACATACAGCAACAAGCGAAGCTATATCATAAAACAACAATCCAGATTACCTATTTTAACAGCGCAGCATCCGCTGGTCTGGCCACTGGCGGTTTCATTTGGTGGCCATTGTCACACAAATTCGGCCATTCAGCAGTCATTTTCTGGTGTTTAATTGGAGTACTTGCGACTCAGATATGGGCCCCGTTGATGACGAAGCCAGACCAATACGTGCCCTATCTAATCTCTCGATACTTTTCGGCTTTCTTTGGGGTCGTGGTCAGCATTTTAGGTCCTAAATACTTGACCGACATGTTCTTCCTACACCAGCGAGGCCGCGCATTTACAGTGCTGCATCTTGCATTGAATTTTGGCGCATCTGCGGGGCCAACTTTCTCTGGCTTTGTCGCCGCGAATTCGTACTGGCCGATTGAATACTGGTGGCATGTTGGTCTGACTGGGTTCACTCTATTTCCGGTATTCTTCTTCCTCGAAGACACTGCGTATCAGCCAATCGAGGAGAGAACCGACGAATCAACTGCTCAGAGTTTTCTCAGTCAGCGATTTGAGATCTTCTTCAAAGGTGGCAGAAATACCCGGTCTATATCTTGGGGCGCAATGGTTTGTCTTGATTTGACTCACTGATTGAAATTGAGCTGAATAGTGCATAGTTCAAAGTGTTCTTCCGCCCATTTAAGCTATTCACAGCCCCGGTCATACTGATTATTGCCGGCTTTGACACAATCAGTTTTGCATTCTATGTGGCGTTAAATGCATTAACTCCGGTCTGGCTACAGCTGCCAAAGAAGGCCCATGGCATATATGGCTTTTCAGTCGCAGACAACGCAGCATGTGAGTTCAGTCATCAAACCTGTCTGGCCGCTTTAAGGCACTGACGGTATAAGTTACGTTCGTTCACTGGATTGGTTGTATCATCGGTTTGATTTATGGTCATTTCGTCAGCGATCGAATTCCGCTTTGGTTTATCAAACGCAACAATGGCGTGTGGAAACCGGAGTATCGCTTGCAGGCCCTGTGGCCGACTAACTTCGTACTCATGCCCCTCGGTCTCGGCCTCGTGGGCATCGCAATGGAGTATCGTCTGCACTGGATCGTCATGGCTATCGGACAACTTTTTGTAACCATCGGTTCTTTGGTCAGTATTCCTGTGACCGTCAACTATATATGCGAATGCTTTCGAACACACACCACGGAGGCAACGCTGATTCTCAACTCACTTCGACTATGGTTTGGGTTGTCCATCAATTTTTATGTAAATCCGTGGATTGATAAGGTCGGGATTGGGTGGGTGTATGGAATGATGGCTTTCTTTTGTGTCTTTGCTTTCCTTTTCTTGATCGTGTTAATGCTGTTCGGACATGCAATAAGGGAGGCTACACCGTTCATTGAGTCTAAGTCAGAAGAAGGGCAGCATGTTCTTGCGGATGGAGACAAAGCTACTTCTACTCCTACTGTTTGAGTTCTGTGTCTATCAAAAATACAATGTCATCATATGGTTTGTTTAAGTACTCTCTATTAAATCACCGTCAAGCCAATCAGTGACGAGAGGCCATAGCCGCCTTTTTACCAGACTTCTAACTATAACAGAGTTGTTATACGATGTGTGAAATGTTTCCTAAGTAGGGTCCTATTTTCGTATGCGAAGCGCGCAAAGCCGACCTGGACGCAATGTAACCATGTGGACCCGGTAGGAGCAGATTGGCAGGGATTTGAATTGACTTGTAATTCATATCCCCGGTCCTTGACAGGGGTCAATAGCCAGTGGAGATTGAAACAAGCAATTCGTATCGGTAGCGTAGCAAGTATGGTCCGCAGTATAAGCTAGTTTTATTTAATATGTAATTCGCTAATTTCCACGGGATTATATACGTATGGATCATCCCCTTGCAAAGCGTATACCCCGCTAGATCCCGTTAAACTGTTGAACATAATAAGAATATCTGCACATTCTTTCATTCCAGATTTGATCAAATGCCCGGCGATCACCAGATTGGTAGCAAGAGCAGGGATGTGGGATGGTACGACGAACCGATAACTTCAATTGATCCGTCTGTTCGCGAACTCTTGGAGAAATATAGCAACTATGCTCCCAGTGAGGTGGTATCGTCCGCAGTCGAAATGGTAGGCAATCCTTTGCATACCGCAAAACGACAGATTAAGAACCTATGCAACCTACTGAGCTAGCACATGGTTGAGAATATCAACTATACTAACTCACTATAGAGAGACAGGATTTGGGATGTTTTCCCATGGCCATGTGTTGGACAATTCCGTTTCCTCGACTTGTCACTCAGCCGAAGCAAGTCGTACCCTCGCATTCTCGACGCCATCAAAGGCGGCGAACGATTCCTCGACGTTGGCTGCTGCTTTGCTCAAGATATGCGCAAACTCGTGTATGATGGCGCACCCGCAGAACATCTGTATGGATTGGAAATCCAGGCCGAATTCATCAGTTTAGCATACCAGTTCTTTCGCGACGAAGCAATAATAGCCGCGGATCATTTCATAATCGCCGACCTTATGGATCGAGCAGATCCCAAGGTGCAACAAGTCGCTGGCACATTTGGGATTGTACATCTCGGTATGATTTTACATACTTGGGATCGGGCTGGTCAGTTGAAGGCGTGTCAGCGAGCTGTTGAGCTGCTGCGGCCGGAGTCAGGAGCACTTGTTGTCGGACAGTGTGTTGGGCATATAGATGGCGTTCAGTCGCCGGGGAGGGGAGGCAAGTCTATCTTCAAACACAACGAAATCACGTTCCGAGATCTATGGAAGGAGGTGGAAAAGCTCACCAATACGAGGTGGGAAGTTCGGGCACAATTGGACCAAGGGTTGGGAATCAAGGAGAACAATCGCCAATGGGATGATCCGAGAACGCGCCGCTTAGTCTTTGAGGTTGAGCGGCTGCCGGATTCTTCGTAACCTTCTTAAATACGATAGTGGTCGTCGTTCTTTGTGGGACGTGTAGTAAGGTTTGAAGATTGGTATAAAGCTTCTTAATTGACTACATACTTTTTATGCAGGTTACATCAGACAAGTAGTGAGTTTATAGCACGTCAATTAATCTGTTCTGTACTCCATAGATCTATATGCAATGAATATTTCGCGATTTGTAACGTGGTTGGTTTGACGGTTCTTGCATGCAGGGATGCGAAAGAAAATCTAGATATCCATAAAAGAGCTTTTATTTCAAGACACAGACCTGTAATTTCATAGTGTCTGTGAGATTCTCACGGAGCAGGAGACACAACGGAGCTCATCGGTGTCTTGTATCAAGTTGGTGGCATGTATCTAGATATAACACATACCCGAGAAGTCTAGGTTAATGTTGCACTAATTAAACAGCCTAGTCATAATATCAGGCGCGTGGGTTTTGGGGTATGACATGAGAAGATTCTTGAACATAGCCACCGCAATAGCAAGAAGATGTACTTTTTCATATGAAGAGTACACCATATCCTGTCTACATTAACAGCATGAAGACCAGTTATAGGATTTCTGGAGAAGAAGCCCTAAAAGGTTCCGTCCGCACCCGCTCGGCTCCACCCCTTTTCCTAACGAGAGAACCCTTTTCTCGGCTTGTATTGTTCTAAAAGAATCCCAACAGCAAAAAAATTAAAAAAAGAAATCAACATACAACAGCTGGGATTCGCTGGTGGTCAACTACTAACCAGCCGGCGTGTGGCTTAAGTACGGCTGAGCGGACGGGAAGCCCTGTTTTCCACACCCTATGGTCGTATGTGCTTGTAGTAACGAACCAAGGAATTATATTTGATGATAGTTTAACATAAGATGAAGCTCCTGAACTATTTTGTTGCGTCTACAGATAGATTGACATTGGAAAGTGACCTCAGAAAGGAGCTGGTGGGAATAAACTCACCAGACATCCCGGCTATCACCCGCGTGGATAAAACCGAGCTGTAAACCCGCTATGCATAAGGTTTCCTGATACCAGGAGGTGAGGCCTGATCTATGGGACATCGTCGTGAAACTTTGCGTACAAATCACCAACCGAAGTGATCTTAACGGGGCTGAGGTAGCACTATTGGACGATTTTCCTTAGGGTTGATAGGGCCTAGCAAGGGCTGGAAGAAGAATAGCTCGTCCGGGTATGGTCAAATGATACAGATCGTTACAATAGTACTTTGGGGAAAGTTGTTGGCATCGATAGGCATCAAGTGATAATAGAAATAGCAGGGGAGAATGTGGTCAATGAATCAGGTTCCATGCTCCGAGGGATGGGTTCCAGGGAGCTGCTTACCAACTCAGGTAGACTGAATGAAGCATTAAGCTTTAGTAACATCTACCTAACCTTCTGATTGATAAGGTGCCTATTTCATTGCTTCCCCGCAGGATAGATCAAAGATCGACTCCACTTCCCCGTGGGGTTTTGTGCATGACTCGATTTCAAGGATACTTGTGGGGTCTGTCCAAGGTTGGGTCAAGATATGATAAGCTCTCGGTATATAGCTAATATATCAAAGCCGAGTTACATACATATTCTATATAGCATGTCAATTTAGACTCTTTTGAGTTATAACCCTGCAAATGCTCCACATCGCCCCGCAACAACCTCTCGTTGACATTGTCGAAATGGTTTCGCCGTTAGGAAGGTATTCGTATATTGACAACAGGTTTTGAAGCTTATTATAGTTTAGACAGTGGAATTACTGCCGGATTAGGTAGTGAAGTGATTTTTTCAATGCGTAGGAAAGATTGCCCAAGTCACCAGACCATGCGGATGATATTGGGTATATAGTAGCTATCTGATCGGGGCTATCAATGAAATTTCTTTATAGCTACTCTTGACCTGTTAGAGTCTTCCTTAGATACAAGTTTCCAAATATTACTGACCTGTGACCAATCCTTGAACAAAGGCATCAACATGGAGCCCAAGAAGGATGGTGTTTTGGCCAATTGGAAATGTCTTGCGGCATGCACTCTTGTGTCCATGTCGCCCTTTCAATATGGCATTGATTTTACCATGATCGGTGGCTTTCAAGCTATGATTGGGTTTTTGCAGGTATGTCGGTTCATGAGTCATATCTGTCAAGTCTATAGCTAGATTGAACTGACGCTTGTCATAACGAACTATAGATATATGGAGAGAAATCATCTGCAACGTCTATTGGATACAATATCAGCTATACTCGTCAACAATTAATCTCTTCTCTGATGACCTTGGGAGCGTTTATTTCATCAACTTCGGCCGGTATTTAATCCATACGAATCATCCTTGACCGAATCATATTGATTAAGTCAATTCCATGTCTAGGCCCCATTGCCACTTACATCGGCCGCAAATCATCCCTCTGGCTAGCCTGTCTTCTTATCTATGTTGCCAATATCATCATGATGACCACCGACTCTATTGGTGCGCTTTACGCAGGTCGATTTATCATGGGTCTAGGCAATGGACTGCTATTGACTTTTGCTCAGCTATACATCCAGGTACACCCTCAGCCTCAAACTTTTCAGACCTTTAATCTAACTTGACTCTATATAGGAAGTTGCACCAGCCCGCTACCGAGGCGTAATGATTTCCATCTTCATGTGCTGGACGTCAATCGGCTCCCTCATCGGCACAATCATCGACAACTTCACTGCCAAAATCATCGGTAAAAACAGCTATATTATTCCCCTCGGTCTGATTTATATCATCCCTGTCATCCTATGTGGTGGTATTTTCTTCATCCCGGAATCGCCTCGTTGGCTTCTCCAGAAGGGGAAGAAAGAGGAAGCGCATAAGGCGATGGTGTGGTTACGTCCTTATCCTGAGACTGTTGACGCGGAAATTGCTGAGATACAAGCCGCCATCGATATGGAATTGAGCCTTGCTGATGGGGTGTCTGTTTGGGATATGTTTACGAACCCAGTTGATCGTAGACGAACTGTTCTTGCTGTTTGTGGTGTGACGTTGCAGGCTGCTTCAGGTGCTATGTACATGATTGGTGAGTTATTGAAGACCTGGTCAGACTACATGAGCAGTCATGGCTAACTTGAGATCTCAGCCTACGGGACGTATTTCTTCGAGATGGCTAACATCGGCAACGCATTCGAGAATAGCTGTATCCTGAGCGCACTCGGAGTTGTGGCCATTATTGCCAATAGTGCTGTTATTTCCAAGATTGGTCGTCGACGACAGTTCCTCATGATTGGTATGACCCTCTGTGGTATTAGTCAACTCATCACTGCTGTCGTCTATACTACACACCCGGGAAGCGAGGGCACTGGAAGAGCTATTGTTGGCTTGGCTGTCATCTTCATCGTCGGTTACAATGTGTGTTACTCTTCTTATATTCATGGTTCATCATGCTAATTACTTTGGTAATAGGGAATGGTCTCGTCTTACGCATGGGTTTCTGGTGGTGAGCTACCTTCTCAGCGTCTACGATCTTATACATTTGGTTTTGCAGCAGCTATTGGTTTTCTGGGGGCGGTTTGTCTATTCAAAGTCCACGCTAGAAAGATCCTACCGTAACTGACTATATGGTAGTGGCTCACCACCTTCACGGCACCATACTTTATCAATCCAGATTCAATGAATTGGGGGTAAGCTGCCTTATTCCATCGAATTTCTCAATCTAGCCTTTACAATAATCTGACCTCTATCACAGACCTAAGTATGGATATATCTGGTTCCCATCTTGTCTCATCGGTGCCGTCTGGGTATATTTCTTCCTACCGGAAGTCAAGAATCGCACTTTGGAAGAAATTGATGAAATGGTATGTTCAAGCCTTGTGCATTGTTGCCTCCCAGTCTTAAAAATTGCTTCTAATTCGGCTTGTCTTTCACAGTTTGAGATGCGTGTACCGGCTCSTAAAWTCTCGTCGTATAAATGTGTKGGASGAGCCGCATTGCAGGCAATGCAGGAAAAGAATTCTAATGCGGTCATTGCAAATGATACTAAGGAGCAAGAAGTTTTTGCTGAAGAGGTTGAATATACTGCTTGAAGAATGGACGTATAACGGATCCTAAAACACGATGAGTATAGTGGGAGTTGGGTATATCATATTCGATTAAGCTCTGAATAAACCCACTGGTAGTATGGGTGATTTTCGATAATGTCATGGTCTTTTATTGATTTGAAGAGCTTATATAACATTTGTGACAATCAAGGACGTTTGAATCAACTTTGTTAATTCCAGAAGTTAGTCAAATTTACCCACTATCTAGGCACGTATCTCATTTAGATATTCTTGATGTCATAACAGTAATATCTGTCTGGTACTTTGGAAACCATAGGTACAACTATTTACAAGAGAATATATTACGAAGGATAACTAGGTCACAGTGTTGTGTATGTACTATACTTTACTATAATTTGAAATTTGTCTAGATGAACTTCTTAACAACTTCATCAAACACCTCTTCAGCGTGCTTCGCAGCATCATGAGTAAATATCCAGTCCTCGCGAGGTAGATGAATGGAAGCAGGATCCTCCTTGACCTTATCCCAGTCGGCCTTATGCCACATGTCTCTCGTAGTTTCACCAGTCTTTTGTACCGCACGTACTCGGTCATATCTAAACAGACACTATTGGTTTTCTGAGCTAATTTCTGGGTGTGATAATTTACGTACCGAATATCTTGATAAGCGCGCACAGCAGCCGGAATACGGTCCTTGCTTCCAGCCCTCTTGAGGCAGACAGCAATCGTAACACCATCTTCCATGGCCTGGGTAGCTCCCTGTGCCGAAGTAGGCAAGAATGGATGTGCGGAGTCACCTAGCAAGGTAATTCGTCCCTTGTCGCTGACCCATCGAGGCAATGGATCACGATAAACCAATTTCCAATCCACCACAGAGGGAGTCTTTTCTACAATCGCCTTGCACAAAGGGTCCCATCCTTCAAGGACTTTATATACATCCTCCAGTTTTCCGGGAAAGGACCAGGACTCGTCAATATCGGCTTCATCCTATTTCACGATAACGTAAGAACAGAAGCCGAAGATAAGAGAGCAATATAGACTTACACGATGGGTCAATACCCAGCAGCAGTCTGAGCCATTCTTGATAGTCGAAAACAGGAAATGCACATCAGGACCAATCCAGCCGTTGAATGTGTCGCCATTCTCGCAGAACTGCTTTGTGCGGGGGTCTTTGATCATATCTGTGTTCGGGAACCTAACCATAGATCGGTCAGTTAAAGACACTCTGTACATAGGTGAGATTTGGCGTACCATGCTCGGTAAACTGCATAACCACTAGACTTGGGCTTATCAACGTATCCAAGAACTAATTCCCTAGCTTTGGATCTCACGCCGTCGGCGCCTATAACTACATCTGCAGAAACCTAACATAATTGTCAGCCACTTTTCTGAGCAAGCGACTGTTTCGGCTGACCTACTTTTGTCCCATCATCCAGAATGATACCCGCCTGTTCTTCATCTTCCCAGTACTGCGTCACCCGATGACCGAGATGAATCGGAATTCCCAAATCGTTCTTAGCATGATTGAAGACTATGCTGTGCAATTCGCCGCGATGGCCATTGAAAACAGGCGCATCGGGATCAGGTGGTGGCCCCCTTTGTGTTGTGACAACTTCTCCCGTGTCGTATTTGTGAATTCGGAATCCGTATTCGGTCAGGTTGATACTCAATTCACGCATTTTCTCGACGATTTTGCCGTTGTCCCAGCGCTTGTAAATGCGGCCGGCATTGGGTCCGAAGGAGATAATGTCGCCTAGGACTTTGAGTTCTGAATTGGTACTTTAGTAAGTTGCTCTGGGTGTATATCCTGGGGATTGTTTCCTAACCTGGAAAGGATTCGTATATTTCGACTTCATGGCCTTGTCGGTGGCACTCAATAGCAGCTGTAAGACCCCCAAATCCTGTCTCAAGCTTTAGCATAAAGCTATTAAAATCTTTTGGTAGCTGGAAATGATCCCACCTGCTCCTACAATGACCACTCTAGCCCTGGTTGAGGGCGAGGAATCGCCGTTCGAATTAGCCATGATGAAGTATAATTTAGGGCAAGCGAAAAGCAAAGTTTTGTGACGTCTGAAAGAAGGCTATGCCGCTCAACTTTAGAAGATATAAGCTCTAGATAAATAAGAATCTTTTTTTACATTTATCCGGCAACGGTATGTGTATCTAGATACCGGAACCTACAGACACCGTGAACCCACAATGCAGGCAAGTAACTTGTGACCACATGGTATTTCACACAATTTTCTGTCCAAGTGGGGAGCCAGAACCGATAAACTGAATCTTATATGTAAGTATGTACCAATATTGAGCTAGCGGCCCCTGAAACTGTGGAGATTTCGAAGAAGGTGTTTGGATACTTGCCAAGTAATGGGGCACAGGACACTCGGAAAATTCCCCGCCATTTAGGTTTCCCCGGATTATGTCCCTCCATCTGAGATATGCCCAGGTTATGATAAGCGATTGATAGAATTTCTGTCGGCAATTCGGATATTTTGAACTGCCGGGAGACCATTCTCAGTTCCTTGGGTGGATTGACAAGTCAAAAGACAGTAGGAAGGGCTTGTGAACCAGCGGGGCTTATTTTGTGTACTTCAAGTTACCTATCATGGTAACTTGGTGTTGGGTATGGCCTCTGTGGGGCCTTTATTTAAGTGAAGCAAAAAAAAACTCATATATACCACAAATGGTGGCCTATCAGGAGGATACAGCCAGAATTCTTTCAAAGAATCTTGCTGCTTGATCACGATTTGCCCATCGTTGACTTGGAGAAAGCAAAATGACGAGCCATCCGGAATACAACGAGAAGACAACGGCAACCGAAGTTGCAAATGCATTTTCAGATCGGATTCGCGATAGAAATGGTAAGTCATAAATCGTGACATGTCTTGAAATTACCACCCGCTAAAGCAGAGGCCTCTGCAGTTGTCATCACCGGAGTAGGACCGAACAGTCTCGGAGAGGCGTTAGCCGTCGCCATCGCAGCCCATTCACCGGCAAAGCTTTTCCTCGCATCACGAACAAAGGCCAAACTAGACGAAGTCCTGAAGAAGATTTCTACAGAAAGACCCCGGGCATCCTCCAACGTGGAACTCGTCATATTAGATCTGGCGTCACAAAAGTCAGTCCGAGAAGCAGCAGGTCAAATTCTAAGTAATGTGAACCATATCGACATCTTGATCAACAATGCAGGCTTGATGATTCTCAAGCAAGAATTTACCGCGGAAGGCATCGAGCTCCAGTTTGGCACTAATCACATCGGTCATTTCCTATTCACAAACCTACTCTCGGAGAAGATGGGTCCGGATGTTGGATCATCACAAGGCGCCGGGTCGACGAGGATTGTCAATGTTACAAGTGCTGGACATCGCCTTTCGCCGTTCCGGTTCCACGATTACAATATTGACGGAAAGCCCGTTCCAGATGAGGAGCAGCCTCCGGCAGCGATGATTGCTGCGTATGGTAAAGTTGAGGCATATAATGGTTGGATTGCATATGGGCAGTCCAAGACTGCTAATATATTGTTCTCGGTGGACTTGAATCAGAGACTCAAGGCAAAGGGTGTAGCGTCTTATGCCGTTCATCCAGGATGTAAGTTGTCCGATATTGTTCCATTCGTTCTCAGAACTAACAGCTACACGTGCAGCCATCTGGACAGGTCTCGCACGAAATCTCGACGAAGAAGGGACCGAGATACTTTCCAAAACAGGTTCTTACTGGAAATCGATAGACGAAGGTGCAGCTCCTATGATGGTTGCGGCCTTGGATCCTGCCCTTGACGGTGAGTCATGACTACCTTATCAGTTGGACAAACAGAAACAGTCATCAGGCATCTGACATGTTGCATTCTTCCACAATCAGGCACCCCCGAGCCCAAAGGTGTTTATATCAGCGATTGTCAGATCGCCGAAGCAGCCCCGTGGGCAACGGACCTTGATGCAGCCAAGAAGCTCTACGAGTTGAGCGCGAATCTGGTTGGTATGACCACTGCATAGTGCGAAGATATATTAGAAAGGTTAGAAGCAATCAGGGTTCATGTTTTAAAGTGTTGCTACAAGGAAGCGGTGAAAGGCTGAGAAGACAAAGAACTTATCGGGTAGATGTACGATCGGTAAGACGGTTCCGCTTTTCCGTCGGGGAGATAAGTTGTGTCGGATATCCGATGACCAATCATAGCCATCCATCTTTTCCAGATTCACAAAGTCGTCAACATCCACGATGTACTATCAGATTACCAATGCATCTTTTTCATAAGCAGTTGAATGTGTTTATCTATGTAGAAATAGTTGCTAGTTCATATTCTTACCATGCTTGCCTGAATTAATAAAAACTAAACTCGTCATCTTAGAATCAACCTCGCGATCGGCTCTCCGTCGGACGTCCGATCATCACGGATCCACATCGGCTCTAACGGCAGCGCTTGACGAAAGCTTGAAAAAAGTTGCGAAAGTCCTCGTCATGTTTGCGCCAGTAACACAGTGCAAATCTAAGTGTTTTTCTCGGTCGTAGTCTACAAAATTCCACTCCAGCAAGTCAGGTCTCTTTAATTTGGACTCATAGTGTGGCGGGGGCTGCTACAGATTAAAAACGGATCCCGCTAGCCCTATGTCATAACAATCTATGGATGCAACCTACCCAACTCGTAAAAGATTTCTCCATCTTAGTTTCAAAACTAGCACCTAGTCTGGCCACAATCTTTGCCGTTGGTTTTCGCCTAGTTTCATCAAGCAGGTATATATACACTGCCTCCCTGCACCTATCGTGGCGATCGATCCTACGATCTACTTCTCGATGTCTTTATAAGTTATCAGAATTTTATGATTGGAAAATAAAACAGTGGCTACATAAATCTTTCTAATTTTGTGGTTAATTGTTTCTACCTGACTAGGTCAGGTAAATTTTGAACAACAATGGGCCGTCACGCCAATGCAGAGAAATCTTTACAGGATCAAAGGAACATTTTACCAATTGGTCAACTGCTGGTTGTTTTCAGTGGGCTCGCGGTCTCCCTATTGATTTGCTTCATTGACCAAAACGGCCTGAGTGTCGCTCTTCCAACTATCAGCAAAGAATTGAATGCACAAGATACGATTTCGTGGGCCGGAACGTCATCACTCATCGCTAATGCCGTCTGCACCGTCCTCTACGGTCGATTGTCCGACATCTTCGGCCGCAAAAGTGTTTATATCAGCGTCCTAATCCTTCTTAGTATCGCTGATTTGCTTTGCGGTCTGGCTCAGAACCCACCCATGCTTTATGTCTTTCGTGCGTTGGCTGGTATCGCTACCGGTGGTATCACCAACATGACCATGATTATTGTTAGCGATGTCGTGACGCTCGAGGATCGAGGCAAGTATCAAGGTATTCTGGGTTCGTGCGTTGGTATTGGAAATGTGATCGGACCATTCATCGCAGCAGCCTTCGTGCAAAATGCCTCGTGGAGAGACATCTTTTACCTCCTCACACCGCTAGCGGCAGTTAGTGCTGTTGTAGCATGGTTCCTATTGCCAAGTAAGATGAGACCGGAATCGATGAAGAGTCAAGTCAAAAAAATTGACTTTGCGGGCGTTCTTACTTCAACGATTGCCATCGTTTTCATTTTGATTCCCATCTCTGGTGGTGGTCTGTATTTTCAATGGGATTCTGCGGTGGTAATAAGCTTGTTGACGATTGGAGGCTGCTCAGTTGTGGCCTTCTTGTTCACTCAATGGAAGATTGCATTCCTTCCAATGATGCCTCGTTAGTATTGTCTACTCCAAACAATGAAACAGTTGAGCTAATATAAAGTAGTTTCCCTGTTCAAGAGTTCCGTTATCACAACCCTATTCTTGCAGAGTTTTCTTCTTGGTGCCGCATATCAATCCTTGCTGTATTATCTGCCATTGTACATCCAAAACGGCCGTGGCTGGTCGCCAATACAATCTGCCATATGTTCGTTGCCCATGGTCTGTTTCCAGTCAACCGCCTCTATCATGTCAGGACTGTACATGTCACGATTCAATCGCTATCTTGAAGTTATCTTCTTTGGTTTCTCTTTGTGGTGCCTGTGAGTTTTCAGCTTACCTTTTCGAAACAAGTATGTAAGACTGACTTTGCTTATAGTGGAATTGGCTTGACACTACTATGGGACGGAAACACCTCCAAGGGTGAAATATATGGTATTCTTGTCCTCGTTGGTACTGGAATTGGCTGTACCTTCCAGCCAACTCTAGTCGCTCTTCAAGCACACAGCCCTGTGGCAAAGCGAGCTGTTGTGATTTCCATCCGTAACTTTTTCCGCTGCACTGGTGGTGCAGTTGGTCTCGCAATATCGGCTGCAATCCTGCAGGCTGTTCTAAAGAAAAATCTGCCAAGTGAATATCAATACCTCACCCATTCCTCATATGCACTTCCCGATAAAAGCAGTATCCCAGCGGCAGATTGGGAGTCTATTGTGAACGCATACGTCAAGGCATCCCATTCGGTCTTTGTCTTCCAAGTACCCTTGGTGGGTATTTGTGTCCTGGCGTGTGTCTTTATCCGAGACAAGGGATTGCGCAAACCAGAAGACATCAAAAAGGATGATGCGAAGGAAAAAGATATATCAGCGTCTCAGGCCACGACACAGGTCGATCTCGAGGCAACAGAGCATGAGGACGACAACCAACATGACCTTGAAAACCAGCTAGAGAGAGTAGAGAAGGAGGAGCAGAAGAACGATAAAACTGAACAAGCGTCGACCGCTTGAGTCAGCGCTTGCACATAATCGACTTACGACTAATACGTTTGCATGGGATTTCGGTACATATTGCATTATACCATAGACTTCATGAATAGCATCATAGATTTTCCGAAATATAACTCATTTTGGATATAACATAAAAGAAAGAAGAAGTAAATGTAAGGAAGAGAAGACCTGAGGCAACAATATGCTCGGTCTGACCAATGGCCGTCTCCAGAAGTGCCCCACTCAGTGACATCTGCTCCTTCCAAGCTTTCGATATCGATCTCATTCTCTTTGTTTTCTTACACTTTGAAACTCTTGTGTCTGCATAGAACATTAGCTTTTCCTTCTTGACGGGAATATCTGGCAGGTACAGGATATGTGAGCCATGAACTCGCCTCGCGCCTCTTCGACAGGCACCGAATACAATCCACGCAAGCGTGGCAGGACAGCATGTACACGCTGCAAAAGTCGAAAACAAAAGGTGTGCTCTTGCACCACGCGAGTGGACATAATCTGGTCTCTCCGGGCTGATATTTTTTAGTGTGACAATGAGTATCCTAATTGCACAAATTGCCGGAAGGCTGGTGTTGAGTGTGACAAATCTTCGGTCAGCCTCGAAAGCGAGAACAATCCGGGGTACATATACTTCCTATAAGCTACCAATATATTGTTGACAATGGTATAGATACACTCGGGCTCTAGAAGAGCGTATCGCATTTCTAGAAGGCAGATTATCGGAGTTTACAGAGCCCAAAGCTGCAGACTCAATCTCAAGTGATAGTGCTACCCGAATTATCCACCCCATGTCCGCTGCTTCCCAGCGACAAACACCAGACACTGCCCAAATGGGAACGAGTAGCAGTACACTTGGTGAAATCGTTGGATTTTTGTCCCTTAATCCATCAGAGTCACCAGCCTATATTGGTTCGAGCTCGGGCCTGTCATTGGCGGTAAATTTGGGCGAAATGGTACGGGCAACAGTCATGACCAAGGCATTTCCGGATTCTCCAGAAAGCAGAAATCAACAGTCAAATCGTACTGGTACTGCAAATACAACTAGCGTAAATCCTTCCTACAAAGCAATTAATCTGGATGAACTGCTGAAGCATCGCGCCAATCCTCCCAATGACGAAATGGGCTCGCGTATACTTGATGCTTACATTGGTCGGATCCACGGTAGATATCCTTTCCTTGACCGAGATGAGCTGTGGAGACTGCATCATGATCGTTGGAATCTTGCAAAAATCAAGCCGGAAAATCTGACACAGGCTCAACGCTTTGGCATATTTCGGCTCTACATGGTGTATGCTATTGCATCAACATTGATGTCGCTAAGTGAAAAATATGACTATACTGCTCCTGAGGTGGGATGTTCGATTCCTTATTTGGGTGAATGTGTACTGACAAATGGTAGAAGTTCTATATGACCGCTATTCAGCATGTCGCGGCTGCGTGTGAAACTAGGTCGATCCAGAATATCGAAGCCATGCTGCTCCTAGTAATATATCATCTTCGCTCCGCCACCAGCCATGGCTTGTGGTATATGATAGGGCTTGCCATGCGAACCTGCATCGATCTTGGACTGCACCGCAGAAGCAGCGCGACACAATTGGATCCATATACAGTCCAGCTTCGCCGACGCCTATTCTGGACTGTGTACTATTTAGAACGAGCTATTGCACTCTCCTTGGGCCGACCTGTTAGTATTAGCGATCGACACATCGATGTTGACTTACCTCTAGATGTGGATGATCACATACATGATCCTGCCATATTGGTCGCTGAGCAATCGCAACTAAACACGACCAAAATAACAAACTTGTCTTTCTTCCGCGCTCTTTTGCGGATTCGTCGGATCGACTCCCAGATTCAAAATACCATTTATCGTGCTGACAGGCCACTGCAAGAGCTTAGGCCGAAACTAGACAAAATATACCGTCTACTAGAAGAGTGGAAGACTTCTGTAGTCGTCCATCTCCCAAGTGACTTAGACCATGCGATGCTGCATTACAACCGAGCAGTTCGTCTACTCATTCAGCCATTTCTGCCTTTACTTCCTCTCACCGACCCATACTACCACATCTGTCTCCGAGCGTCAGGAGATATCTGCCAAGTTCACAAGAAGCTCCATCAAACACTGGAGTATGGCCATTCATTCCTTGCTGTGCAAACAGTGTTTGTGTCTGGTATAACAATGCTATACGCGCTTTGGGCAAATACCGAGAAAGTATGGTCCGTCCGTATGAGTAATGACATCCGAGCTTGTTCGACTGTTCTATTCGTGATGACCGAGCGCGCTCCCTGGGTCAAACGATATCGAGATACATTTGAGCTCTTGGTAAATGCAGCAATGGAAAAGCTGCAGGGCAATGAGGCGGCAAAGACATCTGGTATGGCGGGGATGATGGCTGCACAGGGTTACGGCCATAACATGAACGATGCGAATCCCAATATGTATCAGGCCACACCGAATGTGCCAATGATGGCTGGCACAACTGTGGTGCCACCGAGTATGTCAGAAAGTGTGCCCGGTTTCCCTGAACTTCCTGGTTTCGTGTCACAAGACAATCAGCAACAACAAGCACAAAGTCAATTCAACTTTGATATATCCGAAGATGCTATGCGGATGGCCATGGAGTTGGCGCCGTGGATCGATCAGGAATTGGGTGGTGAAGGTGCTACCACTACACCTTTGTGGATGCCTGATTTTGATACTTTGCAGAACCTGACTAGTCTTTACCAATACTGATAAATCAGAATATAGTTGGCAGATAGTATCCTTGTATAAGAATTTCCTCCCATGCTAGATCATTTGATACGCGGGGAATGCGGAGGACGTGTTTGTCTACATGTGCGAAGACATCAAAGTGGGAAAGTAGAGGGGAGTGAGTCATCCATTGATCACGGCTATGGCTGTAAAAGCACCTAGACAAGCGGCAGCAGATGTGGATGGACACCGGATTATGAGTCAGTATACTCACTGTCATCAATAATAAAGTAGAATGCATAGCTTGTCCAAGGCAATTCCGCTTTTTATTTAGTGTACTTTGTCGATGTCGAAGTATATGTTTTAAGCAGCATCTACTTCGCCAACAAAAGACAACTACAATAACATTGACTCACATCCACATCCAATAATCAAAAACCCGAGAACATAATTGATCTGGACGCCTGTCGATTCCCGTCATATCATATCATCACATGTGCTCCCACGGCTATGACAAGTTAGAGCTATCTACCCACCGAACCTAATCAAACCCCGCGCATCAACCCCGGCTATCCTCCAGACATCGTATTAGGGCTAATTCACCTCAAAACTCAACCTCCGCCGAGCTACATACTTCACAACACGCCTAACTACCAAGTTCGTACCCGGTGAACATTCATTCTCGGATAACTTAGGAACATCTTGCTTGCCAAATACGATCTTGTTCCGATATTTTTTCTATTTATGGGCTTTGATCTCGGACGGTTTAGGAGGCATGTGATTTATCTCATGCACTCTTCACATGTGGATGGAGAAGGTACTTGGTATCTGCAGGAGACGAATAAACCTACTTATTCGAGCCGAGCACGACTATGACTATGACGAGGTCTAGATTTATAGTTTAAGTGTGTAGGATTCTCAAAAAACTTATCAACTTTTCTATGATGACGATACTTCAATAATAAGGATAGCCGAATAACCTTGGGTATTCCAATTTCATTGCCATTGCCAATTGCCATCCAATCCAATCCAATTTTTGTTGTCCCTCTATATGACAGAAAAATAAAATAAAAAACCTAAATAATATATGCAGATTGTTGATCCAAGGAATAATGACGAACCAAGTAACAATGTTGTTGATAAAGCGCTCAAATGGATATCAAATATATGTGTATATAGATGGTGATTATATGGTGGTTTATATTTGATTATAGCTTGGCGTTCTTATCGTCACTTGCATCCGCGTTACCAAAGTAGCCATTCGAATTCGAAAAGGGACGGCCAATAGACGATAAAAGAGCGCCGACTTCGCGTTCGAGAGAGGCCACTTCGGAATGCGCGTTGTACATGCGTACACGGATGTAGGCGTCTAGATCGTTGTCGTTCAATTCGCGAATGGCGGTTTCGCGATCCACCTTGGCTTCCTGGGCGGCGCGGATGACTTCGCGCGCAACGACGACGCTGACTTCACGGATACGTGTGATGTCCGGGTACAAGAATCCCTGTTCGATTTCTTCGGGGAGCATGCACTTGGTAAGTGCTTCGCCGGAAGCGTAGACCATGCTGTCGGTGACTTCGACGGCTTTGGAGAGAATCGTTCCAAGACCAATACCAGGGAAGACGTACATGTTGTTGCCCTGGCCACCGTAGTAGATTTTGGTTTCGCCAGCGGAGTTGGTGAAGGTAACTGGTAGGAAGGGCGAGCCAGAAGCGAAAAGGGCACGGCCATCAGTGTTAACGATAGCGGCTTCAAGGTCACATTCGGACTTGGAAGAGGGGTTGGACAGAGGGAAGATAATAGGCTGTTCATTCCATGCGGCCATCTTCTTCAGAATCTCGGGGGTGAAGACACCTCCAATAGTTGAAAGACCAATGAGCATGGTGGGCTTGACGTGGTCAATGACTTCGTCAAGAGTCTTCCATTGCTGGCCGTTATTGTCCTTGCGGGCAAAGTAGATCTTGTGGTCTGCGAGTCTGTCACCGCGATCAGCAGTGACGAGACCTCTGGAATCGACTAGGTAGAAGCAAGCCTTGGCTTCATCTTCGGTCAAGCCTTCGCGCACAAAGTAGTCGACAATTTGTTTGGCGACACCCACACCAGCACTTCCAGCACCAAGGAAGACAGCACGCTGGTCCTTAGGGTGGACACCAGAACGCTTGACGGCGTTCATGACACCTCCTAAGATGACGGCACCAGTACCCTGGATGTCATCATTGAAGCTGGTGTATGTATGACGGTATCGCTGGAGGGCAGGGAAGGGGTTCTTGAAGTCTTCAAATTGAATGACAATACCAGGCCAACGCTCGGTCAAAGCAGCCATGAGCTCGTCAAGGAACTCTTGCTCTTCTTCCGGAGAGACCTTGTCCCGACGGCTACCCATGTAGAGAGGGTCTTCTCGGAAGGCCTTGTTGCTTGTGCCCAAGTCGAGGGTCAAGGGAAGGGTGGCCTCGGGACGAATACCGGCACAAGCAGTGTATAGAGAAAGTTTTCCAATGGGGATACCCATACCATTAATTCCGAGGTCGCCTAGACCGAGGATACGGGAGCCATCGGTTATCACAGTAATTTCAACATTGGGCTGTGGCCAGTTGGCAATGACGGCAGCAAGGTTGCCTTTGTCTTCGTAGCTGAGGTACATGCCTATTTCTTGTCAACTTTGTTTAGCTCTAGTCTGGGCCAGTAGACTCACCCTCTGGTTGTTGATAGATTTCTGACCATCGTTGGCAAGCTTCGCCAACAACGGGTGTATAAATTAGAGGAGTCAATTCCTGTAAACATTAGCGAGCTGTTCAAGTATCAGTGGTTGGAAAGGAACCTACGCGAATATGATCCGTCACGAGACGGTAGAAGAGGTGAACATTATTTTTGCGGATGGTGCTCAAATATAGGTACTTTTCAATAGGAGTCTGTTTCAAAGCAAGCTGTGCCAGACCTGCGCAAGTCAGCATACCATTCTTCTATAATTGCGCGAAGGTCATACATCTAGCTTTTTGTGTTTCGTAAGATTCGGCGCGAGGAGGAGTGAGGCCGTAGGTACGGAGATATTTGCGGATATAAGGAGGGTTGGCAGTATCGAATGTTCCTTCTCTATCATGTTATTAGCTTTGCCTGGTGGATCGAATAGGAAAAACATACGATTGACCTCCATAACCAGGCTGTGGAACATGGTGAGCTGCACGGAGCTGGGTGCTCGACAGGGAGGGAAGAGTAGGGTGTGAGTGAGAAGCAGTCATCTCGTCGGTGGTAGTTGGCGACAGAAAAAGCTCAGAAGCTTGGTTCACAGCAGAAGGAATGGGAGCTGGAAGAGACGAGGAGGTTGAGATGGGAGCGTTCACACGAGACGAGACCAGGTGCGGACGGGCCCGTCTATGTATATGTCGGAACATGACCCCCAAGACCCAGGTGGTTTTCCACACTAAGTCCACTTCAATTGAGGCACGGGTGTATTAGGAAGTTGGAGAATTGGAGCAAGTCAAACTCGAGAGGGGGGATAAACTAGATTCGGGGAGGGGGGGGAGGACGGCCCCTTGAAAATTGTTAGTGTGTCTGACTAGGATGACTGACGATTGACTAGATCGTGTCATCGGACTCACAGCTCGTTTCAACTTTCAGATGTCAGGCCAGCTGCGCATGTGAATACTGAAGACCTGTTCAGGTGTTAAATGTATGACCCCAGAAAGCTTGACCACTAGTTTTGCAGGTTTGAAATGTCGGGAAGAGTCGGGGGAGCTTAAACGGTGTCGGTCAAAGAATGGGTCCGAACAATCTCTGGACCTTTTTTTCTTGTGGAGTTCGGCGTCTCAGTCTCCAATTGCGGCGGCAAGGCGGGGAGAATCTCCGTCTGTACTGGTCATGCTTTTAACCCATGCATGGTCTAAGCGTTGGACAATTGCCTAGAAAAGAACGCGCGAAGATGGTTGAGAATTGAGTTCAATTAGGAAGAATGTTTACGGAGAACAAAAGGATCAGTACTATGAAACTAGTATTGTGGGACTTGGGCAGGCAGAGGAAGCTAGGCTCGCAGCCCGGGAAGCCGGGACGCTAGCTACATAGTAAGCTGCCTTTTAGCATTTGCAGCATCGATCTGTCTGTCTGATACAGGATTGATCGATTCGTGGCAATGGAATGAAGCTTTTCTGTGTTACACCGATGAGCCATTTATGCGGAGTGAAACTATTGAATGATCAATCAATCATTGAGCCATTGACGCAGCTGCCAAAGAGAGGGAGTATCCTGTGGGACAACAAAGATCCCTTGCAGCCTGACCTACATTGTTAGTACGTACTTGTAGTGGAGGCTAAGAGTAATGTTCTGGAAGCAGGCTAAAATAGCGGCCAATTAGCCTGGATTATTCCCCTAACTGGTAATCCGTTACAAGCGGAGAAAGCTCTAACTGCCCGTTTAGTCTTAGCTCCCGCCCTGCCACTGCATTCATGCTTCCAGATCTGTATGTATTCGGTATCGTACGGTAAAAAGCCCCGTACTGCTTCTTACTGCGTACTGCGTCTCACGCGGCAGTTCTCCCTCATTTACCTCATAGGCTCATAAGGCTATTCTAGTAAGTTACGTATCTAGTCATGTGAGTCACGCCCTTTTCGGTCTGTTGGGGTAATGATGATTGGCCTCATTCCGATCGGGTAGCTTTCTCCCCATAGTATCGAGAGTACTACGTAGCAAGCAGAACGCTGAATCAAAATTCATGTTCAACGATGTTCACGATCGCCAACTTAACTTTCGACCCCCATCGGCATCCAGGATGAAAGGACCCATCCGAGAATGGTGGCTTGCTCCGTTCACAATGAAAGCGAGCTACGGAATACTCCGGGCTCTCGAGTCCTAGCCTGTCTCTAGACTCTGTCTCTGCGGCCATGTACTCCATCGCCGGTGGAATTGAAGTGGAACCCTCTTAACTGTCGCGTGGGCTCTTCTTGGCGTTTGAGATGATACATCTTACGAGAGAGTCGGGAGCAACGTCAAATAGAACACGCTTGATTGGCTGCCAATTGGAATTATAGCTACATCGAACAAAACATCCTGGAGAGTCGACACGAGAATTGTGCATATTGACTCCGATTTTTTTACTCTGTATGTGCTCTTTTTTACAATGTAGATTCAGGACTATGTAGATTCGGGACTGCTGACCCCAAGGAGACTCCCGACCAGCACAACTGAGTCGGTGCAGCAAATCGTTTGGCGGTACCAGCTCCGTATGTAGTCCGTACTCCGTGAGTCCGTGTCGAGGTCGGCCTTTTTTGTTAAAATTTCTTTGGATTTTGTTTTGATTTGTAGTCGATCATCTGAATATTTATAATTGCATTGCGGGAGCGGCTCCGATTGGCTCCTTCCGCCGAGAACAAAGAAATACTTGCAACCACGGATGATGTTGAAGCGTTTCTTGAGGTTTCAGCAACGCGACAAATACTTCATCTGCTCATACACACCTCTATCACTTACTGCGTGTCCTCAATGTGTTGCTTATATAAGCTGCGAGTCTACAAGATGATGTGGAATCTTCAATCCGGTGGGCAGCTAGGCTAAACACAGTTCCGAGTGGATCCTCACTCCGAGGGAAACCAAATCCAGCGTTCCGCCTTGTGTTCAACGGACTTTTCCCTCCGCACGGCAAGTCGCCGGCTTGTATTTCGGCAGTCTTGACCCCTAGGGAAAAAGAGGGCCGTCTCAACTACTGAAAGCTGACGAACTCGATCAGTCGGCGAATTGTTCAGTTCGGATCGTGATTTGATACTCGACTGGTCCCGGGCGATGGTAACTCCGTGACGGTGCTGAGCCAGTCACCGCTCACCAGTATACGTACACTAATATTGTCGTCGGTCATGATAGATTTGTCCCCTGCGTCTCACTAATCGTATTGTGTGTTAAAGGCAACTACTATAAGCCATTGACCGGTCGAATTCTTATCAAGCGAGATGGTAGTCATTCTTTTCTTTTTCTGTCAACGCAATTGAACTTAATGATCGGCTGTAGACGGGTGCGATGTATATCATCGCCCCGTGTAAAATCTCGGTGAACGCTCGGTGAGTCTAGATCGTGTTAGACTTTATCACCAATACTGCAGAAGGAATCATGGGGTAGTTAGTGTAGACCCAGACTTTGCGCTTGAGCTTTCTGGTGACGCGCCGTGCCACGCTTCGAAGAACGAGCTACATTCATGAGTGACTCATATCGTCCTTGGTCGACTGGAGAATGAAGTTTTGTTGTGTGCGATGTGAACAGCGATCAGGCCTCACTAGAACCGTAAACGTAGGGATCGAGTCGGACTTGTCGTAGATGACCTAATCAACGTCGTGATGGTCAACGGCGAATCTAGTAATTCCTCTGAGTAGCTGTCTTATTAAGTCAGTAGCATAGTTACCCATACTCTGCTGAGTCTGCTCTGAGATTAATTGACCCACTCTTGTCCGGGGATCGAAGCTCCACCAGGCTCAAGCCAAGCTCCAGATGTCTTCTCCATTGAGTCTTCAATTCATCATCTCACAGAACTGTGTGATCTCACCACTGAATATATTCCATTTCTCTTCGTAGAGGTGTTTGACTTAGGACGGACTATGTTCATCCTACGCATGGGCGTAGATGCTTGAGATGGAAGCTATGAGCGATATGCCGGCCAATAGCGAGCTCTGGTTGGGTGGGCAGCTGCCAAACCTGGAATTTCGGGAACAACGTCATTCTCGCTCGCGCCTTCACCCCCAACAATCCTACCTTGTTTATCACGGAGATTGTTCGACTTGGTCGACACTTTTTGAAACTCATCTAGTTTACATACAGTAATTCACCGGCAATATGTCATCCTGTTGTGGTTCTCGCAAATCAAAACGCGGCGGTGGAGATGATACAGAGCCTCTTCTGCCTCGTTACGAAGAAGACACCTCCCGCCAACGCCAACTGCGTCAGAAACTGCATTCCTATCAGATGTACAAGGCCCTTTCGGAGGGATATATGCCATCGAATGAACAAGTCATCACGAATCTGCGAACTCTCTTAGCATCAGACATTCTCAACCCCCGCAGTGATGATGTGAGTGAGCCAGGCCGTCAACTGGCGCGCGATGTAAAGACTTTGATGAAAAGCTTTATTGAGCTACTCAAAGATAAGAACGATGATGATCAGATTCAGGAATTCTTCTGGCATCTTTCCAAGTCCAAAGTCTCACTCGATTCTTCAGCTTTGTCTGGTCAGGCTGCACATGTTACATCTCAGGCCAACACGCGAGCTGGTAAGTTACACCATCGATATCCTTGCTCTTGGCTTACTAATTGTTTATCAGCGTACGATAGCCTTCGCACAGTTGGGGGTCTACTCCTCACCAATGCCGATTTCCGCCTGTTCCTCGATGACGTCGCTACTATTGGTCGCCAGGTCTTTGCCGACACCACCTACACCCTAGCGGAAGCCGCTCACGAAGTTGCAGAGGCTGCTGAACCCTCGCAGGATGAGTTGAAAAAGCTTGACGGTGCCGGCGCCGATGATGGGAAACAACCGAGCAAGGATGATCTTAAAAAAGATGTCAATCAGATCGCGGATGCCGCAGAGCAAGGAATTATTCATGCGGGCCAAGCGGCAAAGGAAAGCGCAGAGGAAAACTTCTCAGGACCTCAACGAGATGCCTTGCTCAACCGACTCAAACAAGCTGTCCTTAGACTTCGGAAGCGGAACGACTACTCCGACTCAGTCTCGACTTTGTCTCGGCTTGTGCAGCGGTACGGGATGATATACGCAAATGCGGCGGAGGAAACAGCGAGCGCAGTCAGTGAAGATGTGGAAGTCAACACAGATCTGAAGAGAGCAGTGGACAGCTTCTGGACTCTGGTCCGATCGTTCGGAAGTAGTCAAGAGTGGGAATACCTGGAAAAGCGTTTCCATGATGTGATGCGCCATGCCAACAAGGATCCAGAATTTGAATCTCTATTGGGTGATATTGGCACATCTCTCCAAGAAATGCTGACTGATCCCGCGTTTTTCGACTCGGCTCCAGAACGACTTGATCAGCTGAAAGAAAAGTCTAAGAACGTGGATGGTGAATCCAGCCTTCGAAATGATATTGAGGCATTCCTACAACAATTTCGACGTACCTTGAGGTCAATACCTGATGATCCGAGTGTTGCGAAAATGAACGCCGCTGCGAAGAAGATTGTACGAGACGTGTCGAACGTATACACAAATCAGACAAGTACCATCGTCGCTGATGCCGCTCACACTTTTCTACCGCTGCTTATCCGCAGTATTCAATATATACCTATTCCAAGACTCGAGGTTTCGGTCCCAGAAATGGACTTACTTGTTGAGAACTTGATCTTGGAACCCGGAAGGACAGTCAACCAGTCGTCATTTTTCCCATATAAGGTCCTCGTTACGTCCAAGACCAACATGGAGCTGGCAAAGGTTCACTCGAAGAGAGCAAAGACAGATATCAAAACCATACTCACCATAAACCTACAAGGGCTCAATATCAGTGCATCAGAATTTGGCTACTGGATTCGGGCCCATAGCGGATTGCTTTTCCGGTTTGGTGACGAAGGTATCGGCAGTTTCTTCCTCGACGAGCGCGGTATAGACGTCGCCGTTGATCTCGAAATCGGTCGGGATCGGCTTGCCCATTTGGTCACGCTTAGGGGTGTTCGTGTACATATTCATAAACTGGACTACAAGATTCAACGCAGCCGATGGAGGTTTTTGCTTTGGCTTGTCAAGCCATTGCTGAAGCAGTTGATTCGTCGAACCTTGGAACGAAAGATTGCAGAGTTTGTGGTGTCTTTGGTGGTGACCATCAACAGGGAGTTGATTTTTGCCCGAGAACGATTGCGCGCGGTCAATATTGCCAACCCTCAAGACTACGCAACTTTCATTCGAGCATTGCTCGCACGGCCGAAAGCCTACGCCAACCCCGAAGTCTATTCAAGGGTAGGCGCGTACCCTCCGCGAAGTGGAGTGTTCAAAGATATTTATACGCCGGGCAGCATAGTCAAGGTCTGGAGAGACGAAGCAGAACGGGCTCACGATGTGATTGAGGAGAGCGAGGAGGGCGAGAACAACGATGGTCTTCATTTGACATGGCGCAACAGTATTTTTGATGTCAACGTGACTTCTGCTAATTGAGTTGATGCAGCTGGCATATATGTCCAGCACTTGTCTACGTTTAATGAATAATGTCATAATCTCACCATAGGATGTCAGCGTATAAATTTTTTGATTCTCTCATAGTTTGACCAATCATTTGAATATGAATACAAAATTAGGGCGCAAGCATCACGTGGCATCCGGGAAAACGATGATCCTGCGGAGATACGGCCACCTAAGCTATTTACCCGATGTATACAATGTTGAGTCGAGTCAGTCAGTCTGAGGAAGTGACAATTGTCTCTTTTGTACAGCTGTACTGACACGACCATGACGAATTAATTTATTCGTCGCTATTGACCACTTCATTCATTTGACCGTCTCAGTGAGCGAGATTGGCACAAGATAACAAATCTACTCAAAGCAGGAACGAACCGCAAAGTGACGAGTTATCGAACCAGACCCTTCAACAAAAAGGATCCTCTCCGAGGACTCCTAGCACAGGAACAGAAAAAATGTTGCCATTCCACTTCCTCTTCCTCATCTCCATCCTCCTCATCCTACCCTTGACGCTATGCGCTGAGGACTACTACAAGATCCTGGGCGTCGACAAATCCGCTTCGGAGCGAGACATCAAGCGCGCTTACAGGACGTTGAGTAAGAAGTTTCATCCTGACAAAAATCCGTTAGTCTCCGAACACCACCCCCCGTATCTCAAATTGGTCGGAAAATCTGCTGACACGAGACGATGTGGGTAGAGGCGATGAATCCGCCAAACAGAAATTCGTCGACATTGCCGAAGCATACGAAGTACTCTCTACATCCAGCACACGGAAAATATACGATCAATACGGCCACGAAGGACTAGAGCAACACAAACAAGGCGGCAACAGTCGCCGCGGCGGCGGTGATCCGTTCGACCTCTTTTCTCGCTTTTTCGGTGGCGGTGGACACTCCGGGCATGGCGGTGGTCACAGAAAAGGTCCCGATATGGAAGTTAAATTATCTCTGCCGCTACGTGATTTCTATACGGGACGGGATTTGGAGTTTAGCATCGAGAGACAACAGATTTGTGAGTCGTGTGAAGGCTCCGGCTCGGCAGATGGGGTTGTCGAGACGTGTAATAAGTGTGGCGGTAGAGGGATTGTGATTCAGAAACATATGATTGCTCCCGGAATGTATCAGCAGGTTCAGTCGCATTGCGATAAATGTGGCGGGRAAGGGAAATCGATTAAGAAGCCATGCCCGATATGTCATGGCCAGCGCGTGGTGCGCAAAGCGAGCACGTTGTCGGCTACGATAGAAAAGGGTATGAGCAAAGGTTCGCGACTCACGTTTGAGAACGAGGCGGATGAGAGTCCTGATTGGGTTGCGGGCGACCTGATTGTTGTACTGGCTGAGGAGGAGGCTTCGTTGGGCGTGAATGATGGTGAAAGGACGGACGGGACGTTCTTCCGTCGTAAGGGGAAGGATCTGTTTTGGAAGGAAGTGCTGTCTCTACGGGAGGCGTGGATGGGTGAGTGGACACGCAATTTGACGCATTTGGATGGCCATGTTGTGCAACTCTCCCGAAAGAGAGGGGAGGTTGTGCAACCGCTGGCCGTGGAGACGGTACGCGGTCAGGGAATGCCGATTTATAGAGAGGGTCATCTACATGACCATGACCATGACGAGGATGGTGAGGAGTATGGAAACTTATTTGTGGAATATACGGTTATATTGCCGGATCAGATGGAGAGTGGGATGGAAAAGGACTTTCATGCGCTATGGCAGAAATGGAGGAAGAAGAATGGGGTTGATTTGTTGCAGGATTCGGGGCGGCCTGTTCCTGCTGACAGTGAGAATGAGCATAAGGATGAGTTGTGATAGATATAAGATGATTAGAGTATAACCTAGATTGATCACTGTACCATATGCACTTTTAACCGTCTTCCCTGTAGTAACCAAGCCAGTAGCAATAAGAAAAGATGTGATCTGAATACCTTCAAGTGGATTCTACCCGAGACACTGATGAGATCATCAAACACTGCCACCACATAACTAGTTAGCACACTATAATCAAGCATTACGATAACAAAAAATTGAGGACATGATCATCATAAGATAGACATATAGCGATGACATGGCAGCACAAAAAGCCAAACCAAAAAAACCTCATAAGAAACTCTCCCGATTCGGATAGAATATCGAATCTCGCACTTCTCAGCGACACGCATTCTAAGCATCCTGACAATCCACGTGCAGTCTACCATGGTAGGCAAAGCCAATAAACCTTGCTGCCACAGGCTAGACACACTGAGATTGACACCTGGCCCATACCCAAGAGGGCAGGTACTGTTCCCTTGGCAGAGAATGTCACTGGATGATACTCAGAAGCAGACGACGGGACGGAACCCCGCAGCCACTACGAAGTATGAACGGAGTATGAAAATCACTCCGTCTTACTTTTTTTTCTTCTCTATCAAATGACCCTTTGGCTTGGCCTGCATGGACGGACAGTGTGGGTTTGCCAGTGACAGTCTACAGTCTGGAAGAGGGTTTGAGTTTGTGATAAGACGATGACTTGACTTTGAGGAGGGGAGGTCAGATGATGAGTTGCCACTGACTTGCCTCACAAGTTGTGTCGGCACACACAGACACGCAGACACCGGATATATTCTCTTCTTCATATTGGGTATTATTATGATGCAAACTGAACATCGCCAACTCAGATCGGAGAGACTAAGAGTCTACTAGAGCCCAGTTCACCGCTCCATTTCAAATAGAATCGCCCACCACCGCTAAGCGGTGAGATTGGCCAGACCACCAAGCCAAGCGCCACCAGTTTCTAACGCACGCTGTGCATGATTCTTGGCAGTTCTTTACATTCTAGATAGTTGAGCGATAGTTTGACTAGCGACTGATTGAAACTATAAATCATCGGAAAAAAGTCCAGGTCGGGTAATCGGCTTGAGCTACGATCGATGTGTGACAGTGCTGAGGGTTGACTCTATGGCACGGCCATGACATATTTGCCGCACCCTTAATTAATCATTCCATCATCCATGCCTAAGTACTGAGCATGGTGGCAGTGCTATTACCCTCGCAACAGCACTACTCTATACAGAAAATGCGCAATACTCGCCACTGGCTACTGGCCACTGAGGCCAGTGGAGCCAAAGTGGACTGTGGCTGCAACGGGGTCCTGATCTCCTCCGTATACTGTCTCTTGACTGGCCACCTCTGCAAGGAACAGGCGCTAACAAGCGGTTAATATAGACGTAGTCGACTGCCGAGAAGAGTCACAAAAAAAGTTATTATTGTAATCGGCCATATTTAGTGGTTGCGTTAACTGATTGTGGAGTCGATGCTACCTGTTTTGTATGAGAAATGCATTCGAAGATACTAAGAGAAAATGGCGGGGCATCTCCACTGCTAAACATCAATGCTTTGTACCTTGTTTAATTGAGTAAGTCTCGATGCGAGTGCGTAATACCTAGTCTGAGATAAATAAGGGTAGTCAGTCCCTGCATGTTCTTATTTTGGTCCTCTGATCTCGAGTTGTCTGATCGAGTATACTGAGATACTCAGGGTGGTCCCTTGCAGCTACAGCGGGGTTACCACACATCATCAGAATTAAAGTGCTGACCAAAACGAACCCTCGTTCAGGAAACACTCGAAAGTAAGAACGAGTTCAAAATCAAAAGCAAAGACAACACGAGTTGGTACAAAGACTGGATTGGGTACTCACACTGAGGACGTGCGTCACACAGGAATCACATGCAAAAGCTTGTGAAGGGTGAATCATCCACTGGGATCGCTGGGAGGTTTCTGCATCATTTGCAAGACAACTGAGCAAGTGACTGCCGATCTATCATTGCTGCTATTTGTACATGCCTGTGTCTGGCCGGTTTCACATGCAACACCTTGCTGCGACTTGACCTCAACTTATACCAGGATATGACCAGGGCCAAATGTATCCCAGCAAAAGCGAATTCATCGACGGCTTGTGATCATTATGAATATGATGTGACAACAAAGATGCCGTCACAAACAAAGAGTCGTGATAATGACAATGACCACGACCATGACTATGCGAATCTGACTCAAGTATCGAGTACAAATACCGTTCACAGCGATCTTACGATCATGCCCAACACTACCAACATGGAAGGCCGGTCCCCCAACACAGATAATATGCAGCCTCAGCCCCAAGAGGCCAGGCCCAAAACGAAAGGATCCCAAAAATCTCGGTCAAGGGCATCCTCCACCTCACAACGAGCACATACCCGGTCAACCTCATCCAGCACAGCCGGAAACTCAACCGGTCGACGACCAGGCCCTAGTCGTCGCACAACCTCGCAGGCCGTGCAGCAGCAGATGTCACCGCAGAAAAGAGAACAACTCATAGCCCTGCATCGGGAGAGCTGCCGCCTATTCCAGGMCCCGCCAGTCGATCGATCAGAAACGAAATCCATGGCCTCCACCACTGCATCACCAACCCTACAATCCCAGCGATCCCATTCCTTCCCCCTGGGATATGACCACGACGTCTCCGACGAAGACCTCCTCCCTTCATCACCTCACAATCGCCAGTACCACCATCCAACTCTTCCACGAAGCCAAACATCCGACGGCATCACACCCATCGCCCAAACCTCTAGCAACAACCAACTCATGATCCCCGCGACAATAACGGAATGGACATCCCCCAGCACCCGTCGCCGCGAATACGAGAAAATAGATCGCAACAACAAGGGGTTTCGACGGCTGTGGCGTCGCTGGACGCCTAGTTGTATGCATGCGGGCGATGAGCGGGTTCCGTTTTGGGAGGAAGAAATTCGCAAGAAAAACAATTATGAGGGGAGTGTGAGGCGGTTTCGGATGGATATTCCTGATGATGTTGACCATGAAAATGAGAAGGGGGTGCAGATAAACACAAAGGGGATGGTGGCGGGACCGAAGGTTGAGAAGGGAAGGTGGTCTTGTTTTTGACGACGACACGATATACAACAACATACAACGCACGACACGATATACGTAATACCATTGAGCGGATGATTTGGTTGGCTTGCTGATTGATTGATCGCTTGCTTGCATTGCGTCAGATACCCATACTTGCATACACTTTTTTTATTACCATGATGATATTTGAATATATATAGAAAAGAATTTGTTGAATGAGTCCACAGAAATAGAACGCCTCGCTATGCACTAATACACTTTCTGGAATTAAACCATCAAGTCGAAATCATCCATATTGTCCCGGTACTTCATAATAGTCCTCTTGATCTTACTCGAGTCGACCCATGTCACAAAGTCTTCCATGTTTCGGTTCACGAGACTGCCCAGTTAGTCCGCCGTATATGCGAAAGAGGTGGAAGAAGAACTCACAATGCAGGATCAGTAACAACCTCCGTTCCGACGCGGACGTGCCCCTGCTCAATCCTGTTCCATATTAGTTCTGTCTCAAAAAACGAGGCGTACCGAAAGAAGCATAGCCCTCCGACAGACTTACAAAGTAACAGCCGTCTTCACGTCCCCCACCATGCCATTCCTCGTCATCAAAACGCCCAACCTGCGTCTACAAAACGCCGAAACTGTCACATCATGCTCCACCCTCGATAATCCCGCTCCTTGCTCCCTCGACTGTTTGAGAATTCCTATCGACCACAACTTTTCGAGGATCTCGGACTCGAGTTGTTTCCTGAACGGGTCCGATGGGTCGAGAGCTGAGAGTTTGTGTGCAAGACTGCGCAAGTTGCCGCATAAGACGTTGTATTTGGTGTAGTCTTGTGTTCCTTGCAGGTAGTATCGGGCGCGGATAGATTGTTCGCGATGGTTGTTTTCGGTTTTGTAAGTGTTGAAGTTTACTTTGCGGAGGAGCCTGTATCGTGCGTTAGTTGAAGTTGATTTATTCGTGGGGATAATGGAAGCGCACTTTTTCTCGTGGTGTTTTAGTTGGCGCGGCATTTTGACGGATTGTCCGAACGATGTTCGGAGTGATAGTTGAGGTGTTGTATAAGGAAAATAAAGGTGAAGCTTTTTGATAAAATAATTTCTTGCCGGGCGGTGAGGGGCTATCAGTGGCCAATCATCAAGACTACAAAAATGGGGACAATGATATACTGAATTGTGATTGGCTATCTATCAACTAAATAATCGTCAATCTACACTTTCACTTCAGCTTCAACGACACCAACTTCATAGATCAAAGGGTATAGACAAACTCGGCATTCTCGCCATCCGTCAGATCAAGCCACCTGATACGTTAGCTAAACACACTTTTTCTAAGAAGACAGACTCACTCTTGATTCTCCAACTTGGCATATCCCTCACTCGCCCGGATTATAGCCTTCTTCTTGTTCTGACTGGCATACCACCACCATATAAACGCCAAATCAATCAGGCACACTCCATAGCATACGACAATGGTGATTTCAGCAGGAACATAGCGCGGCGCATCTTTAGGACGGAACGTTTGTGGTCCTACTCATGTCAGAACAGTTCTGCCTCTGTCTGTTAGAGAGAAGGACATACCAATGATATTTCCAACGCAATACGAAATCAGGTATATAGCAGCAACGGTAGTCTTTTTGGTGTATCCAGCCACATTCGAACTAATCAATGACAACAACGCAACGAACGGCGTCGGGCTTGCTTGCGTCATGTAATAGCCGATCAATCGGCCGTCGTTGTTGGCTAACGGCAGCGCAATGATGAGAATCATGCCGACCATAGCAGTCACAAGGCCGCCCATACTGCACATTAGACGTCGACCGAGCCAGTCGCCCAAAAAGCCACTGGCAATTAATGCGATTACTTCGACTGCACCGCCAGGAATACCATAGAGCAGACTTTGTTCTGCCGTGTATCCGAATGCCTCGATCTACCAGAATCAGAATCACTACATTGAAAGACGATAGGGGTGGGAGAGGAGGGGCCAACCAATTGACTGAAAAAGTTACTAATACCACCATTCGGAATGTCAGCAACCAACGCATAAAACGCAAACGCCCACGTCATGGGATCCTTCATCGCCTCCTTGAACTGATACATTTTGAAATGCTTGTTTCCGATACCCTGCTGGTTGATGCGTACGCGCTCAACGGCCAGCACGCGATCTTCTTGAGACAGCCATCGCGCATTTAGCTGGTTGTCTGGTATGACCCAGAGAAAGACCAGGCCGATACATATTGTGAACAGGCCCGTGGCTAGAAACACAATCTTCCACGGTGCAATGGACGATCCGTTCTTGTCGGTTCCCTTTGCGATGCCGTAGGCGATCGCGCCGCCGACGATTTGGCCGAAGCCATTGAAGCTGAACCATAGGCCTGTTCGTTGACCTTGCTCTTTTCGTGTGTACCACTGGTAGTTCTCCAATTAGTATCAGCAATAGCTTTTGGAAGAGCGGTCTACCTGAGAAGTCAACAGTGCAAACCCCGGCGTAACAGACGCCTCACAAACCCCTAACATCAACCGGATAGCGACTGCACCGCCGAAATTGTTCACGGCTGCAAAACATGAGAGCACGATGCCCCATAGCACGACACAGATCGCAGAGTACTTTCCCAAAGGCAAGCGTTGAAGAAGTTGACTAGCCGGATACTCCCATCCAAGATACCCTAACTATACTTAGCCCCCCAACGACTCGCAGGAAAGCTAGGTACGTACCGAAATAGAACATACTCCCCAACCACTGATAATCATTTCCCACAAGACGAAGATCGGTTTTCATCCCCATGACACTCGCATACGAAATCGTCGTTTCTACCAAATCAGCCTAATTCAACCCACTTTAGTAAATTAGTAGACGTACTATCCAAATAATTCATTCCATAAACGACACACATCAATGGCATCAGATGCCAATCGATGATTCGCAAGAGGCGCTTGTTGGTCGCGGCATCGATGGTGATAATTTGGCCATCGCCGACTTGTTGGATGGCGTGCAGCGCGACGTCGGCGTCGTGCGAGTGTTTGAGGATGCGTTCGTCGATGTGTCTGCCGTTATCGACGGAGACAGAGTCCGGTAGGGGAGGGGATTTTTCGGTTTCTGACATTGTGTACATATATAACTGTTGGATGTCTATACAAGATTTGCTAACAGTTGAAATACATGTGCCGTGAAGAGTCCAATGTCTGGATATGGAAGACAATTGAAGGTGACATCAGTGAGGGGAAGTAGTAAATACATATACTGAGTTACATATGCACAAGTTGACCTTATGCAGCTTGAGTAAAGAGCTTATCTCAATGATGTCGTGTAACAAAGAAGGAAGGAGCTTACACAGCTGGCGCTCTTTGTGTTTGCTTCTGCCAATCATGATACTTGATTGCTATCTTTTGAGAAAGTATCTGATGATTACATGCCGTCCTGGGTATAGACCGTCAATAAACAAGTTGGTGTGGGGATGCGCTTTGATAAGGACGACTTGATCTGCATGCTCTCAGAAGCTAGGGCTTGGTGTCCCCTCACTCATTTCAACTAGTATAGCCCCGATTATACCCTAGCACCACTTAGACTTACTCAGCCAGTCCAACCCTCTCCAGATAAGCCTTCCACCCCTGCTCCCGATACTGCTTAACAGCCTCTACCGGATCCGGCGCAGCGTATATCCCTCTTCCCGCGATAATAAAATCTGCCCCTCTGCCCACTGCGCTCTGTGGCGTTTGATACTGTTGACCCAACGCATCGCCCGCAGACGCAAGATTCACTCCCGTCGTAAACACTACAAAGTCCTCGTCATCTGCCGCTGTCGTCTCCGTAGACTGCTCCTCCGTCAGGGAGCGATTACACACAAACCCCATAACAAACTCCTTGTATCGACGCGCATAATCCACCGAGCGCGTGGTATACGCGCCGGTGGCTAGAGAGCCCTTCGATGTCATTTCGGCGAGTATGAGTAAACCTCTTTCCTCCCCATAAGGGAAATCGGTCGCTTTGGCGGTTTGGGTTAATGCTTGTACGATCCCTTCACCAGGCAGAATTGCGCAGTTGATAATGTGAGACCATTTGGAGATGCGTAGCGCGCCGCCGTGGTATTGTTTCTGGACTGTGTTGCCGATATCGATGAATTTGCGGTCTTCGAAGATTAGGAAGTTGTGTTTTTCGGCGATTGCTTTGAGGCCGCTGGTGGTTTCCGGGCTGAAGTCGGAGAGAATGTCGATGTGGGTTTTGAAGACGGCGATGTAGGGACCGAGCTCTGGAAAAAGGAATTAGTAAAATAGTCCTAGCGATTGGAAGAGCACGTACGCTCGGCAAGATCGAGGAGTTGTTTTGTAGTCGTCACATCGGCCGAGACGGTGACGTTTGTCTTTTTGGCTTCGGCGATGGCGAATAGCTTGCGGACGAGGGGATTGGGATGGTTTTTTGCGCGGACGCTATATGGCTGTTTGGAGGAGGATGACATCTTGAAATTGCAATATCAGTTGGTGTTATGAGGAATTGAGATCGGCCTTGATTGAGTTGGAAGGAAATTAATGGTGGGATGTAAAAAGTATGCTCCTTGCGGGACAATCTTATCCACTAGTCGTCCGATAACGATAAAGCCTTTCTCACTCTTAATCTCAAAATAATTCGCGTGTTATACAGTCATTAAAGACTCTATAGAGTCTACACTATGTATTTCAAACACTCTATCAAAGTTTGATCAAATCCCATCCAACGCCAAAAACAGCCAACCCCCAAAGCGCAGCCTGCGCGATCCAAGACGGTGCCCCATTGAACCGTCCTTTGCCATTCTTCTTGTTGGACGTGATATATCCATGCGCGTACAAAGCGCGAAACACGATCCATACCGCGCCCAGTGCGGCAGTTGCGTTGGGGTATTTGAGGCCTGCAACGAGCATGTACAGCATTGTCTGGGCCATGTTTTCGATTAGATTGCCGTGGGAGCGTTGGGCGCTGTTGAATTTATGTGCGGCGGGCTGTACATAGAAATTTCAGTCAGTACACTCTGGCATCTAGGATTCGGTCCAGCATGGGATAAGCAAAAGATGTACGTTTTCCTTGCATTGTTCGGCCGTCGCATAGTGTTGCGGATAGGGGACTTTGGCAGGTTTGCGTAGAATAGTAACGACTGAGCCCTGGATCCATGACAGTACAGGTATCCCACCAAGGGCGACGGCAATGACGGCGCTGTATGATGTTTCATGTTAGCGTTTGATAGATTGCATTAACTTGGTAATGGTAACTGCGTAAAGACGTAGAGCTTATAGATGAGAATGCAGAGAACGCGTACCCATAGTTCTCAGGGACAGTAATTGAAACCATCTTGTAGCAACGAGTAGGTATGGGGTGCAATTGAGTGTAAAGTATAGTTGCACAGACGTGAAGCTCAAAAATAGCTCCTTGAAATAAATGTATGATGTCAGGCGGTATTTATAGTGCGTCTACTGTATGGCTGGGGCTCGGGTGTCGGCCTTCAAGGGTCTAATTATTCTGCCGATAGGTGGCCTTATCGTCTCGGACAGACTCCAGCCCGACACTCTGTCTAACAAGGAAAACCCCTTCGAAGAACGTTCTAGTACTAGTCATTATTTCACGTTGCTGATAGCTCTCATCTGACTGGTTTCGTTTCATTGACAGGCAACCATCATGGATTAGCAGCCATCTTGCTCACACTACCGTATTTCGCCTGCCAGGCAAAAAAGTACAGCAAAGCGCCGAGTGGCTGACCAACAAGACAGAACGTCACCCAGAATACCGAATTGCCAATTATCCTCGTTGTGGGATCGTCCATCCGTTCCAATGGGAGGGTTGCAGTGATCAGTGGAAGTTGAAACATCATACCTGCGAATGCGACCCCTGCGAAAAGTCAGTACCCAATATCTTTTAATTCCGGGCAATGTGAGATGATATACCGATGAGATTGTGAGTAGGTATTCCTACAAGCAGCTCGTGCAGAATAGCAGAAAATAAAAACACCATAATACTCGCCGCAAACGGACTCCATCCTCGTCCCACAAGCGGAGAGAAAATGTGTCTTTTCATAAATAGATACACCGGCTTGTTCCAAGACCGCCAGTACATTCCGACACTCCAGCTGTTCCACCAGTCCGAATAAAATTCGCGGTCGCCGAAGCGCATAATCTCGGCTAGTGCATTCAAGAGTGATTGGAACAGTGCATAAAATCCTGCCAGCCAGATGACGAGCGATATCGTTGACAGTTTCATAATACGTTCAATGATGGAGGTAAAGTCCAGCACAGCAATCTTGTCAAGCGAGTTGCGCAGAACAGGAGCAGCATACTGAGCTGAAGTCAGCCAGATAAACACCGATAGCACAACAAACTCGCCAAGTCGCTTTCCGACAAAACCCCATCGAATATGCGTTGTTCGCGGGTATACAGGTTGGTAGACCAGCGTAGGCGCAAGCCAGAAGTACACCAGATTGCCCACGGTGACATTCTGTGGATATGGACACGTAGAGTAGATCTCGGGAAGCTTTGACTGCTCTGATGGATGGAGCATAGCATGTCGAAGATCACGATTAGTGAATGCGTATGAACAGTTTTTCAACCATACAATAATGGCATGTAGTTCGCATATAGTCCCGATACCGGGATGGTGGACATAGTAGTACACCACAAAGTTCGTCACGGCCAAACATAATGTGGCATTGATGGTATGCGCCAAAGCGATGAAGCGCCAGGTCAGTTGGAAAGTCTGCTGTTCCTTTTCTGTCTGGGCAGCGACATTGTCACTCTTCTTCTTCCGGCCGATGGCGCCTTTGGCCTGCTGCGCGGCAGCTAGTTCGATGATGTATGCCACGAATAGATGGCACGGGACGAGTGCAGTGAGGATTGAAGCAAGAAAAACGTCGTTTTTCCTGTAGTCGTGGCATTTTATACAGATGAGAACTCCATACTGGTGACGTCAGCGCGGCTTCCTGATAGATAGCCTTAGTCTTACCTTCATGAAATTTTCCACAACTAGTCTCAAGTTCATCACAACTATAAAATGTCAGCCCCAGTAGTCAAAGTGAAGCACTCGACGTACTTAAAACAATGACCATCAGATTGCGAAAGCCAATAAAGCTCGGATTGACCGGAGAGTCCGTGCTTAAAGGCGACGTCCGTAGAGATGAATGATATGCAGCAACATGTCGATATTTACTCGCGCGCTTCTTCTCCGATGGCGTGCTAGAGACATCTTGTGGTGGTGACACTGACTTGGTCGGCCTCCAATTGGCGCTCTGAGTATGAATGGCCGTGGCCGGCACATCCACGCTGGTGCTGACGGTAGCCTGTGTTACGGTCGGCATCGCAACAGTGTTCAATGGCTCGATAATGCGAAAGATCAATTCCGCGAAAAGGAAATTCTTCTATCGATCTTCGAGTCTAAGAGAGTCCGTGAGTTCTGCTGGAGGCGGAGTGTTGCATTGGCTCACTCAGTGGCAATGATTAGCATGTGACAGCGACTCCGACATGTCTACAACGACTATACCATCAAAAACACAGAGGAAATAATGGTGAGACGGAGGTAGCCAGCTTATATATTCAATAAGCATAAAGTAAATAGTTAATGAAGAGGGGCAAAAGGGCAAGACTGGTCTGGACTCTCGACAGTCGTTCCTTGCTTGATCCAAGTTATGTAGTTACATGGTTGTTGATTGATAACGTTGAGACTAAGCCCGGACGCAGCGGCCTGAGGGTGCAGGCCGTCAAATCAGAGCCCCTGCTGCGTCAGGTGGTCGGTGCGCTCCTTCCCGCTTGGTCCAAAGCTGCTCTTCGTAGTTTGCTTGGCTTCATGAATTACAAGCTCGCGAAGAGCTCATCACAAGTCTCTGTGACTACTCTTGTATAATCTCAGTCGAAAAACCAGTCTCGCTCTGTCACAAAGCCAGCATGGCTGCCTACGAAGAGGGAGGCGATGGCTTCTACGGAGGCAGGTCCAGGAATTATGAAGGCGTTGGGCTTCCCCGACGACCAAGTACGTATGACATTCTTGAGGTCGTTTTTTAGCTGACCGTCTAGGACCCGTCACCGACTATGGATCGTCAATGGTACAATGGATGCGGACGCGACGACCCAGATACAAAGGCGCCCACCGAATGGAAGTCGAGAGGCCGAGCTTAAGTTATACTGTCGATGTGAGTTCCCTCATACTGAGTGAAATATTCCGGTGCTGACCAGCTAGATGCTTCCGCCTGTTGCAAGAATTCATTCMCCTGCCGACACGATACCCGTCCGACATCTACATCAGTCTATCGGAAAATCAAAAAAACCCATTACAGTAGTGAGATGGACCCCCGAGGGCCGAAGATTGTTGACTGGCGGACACACTGGAGAATTCATGCTGTGGAACGGGACGGCCTTTAATTTCGAAACTGTTATGGATGTGAGTGTTAGGAATTTTTTGGATGCTGCCCATACTAACGATGATCAGGCTCACTACGATCAATTCCAAGCCGGCGTGACGTCCGCTGCATGGTCGCATAGCCACGACTGGCTGATATCCGGCGGACAAAAAGGAGACGTCAAGTACTGGCGACCGAACTTCAACAACGTCGAAACCGTGGATGATGCGCATCACGACGCCGTTCGTGATTTGGCATGGGGTCCCAGCGATACAAAATTTCTTTCAGCTTCGGATGATACGACATTGAAGATTTTCGATTTCACAGCGCGCGCTTGTGATACGGTCTTGACAGGCCACAACTGGGATGTAAAATCTTGTGATTGGCATCCCACAAAAGGTTTACTAGTTTCCGGGTCGAAAGATCACCAGGTCAAATTCTGGGATCCTCGAACCGGCAGATGTTTGACCACATTACACAGCCATAAAAATACGGTGACAACGACAAAATTCTCTAGAGTGAACAGCAACCTTCTCGCTACATCTTCTCGCGACAGCACGGCAAGGGTGTTTGATCTTCGAATGATGCGTGATATTTGTATACTGAGAGGTCATGAGAAACCGATATCGTCAATGACCTGGCATCCAATTCATAGCAATTTGATCTCAACTGGTAGTGAGGACGGCTCGCTTTATCACTATCTACTGGATGAACCAAATCTTCCTTCAGGCAGTGCCCCTACTGTTGCGCCATACGATAGCAATGATCCTCTGAATACTCCGCCGCAAGTCATACATCCCGCGCATCGCATTCAGTACGCCCACGCTTCAACTATCTGGTCGCTAAACTGGCATCCTCTGGGACACATTTTGGCATCCGGCTCGAAAGACAATTTCACGCGCTTCTGGTCTCGAGCTCGTCCAGGAGACACATCATATATGACCGACCGTTTCCATATCGGTGAAGAAGCTGCCGAAGCTCAAGGAACATGGAACCGCGGTTTTGGCAAGAAACAGATGCGAGAAGAGGAGGAACAAGAGGCACAAGATGAAGCAGAGGGCTTAGTTGACCAGAGAACTGCTACTTCAGCTCTCCCTGGCATTCAGGGTATGTTACCAGGAATCTCATCTGATGCCGGATCATCACTTCCGGGTATTGGTAACTACCAGCCGCCTGTGCAAGCCAACATGTCTATGCAAAATATGGATGCCAACTCTTTAGCCGCAATGATGGGAGGCGTATCAGCACAACCGGCGTACGGATCTTATCAAAATCCCGGTTTTGCTGGATTGATGATGAATCCCCCAAGCACCGCTACTCCGCCGCCGCCACTACTACCTCCCAAGCTTGACCCGAATCTGAACTTGGCTGCATTGCAGAAACAGTTAATGGCGCAAGGCATCCAGCTCCCTGCCAATTTTACTAATCCAAGCGCATGGCATAAAGGTTGATGTTACCGCTGGTGGTAACATTTCGCATCATCGATGACATTATTGGCGTTTGGATTTGCGGTGTGCATAGCAAGATGACGGATTGCATCGAAGTTGGCGTTATATACCTCGAGTCGTGTGTACAAGTAGGCGGAATTAGGGCTCATTTCGAAGGCGCATTTTATGATAAAATAGTATCGTTGATAGTCAGTGCCACTGACAGACACATATCCTCACATAGCCGCTTGCATTGGAAAACTCGAAATGATAAGAATCATAACATTAATGCATGCCCAAACCAATGGTATCCATGTCGTCATGGAAAAATTACCTGCTTCGTAAACCCAGCCAACACTATCCCATAGTCAGCACAACAACACCCTCGTAAACAGGAGGATAGAAGGGAAAGAAAACAAACATCAGCCCAACCAAGCTCCCCGCCAACAACGCCTCAAACCCCGAAACAAGCACATACACTACGGGCACAGCCCACATCCGCTTGTAATTGCGCCATTGCACCGCGACCGCGAAAGATGCGACGGCGGCGTGGGTGCCCAGATAAAGGATCAGGGTCCAGAAGAGCGTGAAGCGCCAGATGTCGGTTAGATGGTAGAGGTAGTTTTGGGATTGGGGTTCGCCTATTATAGGGACGTAGAGGGATGGAAAGGAGGGAACCGTGTAGTCGAGGGGGGCTTGATTGCTCATTTTGTGGGTGTCGATACTGAGGAGAGGTTGTCAGGAGATTTTCCTGGGGTAAAAGAAACAGTGATGCAGCATGTGAAATTGGAGGTCCAGTTAAGCTTAGGCTATGGCAGTTTGATTACTCGATAACAGATTGAATTACGGTTACAATACTAGTGCAGTGGCCTGTTTGCATCGTTTGACCTTACGTATTTACCTCGGCAGGAAGTTACCTCATTGTCCGCATCCTCTAACTTCATACTCATTCACAATACTTCAATATGAGTATACAGATGCTCTCGCACTTCCTGAGCTCAATTTGCTTGCAATAAAGAATAATGGCCACCGAGCGCTCTTTAGCGACTCTATTGCGGTCGTTACAGATCGCCTCCGAGCCTCAAGATGCCTTCGCGTGAGTTACTGCTCCCCAATAACCAGGTAAATGCGCCGTACTGACAGACGCGAAATAGACTACTCCCAACATCAACCAGCTTCCTTGCCATGCTCACAAATCATTTGAATGTGACTCTCCTCTCATCTCAATTACTCTCATCACCAGCTATTTGGGACCATCGTGTCGACCTACACACCTGCCGCCGAATCCTCAGCGTATTCAACACCGCCGCGATCGGTATATTACAAAACGAGGCATCCGACGAGCCTCGTGCTCCCTACACAAAACGCGGCCTTGAACGAGAAGCATGGGTAAAAGCCGTAATCAACGGTGCGGACGAAAAGTCTCCCCGATGGCGTCATGTGCTTCTCCTCGGTGGTGTGTTGCTCGGATTCGAGGGTCAGAATAGGCAGGGACTCTCACACAGTTTGCGGAGTAAAGTCGAACGTGCGCTTGTGCGCGCTACGGGACTGGCGATTGAAGAGAATCTCAATATTGATGGGGTTGGCGGGTATGCGATAATTATGGTGCTCAATTATACGTTTGAGCTTCTTTCGGACTATCATCGGAGCCAAATCAACTATGATCGCATATTGCCGATTATGATTCAGGCTACCTACTTCTCAAGTGAGGGACTCGGCAGTGCCTATTTTTTGGGTGCTATAGATCGCGATATTGTTGAAGGCAGAGTGTCTAAGAAGTTCGGGTGGGCTGCAACCTCGGCTACATATCAGAATGTCAAAGAGATATCATCCAGACCGTTGATAGCGTCGCTGGGTCCATTGTCGCGACTCATTGCACATGCCATGGAGAATGTCACCGATCCGAATATCGTTTCTGATGGTATGAGCTCTATCAATGACTTTGTGCGGACATTGCTGGTTCAATGGCGCCAAAACAAGTTGTCAGAAGTAGATCCTTCAGAGGAAGCGGAGTTTCTGGATGCAGAGTCGTTGAAAAGCACTATCCCAGATCTCTTGCGACTGCTTCGGTCGATTATGTTTTCGGCTGTTATAATTCTTCGAGCGGTTCTGGGCAGGGTGTTAAATGATAGAGTGCTAGCTGCTGGCAGTGGTAAGATTCCCCAGATTTCTGACATATCGAAGAAACTACTGACCTATCTAGTGGCACCCTTTATCGCTGTACAGTCATTACATATTCTACGAAATCTATACTTTATCACATCCCGAACAGGACAAACCTCGTCATCTCAATATTCATTCGTCAATCTCGTCGCCATTGACATCCTCGCTCAATACCCCGAACTCGCTGAAAACTTCCTGCGAACCATCAAACCGATTGAACTGGGTCAAATCCCTCCTCATCCTCTAGAGCGCTGTCTTGATCTTTTCTTCTTGAATACATCTGAGCATTTTGCTTTGATACTACCTCCTCCTGCGAACGAGGAACTGATCATTGCCGCTGCCACACCTTATCTCGCTGCTGGAGGGAACAATCATCTTTTAGAAATCTTTGAAGCTGCGCATAGCGTGGTTTTGGCTGTTTTCTCCGCGCCGCAGAATGCGGATATTACTGCTAAACACCTACCATTTTATGTCGATAATCTTTTTGCAGTATGTTCTTCGTCTTTCTCGCGTTTGGTCTCATACTAACAAGAAGCTATAGGTATACCCACAAAACTTATCAGTCCGCCAATTCCGTTTAGCATTCAAATCTGTCGTGCGCATCGCCGCACCCCCATCACCTCTGTCCAATACACAACCCCTTCTAGCAGCAACACTCCTCGAACTCGCGCACGAACGCGCCCTCACAGCATCTTCAACCCTCCTCCCACCATCAACTCAGTCCTCCACCGAAAATGCACTCGAAACACCACCGGCCCCTCTATCTGAGAAATCAGGCATAATCCTCGCCATGATCGATTCCTTCCCCTGTTTGCTGGTCGAAGACCTCGAAGAGTTCTTGCCGTTAACTGCACGACTCATACATACTTTACCATCTGGCGATGAAGCAGCACAGAGTGTTCGCAGGACGTGTATTGAGCGGTTCTGGGAGGTACTGAGTAACGGCGAGATGGATGTTGAGAGAGCGAATTTCTGCGTTATTTGGTGGAGTTCGAGGGGTGGAAGGGAACTTTTGCTTTTTGGAGAGGATCATCAAGATGGGGTCATGGGACAGCAGCAGGAGGAAGAGGTTGTTATGAGTGGAGGGCTTGTGGATGTTGTTCCGAGGGAGAGCAAGTTGTGACTTGTGAAATAACTATATATATGAAATATCTGGGTAATAATGTAGGAAATATGACGCCAATCTATATGCTCAGTGGTAATCAAGAAAAAGACCCGCTATGCAATGAATGGAATTCCGACAATAGTCCTGCTCTTGTAAGAAATATACTCATCCCCGAAAAATGCGATAAGGAATCTCTCCTCACCTAGAATCAAAGAAAAACATTAGCATCTCAAACACATATCCGAAGAAAAAAAGACGAGGGATATACTCACGGTAAATCCTCGAACTAAAAAACCGCCACAAAACCAATGCATAACCCACAAAGCAGACCACATTCTGCAGCACCAATTGACTTCCCAACCCCCACCAGAAGAAGCCGAAATAACTCGGATGTCGTAGCACACTGTATATACCGCCTGTCACCAGCACATGGCCCTCTCGACGACGGACTTGCACAATGTGATTGAAATTACTTCCCGCCGTTGCCATGGCGAGTGTGCGCACAATCTGGCCTACGACCATACACAAGATCCCGAAGAGGAGAAGCGCAGTCGATACCGTGCGGATGATGCTTGATGTCGACGATCCGAACAGATAATGCGACACCACGCATTCCAGCATCGCAGATCCATGTGCAATGTTATACGCCGCGCCATTCGAAGTTAACAAGAACGAAGAGACGTCTGCATATTTCGTGTTGTATTGCGCCGTAACCCAGAATTCGAGGAAGTGGAATAGGCAGAGCGAGGAAACGAAGAATGGAATGCGCCAGAGCGTGGTTTGTTGTTGCGGGACGGTGAGCATGTAGATGGTAGTTAGGCTGGAGAGGCCGAGGATGAGGCCGAGCCCGAAGGCGCGTGTTGCAATGCCGGAGAGGGACATGGAGCCATTGGGGAGGATGGAAGGGTCAAGAGGTTTTTCGGCGGCGGGTGGTGGTGGGTTATAGGGTCGGCCGTTGGGAGGGGGGTGAATGGGGGTCGTTGGGTTGTAGGTTGTGTAGGTATTTGTAGTTGCATGGTTGTTTGTGGTGTTGGCTGAAGGAGTGCTGGATGTTGGTGGGCGCCAGGCGAGGTATTCTCCTTCTTGTTGTGGTCTGGTATCTGTGGTTTCAGATGAGGTGGTGAATTCAGCGGAGGCTGCTGATGTGCCGGTCGACATGTTGGACGAGATAAAATGACTGATCAGTCGAATATTTGATTGGTGTTGTCACCAGCGATTATATTGTCCAGAGCATCAAGTCATCCTCTGATCAAGTTGTGTCGGCGAGCTGTGATAATTGTGAGAAAAATAAATGACGTTGCTCCATCGATGTTCCCAAGAGTGGAGCCTAAGGCGGTAGCTCTCCGCAGCTTCTCCATAAATTTGTTCAATTCATTGATTTGGGAAAAGACAAACATGATCGGGATAGTACTGTCGTTGAATGTACTTGGACGATGATAATAATTGATTGCTTCTCATAATTCTCGATTGTTGATGATCTTCACGGGACAGTCCCATGCTATCTCCCCTCACAAACAAAGAGATCGCCAGATCCCACTGGATATTTCCATATCGAAAATCGGGTGCATGACTCATGCTTCTCACACCTACAGACTCTACAGTACTACGTACATGTGGTGCGTACATAGGTCGTACCTGGATGTGGTGGACCCTAGGCTGGTTATGGCCACATCCATGGATATCGACCCTCATACTAGCTCCATCGGCTGCGGGGCAGATGGACGTCTATCATCAGACTGCCACCTGTACATAATAGGACTAAGACACCTGCTCCGCACTGAGTAAAGGCGTGATATGCTCAATCTTTGATATAGCTTATAAGTGTGACTATAGAACAAAGAGCCTAAGAATCTGACCTGTCTGAGACGCCTTCATCCCGGATCGACAGATCATCAAGCACCATGGCCCAACTTACGGAAAAAGAAAAGATGCTTCGTGGAGAGCTCTTCCACGCATTCTCGCCGGAGTTGTTGGCTGCACGTGTCCGGTGCGAGCAAGCCTACAAACGCTTCAACAGCGCCAGTCTAAACGGCGAAATATCGCGCCGACGGCAGATTGAATTATGGCGAGAGTGAGTTATCTGACCCGAATAAAGCAATCAGAACCGGTGACGCATATTGACGACTTTCCTAGCCTTGTCCAAGACACACGACCGTTACCACCGCCAGCCGAAAATCAAGAAGCAGATGATGCTCTTTTGCGAAACGAGCCGTGGGTGCAGGCCCCGATCTCAATGGACCATGGATTCAACGTTAGGGTCGGCGAAGGCGTCTTCATCAACGTCAATTGTGTTTTCATTGATAGCTGCCTTATCACAATAGGAGCTCGTACGCTGCTCGGGCCGAATGTCCACTTGTACAGCGGCGGTCATCCTCTGGACCCTGCCGTTCGCAATGGCACGCTAGGACCCGAGTGGGGGAAGGAGATTCATATCGGCGAAGATTGTTGGCTAGGGGGGAATGTCATTGTTCTTCCCGGCGTGACGATTGGGAGGGGTAGCACCATTGGAGCGGGCAGCGTGGTCACCAAAGTAAGTCAGCTTCAGCTTCAAGACAGTGAGTACATAGAATACATCTTATCTGACTTGCATAGGATGTTCCTGCGTTTCATGTTGCTGCAGGTAATCCAGCTCGCATCATTCGGAAAATTGAAACCAGCATGTCTGAGGACAGTTGAAATGATCGGACGGTCGCTCTTTCCTTTTGTCTACGCACTGTTCAAAGTTGGACGCGCCTTCCCGCGATCGACGATCCTGATTGACGTCAGCCGGTACCTAGCCTTAACAGTTACTTCGTACTTACGTACAGTGCGTATGCCATAACAATACCGAATCTACACCGTCCTCCGGCCTCTTGACCGGAAATATCATAGGAGATTGTGTGCATCAGTTTGTAGTCCTAGATAATTCAAGGCATGAAGTTAAAGTCGCGGAGAGCGACCGTACAATCTCTATGATAACTCCGCATTGGCTGCATTAAATACACTACGGAAATAAAGCTTTAGCTAGCGCCCGTGGAGCCACTCACTTTACATTACCTTACCGGAAATTCAGCCGCGTCGGTACTGTTTATCGCTTATCGCTGCAATGGATTACGGTACTGTACCTTTTCATAGTTACACACCGTACGGCTGCCGTATCAGTAGCATGCAGAAGCTATGACATGATCCTTCTCCTCACAAAGCAAAGACCCAAGACCTTCATGTTTACTGGTCATTTGCCTGAGATTCTATCAATCTTTGATCTCTCTTTTGACTCATTTTATTCTCAGTCATCACCAAGCAGCCTTTGACTACTGGGAAATTCCTCGGTTAAACTTCACTTGGATATTTCCTGCTGTCGTACAGCCACAATCAGATAACAATACAACAAACTTTCACCTGCAGCTTCCGCGGCTAACTCAAAATTCTTGGCAAGGCAGCTACGCCTGCGCGCTGCTATCCACATCCCCGACCAACACAGCACCGCTCGTTGCTCTTTCCCGTCGGCTGTCTAAGACCGGACGAGCTGCCCTGCTCACTCGGTCCTTTCGAATTGTGAATCTCCCAAATCGCAGGAGCTGAGCAAGAGAAAAATGTCATGGCAGGTACCCCGCTAGGCAGCTCCAGCATTAGCACCCCGCCTAGTGCTTCAATACCAGAAGATCCAACACGTATTTACGACGAGCAGATGGAAGATCTATCCTCGCAGACTACCAGGAAACGTCCCCGTCTGGACAGCGGAGCGGATTCACGCGAGTCCATGTCGACCGAAGAGTCGCCTGTCCAGCAATCCGCGTCTCCGAAGACGCCGAACGACGAAGAGCTTCCCTCCTCTCAGCCTCTCTCTAGCCGGGTTACGATCAATATGAAATCCCCCTCCCAACCCGGCGTTACCATACAAGACATTTCATCCGTCCAAGGATTTCCTCGTGAAGAAGATGGCATTGGGTTGGATACGACAGACATTGCGATTCCGCAGCCGGAAGATACCATCATGGCTGGTGCACAGTCTTCCACCGCCATTTCGATATCCTCATCTCCCTCACGAAGTCCAGAGATAGAGGTCGCCGAAGTGGAGGACATGGACCAAGATCCAAACACATCTCGATGGCGCCCACTAGGAGAAGCTGTCCAGGAGCAGAGCTCGGCGGGGATAGTCCAGGTCCATGAGCAATTTTCCTTAGTCGACCATTTCCCAAAGCTTCATGGCAATCCGGACCTAAGGGAGTCTTTGGAGGAGACGGTCAGTATTATTGAAAAAGGTACGTCGTTTGCCTGTCCAGGCTTAGTCGATATCACCCTATAGCAGTTTTGCTAACGACGAAAAGCTCTCCACCATGATTACACGATCTTGAGCCTCGTCAAGCAATGGCTTGCTGGCTGTGTCGACAACCTATCACAAGTTACTTTGGACACAATACGAGATGACCCTGACCGCGAGTTCTGGGAAGATTTTCCTACCATAGTGGAAGGATTACTCCGTAGACAGGTCACCTTTAACCAAAATCAGGGCCCAGGTCTACTGATATTCTTGGAAGAATTCTTTCTGGACTTTGGACAACTTGCACTGCATATGCTCCGGCTCGACATCAATTATCTCACCGTCGTTTCGCAAAGTACGTCAATGCAGCCTTCGGAATGTATCTCTCGGGGCTATGTGCAGTCTCTTGCCTGGCTTTTGCAGATACAAAGTATCCCATTTTTCCGAGCTCTTCTACGGGTCTATCAGTCAAAAGCCATGGATCTTGTGGCCCAAGTATGTGATCATATGGCAGAAGCTCCCTTGAACGCCTTATCGAACATTTCAGACTATATTTCGATTCTTCTTCCCCTACTTCCTCGATTTCCTCAGCTCGCACAATCTTTACTGCCGGCGGTTGGAGTAATCTCTAACTTGCTGGAATCTCGTACCGAACGACGAAAACTTGGTGCGGATGAAAAATTTATCAACTCGCCAATAATGAACCAGACTATCAAAGACTCCTATCCTCTTTTTCGCAAATTGGATGAGGCATACCAGAATGCTGTCACGAAGAAAGCGCCTTGGCTCACCGCAGATATCAGCGAGAACCTGTCGCGCCATATCAATACTGCCTTGCGTGTCTACTGCGATTTCGATGACTCATTTGCTACCAAGCTTGCCGAAGACCTGTCCATAAACATGCCTGAAGCTACTAGTGAAGAATCAGCATTGATCGTCATCAACGCTTGGAAATTCAACACGTTGAAAAGGCATATCATGGATGGACGAATGGAGTTGCGAGTCTGGGGCACTGAGGCCATGCAAGTAGATCTTGTCAACATCTGGCGGCAGAAAATCCAGAGCAACCCTGACGGCGTCGATGTTCCGCTTGTGCAGTACCTCCTGAAATTTCTACGCGACATACAAATCATCGAATACATCGTTGGCGTGGGCTCACATCCTCAGATAATCAGTCGCGGCGGCAACATTGTGGGGTTCTTCATAGTGACCAACACTTATACAGACGCCGACACAGACACAATATGGAAAGCTGTCACGGATGGCCAAGACCAAAGGACTGTTGGCGAAGTACTCACAATGTTGGGCCGCACCGTTGTGATGCACCCATCCACATCTCATGCCTTGCTATACCTTTCCTCCAAACTCCTTGAGCTTCCCATAAATCGCTTTGACCAACGAATGATCGAATTTTGCGATTTACTTTTCCGTACTATGCGAGAGAAGTTTGAGGAAAACCAAGCCACTGACCCCCTAGAAACCTCGCATTTTGATTCGACCCCCTTGCGGATATGCGTGCGCCTCATACGGGAGTCGAATTCGTGCCCTGACATCAGTGACGAGCAAAAGGTCACCCTCCAAAGATTTGCGGGCGGTCAACTCCAACAGCTGCTAAATCTGGGCATGAGTGAGTCAGATAAGCGCGACGTCTATGAGCAGTGTATTCAAGATATTGGAGAAAGAAATGAATTCGCGTCTGGAAGCATACAAGCATTGAATGCCTTGATCCCGACAACTTTTGACTCCCAAGAGACTAGAGCTTTGGCTACAGACTACGAGCTGACTGCTCTAATCATCATGGAATTCGAACAGTTCTGGGGCGGCATCTTTGAAGTTTCTGACAGGTTCTCACAAAATGCTGTATTGTCGCGTGTTCACTTTTTGGGACGGCTCATCGACAAAGTTCCAGACACCATCACTCCCGAGCTCAGTGATACTCTCTGGACGAAAATCTTCATGGCGGGCCACATAGAATCTGCGAGAAGCTCTTTGTGGGAGATGCTTTGTCGTGTCACAAAGATCTGCGTGACTCCAAACCCATTCATAGAGAGGTGCCTTCAACACTATTTACCTAGCGTATCGCCGGCGAACTATTCCCAGGAAATCATGTCATTTGCTGAGCATGCAGTCCAGTATGAAATACGTTTCAATCCTCCTCCGGTTGCTGCTGAGAATGAGATTATCACACTACCAGGCATGGATCGCATCTGGCATTTCATTCTTACGGCACCTCCCAACACTATTGAAGGACGAGCAACGAACTTCGCAATCGAGGTCTACCTTGACCACGGCTTGATACGTAGGGCTCCCGCATCGGCCGCTGAGGCGACACACATCTCCTTGGTTGATCGCTGCGTGGACCAGATAAAATCTGCTGCCACAACATTGAAAGAGTCAAATGGTACCGCAAACTCTGAAGATGAAGCAATGGTCACTGTACCTGGCGAACAAGAGATTGCGTCTGCAGGGCTGAAATTGAGTCGATCTCTTTTGTTTCTGCAGCAGCTCCTTCAGGGGCTTCGTAGTCGACCTCAGTACAGTCCTCCGCAGAGCCAGGCACCCGAGCTCCCGGAACGGATTGGTCAAGGGGAATCTATTGAAATCTCCTATCAGAGCTTCCAGGAATCCAAGCAGTCCCGGGTCTCCACCTTACGTATAGGTAGCCTTTGCACGGCTGCTGAATTAGTCAATCGTTTGACACGAGTGACGGGCTTCAACAAATTCACTGTGATCTACGGAGGCCAAAAGATCAACTTGTTAGATAATCCGGAGATGACAGTGCAAGACCTTAATATCAAGGGTCTTCTCATAATTAGAAAGATTCCGGATGGTACTGAAGCGGCGCCTGCTGGCAGACGCCAATCACTCACACTCGTTGACTCCGAAATTTTGAAGCATTTTGACGACCTTTACGATCTTCTAGACCTTGACGACAGATATGCTCATGAAATTTATGWTTTTCTTATTGTATTCCCGCCGCAAGAACGGGTAAAAGAAATGGTGAGAATGGAGAGCAACACAGAGAACAAGCTCTTTCCTATGGAGAAACCTTATAAGCTGCTATACTCTGTCAAAGCTCTTTCAACTTGTCTACGAGAAGATTTACTCGAGGTATGTCATTAAAACCACTGTTCCATTTGACACAAAAATGCTTACCAATATGTATCAGACCGAGCATCCATCTAGTTTCGTCATTCACAGCACTCAGGTGCTGGTGGGTGCTCTGACTCGGCCAGAAATGTCACTGAATCGAGACGATTGCATTCATCTAGTTTCCGCACGTCACCTACTCGAATGCCTCCTTTTATGTCTCTCAGGTGCGTATCACTGCAGCAGTATTTTTACTTAAATGCTAAAAGTTTAATTAGTGAAAACAACAGAGCCTTTGATCCTACCAAATGCGGAAGTCTTTGTTAAACAATTTCTCTTCTTCATCAAAGCCGCACAAAATGCAGACCCATCCCGATTTAGTCAGCTCGATATTAAAAGGCTCATCTGCCATTCAATAGCCGTGCTCATAGATGCTTCTATACGACATCAGGACTTCTGGAATGTAGCCAAGCAGCACGCTCACTTTGATGAATTGATCTTTTCACTACTTCTAGACGAGAATCGCCAGTTGATTCGCCGTCAAGTTGCAGAAAAGATAATGGCTACCTGCAATATCCCTTCTGCCTCCAAAAAGCCAGCAAACGCGGATGCGAGCAACGGAGATCTACCGAGTCAGGCTGACGATTCGACAATTATTGACATAATTTCCACAATATGGGATGCGTTTGTTCAAAATATGCAGAATACAGTTCGTTTCGCAAAACAATCGCAGGAATACTTCTCCGCTGCTATATGGGTTTTCCGATCGGTTGCTGAACGAAGACCGCAAAATGTTGACTTCTCCGAATACATTTTAAGGTGGAGTGAGAGCATGCTTAGCCATGAAACCGAAGAGGTAAGTTAAATGCGTGCGTTTGCTCTTGCCAGGTAATAGGCTAAAATATGATTAGTTTGTGGGACGTGAGCCTGTGGATCATATCATACTAGGATTCGCACGCCTCTTGAGACTGTGTTTGGAGGTGGCTGTCAAAAGAGATACAACGATCAATGCAGCGTAAGCTAAGCCAGCCTTGTTCTAAAACTTTGCATAGTACTGACTGAGTAATAGTGTCCTCATTGATAGCCTTGTCAACAATTACCTATTCCCAGACTTGTCAGAACCGTCAGATACCGAAATTATCAAGCCACGCATTCCAGTAATGAACGAGGAGACAAGAGAAGAATTATACAAAATCTTGTTTTTGTTAGCTAGACAGGAAGAAAACTTTGGTAGGATCGTCGGCCTGATGAATGATCTCATTCCACGCGGTAAGTGCTGGTTCTTTGGTCTGCTTGGCTTTCTCTCATGGTAACTCCAGATTACACATACAATACAACTTGGGCTATCGATCGACTTAAGGCAATCAGGTCTCCCGAGGGTTATGCGGGCTTGAAGAATCTATCAAACACCTGCTATCTGAATTCACTCTTCACGCAACTCTTTATGAATGTGGGATTTCGCGACTTTATGCTCCAAGTTGCCTTAGACGACCCAGAGGCATCACAGAAGCTGCTCTCAGAGACGAAGAAGATTTTTGGAAATATGCAAGAGACTTGGTGCAAATATGTTGATCCTGAAGGAGCAGTATGTTCTATACGGACTTATGACAACGAGTCGATCGATGTCAACGTTCAGATGGATGTTGATGAGTTCTATAATCTGCTATTTGATCGCTGGGAAGCTCAGATAACGAACCCAGAGGAAAAAAAACGTTTCCGCTCGTTCTACGGCGGTCAATTGGTCCAACAGATCAAATCCAAAGAGTGTGAACATATCTCTGAGCGGCTTGAGCCTTTCTCGGCAATCCAGTGTGATATCAAGGGCAAAGCGAACCTCGAGGAAAGTCTTCAAGCATACGTTGAGGGAGAGATTATGCAAGGAGGTTGGTCGTTCAGCGTGCATGATCGAGATACTATTGCTAACTTTTTGAAGATAACAAATACTCGTGCACATCCTGTGGACGTCACGTTGACGCAGTAAAACGGTAAACAAACCCTCTCAGACAAATATACATAGTCCAAGCTGACATCTTTTTCTAGAGCATGCTTGAAGGAGATTCCTGACAACCTTATATTCCATCTAAAACGATTCGATTTTGACATGCTTACAATGATGCGAAGCAAGATCAATGATGAGTTCCAATTTCCTGAACGCATTGACATGACACCGTATAAGGTGGAATCTCTCTCCGACTCAAACATGCAACTTGAAGAGGATGTCTTTGAGCTAGTCGGAGTACTTGTTCATAGCGGCACGGCTGAATCAGGTCACTACTATAGTTATATTCGGGAGCGTCCGACTGCTGGAACCAAGAAGTCGTGGGTCGAGTTCAACGACGCAGACGTCACTTCTTTCGACCCATCAAAAATCGCAGAGCAATGCTTTGGAGGATCAAACGACTATCACGGGCCATCTATGGGACCTACACGTTTTGGGAAAGTCTGGAATGCTTACATGCTCTTTTATCAGCGTGTCTCCAGGATGGATTCTGAGCGAGAAATTTACAAGCCAGAGATGAAAGACACACCAGTGCATGTACCCCTGCCACTCGACCTTGGAAATCACATCGCCATGGAGAATGAGATTTTCATACGCACATATTGTCTTCTAGACCCTTACCATGCCTATTTTATTCGCTGCCTTCTCCAGTTATCTAAGGAGCACGTGCTATCCGGTTGGACTGCCGCTTCGAGATTACAAAAGACGACTATTTACGTGGCTATGGATACCGTGGAACAACTGATTGCAAAAGCTAAAGAGCTGCCAGAGTTCGACCAAATCATGCTCGAGCTGAAAAAAACCCTTCAGGAAACTCCGAAGGGAGCATTTAGAATCATCAAATGGATCCGTGACCGAGACACAGGACTACGCAATCTCATTCTAAAGGCTCCTCAGCCAGTCCGTAGCGTCGCGGTTAAAATATTCATCATGGCTCTCGTACGAGTCCACGAACTAGCAGGTGACGAGACCTTGAACGACTCAGAGCGAACCAAGTGGCAATCGAGATACTTGAATTGTTGGCAGTACATTGTGATAGGACTGAATAACCTTTGGCCAATACTCTACACAGCCAGTCGTTCCTGGGATGATTATTTCGAGTTTCTGGCCATCCTCACGACTGTTCAGTCTCCGCAGATTGATGTCTTGCTTGACAATGGCTTCCTTCTCAAATGTCTTGAAATGATTTGGCTAGACAGGGATGACTCGAAGAACCTCAAGCTGCAATATCCGAACTACTACAGACTTTTGGAACGTGGTCGCAAATTCTCGCATCGAAAATTGATGGAATTACTAGCGCAATTGTTGAGATACATCGATTTTGGTTTGTCACCTACGCCTGACGATGAACCTCGCACCACTAGTGATGGCCGATTTTCTCTAAATATCGCTGAGAGCTCTTTTATTTTTGAGCTTGGAAGAGCCAATAATGGGGAACTTGTCTTTTTGAAAAAGATTCTTCMCCATCAAATCAMCCCAGCCGCTATTCGATCGATCTTCTCACTCTTGCTCGATGCAGACCCTCAGGCTAAGCTCGCACAACCGATAATCAAAGTCCTTGAGGATGGCCTCCGAGCATCTCCGGCACAACTCTGCTCGCCTTACCTTGACGCGGCTGTAGTATTCTGTTCCCGCAGCCGCAGCGAACAGCAAGTGATTGACATCATCGATTATATTGCTAAAGGAGTTGAATCGATAGGCGAGAGTGGAGGCAGAGAGCACATCAACTTCTTCACAAACATCATTTCTTGCCACAACGAGCGTATCGGAAAGGACGAAACCTGGTTCACAGAGAAGGTTGTCGAACGCATTCCCGACTGGGCACCCACTCTGCTTATTTATCAAGATAGGGTGGTCAAAAACGTGACGTTTGACTTGCTGCGGAATGCCCTGTTCAATCAAGAACGGGAAGACACCCGTGAAGAATATCGAACCTTCTATTACAAGGTTGCTAGGGAACTTGCCCAGGCGTCTGTGGAGGTTTTGAGGAAGACGTATCTCACTAGTGAGGGCCAAACTGTAGAGAGCAAGGTCGTGGACAACATGCGGGTCGTGATTGCACATTGTCTTCGTACCTACTTCGATGAAAGCGATGCTGATGACGCGGAATTCATGCACCAAGCTGAAGGTGAGCCTCCATTACATTTCATCAGTCCATTTCATCCATCTAAAATCTCTCTCTAACCTATTTCCAGCTGTTCTCGGTGCTATCGAGCAATTATCGGTGGATGTGCCCGAAGAAATAGCATCTGGTATGTAGCTTGCGTTCTCTTATGTGTTTTTGTTTCCTTTTTTCGTTTCTGACCGCAATGATGTTATTCAGCGTCTGATTTTGCTTCACCAGAAGATTGGGATGAACAGTCTGGCATGGGGAGTGACTCTGAGTATGGTATGGCAACGCCGTGATCGGTAGATTCCACAGTCAAAACTCAATCACATCCTACAAACCCATGTCTCACTCACCGGCTTTCCACGTCGTGTGTGCCGAATCGAACGAGTACAAACGCAACATGAAGAACCAAAGACACATCCATGAAATCACCCATGAACCCATGACCATCTCTACTTTCTTGCATCCATGAAGGCGTTTCTCTCTGATGTTATAAATCACACACACAAGGAAGATTGGACGAGGCAAATCGGCCTTTTACCTATTTGTTTCTTCTATTTGGCATACATTTCTAGGATTGTTCTTAATACATGATCATTTCAGTGGAACATGCAGCGTTCTCGTTGATGGTTTTTCTTTTCTCTTTATTGCTGCTTAGGTAGACTTTCAGTAACGACGGAGAGGCTTAGGTATTTAAATTTGAAATCAGATTTGCCTACCAAGTCTATTTGAGTAATAAGTAGATGTAAGTCGCTAAAGCCAAAGAAGGAAAAATGGTAGTATAGTACAAATGATAGTACAAATGTATAGCAAGAAATCTTTTCCACGAGACGTTCTATGAAACGTCCTCAAATTCTTCTTCATCTTCATCAGATTCTTCCTCTTTCTTGACGCTATCGTCCTCCGTTTTTATTTTCTTGCTCACAGGACCATCATCAATTGGAGTTCCAGGTGTACCAGAAGCAGTTTGGGGCGCACTACTACCAGACTCCGAGTCGAGTTCACGCTTAATTCCAGCTATGGGCGAGCGTCCCAAAGCCGGTGCACTGGTTGGGCCTTGTCCAAGCGTCGTCGCGGCCGGTGTGCCGACGACAGATATATCCTCGAAATCATCCTCATCTTCGTCGTCATCAGAGTCATCTTCATCTGGGGATGTTGCTTCTTCAGCCTTGGCTTTTGCGATTTCGGCGTAATATGCGGCAATGTCGTCCAGCGCATCCATGCTTGGTTTCGTCTCGTCGCCATCATCTTTGATTTCCGCTTTGATTTCCGCGTCTGTTTCGGCTTTTATTTGGCCGATATTACCAGCTGTAGTGGAAACGGTCGAATGCGTATGCCAGACGGGAAGAGCGTTTTGTTTCTCAAAGGCCGCTTTGCGCGCCGCGTCTGCCTCTTGTTCGGCCGCGGTTTTCTCGGCTGATGATTGCACTGACACTTCAATAGCGGCGGCATCGACTCTCTGGTTTCCGCGAACTGCTGCTGGTTGTTTCGCTGCGGCCGCCATGGCGGGTTTCGAGGGATGTGTTTGCTGATTGCGAATGACTTCGACTTTGTGGTCCCATGCGGTCTCGAAGTCATTAACTGGAATATCCGTTGCGTCAATCTGTTTTAGCAGAGTTGTGAATGCTTCCAGTTGTGCCATGAGTTTACTATTCTTTTCGTGACCAGTACGGTCGAGTCCTTCCGTGCCTTTGACATCTTCGGTACGCTCCAGAATAGCACCGCAGGATTGACACTCGAATCCTTCATCGCTGTAGAGGCTCAGAACGTCGAGTTCGGTCCATTCTGATCCACATCGTAGACATATGTACTCTTTACGATCCTCGCTCGGCGTATATTGGGCTTTGATAGTGGACGTTAAGCGAAGGACTCGGAATTTGATCGCGTCAATGACAGGGTGTAGCGGGATGTAATAGTAATCGCGGTTCACGGGCCGAGTAGAGCCTTCACGGATCTCACTTCGCGTGTGACTATATACGCAAAACTATGATGTTAGCAAATCATGAATAAGAAATGCACCAGATCCAAGGAGAAGACTGTACACCGCTATGAGACGATCTTCCCGCAACCTAGAACAAAGCTTCCGCAAATCCTTCTGCTGCATGCCGAGTAGATGCGCAAGGTCTTCGGCATGAAGTCTGAGAGTAGTGTCAGCGACGGTTATCTCACTTCAAAAACTCGTCCGAATAGCAGAAGACTCAGGAGTCATACACTGAGTGTATAAACAGTGCATCAACCACTAGGATCTGTCGGGTTTCGTAGAAGGCGCGAACGACGCTTCGGACTAGTGCGCTTGCCACATCCATGATTTCTCAATAGAGGGTCGGTTTCTAGAGATGAGCGAGAGACGAGATCGTTCGCGGTTGGAAGTGGTGATGTGTGTCGCGACTGAAAAGCCGGGACCAGAATGTCGAGGACCTATGCGAAAGGTGAAAGCGACATGACCTTTAGCCCTTCAGCAGAAGATTGAGGAAATATTTATGCGAAGGACTATGAAAATGCGACCGCCTTGTGATAGCTTTGAAAACAGAGTCGCGCAGACAGCTCGGTAACCGGAGAAAGGTATGAAAATAACGGTCAATGATGCCTTGGATTGATGAGCAATACTTACAGATAGCGGCAGATCCCACACCGCCTGCTTTCTTGAGACTAGCTCATATATACTTAATCGCAGTATCTCACCAATAAATCGAAGGCCCACACTGTCGACCGCCGTTAGCCGCCGAGAAATAATTTCAATCTCTAGATCCAAAGCCTCATTGAGACAACAATCATTGGCAATAAAAGCCTTGACTGGATTGAATTGAACCAGATAGCTAATTGTCGATCGATATTCCTGCATCTTTAATTTTGCGCCTATGTACAGCATCCCTGTCCGAAGGCGAGGACTTGCGCAATTGTCATCACTATTTTTTCTGTCAAATACTCAAGCTCGAAATCGTATTGCGATATCACTGGTACCATCAATTTCACCTTTCAGAAAATACTCGCGACTCAATCAAATTGAAATCGTCCCCCGGGTCTCAACTAAAGCTTCAACATGGCAAGAGGAAGAGGTGGAAATAATCAGAAACGCCATATGGGACGTAACGAATATTTGTAGGTCCTGCGCCCTTCTCTTTTCGTTCCACTTGGAGAAATTATTCTGACTAAATCGCAGTCGCCAGAAACGGGATGACGGAAATGATCGAGAAGTGAACAAAGACCGAAATGATGAGGAACAAGCGCAAAAGAAGCGCAAGATAGAAAATGGCGAGGTGTCGGTGCCGATATATGCTACTCAATTCTCGGCAGAGGATATTGCTGCTGAGGAACGACGGCCGAAGAAGAAGGTAGCTGTTATGATTGGGTATTCTGGCACTGGGTACCATGGCATGCAGCTGTACGTTCATTTTATGGTCTAGCAGCTCGGGAGAGATTACTGACTTACAATTGTAGGAGTCCCACCGAAAAGACTATAGAGGGAGACTTATTCGCTGCTTTTGTTGCTGCTGGCGCAATCTCCAAGGCCAACGCAGCTGATCCCAAAAAGTCTTCGCTCGTCCGATGTGCTCGTACCGACAGAGGCGTTCACGCAGCTGGAAATGTGGTTTCCCTCAAACTAATCGTCGAAGATCCCGACATTGTTCAAAAAATCAATGACAACCTAAGCCCGCAGATCCGCGTTTGGGGATATGAGACTGTCACCAAGGGTTTCAGCTGCTATCAGCTTTGTGACTCGCGCATGTACGAATATTTGATTCCTACTCACTGCTTCTTGCCGCCTCATCCCAGCACACACCTGGGTAAGAAGACTGTACAGCTTGCCGAGGAGAAAGGGGACATGGAAGGTTTTCTTGCAAGACAAGAAGGGGTCTTGGACTTTTGGCAGGATATTGACGAGAATGAGATCAAGCCTATCTTAGAGAAGGTGCCTGAAGAGATTCGAAGGCTTGTTCAGAGAGCGCTGTATATCGAAGAAGACAGCAACAAAGAACCGCCAGTTGACAAGGAGCAACCCCAGCCTGTCGATGTAACGGCCAAACTTGAAGAAGCTCAGGAGATTTCAGCATCCACCGAGGAGAACGCGCAGCAGAAGGACGGCGAAACCCAAGAAGCCCCCAAACCGAAACTTACCGCCGAGCAAAAAGAAATTATCAACACCAGCATCAAACAAATAAAAGCTGCCTACCAGTCCGCCAAACGCGCCTACCGCATCCCCCCAAACCGCCTACAGAGAGTCCAAGACGCGCTCGACAAGTACATCGGCACCCGCAACTTCCATAACTACACCATCCAAAAGACATTCCGCGACCCATCCTCTCGACGAATCATCAAATCCTTCGTCGCCAACAAGGAGCCCATCATCATCAATGGCACGGAATGGGTGAGTCTCAAGGTCCACGGACAGAGTTTCATGATGCATCAGATTCGTAAGATGGTAGCCATGGTCGCGCTCATAGTTCGTTGCGGATGCGATCCCAAAATCATTGAGGAGAGTTATGGTTCTACGAAACTATCAATCCCCAAGGCTCCCGGATTAGGTCTGTTGCTGGAGCATCCGATTTTCGATTCGTATAACAAGAGGGCCGCGAAGGATTTTAATAGGGAGACGATTGATTTTGCCAAGTATGAGAAGGAGATGAATGAGTTCAAGCAGAGGGAGATTTATGATCGAATTTTCAGGGAGGAGGAGGAATCGAATGCGTGAGTTTATTCAATTCGTTCGGGAATAAGCGAATGAGTTGATGGTTCGTTAGCTAATATGTCTACATAGGTTCGGTGTCTTTTTCAACCATGTCGACCATTATCCGGCGAATACTTTCCTTTACCTGACTTCGGCAGGCATCGCAGCCTCTCAAGGATCCGATCCGCGTGCTACGGCTGGAAAGGTGAAGGCCAGCGAAGAAACTTTGGCAGGTATCGAGTCGGAGCCTGAGGAAGATGCATCTGGTGCAGAGGGAGGTTAGACAACTCGAATAGATATACTGCCTTTAGATTCTGGAGCCATTATGGACTACCAGAATTCAGCTACAATATCCAGTATCAAAAAGAATATTTAAATGAACTATTCATCCATTACTCAATACAAAAACATACCTCACAACCGGGAAAAAAAAAAACAAATCGAAATTGAGAATGAACAGTAGAACGAACAAAGACAAATATGTTCTTGGTTTGAGCTCTGCTTCGATCCTTGAACAACGCTGTCATGACTAGTCATATCTCGTTGTACGCCTTTCAACAAAATTCAGTGAAATATCCCACAATGAGGAAGTGTACACCAGAGTCGTCGAGAAGAATATAAAATGTGCAAGCAATTATTGCCAAGACAAGAAAATCACAACAAGAACCTTGAAATAGAGCCATGAAGGAAAATGAAGAAGAATGAGAAGGAAAGAGCTTGGTATAGTGACAAAACTTCAAGAAAATCCGGCGACGAAATAGAAATGTAAACAAGAATGGAAGTCTTTAACATCATGAGTGAAGGTTATTGAGGTCCGCAGTCATTAAAACATGAGAGATCGAGTCTTTTCCCGTCGTGCTTCAGGAGAGCGAACTTCAGGCTGGGACAGATTGTGTTGGTGTCGAGGCTTTGTTGGTTGAGAAGCCGGTGCTTTCTGGTGCGGGGATTGTCCGTTGGGACCCATTAAACGATCAAGTGCTTCGCGTTTAGCGTTCAATGCCTTTTCATGCTTGAGGACCAGCTCTGTCCAGGCCTTCACTTGACCAGTGCCCGCAGCATAACCTTTACCAACAGTGTCCGACAGCACTGTCATCCATCCTTCCTTCTCGGCGCGGCTATCAGCATAGAAGTCGATCACCTCCCCATTGGCAAACCGGATGCGGAATCCCTCCTCCACAAACATATATCCCTCCTCTTCTTCCGAGAACGCCGACTTGCGTCTTCCGCCTCCTCGAGTTGTGGTTTCCTTCTGAGTCAAAGCCGACTTGTCATCAATTAGTTTAGCAGCCTTGGCCAGGTTGATTGTGGCACGCGGTTGCCGAGTCACTTCGTGATAGGCAGTCAATTTTGATCCCTGCAACCGGAAAAATCGTCTTCTCCAGTACTGTATCGCGGCCATTAGCATTCATTCTACAACTGAGAGAGAATGGGAACTCACAGGACAATCGCCTCCTTGTTGGGAAAGGTAGCCTTCCCACATGCGAGAGGCAGCATTTTCTGCCTCGCGCATTTCACGTATGCAGGCGTTCATACTTTTTGGCATGTCTTCTTCCTTGGCACCTTTTGGTATAGGAACGAAGAGAAGTTGAAGCTCCAAGTTACCAACCTTATAGGGAGGTCGCTTTTGCACAATATTGAGCGAGCTGCTCTTTTTGCTCTTCACACTTGATGGTTCCTCAACCGCCCATTCATTGAAGCAGGGAACGCGGGTTACATAAGGTCGACCATATGCATACTTTTCATGATCCGACAGAGACACGTAGGCACGAGCAAAGCTACCATCGCGATCAATGATCGAGCGAAGCTTTTCCCAAGGACCGGCGTTGGCCTTTGCTTCCAGTCTCTGTTTTTCTTGTTGCTCCAATTGCTGCTTCATCTCCATTTCTTTGCGCTTCTTTGGAGATGCGAAGACACGACTGAAAGCCGAAGACTTCTGTTTCGAGGGAGTAGCAGACACCACTGATTCTCGGCTTTGCTTCAAGAATGTGCCGTCAGTCTTCATTTGCAAGGTCAGTTGGAACTCCAAGTCTCTGTGAACGATGAGCTCGAATTCCTGGCCAATTGGAGCGCTCCTTCCGAGCTSGAGCCATGATGTCGTGACGCAATGCAAGCCATTATCCAATGTCAACGCGAATTGAAGTTTCTCACCTGGAAAATATATTGGTCAGTGGAAAGTAAGAATATCAGGCTGATGGTAAGAGAACTTACTCTTCGGTAAAGGCAAGTCTAAATCTCGAACCCCGACGACTTTGACAAACAGTCTGCCTCTCTCTTGGTCATCCTCTGGCTGCTCGGTCTCTACCTCCTCGATGCTTTGTTGGACATCCTGAACATTGCTCGGCATACCTGGCAAAGGCGGGACTACTCCAGGGACAGGTTTCTTTTTGATAGCACCGGGAGCCTTTGAACTTTGACGGCGCATCTTTCCATTCCAGGGCTCAGCAGTCCAAGTAGGCTGGCTGGCTTTGCGAGGCGATGTGTTCTCTGGTTTGGTATCGACATTTTTCGCAGCAGCGTTCTGAGGAGCAGTTTGAGGTTCATCATTGGAATTGCTAGAAGCAATAATGACCTTCGTATTTTGACGCATGAGGTAGCCTCTCTGTTTGAGTGGATATTTGTTAGCAAAAGAAGTTCCAAACTGGGAAGGGTTCAAATGTCCAATGGGTCCTGATGGGAATTCTTTAAGGATTCCGAGTGGGATGGGTGTTGTTGAGGATGGGAAGACTTTTCTGGAAAGGGCTAGATTAAACGCAACCTTTTGGGCTTCAATAACTCGGTCGAATTCCTTATCCAAACCAAGGTCAAGACCTTCGCCAGAGCCAGTAAAGGGGATATCCAATTTGACAAGACTGCTTTGTCTCTGGCTTACTTCCGGCACTGCGAGGGTTGGTAGGACGTCGTTCGCCTGCTCGCCATCCTGTGATTCCTGTTCGGTGTCGTCTTCCTGGGTGTGCTCAATGGCTTCTTCGGCGACTGGTACGATTGCACTCTGGACGCTAACTTTACGGCGGACGGCGGCCATTGACTGTACATCAGCGGGCGTTAGTGATGGGCGAGTTTTCAAGCCAGTACCAGGGGCTTTGATGGTGGCAACAAGCTCCGAGACCGGCTCTGGAGTGGTTTCATATTCAGATTCCTCGTCTCCGGATCCGTCATCGACTGGATGTCTAATCACGGAATCAGGGGTAGATGGTTCGTCAGCCACTTCACCGGTCTGCATCTCTGGAGTTTGAGGGCGTCGAAGTGGTTCGGGGATGTTTATCAAACCAAAGTCGAGATGCTCAAACCCGTTCGATGACCCAGTTCCAGTCTCGGATGATACCTGGTCATGCTCAATGGTCTCCTTGACATCTTCTGTTTCTGGAACATGGACAGTAGTGACGTCGGTCTCAGTGGTTTCGGCCGAAATATCCCGTTCTTGTTTGATGGTGTCCCTTGAATTTCGCGAATAATTGCTTTCATCGTCTTCATCGCCTCCAAGTCGGTCTTCGTCTGAAGGAAGAGGTAGTCCATGTGCATTAGGTCCGAAGTACTCTGGAATGTCGTACACATCGCCCTCGTCATCACTCAATGGCTCGTCCTTGATCTGAACATCGAACTCTTCCATATGATCTTCCAGAGAAGGAATGGGAACATCTGGATCGTATTGTGTGTGGGGAGGTGGACTGGAGTTAAATTGAGAGGAATAGTCCCCATCGACGTCGTCAATTTCCTCCTCATCATAGCTGAGATCTTCCCTAGACTTCAAGTTTCGGAGAATATCCTCCCGAGAGATATGTGGTGGAGTATCAACCTGGCTTGCTATGGACTCGGATGCTCGCCTATCTTCATATTCGCTTCCAGCGCTTCTCTCGCGCGCCCCAGCCCTCCTCATGCGTCTTTCCTTTTGGCGTTCCAGCTCTAATTGTTGGTCATTATCGTCTCTCTCTTGTAGCATCATAAGTCGTAGCCTGTCTTCCAGGTTCATGGACGGTCGCCCTGATCCCACAATGTCGGTTTTGGAATACGAAGCTGGGCCGGGAGGAGAAGGCAGCACACGCTGTCCACTAGCAGCCCGCTCGAATGCTGCAGACAATTTATCAGGACTGCTCACACGAGTCGATTGATCTTGAGATCGCGCGTTAGGCAGTGGTGGAAGAGGGCGCTTCTCGCCATTCGAGTCAAGGGAATCGATACGAGAGCCATGAGTGGATGTATCGTGATTCGTCACGGGCTGGACTTCAGGACCGGGGCTCTCAGGGTGATCAACAAACGGATCTCCATCCTCGCTGACCAAGTCATCATTTGCCGAATCAGGGCTCATGAATCGCCAGTCTTCAGGCAGAACAACTGGGGTTTTTTCGATGTCCTCCAGAGAAGCGTCGAAGCTGTCGTCACGATCTAAAGATGAACCTCGGTCGAAACTTATATCAATTTCATCCTCGTCGAATTCGTAACTGCCTTCTCGTGATTCTGCAAGAGACGAGATATCAGGGGTGGTCATCTCGTACTCATTGACCTGAGGGGGGGCCGCGTCAAAGGTGACACTCTTGGGATTTCTTTCAGAGAAACGCGAAGGTCCATCGTCTACATCTGACCAAATATCAGACTCGGGGTCAAATAATTTTTGTCCGAATCGTGTCGCTTTGGATAAGCTTGACTTGGGGGGTGAAGGCTGGTCTTTGCTTGGAGAAACTGGTCTGTATTGTGGTGACTCTTGTGCCTCTCGATGTGGTGATTGCACGTCACTCTGGCTTCGGCCGTGGAACGACCGACCTGTTGCTAATGGGCGCTCTGGAACAGAAATATGAGATGGGTCATATTCTGTATTCTGCTCACGAGCGATCAAACTGCTATTTTTTACACGAGACGCGCGCTTGAGATTTTCTATTGACGCCCTTTTGGTTGGAGAGTAGGGCACTTCTGGGTCATATGGCTTCGCGTTTTCCGAATTCAAAGAAACAAAGGATGATTGCGATTCGCGATCTTGCCAGAAGAGGCGTTTTGAGGTTGAATTATTAAATGGCGATGAATCAAATGGAGACGAGCCCAATGTATACTATCCAGCGCATTAGTAAATCTGGGAATTTTCGACGACGCCCATGTCAAAACGTACCTTGGTCGGGGGCTGTTTCCAGCTTGGAGAATTCCGTCGCTGAGCCATTGGGCTCAACTCTGACAAAGGACGCGGGCTAGCCATCTTTGTCTGCGGTCAAGATGCTGTCGCTGGCTTATATCGTACAATGCGTGGCGTCGCAGTAGACGCCTCAAAACTATGAGGATGATGGATAAACAAGAAGGTATTGTCCAACAAGTACAGGTGTGAGGTGGGTTGTAATGGGGTCTGGAATGCTATGGCGTAGGTGGGCCAGTGCAATGGCTGGACGTGGATATCGCCGGTCGAGTCTCTTCAAAGTATGCCTGATCTGACTCGAAAGTGCCGGTATGGCTGCCTTCAACGTCAAAAGAGCAGGGAGAAAGCGATTGTTCAGAAAAGAAGGAAATGTGGTGTAGATGAGAGGTAGAGACGGTTTTTGAAGGCGAGCGAGGAGAGTCCAGGTTGGAGGAGACGTTTCATAAAGGATAAATAAGAGACACAAACAAGGCAGGAGCGCCTTCCCGAGGGGGAGTGCCTTGTTGACGAGGGCGGTGGGCGCCGTTGCCTGGGGCAACACAACCTGCCCTGCTATTCCCAGCCTCTGATAGGCCAGTTTATTCTCCGCATCCCTGTCCCTGGCCAGTCCTAAAACAGCCTAGCGTGTGGCTTCGGATTGCCTCCGTCCAATTTTTATTTCGATGATTGAGCCTTGCTTGCTACATTGAACGCAAGTGATTCTTGATAAGTTGAGTGATTCTGTCGATAAAGATTCAGAACACGATACGTCTATTTGAAATCTACGACAACGCGAACGAGCTCGCAACAACGAACATACAGCTGCATTTTCATCAGTCGCATCGGACGTGATCATGTCCGCGGGTTCCATGAGCTGGCATGGAAGAACCATCTTACAACCAGCTCTACCGGCCCTCCGCGCCTCCTACACACCATGGCTAGTCTCTGCACGATGGGCGTCTTCTGGACGGCTACGCAACAAGCCGACGAGAATGGCCCTGTCTCCGCATGTAGCCAAGGATAGTCTCAAGAAGAGAGACCGGGCCCGCAGTGAAAAGGGTCCATGGTCAAACCTGAACCAGACCACACCACGACTCCGCGGGGAAGCAAAAGCCAGATCAGACGCTGCCATCAAGCGGTCATCGCGCGGACGAGATGGAGAGGAAGGAGAAAAAAAGAAAAAGGAGGAGTCGCCGTTATACAAAGCCTTAAAAATGCAGACTACGCTATCGCCCTTGAGCTACGGTTTGCGAAATGTGATCAAAGAAAGAATCGCCAGCATCATGAACTTTGATCAATTCAAGCTCCTGCCTACCGTACAAGACTCGATCCTTACGCAAGCCCTGCCCGACCTCGTCGATGTCACGCCCACCCCTATTCAGAGCGTCGCCATCCCCGCGCTATTATTCGATGACGGCAAAAAGAACATAAAGAAGAAGAAGTCGTCGGAATTTCAATATAATTACGACCAGTTTCTATTGGCGGCAGAGACAGGATCCGGCAAGACCTTGGCGTACTTGGTACCCATAATCGACAATATCAAGCGAACAGAATTGGCGGAAAAGATAGAGGAGGAGCAACAACTAGCTGAAAAGGCAAAAGAGAACGAGAAGAAAGCCAAGGAGCGCACTAATGAACTCGAGTCTCCTGAATTGTCAGAAAATCTTACTACCTCGGCGGGACGACCAAGAGCAATTATCCTGTTACCAACATCAGAGCTGGTTGCGCAGGTTGGCGCCAAGGTCAAGGCATTCTCTCACACGGTCAAATTCCGATCAGGGCACATTGCGTCTTCTGATACGCCACGCAAAATTCGTAGTGTGGTATTTAATCCTTCTGGAATTGATATTCTTGTCTCTACACCTCATCTTTTGGCGTCAATTGCCAAGACTGACCCCTACGTTTTGAGCCGTGTTCAGCATATTGTTGTTGACGAAGCGGACTCTCTTCTGGACCGTTCATTTGGGTCTATAACGACTGAGATTATTGATAAAGCCGCCGGGTCATTGAAGCAACTGGTCTTGTGTTCCGCCACCATCCCGCGCAGTCTGGACACTTTCTTGCGCAAGAGATACCCCGACGTGCGTCGTCTCGCTACTCCCAACCTGCATGCTATTCCGCGAAGAGTCCAGCTCGGTGTAGTAGACATCGAGAAGGAACCGTTCCATGGAAATCGCAGTCTTGCGTGCGCCGATATCATATGGTCTATCGCCAAATCAGGCGAAACAGAATCAATGGGTGAGTACAACCCATTCATGGAGAAGGAGGTCAGAAAGATCATCGTCTTCGTCAACGAGCGCGAGGAAGCCGAAGAAGTCGCCCAATTCTTACAAAAGAAGGGCATTGATGCCATCCCCTTTTCACGAGACTCCTCCAAACGCTCACAGGAGATCGTCGACGAGTTCACTACATCCAGACGTCCCCCAACCACAGAGGAGATCATGGAAATGCAGAAAATGCGCCGTATACAAAAGTCTTCACTCCCATTTGTTCTATCGGAAGAGGAACAAGCGATGGGAGCCATGAAACGCCTACCAAATACCAAGGTCATGGTCACCACCGACCTTGGTTCTCGAGGTATCGACACTTTGCCCGTCCGCACTGTGATTTTGTACCATGTCCCGCATACAACAATCGACTTCATTCACCGGCTGGGCCGTGTTGGACGAATGGGAAAACGTGGCCGCGGTATCGTTCTTGTTGGTAAGAAAGATCGCAAGGACGTGGTCAGGGAAGTCCGTGAAGCCATGTTCCGCGGTCAGGCTCTGATTTAAAAACAATCCATTCTCTTGTATACTTTTGTAATATATATTTATTTAGGTACACAGCATCATGGCAAGGCGTTGGGCCGGTTTTAGATGATGGGAGAAATTCATGTACAATATTACTTTCCTCTTAATCTCTTTGGATATCCATGCATTCAAACTTCTATGACAGCCAACCTTACGACTTTACAGGGCAGTGGTGCAGTAATGGGACTTTATGTACGGTTGCCAGAACGTGAAGTTATACCTCATTCAGTATAAGTGTGAGGTAGTCACGAAAGTTACTAGATACAGTGGGATGAAATAAGTGTTGACACCCCCAGGTATAACGTAATACCCGCACAAGGGTGTTAACACTTATTTCGTAGTACTGTACGTAAATAATTATGATATCAAACATAAAAGCTCAAAGTGAAGAAGCTGGGCCTGCTTTCGTACATATGAAAAGACTGGCCGATGTTTTTAGTCCAGTGACAGTGGAGAGGCAAGCGTGCATTTTGGTAGAATCAACATCAAGCTAATCCCATCGACAACCCACTACCTCAGCTTCCTCTCCCATGAGAGATATTGGCCACACTGTTGGGAGAAGAGTTACTAACTTAAGCAGGTGACTAAATCAGCATATTCAAAAATTGACAGTTGAATCCATGTGCAGCATAATTATACAAAGCCTCGATTCAGTCTCTACTAGGATTTATATACACGAGTCTGTAACAAAGGGGAGAATGAAGCTGATACTGGGCAATAGCAATCAGCAACGTCAACCCAAACGTATTCGCGGGGTTATCGTTGCTAGTACGAACTAGCCTTCACAGACCTTCAGACGCAATTGACTCTCTGATTGAGTGACCTTCGCAAACAGTCTGATCTAAATCTTCCTTGAGATCATAAATATGCTTGGTTCCTGCTGATAGCCGAATCAGCTAGGGCTTTTTGTATCCTTTGTTAAAAAGCCAGAAATGTCTAGCCATAGCCAAACAGATGAAGACAGCGCTAGCCTATGCTACAACCAGCGCCACAGATTATATTACTAGGTAATATTCCATTCGTCTCAGTATAGTATAGCCTAGAGCTATTATGAGCAGATGACAATTACTATGAAAACAACTTTTTACAACTTGCATTAAAATCCGGATTTTCTACATAAAGTACGCGATAAGTTCAAATACTCAAGAGGGAAAAAAGTCTAGTTATAGCACCTAGTCTATGCACAGTTAGATAAAAATCCAACATTAAACCCGAAATTCGTCATGCTCGTTAATCAAAGAGGCCATCTTTTCCAACAAACACTCCCGCACCTACTTATCCGCCATTTCTCCCTATAGGAGCTTTTCCACATCTACCCCAGGAAGGTGATAGGTGTTTAACAATACGATATGTACAGGCGCAATGGCAAACCCACCTCTTGTGAGCCGTGCCGATTAGCCAAAGTTCGCTGCGATCATGTAACTCCGGTTTGCGGACGGTGCCAGTCGCGATCCAAACAAAGTCAGGTATGGCTCATCTGGGATGATTGTAAATATATACTTGGCCAGAAGAATTTTGACCTCTGATCAGTGCTACTATCACCCTGCCCCGCTGACAAAGGTGCACGGTTCGGAGGTGCGTAGTCGATCAGCCCGGAGACAAAGGCGTTTAGCTCGGAATGAAGCAGCACTGCCATCAGTTGGTACAGCTGCTAGTACATTGGGGCGCTCGGAATTTTTGGGCCCAACAAGCTATCTTTCTGTGTTTAGAGACACACCGCGAGTGTCAAAGGCTTCGGATAGGTCTCTAAGTGATGAATTTGAATATTGGTGCACCAAACCTGAATATGCAGCAGCCCGGGTGATACGACTTGCTTCGGCAATGCCCTTTTACCTGGAGCATATAAAATGGTACTATGGTAAAGGTCGTTTCACCGTCATTCCTGCGCCGACTGTCTTGGACTCTTTGTCCCAGACGGCCGCTTTTATGCAAAGCCACCCATGGAATGTGACAGAAAACTGGGCATCCATCTACAGTGAGCTGAAGGCTGCGACAAAAGCTCCCTTGGAGGTATCCTCCAACACAACTGCAGATGATTTCATTTCATTATTCACTGGTCCGCAATTACGACTCGAGTTCTTAGGCTTTGTATTTGTCATGGCTGGGATAAGTGTACAAGGCCGATTCCCCGGTCGACAACCTCTAGATCTGGGTAATGGCGAGAGCATGGATACAGATGCGTTCACGAAAGAGATGGTTTTGGCATGTTATCATTGTATTGAAATTTGTAAACAAGTCAGTCACGTCAACGATCTGACAATATGGATGCGCTACATGCATATCCTCTTGGGGGCGGAAGTACTTGGAGAATCAAGTGTGTCTCCCTCAACAGTGCACTGTGATCTACATGACTGACCAACTGAACAGACGAGAAAATCTATAGTCTCTTTGGTGACTTGGTATCTGACATCTACGCAATGGGTCTGCATCATCAACCCTCTGATGATATCCCATTCTTCCTGGCCGAAACTAGAAAACGGATGCTAGCTGTTTGCCATCGCACAGACAAGAATTTATCTACGGCCATGGGACGTCCACCGCGTTTACCTCATCGGTATTGTGACGAGGCTCTACCGTTAGACCTACCAGATGAGTATCTTTATGGAGAAAAAGAGTCTCTCGAGCGTGGTATCCAGAGCTTGGATGATGATGGCTGGAATCAGGACGGGAAATTCTATCCTGCGACACTGATGCGGATGCGATGTATTCTCTCCAAACTGCGGGAACAAGTTCTTGAGTTATCTCTCGGGCGCTCAACGCACCCAGATTACAGGAAGGACCTCTGGTAAGAAAAATCCCCTTATGTCTTGATTGTATATTTATTATTGGGCCAATCCGTATAGGGATACATACAAATTCTCACAAACTGTATTTAACCGAATCCCTTCCCGATACATGTACACGTCGAGCTGCTGGAAAGAGCTGGATGATATTGAATGTCTAGCACGAATGATTATACGCCTCGAGCACCTTTTCAGTGTGCTACAACTTCAACGAATTCGATGTCAGGAAAACAGCGAGGCAACTGGCGACCTACTTGATACCTGTCTCGATGTGTTGTCTATCGTCATAGATCTTACAGGACAATACGGCATACATCGGATTAGGAAGCAATTTGCGTGGATGGTGAGTAATATTCCCTGACTTCATAATCTTCAATCTGCTGAGTGATCAAGTATTTAATGTATGGAATACCTGCCTCTGGTGTCCTTGCAACGGAGCTGTACCAACGCACCGTTTCCAACCAGCCCCTACCGCCAAGTAAATCCCGGTCAGAAATCATTCGTACACTGAGCTTTCTGGTGTCTTGGGTCCGAAATACCGTTACAGAAGATCAGCCTTCTGTGACGGTTGCCGCGTGCTTGGAACTGAATAATGTGATTTTCAAAATACTGGATGACGCCCTTGATTATCAGCCCCCATCAGGCTCTGGACAAGATGATACGAGACAGAGAAGTGTGGATACAGGCAAGTCACTTGAAAATTCTGTCCAAGGTAGCCGAGGTGATCTGCCATCAGATGTGCTCAACATTGGTCTGGCTAGTGGGGAGTCTCTTAGTTGGTTGGATGATTTGGATTTGATTTGGACACCTCCAGAGTTGTCATTGATGTAAATCTGACTTATCTACTCACGAGATATATCTACTTGTTTCCACATGCACTTCTTGCATGCATACCAAACGATGAAGAATCTTCGATGACTTCGTTGATTACTTACCTATTGTGATACTAAACATTCCTTCACTCTTTAAGAATCAGCACTACCTAGTGATATGCGTTGCACGGAAGAAATCAGAGGCAGCATACTGCCTGGCCAAAAGTCAAGGAAGATCAAGAAATGGGCAATCCTTCAGGTCAGCGTAGAATTTTCCTCCTAATTTTTCAATTATCATGCAGCGTTCCTGCATTGTACAAGCATTTTGCAGCTGTGCTCCACTAACCCCGTTCACGTCGAGTTTTGTTGTATTCCAAACCCAAGCCCCCCCCGTCCGATGACCAACCAACCCTAATGTAATCATTGAATCTTTCATTATGTGTGACGGAGATAATGATTGAGTTTCAATAAGTCTTCATTCTACCACCACGCTGGGCCAAGACGTCGCACTGTTGAAGAAGAAGGATACCATTCCAATGTTGTAGGATACCTTCGACTCTCAGATCCAACGATGTCCGCAGTCTATAAATACATAGCTAAATGACTTGAAGAATTAAGTTTGATAAGATAATAATTGAAAACCTCGAAAATATACCGTTCGACTAAAAACGAGGCCCCCTTAATAGGGTGGTAATTTTAGTGGTAATATAGGCATGTTTTCCGTCTGTTAATAATAAGCTCTAGTAATTTCACGTAGTTATATATAAAAATCTTAGTTAAGAAGTATTATTAGCCATATATAGATCTTAGACATGGCAAAGGGCAGTCCATATGAATGGGTGAGGCCAAGCGCTAGGGTCTGGTAGGCTGACACTATATATCATGAGTAAAAACCCATATGTATTTACTTCTCAGACAATATGGACAAACAATACTAGAAACGATTTCTCAGGCCAAGGAAAGTAATTACAAGACGAAGCAAAAGACTCAGGTTCCCTCTCAATTCAAATACCCAGTCAGGACGTTCCTAGCATAACGCCCAATGCTGATATTAGGCTTGAAGACAATTAGGATGAAGATGACCAATACCTCCCATCCACTACTTGAAATAGTCTTTCCCTGCTCTGCTCTTAAATTTATTAACGTCCTCTCTTGCTTGGTCCAACGGCTTTTCAAATTGTTCTGTAGGCACGGGTTGCGAATTCTCAGGAATGCGGCCATTAGCGATCTTGATGATGTCAACCAAGAGTTGTGCTAAATTATTGAATGATATAGCACACTCGGTAAGGAGAACTTCCATGGCCTTTTGAGCAGTTTCGTCTGCAAAGAAGTCTCCGAGTATCTTCTGCTCAACTTCCGTGGGATATTGATCAGACTTCCTATCCTTTTCAAGCCGATCAATCACAGCTTTTGCGAGAGATCCCTAGAGTATGTAAGTTTTAGTTATAAAGGAAATAAGAGTATGCGACATGATACTCACCGTCCTAGGCTCGCGGACAATTTCCGTGGTAGTACCTTTTATGAATCCAGGGGTCTGGTTGCGTCGGAATCCCAATTGATAAGCGAAGTCAGATAGTGAGTCCTCCTCTGAATTGTAGCTAGTGACCAAAACTACCTCAGGATGGAAATTATTGGTAGTATGCAAGTATTCAGTGCCATGGCGTTCACCCTGGGTAAAAGGATCAGATCTTGCTTGGCTCCGCATTAACAGAGCGGCACTAATGCCCTCAGAAATGCGCTTGGCTGCTGCTTGATTTCTTTTGTAGTCATCAGTCTTTTCCAGCTCTTCTTTTTCAGCAGTTTTCTTCTTTGCCTCCGGGTTAAACAACATTTCGGCCACGTCCCTCTCCAGCAAGTCTTCGTCACCACCAAAGAAGAGGAAAACTAGGTTCCTAGTACAACGAAGCTGTTGCTCCCGGGTTTCTTTAAGCTCTTTAAAACGGTTTTTCGTATAAGCCTTTGTATCTTGTATTCTTTGATATTCGTTGTCAGGCATCACGTCAACATGCTTCGCAGGTCGGCGTATCTCGGCCTCTCGTGCTGCTTGTGCTTCATTGAAACGGCTCCATTCCGCATCTAACTGTTCCGACCTCCGAGCTAGTTTCTGGAAGGACCCAGTGATGTATACAAATTGTGAGAAATTTGAGAACATACAAGACAAAGTATATGATTAAAATAATAAATTCGATGCTTTAGCCAGTTGCAAGTTTGACCTTTTAAGTATCCAGCTCAGTTGACCGCTAATTTAAAACCAGTCTTTGCATAGTTCGAATCAGAAAAAGAAAGAAAGCTTTTCCGCTACACATCATGCTGTGTGACATGACCCTTTAGAAACTTTGCTGCTTTGCTCCAATATTTTTGATAAAACTAGTGAAGTTGCCAAATCCTTGACCAGACAATCTGCAGGTAATCTGGGAGATAGCGAGTTCATTGGCCATCGTTTTACCCCCGACTCTCGTGTCGCATAGTCTGATTCTTGAGCCATTTTGATATAGTAATAGCTGTCGACCGAGGGAGATGATCAAAGTTGTATGGAGTACAGTATGCGACACTACTATTGGCCCGATTCCCAGCGATCCCCAGCACTCCGATCGGCTCAGTAGCCTTTCTACTTCCAGTATCATGAGACTTGTCGAAAAAGCAATACTATGTAGTACTTCTTGGGCCACGTACAATTGGCATTTGTAAAAAGGATATGATTTAATTAGTTACTCGTCACATAAAGTCTTAGTACTGTGTCAGACCAGCCTCGTCGACTTCATGCGGAATAAGATACGGAAAGCGTATGGAGTCGACATGCAGTGCAGTCCTGTACGAGAGATACAGAGAGTGATGGCGAATTTAGCATCATTCACCATTTTTCAAAGCTGGGGTTGTGTGGTCGGATAGTATACACTGATAATTGTCATACCCCTTATTATCCCCATCAGCCTTTGGCGCCCATTTTCGGAGATCAACGTCGAGATACTGTACCATCTCAAACTCGTATTTCTTGTAGATTGGATAACCATCGGGAGAGCCCTGAAGAAGGATAGGCATATAATTGCTAAACGATACTCATACTGAACTAATGCATTCCCCATGCTTCTTCGTCAAAAAAAAAAAAAGGTCTGTGAAGAGTGTTTTGCAGGTTACATGCCGCTGCGAGCGTGTCCAGTGGTTGAGCCATTTGTTTGTATCATGGTGGACGTAGACTGGCAAGCCCGGTGGAAAGTCAAAATTGCTACTTTGCAGTGTTCTTCTCTTGTGCGTCCGCATCTAGCTGAGCTTGCTCTTTATCGTGCTGTCGGAATTTGATCCGCCTGTTGACATGTTCCATAAAGCCCGTGCAGCAAATCTGCCAGGTTCGCTTGTCGACGGCTTTGATGTGTTTCCATGTCGGCGTGCCCACTTGACCTTCTAGCATTTCACTTACTCGCTTCCCAAGTTCGCTTGGCTTGTCAAAATCAGTTGTCGGGAAAGCAAGCTACGACATGCAGTTTCTGCACATAGTCTACATCAATAGCTCAGTTCCGCTTTTCTTGGAAGAATCCTAGCTCGGCGGATCTCTGCCTCCCGTGCTGCTTGTGATTTCTCGAGACGGTTCTATTATGATACAGCAATAGCTGTCAACCGAGAAGGACACTTAATTATATGGAGAATAGTAGTGACGTCAAGAGATTGGAAGCTCAGGTTAGAGGTACTGTGTAGAGCTTTATCTGAGACATCATCGTCGTCGTCGGTAAGATTGATCAAAGGAACTGAAGTATTCAAAGCCAGAAGAGGTTCGGGTTATGATCGCAAGCCTGATAGTGCTTTAGAATCTTTGCATGCATGAAGCCTTTCAACCCTATATTCAAGCCCGTATATAAGTCCGTATATGAGTCTGTATATGAGTCTGTATATGAGTCTGTATATGAGTCTGTATATGAGTCTGTATATGAGTCCGTATGTAAGTCTATATATGAGTTTATATATAAGCTCTTAGAGGCGCGTTTTCTATATTCTAGACTATATTCATTAAGAGTATTATTGAGAAAAAATCACAAAATTTACTAACCAATAGAAATTAGTTCGTGGCAATTCTACCAGTATGTAGAAAAACGTATTACTAGCGAATAACGATATTTGTCGTTAAGGCCCCTACAGGCAACGGTATTGAGGTTATTTTAAGGATTTAAGATAGCAAAACCCCTATCCTCTTGTCGGTTAGAAATCGTATCCACTTACCTATTTAAGTTGGTTCTAAAAACTCTTCCCATCCTTCATATCAAAGCCTCTCTTTTTAAGCATACGCATTTTTCTATCAGTTTATTTTAATATATTTGTTTCACATCATGCTATACGCTCCATTTTCTCGAGCTGGCCGTCCAACCAAGGAAATCAACGAATTTCAAGAGGAAATTATAGCTCTTTATAGAGCTGGTAAGACCAGCGATAATATCGCCAGACATCGATTCACTGAGTATAACTTTCAGATTCATGCACGCACCATTCAACGACGGCTAAAAGAATGGCGTGTCACAAAGCGAGTTCGAACTCGGAAGGAACAAGAAGAGAACCTCGAAATACAAGTCGAAAATATGGATCCTGCCGAGGTTACTAGAAGATCAAATGATCTTCAACGAACTCGTGAAGACTTCAGTGTTCCGGGACCGGATTATTTATGGTCAATTGATGGCTACGACAAACTCTCTTATTGGGGCTTCCAGATCTATGCCGGGTTTGATGCATATACAAGATATGTCACATGGATCTATGTCGGGAATAGTAATCGGACTAGTTTCAGTGTTCTCCGTCAATATCTTGACACTCTAAAAAGTGAAAAGAAACAACCAAGGATGATACGATCTGATAAAGGAGGAGAAAATCCTTTGCTTGCAGCAGCACATTATGCTTTATCTCAAAAGCATAATGCGAATGCTACTCTTTCTGATTGTTTTTGGTACGGCACAAGTATGTCAGATCAACGCATTGAAGCATGGTGGTCTCAGTTCACCAAAACCCGCGCAAGGAAATGGCAGGTAGAGTTATAGCCCTTCTTTAGTTACAAAGCTTGTGGTCTTACTAAAATATCTCTAGGATTATTTTATAAGACTCAATCAGGATGACTTATTCATAAAGGATCAGCTTGCAGATCGTATCTCTATATTAGCAGTCTACATGCCTTTACTTCGCAGAGAGATCTCTAGTTTTGTTCAGGTATTGAATGTGCATCCTATTCGAAAGCAGAAAGAACGACCAAACGGTGTTTATGGCAAGCCATCCTTTCTCTATTTATATCCAGAAGCTCGTGGCGCTGAGGATTATGGTGTATTACCCGATGAAAATCTGCTTAACGAATTGCTGAATGATATGGATGATTGGGGTATAACCTTATGAGCCTCTCACTTCACACCTTTACATTATTGACTAATAGTGATTTCAGATATCAACGAGTACCTACCCGAGGAAACATACAATTGGTGTCAACAAAAGCTCAAAGAGTTAGGCTTTACGAACTTAACACCATCTGATGCATTTCCTAGTGGTAATCGACCACACTGTACTGCTTATATCGCTCTCCGGGAGTGCGTGAAGGCTCATTTATCTAGTGAGGAAGCACCTTTGCTGGCTGAATCGCAGCCCCCTACTCAAGAACAATTGTCAAGGCTTAATATGGGCGACGCCGTTGACAGTAATATAGAGGAAAGCAACGTTGGTGTATGAAGAAGAAGAGACTTTTTTTTAGATAGGATATTAGGCAATCTATATATCGAAGTGAAATATACATGCAATCTCGAGCACTTCAAGATGTCCTCTAGACGTGGCCTCTGATTGGATAGAATTCATTTGAATCCTTCAATAAAGGTGGCCTCTGGTTCACGATAAATTCTAGCTCCTGAATAGTCTATAACGAGGAGCTTTAATGGGGCGGAATATGAATCTATGATTTAATATCATGTATAGCAGCCTCCTATTGTCCCCATCCTCAATATGTCGAAAGCATCGATTATTCTCGAATAATTGTATGTCACGGTTAATCTCCATCATCCTTCCAACAATGCTGACCACAGCTTGACTGCCTGTATATGCTAGAGTCTATAGATACCACCACTTCCCATCGGCTTGCGGCTAGTATGGTTCATCGCTATAAATTTGACGTGCAAACACAGTATGTGTCACATGCTTCTTAGTCCTCAATACTAAGTATTCAGTACCGCTGCTGGTGATGGCTAACCGAATTTCGGTCAAGCAGCGAACGGCCTATCTGTGGACCGAATTCACTGAAACGAGATGTCGCAGATAATGCAACTCGTGGTTATTGAAGTTGGTCACCGAAGCGTTAACCAACGTTGACACAATCGGCGCTGCGAAGAAAGAGTAATTGCAATGCATGCAGTCAGCTTGAGTGCGTATCCCCCCTCGTCCGCAATGATCACAATGTTTTTCGCCTCATGACCATAGTTGTGTCGAATGAGATCGAATGTAGCGAGTTGAGTGGTACAAATTGGTCTCGCCGCACCAAAGGATCAGGAATCCTCAGTCATCGTGGAGGAGGAATCGGAGGTGGTGGGCCCATCATTTTGGGGTTCTTTGGACGTCCGACATTCCATTGGTGCAGGGGCGCCTCCAATCTGCTCAGGTCGTCACGTCGACGCTGTACGACTTGCGTATTCGTCTTTCTATCAGATCCGCCTCTTTTTGTCCTCGTAGAACTTTCATCATCATTTGAGCATATCTTTCGCGGCATGAACGATTATCGTTCCGGGAGTTGTCATCTTCAGAGGCTAAAGACTTGCATATTCGGCAAAGGCTTATTGAAGTTTAATGAGAGGAGCGTTGCTGTTACTAGACGCGTGTTCCTCAGCCTGACGAAGATGGATGTACGTCAATTCCATGGATCGCGTGCTCGAGAGTCGAGATGCGGTTTGTCAATTCCTGCAGCCCTGGTATAGCCTTGGACGCCTGAGATGCATTGCGCTTCTTTGTCGAGAGGGTTACCACATCGTCGGATTCGTCCTGCTCGATGTTTCAGCATAGTCTTCAGGCCAGTAATTGTTGATGCTCTGGTGGTAGAGTAACTGACCGACTCAACCACCATTACGTCAGGCGCGTCATATTCGGCGTGATGGCGAGTTCTCTTGGTGCCTTGTCCGGCGCTGGCATGAGTATGCTTGGTTTCAACAGCCTGAGATGATCCATTGAATTTGTCAGTAGTCGGGAAAAAATGTCGAACGAGACGACAGAGCGCGGCTTTTTTTGGGTGTAGGAGCCATGCTTGCTTGAATTGCACTGACTTCCAGATGAATGTTAAAAGCGCAGTCGGTTGAGTTTGGAAGATGAGAAGGACTTGACGTACCTGACTAATCTGTGAGACTGAGTTGCTTGAGTTCTACAATGCCCTCCCAGTAGTAGACCGATTTCGTAATCTTCTAAGTTCAGGAAAACCCGTAAAAGCAGTCAAGACCGACTCCTTGTCGGAGTCCACGTCGACAACCCGTTGTTTCGTAGGCGAAGTCTGACCAGTTAGCATCACATCAAGTCGCGTCGTATGTCTCTGACGGACGAGGCAAGAGAGACTACGCGTACTTACTTGCGAACGTCGTTGACAACGACCTCTCTTGGGGGTGGGTGCCAGCTACCCGGTCTAAACCTCTCGAAGATGCGCGACTCGACAAGGATCTCGACTCTAGCAGCTGTTGACCGAGTTCTAGCAGCTGTTCCGCTTTGGCTTCAAACGTAAACCTAAATCGATTAGTAATTATATTGTGATACAATTGAGTTATTGGTAAACACCTGTTCCTTGGTATCTTCAGAGTCAGGCCACATAGGGTCCGACTCAAGCTGACCCTATGTTTCCTGGATCAATTTGGTGCCTATATGAACCAGATAGATGATCCTTCAAACGGGGCCTCATTTTTGGCGCAGCTGTCTTTTTTCTGATTTAACGGAGAACCTTCAAGCATGATGAATCAGCATAACCATGGTGAGCATATTCTTCAGTGTCCCGGTCTGGTTCAATCAAATGCCTAGGAAGCGTGCCCGGAACCACTATATACGAAAACAGCATTTTCATCCATGGCAATTATCTATTCAGACTGTTAGCAAGAACTCCCTGAGTAGGAACATGATGCACAAACTACATTTTGTAGACCTCCAATAAGAAGCAACAAGACATGTCGACGGGTTGATGTGGGGGAGAGAAGGGAAGAGAAAATTTCCCTCTAAGGGGAGGAACAGTCAGGCAGCTTTTATATGTAGAGGTCGGGCAAATCCGTCGGAATTTACTAGGTCGGCGGTGCCCATTCGGTCGCTGCCCATTGTTTGCCCTGTCACGACAACATAGGCACAAAGAACCCGCGTTGTATGATGAAAATTGCCTTTGCTTCATTACGTGGGCACTTATCTTGTTCAAGCGGGAGAAAAAATGAGTCGAAATAAGTTTCATTCATGTATATAAAAGTTAGCAGTAATTGGACCAATCCAGTTGTCGCTCCACCGAAACGCCTGTTTTACCCTTCGTACTCAAACACCCTACCTGCCTTTTCCATACTCTTCCTCTTCTCGTCTGCGCTGGTCTGCCACTGATCGTCCATATCCTCCTCGACCTGGATCGTATTCCTCTCGGTATTCGTCTCGCACCTGTCCGCCGGATTTTCCACGTCTATATCATGGTTAGCTTGGGCAATCGTCTTTCAACCCTCCCATAAATTTCATACCCATATTGACGACCCTCCTGGAATCCAGGATCAAGATCTGCACGAATGATTCGTTCATCAAGCTTGGTTCCTCCGATATACTTCAAACAGTCGAGTGCATCCTGGTGGGTGTAGTACTCCACGAAACAGAAACCGCATGGCGTCTTCTGGAAACGATCCAATCCCATGACTAGACGTTTTATTTCGCCGCATCTATAATAGTCATATCAGTCTATTGTCGCTCAATGTCGACGTGGTATGAACGTACTTGGCGAAGAGCTCGTGGATCTGTTCCTCGGTTGTGTAGAATGAACTGGACCGTAGATTAGCCTAACTGTTATTGTAGTATGTCCGATAGCCCTTCCACATACAGATTGCCGACATAGAGAGTTGTAGCATTCCGCAGCTCGTCATTCGGGTCCTCGTGCTTGTCTTCTCGATCGTTGTATCTGCGGCGCTTGTTCTGCCATGGACGAGTTAGAGCAGGAATTGAGTAGATATGCTGGGAAGTTGGTACCTTGCTCTGGTAATAGGCGCTGGGCCTGTCCAGACGCTCAACCGTGTTATAATGTCTCGACATGTTGGAGTTTAACTGAGCTTGGTCTTGTTAAAAGAAGAATGAGCATCGCCGTCTCTTGAGGTAAGCTAGCTTGGCTCCACTTTTTAATTTTAGCGCGTGTTTGCCGCAGCTCTCCTCCGCAGCCCATCAACCTCATTCGATTTCTCTTCGATCGAGGTAAACAATGCTTATCCGCCTTTGGGGCACGTACGAGTATTCGATTTCTGAAATAAACCATTATTGAAGGTTTAGATGAAACTTGTCTACCGCGACCATGCCTAGAGTCGTCGGTCATACGCCGCCGTGGCTCTGTCGACCATCACCAGCTGCTTCGTTCTTTACACGAGATCCTTCCAAAAAGCCCGATAGTCGGACGCAAAATGGAACAGGAGAATATATAGGACCACAAAGGACTTTGGCTCATCGCGACACCGAAGTGTTTGCTGTAGTCGACAATCAAATACGTTGGGCAGATTTGTCGACATTGAAGACCGAATGGAGCCCAAAGCCCAAATCTTCGCCAAAGAAAAGTAAAGCTCCTACGAAAAATAGAACAGAAGATGATGTGAAGAGTGACCACTACCGGGTACGCAAATAGCTTCGGTGGCTATATTGACGCGATGTACTAACTGCAGTAGATCTTAACGGTCCCTGTTTATGGCCAAATAAAACAGCTGGTCATCTCACCAAATGGTGCTTATATGGCCATCGTCACTGCGCACACCGTTCATATTGCCATACTGCCAGATCGATCTCACCTTTCCAGCTCCGATAAGGCGCCCCTCCGCTTAAAGACGTACCAACTAGGTCCTACCACACATGTCATTCCAGAGTCCCCAGTCGTTTCAGCATTATGGCACCCGTTAGGAGTACATTCGAATGTCGAGGCTTGTATAGTGACCATCACGGCAGATGCTGCGGTGCGCGTGTGGGAACTGGATCGCAATAACCACTGGTCGTTTGATCGGCCGTCTTTGGCGATTGATCTGAAGAAACTAGTTGATGGAACGTCTTCAGACGAGGATTTCACTCCGCTAGGTTTCGGCAAGAACAAAGGTTTCTCTGCAGACTCTTTTGATATGGAAGTGGCCTCTGCTCGTTTTGGTGGCACAGCTCAGCCAGCCGAAGATGCTTGGGCGCCGATGACTTTGTGGGTTGCTATGAGACCTGGGGATTTGTACGCGCTGTGTCCATTACTTCCTTCAAAATGGCAGGCCCCACCGGCGACCATTCCTGCACTCTCTTCCACGATCGTTCCAAAATTGACTGCAATCGAGGAACAATATTCTGGAATTGAAGGTGCGGAAGATGACCTTATTGCTTGTCGACAGCAGTACGAATGGCTCAAAGAGATTGACGATCAAGATTCGGCAAATATCTCGGAGGTGGATGGATCGGAAATTCTTAACCGCCCTAATAACCCAAGTGTGATTCCTCGCTTGCAAGGTCCATTTCAATTCGACTTTGATGAGCAGTTTGATGATCTGGAAGTCACCGATTTTATCATCATCCCTGCTAGACTAGACACTGCAGCATTAATGACGGGGGAGGATGACGAGGGTATACTCGAAGAGAATGCGCAGGAAGGACTACCTTATACGACAATCTGTTTATCGACATCGAGCGGACGGATTCATATTTGTCTTGAGCTAGACGGAGTGGAAGGCCAGTGGCTTCCAAAGGCTAAAGCAAATACATTCACAACTCCGCTCTCAGAGCCAGCAGACCTCCTTCTCGTTGAGTCTTTGGATACCGTGAGGGAGAATCTACGTGAAGCTAACTCCTGGCCCACATTTACTCTGGACACCGATTCTCGATACTCTTTCTACCTCACAACCGCCAACAACGTGTCGTTTATTTCGTTGTCTTCCTGGGCTCAGAGATTGGAGGCCGAGCTGCAATCTGAAGATACATCAGGGTCCCAGTTCCGGCTTAATGTGCTCTGTGATGGAAACATTGCTGTCCGAGAACTACTCATCCAGCTGAACGAGAATGACATTTCTTCAGCTGAAGAGCCAAAGCATCTCACCAATGCCGTGCTTTTCTCCGACTATGATCTCGGCCAACTACTTCTGACTTATCGGGGATCGACTCCACAAGCCGTAGAACTCGATGAGCAGCAGAATACGGTTCTAGCCTCTTTTTCCGAGTCGTTGCGTGGCGATTTCGACAAAACGGCCAGTCAAGGTCTCCAGCCACTCGTCAAGCCGCGCCGCACGCCGTACCAAGTTCCTGCAATCTTCTATGCAGACGAGCCGTTGAAGTCTTTTATTGAGGAACATGTTCCACACAGACACAGAAACACGCTGCAAGAACCTCTCCGCCTCTCCCCGTCTACACTCGACATGGTCGCAGCCGCTCACAGGGTCCTTGCCGCCCATACCGGCTCACTCGAAAGGGCCGCAGCAGACCTATTCCGGCGTTGCGAGCGTCTCCGCGGCGAAATGCGCGATCAACTCGAAAGCATCGCTACAGTCGCAGATCGCATCAAGAATGTCTCCAGTCACATCGGTGAGGACGGTCAACGACAAGAGGGATCCCGAAGCGAGGATGCTCTTAATGATCGACTCGACGCAGCGAAACAGCGACAAGAAAAACTTGCACAGCGATACGCGGATATACGATCAAAGATGTCGAAATTGGGTGGTCGCCCACTCAGTGAGAAGGAGAAGAGTTGGGTGGGAGAAGTCAAGTTGTTATCTACTTCTATCGAGAAGAAGGTTGCGGAAGACGTTGAAGACGATCAAACCATGAAAGCGCGTCTGGAAACGGTAAGTATCGCCTTGCCTCACACTTGTCTCATACAAAGTCGAAAAGCTAACGCTCTATTGCCAGGCTAAATTCATCGCCGAAGACTTACTCGCAGAAGCAAAACAAATATCGAAGACCCAACCAACCACAACAGGACAGGAGGAACAAGCGGTCAACATCGGTGCCTCCGAACCCAAAATTCCGCAGAAACTTCAACGCGCCAAAGTTGCGGATGCGATGAAGATGGTTGACAGAGAGTACGTTTCCCCTTGCATCTACATATTCATATATTCACCGGGAGAAGAAAGCATGACTGACAACTATTCACTACAGATCTGCGGTAATTGATGCTATAACGACGCGACTCGAGCGGTTGAATACGAGTTTCTCATAGATTTCTACTTTCTTTTGATAGTCATTGGATAGTTGGAAAGCATGAAATTTAAAATTCAGACTCGTCTTTTCTTTTCATCTAGCAGAGACTAGTATGTCGATTAAATCTCATAGACATTCCAGGGTATCCAGGGCTCTAAGCTGTAATAGAAGTGTCTTCGGTAAGATATTGATACAAAAAAGTACGAGACCCAGCCAGCCATTTGTCCATAACCAATGAGTGTCGTGACACCCAGATGTATCCCCCCCCCCCCCCCCC